TTTGTTGCAACCGTCGAACATGAGTCGGTTGAAGTTGTCGCAGGAGTAGTGTTGTTCTGTAAACAGATACGTCCAGAATCCGTCCATCCAGTTCAGTTCATCTGTGAGCCATTAGCCGAAATTCTAGTGCCTCTCAAGTACTTATCTGAGATGTTGGAAGGATATTTACAGCAATGTTCGATAGTCGGTGACTGGAGATTATTCCCCAGGAAAGGCTGTATCTGCTCATCGGATATCATGGTGGTTGTGGGCGCGCAGTCAACGGTCGTCTTGCTGTACCATCTGGACATGGAGAGGGAGGCAGGAAGTTCTCCACCGATGGCCGACTTGATATAGTTCTGTGGCCCCTTGTAGGCTGGGATGGTAACAGATGCCCCTGGTGTGAACTTGCAACCCCCAAGGCTAGTAACAGTCACCGCAGGGGCCCTCTTCTCCAGACCAGCAAGAGTAGGGGCGACGGCCCGCGCTGTAATAGTAGCATAGTCAGGTTGAAAGCCGTCTCGAAATCTCAGGTTTCCTTCAGTATCTAGATCGGAAACTGCGTCAAAGGCCCAGGCACATGGTCTGCATTTGCCAGATGGGTTCTCGCCGGCGACAGGGTCCGTCACGAAGGGACAATCAGCGCTGCTCGTCGAGGTAATTGTCGAAGTTGTTGTCCCAGTCACACTGCAGCCCACGGTTGGCATGCAAGTGGTCGACGTGCAAGAGGTTGTTGTCGTGGCAGCTGCGTTGGTCGTCACAGTACAATATTCAGCGCAGATAGTGGCCGTCTCTTTGATGCTGCACGACGGATCGGTTGGTGTCGACCCATCGTCGTCGCCGCCTCCACCTCCTTCCTCTCCACCGCTGCAACCGCCAGCCTCACTGCACATGCAGCCCAGACCCCGGCAGCTAGTGCATGTAGGACCTGTACAACCGCAGAACAACCCGGTGCAGCTACACCCGAGACCAGTACAGCCGCTGCATCCCGAACCACTGCAGCCACAGCTCAATCCGAAGCAGGAACAACCGAGACCTGTGCAACTGGTGCAATGCTTTCCCTTACAACCGCTCTTGCCATTAGAAACGACACAATCTGATCCTACACAGCTGCTGCAATGCTCTCCCCTACAGCTCCCATGATGGCAGCCCCGACCCGTGCAGCCGTAGCAGTTCGAGCCAGTGCATTGGCCGTTATGACAGTCAGGCCCCGTACATCCGATGCAGTTGTCGCCGGTGCAGTCGCCATCACGACAGTCCGAGCCCGAGCAGCTGCTGCAGTCATCTCCCTTGCAAGAACCGTTGTTGCAGTCCTTGCCGACACAGCCATCATAGCTCGAACATTTGCTACCGGAGCAAATCCCGTTGGCACATCCGCTACCACTGCATGTCCCTTCCCAACAATCCGGACCGGTGCAGATACCATCCTTTCCACAATCGGATCCAGAACAGCCCAGACCAATACAACGGTCGCCAGTACACTTTCCATCTTCTCCGCAGTTATCCCCCACGCAGCCGGCCGTGATGCAGTCGTTCGCCACACAGACACCATCTCTGCATCCGGATCCAAGACATCCATGGACAGTACATTGCCCAAAGGCAGTACAGACGCCATTCAAGCAGCCTGATCCACTGCAGCCAAAGGAAGCGCAAAGAAGCCCCGTACATTGGCCGTTCGTACAATCTGGACCTTTACATTGACCATTGGTGACTACCGGCCATGGCTCTTCCGTAGTACCACCGCTGCTGCTGCCACCACCGCCATCACCACCGCCTCCGGAGCCTCCTCCTCCACCACTGCCACCTCCGACGCCACCACCATTCGGACACCATTGAGGAGCGGGTGGGCAGGTTGGTGCCGCACCACCGTCTTCGTCCGGGGATGGGGCGAGGACACATTTCCCTTTGGCAGACTCCGCATTTCCATTGAAAGCGCTAACACACCACTCATAGTTCCATGTACCGGGAAACAGATAGTATTGATCGCTACAAGCAGCTTCCACCGTGTAGTTCAATGCCTCAAGCTTACTACCTGTGGCATTTACATTGCGTAACCAAAGCCGGTAGCCCGCCGCAGCAGAGAGGTTATCCCACGTAAGATGGACTGTGGTTTGATCTGCTGCAATGATCTTCAGGTCCGTTGGGGGCGGTGGAGTGCCAGCGCCAGGAATAACACTTCGAATCACAGCTGGAAAGCCCTGTCCAGCGGCATTCCAGGTCTCAACGGCCACAAAGTAACGGTGCCCTGCAACTAGGCTATCTATGTGGGCTGAAGTGCCTGTGAACGCGGCTCCGGTAATAAAATCACATTCGGCGTCCTTGTCCCAGTAAAGAACGTTATATTCGATGACAGAGTCACTGTAAGAACCTGTGGGTGGATCCCAGGATATATCGAAACCAGTCGCGGTAGCGCTAACAATCACGTTCTGAGGGGCTTCCGCTGTCTGGGGATGGGCTGTTGCGGTTAGAGTAGTGGTCCAGTCGCCCTTGATAGTGTCCCCAGCACTGGCGCGAACCTGAGCCTCATACTCCCAGCCCTCTATCGGCCAAGTAGCATCCCATCGATTGGAGGATACGCTGCCTGAGGAGAAATTCGGGATACCTCCCTTGATCTTGGATCGAATGTCGTAGTTATACGCACCATAGACTAGATATCGTCAATCAGCAAATGGATCCCCCGGACTTAGTTGCAAAGTGGCTTACCTGGATCCCATGTTGCAGTTACGCCACCAGGACTAGTGAATACCTTGAAATTGCTAGGTACCGGTAAGGACCTGGCAGGAACATCATTGGGTATACTCAGTGCGGCTGACCCGATCCTGAAATCCTTCACTAGGGTTTGCGAGAAGGCGCGAGCAATCTGGTATTCACCCATCGCGTTTGGATGAAGTCCATCGGAACCCACTGGACATGAACTAGGTTGACAGTTGTAGTTCTCTTCCAGCTCAACAAGATGGATGGGAGAGGCTGTGGTGCTCCATTTGGGAATAGTATCGCGCAGTAGAGAGTTGTATATATTGGTGCTAACAGGAAGATCCTCACGGCCACCAATGAAACTCCGCTGTGGTACATTAGCAATGGCAAACTTGATCTTTGGATTTGCAGCCCGAGCATTGCTGATCAACGTATGAACACTGTCCAAAGTTCCCATCGAATCACTGTAGAACCACCCCATATCATTAAAGCCCAGTAATAGCAGCACCAAATCTGCTGGGTGAGCTGCCATGACCTCCTTGATCAGGCCTTTATCCACAGCAGCAGCACGGCCCCAAACAGCGAAATGATTTTTGGGAAATTCCAACGACACTTCTTTCGCGTAGCCCCCGCTAACTTTGACCGCGCCTGTAGGTTGGGGTTCCCCGTATAATGCTGGCGGGGACGGTGGTGCTGCCTTATCAGGTTGTACCGTGCCTGTATAAGGCCCAACAAAGTCTACAGCAACTCCTTGAGACTGAAACCACTCCCATATCCGATACCGCCACGTAAAGTCTCCCTCTCGGCCCTGAGATATGGAGTCGCCGACAATCATGACCTTGAGCCCGGCTGCACGCTCGTGGAGTTGTCCCGTGGTCGAGTTCTCACTTGATCTTAGATTATCCCTCATAGCCGCCAACATCTGGACACTGTTGTTCTGTACGCTACCAGTCTGAAGCGGGGGCATGAGGCCCACGACTTGATTCAGGATATCATAATATGGAAGGTCCGTCGGAAGAGGGATGGCCGGGACGGTAGCTAATTGCGATAGCTGATAGGACACTTTCGACTCTATCGCGACGGCTGACGAGTATTCTATGGTAGCTGTTGATACTGCAGTCAAAGCCGTCACGTTGTCACTTTGTGTAGGCGTGGGCTTTGGGTTGTTCAGCCTTCGTGGAGGGAGCCATGAATAAGCGAAAGTAGTGCCAGAGAAAATAGAAATTGCACACAAAAAGAAAGTTAGGTAAAGATTGAAACTACCTCTGATGGTAGAACTTCCCCGGTAGGAAGGCGCCATGGGAATTATAGAAAAGAAATCAAGATAAAACGAACGGACGAGGGTTACCTGCGAGAGGTGAAACAACAATCTCTTAGCTGCCAGGATGTGTTATTCCTGAGCAGCTGGCATATCTTGTTGTCTTTCATCGTCGAGGCGATACAATGGGGAGTATTTATGTTATTTCTGATCCTCCAACCCTCGTTACTCACGAAGCTGCTATACTGGATGCCGAGGGATACTACCTCTACATTGGAAGCGATGTAACCGGAATTGTGGTTAGTTAGCTCTCAACAAAATAGAGGACAAGGGTATGTAGACCAGATCCCAATAGGTAGTGAGATTGATAGTAATTTACAAGGAGATTGTACAGGAACTATGACTCTTAGTGAAAAGCACTAAGAGCTATCCAGCTAAGCACTGTGACATCGTTTATAAAAGACTCAACGCCCAAAGAACACGATCTCATGCTAGCGCTTTCTAGTCTCAAGGCGTGTGCGGGCAAATACTTGGAAGTTCTTTGCTGTTGCTTCTCTTAGGTTTTTTTTCTTATTTTTTTCTTTCTCCAAAGGATCGTTTCTACTGTCACTGAACTGTAGCTTGTACTACTTTCGATTGGGGGTCACGCTGACCACACGATTCATGGCTTCAATACCCTCGTAGGCGTCACCTATACCTAATGTAAATACAACATTGTCATTGTCGATATGGTTGCTGACGGGGTACTATGCCATGTCCGCCAAGAATATAGAGAGGGTCTCGGTTCGAGCCAGCTAAAGGATTTACAGTTAAGCGGACCATCCGATTTATCCGATCATAATTGATTAATGCTTGATCGAGTCTCTTGTTAGGGGGGTCGAGCGCACTGATTTGCCTCCCTTAGTAGGCTAAGAAAAATTCTATTATGGGCTAGTTTCAGGGACTAGACGAGGAGGTTGGGAGCGTTAAGCCACCACCTCGGAGATTGATGGTCATGTTAGCTTGCTTGGGTTTGTTTCTATCCTTTAGATTTTCTATCCCGTGAAAGGCGTTCAATCATGGTTAGAATGGAAATCTCAAAGCCCCTATCCGGAGCAATGTGACGTTGCTGGCGTCAAAATAGATCTTTTCCAAATGTATGCGTTAGTATATCGTAATCCACATAGCCGAAGTAGACTCATACCATGTTAGTAACTATGACTAGCGGGATCAAGAATACTTGCTCTGGATTTTATTCCCTAACCAAACTTTTTAGTTCTTAATGGGGCAGTGTTGTATTCAGGCCATGCCCCGTAGCTACTGAACCTCGGCTAAACAACTTGGTTTACTACTATCTCCCTATATCCATGTCATTTTCTCTTATACACATGAATATCGAGCCATTCCTCAATATCTTCATCTTCGGCCTCTTCTAGTAGCCTCCAGATGCGCCGACGATTTCGCAAACGGAGCGGAGCATGCTGTAAAGGGTTTCCCGGCTCAAACACCTCCACTTGTGCAAGGGTGCGAACAAGACGCTCCCAATCCCAAACATCTTCTGCCTCATATGTCAGAACGCTGCCCGCATCAGGTGTCACAGGGTAGCTCTGTAAGGCGGAGATATCTAAATCCCAGAGCCATGGCAGAATCTGCCGGTTAAAGAGCATGTCACGCCACAGACTTGACGGTAAGGAACGGGTGCTTGTCGAGCCGGGATTGACGAAAGGGTGTAGGTTATTATAGATCATGTCTTGGATCTCGGTGGGTAGTGCCTCCAGTGCAAGAGATAATTTGGGTTTTCCTTGCGAGGACGGCGGAAGAGGCCGTAGATATGAAAGAATTTCCTGGGTAAGCCCTGGGATAGGAAATGGTGCCATTTCGTACTCCTAGTGGTAGGTTGTTAGTGAAGCACGATTGGCTATACTTATGCAGAACTTACATAGACTTTTCGCTCCCCAAAGGCCCACGCCACATTGTGAAAAAGATTGGTATCCCGAAAATAGTACCAGTGCGGTTCAACTACACGACGGGGTAAGGGAGCACCCTTGAGCCCGAAGGGATACCCATCCCACACCCTGGTTAATCGCTGTTCAAACACTTCATAGAACTGGCTGAGGGTTGTAGGATGTTTTGGACCAGCCGTCACTCCAACGTTTAGAAGAACCTGGCGATACTCTACCAGACGTCGCATCATATCAAGGCATTCTGAATGTACCGTTACATACGGGTACTCCGTATATCGATCGTGTACTAATTTTGATGAGTGCTCCCCGTAAGGCCTAGGTTCTAATCTTGACAACCGCTCTCCATAATGCACACCATAGATTTCAATCTCTATTCTTGGGAGTCAGGAAGCAGACTAATGGCTTTCGTGCTAGAGATGGAAGAGTAACCCACCATCTGTCCCGAGTACTTCTAGCGGCAGATCGTGATTTGCCAGGCTCGCAATATCCCAATCCGTTTCATAGTGATAATTCTCAGCTCGAATGGCCTGCGGTACAAACCACTTGTATCTCTCAAGATTCCGATTTCGCACTTCCTCTACTACTACCTTTACCTTTATAAGTGGGTTATTGCTTTGGGGGAAACTGAAAAAGAGCTTACAAAGCTTGGGGCACCACAAATAACGCAGCATATATCTTCCGCGTCATAACCTCGATCCCATCGTTCGAACTCGAAGAGATCGCCCTCGGATGGACGCTCGCTAGGGTGGAAATCCATGGCAATTAGGATGGAACTTTTGCTCGATTTCGATCCAGAAACACGGACTTAAAAGGCAAGATAACGATAGTAAATGACTCAGACAAGGTTACATCGCTTAGTGCTTTTGAGTATACTAGGCAAAATACCTAGCATGGGAGCACATCAGCAACTTTCTATTCAATGGTTGGTTCCACAGGTTGGCTTGGCGCTGTATGTCATTTCATGAGCCTGTTGCCAAGCTAAATTTAATAAATAAATTAAATTGTAGTGTTCATTTATTCTTTTGCCATAGTACGACGTTCTAGACCGACCACCACCCAGTCAAAATGAGATTCTTTTTCAAGTCAGTCATATGCGCACACAGTAGTTTACTTTAGTATGGACACGGTCTATTATTTACGCAGTGTGTACTAGGTAGTTCTCAATGTCTCGAATCATCGACTATAGTACGGAGAAATCCGAACCTCGGCCCACTCTCACGTCGTGTCTCATGGTAGTAGTATTCAAGATACAGTGAGTTGGAATTCAACTCCTTGTTCTCGGTAATCAGAGCTGGGCAGACACGTTCGAGTGAACTAACATATCTTTTGTTGGCGCCTTTCTAAAAATCAAAATTGCCTCTCATATATGCATCCCCTTCACCACGACATGAGCAAGTTTCTGAAGGCTGAAAGAAATCTACACCTCCTTATCAGAGTGAGATTCCTTTCTTCAGTTATCGTTAAGTTTAGTAAATACCAGTGACTTTCTTCTGCTTGAGCTAAGATCAAACGTACCCAAAGGGCATATAAAGTGAGACGGCGTTAACCCACTAACGGGAAGCATTGGATTACAACGATAATGTATCAAAACCCTAGGATCCAATGAATATATGGAGTCTCTTTGATAGCTCGTGTCCAAAAAGCTCTAGAGTGAGTGAATACCCTGGCGTGGGTCAGTATTCTGTAATCATTCGTTGATAAGCAGGAATAGCCCAGGAGTAGCGATCAGAAGTCTACCTCGATATATTTAGTAGCACCGATGAAAGTGAACCACGGTTCAAGAGCAATTATCAACAGGATCAAGCTCAGGTGGGTGTAAGTGCCAAAGCAGAAACTAAACGAATGGATGACAAGGCTAACCCTGTTATTTCAGCTTTGTATTGCAGTCCTTCACAAACAGATAAGTCAACCTCGGACAGACTAATGGCCCTTCCCCTCACTCAGCCCCTACAGATCATGTTGATTAAAATTTTTGATATAACGCTTTTAAAACCCTCATAGCCATGCTCTCGCTCGATATGCCGGCTTCAATGGAGCTTGTTCTTACACGAATGGGGCCCGGATCATGCATTTGCTGAACAAATCAGGGACCAAGGGACGACAGAGGAACAGAATGCTGATCCTCAAACATGCAGTTGGACAATCGGCTGGAAGACACCGACTTGGATGGTTCTATCATATGTCTTTGGTACAGTCTATAGCCATTCTAATGCGCTTTTCAATTTTTAATGGATCACCTAGCCTGTGCGATTGCCGTCATCCATGGTATTTTTTTCGCATATCTGAAAGGCAAGCCAGTGGATGGTCGATCGTCTCCAGTTCCTCAGACTTACTTCTACAACTATCTCGGTAATATTGGCCAGTGCTGTGGGACTGTTGCTTCGTTTCAGCTTGGGTCTTTCCTTCACACAATACCTGTGGCGCGTCCTTCGCTCGACGCCGCTCAAGATCTCTATAATTGAGCAGCTGTTTCTCCATGCGCTCGAGTTTGACATTTGTCCAACATAAAGTCATCTTGCAGAAAGCGTGGCCTCCCATTCTGATAGCAATCATCATATGGTGTACATCCATTGCTATGAGTTTCCCGCCTAACGCGATGACAGTTACTCCATCCTTCCGCGAACATACTGTGGTCAATGTTTCAGTGCCCACATTCAATGCAGCAGACGTACGTGTCCATCGTCTCATGCCGTCATCGTATATCTAACCCAATGAATTTGCCGATAAAGCTTGGTGACATGAAATTTTCGGCTATAGCGGACAGGTCACTGGCCTCATTTTCATACTCGGAGGAAGATGGTCAGGATATTTTCAGGATCGCACCTGATCAAGACAGCAAATACTCCCCTCTCCCTCCCTACCCAGGTCAATCGACCGCCAGATCAGCATGTTCCAACCCAACGGCAGATTAGGTGTTAAAAAGCTGAATACAAACGCGTACATTGGGCCTGCAGAATTCACGACCGAACATTAGAGGCTCAATATCCTTGAGCATCGTTTGGACCGTGTTCCCTCTGGTGCCGAGTACACAGTTCAGACTGTCTACCGAAACAATGTACCATTCTTCACAGTGTCCATGGACCCTACCTCTGTCCATACCTTGAATGACATTGGAAATGCCCTACTGATGAGGAACGCCCTATCGATTCCAAACGATTACCGTTTCAACTCTTCAACGACACCTTTCTTCCTTAATGCAACCCTATTTTTGCTTATTGAACCAATGGCAGATTTCCTTTCACGTTCCTTGAATATAACAGCATGGAGCGAAGGAGATCCCACTACCCCAGATAAAGATGGCTTCGAGTATTGTGATCTATATACAGATCTTCAGGGCGATGACTTTAGTAAGCAACTGCCATCCTATTTGATGAGGAACTCATTGAAAAGCCTTCGGTTGGGGGTGAAAGTACATGTAACTAACACTGCTTCCAGTCCAAAGCCCTGACCCTAATGATGTGCCGATACTGCACTCCTTCACGGGAACTAGTCTATCCAACCTGTCCCTTACAGACATGAGAAACAAACAATTCTCGGTAAATGAGAGCCTCCTCAATACCCTATTGGGTAATATCACCGTGTCGATTATCCCCTTCAAGAATCTCTGGAGCACGAAGGTTAATCTAACAGACAATATCATGGTCAACGTATACTCGCTTTCTCAACCATTGAACATCATCCTGCCTTACTCCCTCACCCTCTTTGTTGGTCTTCTTAGCCTTTTGCTAGGGTTATACTCACTACGGGAGAATGGCGTTTCCGCAATGGATGGCGGCTTCCTCCAGATTCTTACTACCACTCGGGGAAGCCCGAATATTGACCGAGTTGCCCGTGATGGCTGTCCTGGGGGCGGCGAGAATATACCCTCTGCACTGAAGGAGATGCGGATCCGATATGGGGAGCTAATTCCGCAGATACCGGAGGTGTGGATTCGGTACTGAAGATGAGGTTCGTCCTCTGCGTCGAACGCAAGATATGAGAGAATGTGAAAAATAATTGAAAACGATAGTGTCATGATTGGGAAATGGGACCCAGGAAAACCTAGATGTGTTGTTGGCCAAGCCCAGTGCCTCGGGGCTGCCTAATAAATATATTCTAAGGTGCATCTTAACCAACATTGACTTGACAAGGTAACGCCATCTCTCGCCAACATTACACAATAACACACGTGAAAGATACAGAAAGAGTTTGGATTTATTCATCTATTTGGAGTATAACTCCAGGGGGGAAAGGTGCTTCTATTGGTTGTATATGTCAAAAAATCAGCCCAGCCAACTATTGCTACACTAGATGTCATCCAAGGTATACAGCTGACCAAGCACATAAGTTCGAGATATACCGAAGCGTAGTCGTATGATTTATTAGTGTTTAGCCTGCGTGCTCGACGATCTCGTTCACCAGGACACCGTCCTTGACGTAGGACTTGATCTGCTCAGGAACCGGGCACTCCTTGGTATCTTCGTCTGTTCCCTCCTTGGGGGGAAGCATGATGTTGAGCGCGGTGCATTTGCTGGAGAAAATCTCAGTGTTTAAGCTCTGTGGGCCGAGGTACACTGTGGCACCGTCCACCTGGTCTAGCAAGAGCGTGGGCGCCACGCCGTCGATCTGGAGAGCGAATTTGGTACACTTGATGACATCAAGACTGCTCACGAGGGAATCAACGATAATGGAGAGTTCCTTGCAGTTGTCGATGGCGATGGCATTGGCCTTGCTGGACACCTTCACGATGGTCTTGTTGCAACGGGAGATGAGGATCGACTGGTTCTGCTGGGCAGGAATCTCGACAATCTCACCCGAGTTATCGAAGTTTTCGATGTACCACTTGTTGCTCTCGAGGTCCTTACGAGGAGGTTTACGGACACGCATGCTCTCCGGCTTAGGCTTCTTACTCGGGGCTGGCGACTTGGAGCGCGAGATGCTGCCTTGCGAGTCAGGACGCTCCGGAACGGTTGAGCTTGCGCGAAGGCTAGGGTTCTTGTGCGTCATTTCGGACTTGTCGACTTTCCGGAGACCAGAGGTGATAGCCTCACCCTGGTTCAACTGAGCAAAAACGGCGGACATATCACCTCCCGGGGCCGCGCTGGGCGGCGGGGGAACGCCAGGCGGTGGTGGGGGTGGTGGAGGAGCTCCGCCAGGCACGTTCAGCGTCGGCACAGGGGGTGGGGGAGGTGGGGGAGGAGCTGAACCGCTGGCTCCGGTGCTAGAGCCACCTTTGACCTGTCTGAGGGCTTCCAGCGCATCGATGCCGCTTTGCTCATTCCATGTCAGGCCCTTCGGATAGTGCTTCTTGAGATAGGCAGCAAGGGCCTTGAAGACTTGATAGTAGGATTGGATGTACTGGACGTGAGTCTTATCCCTAATGAAGATGTAAGTACTTTGCTCCGCGCCTCAATAAGATACTGAAGGTCTTACTTTTCCTTGTACTCCTTCAAGACCTTGTTGCCATAGTATTCAATGCCACCGACGATTTCACTGACAAAATCGCCTGGCTTGGGCTCAAAGAACCATCCCAGAGCCACGATGCCTTCGGCGACGGCGCTGAGGTGGTTGAAAAGTGGAGAGGCACGATTCGACTCGCGGATCATATTAATAGAGTCAGAAGCAGTGTGAAGCTCCGTCATGAGCTCTGGGGGCTGGGGCTCGGGCTTCTTCGCCTTCGTCGAGACATAAAGGTAGGTGCGCTCGGCTTCGAAAGCTTGCAAGACAGCTTTTGACTACAAAACCAGTCAGTAGGCTGTCGCAACCGCAATGTAATGACGTTCAGTTGGAGAGCCTCACCTGTTCAGCAACAAGGTCGCCAATTTTATTTCCCAGGTCCACGAAGTTCCGCACATCCTTATTGATCAATGTATCAAAGTCTTCAATTTGAGGTGGGACAGCAGGAGCTGCAGGTGCAGGGGGAAAAGCTGGCTTGGGCGGTTCAGGAGCAACGGTCTCGGGGGCAGCGGCGGCATTCAATGTTTTCGGCGAACTGGGGTCATCCAGTCCCATAGCCATATCCTCCAGGCGGGAGGTCGCGGCTTCCAGCCTATTACATCATTAAAATAATGAAACATCATAGTGAAGTGCATGACAGATGCTTCGCATGACAGTGCCCTGTGGCTTGTGCTTGGGGCAAGCTGATTTGGGTCCTTACCGCTTAATAAGGGTAGTTAGGTTATGCATATGGCTGGTCGCCATCTTGAATGGCCCCTATCAACGCGAGGGAGGGGATCCCGACGTCAACTCAAGAGGGATTAAAGACACAGGGAGAAAGGACAGCCCGACACTTCAAATGGATGTTACAGAGGGACAAGTGATAGTACACTTGCTCGCGACTCTGGAGTAAGCTGTGACCGTTAGAATCGTAAGTTGCAACGGTGTCGGTTCCCAAAAGATGATGCTCCTTATCCGTGCCTGAGGCCCGGAGCTCCACGAGTGGGTCTTACGGTACAATACACAGGAGTGTGTGTAACGCATATTGTACACTATGACGTTGGCGGTAAACTTTGGTAATTCAACCACATGGACAAAAGTAGTATGGTATTCTGTAGATGCGATAAGAACTTCTACTACGGATACTGAACCCCCACCAACTTGGACATTTGTTACGCATTACTACCTAGCAATAATGACAGGACAACGCGAAGATACATCGTTTGACAATGATGTGGACTTTTGCACACTAGGCATGTTCATCCTCGGTATGCTATAACACGCCCAAATCGGATGAACTGTCGAAACCCAACGGTATACTTACGAAACTCCTTTGTCTCATGCAGATGATATTGACTTCGGGGGCACTAGACCTAATGTCAAGAACATCCTCGGGGGTGCAGCATCTTTCGCGGTTGTCGGTGCTCGTCTAGTCGCTGGAAAGGAACACTCCCACTCTGTTAGTTGGATTGTTGATGTTGGCTCCGACTTTCCCTCGGAGGTTCTAGATATCATCAATACCTGGGGCACAGCATGCGTAATGAGAGAAGACAATGGCCGATTAACCACCAGGGCTTGGAATGGCTACGGTCCCAATGAGAAACGGGGTGAGTACCTGACCATCTTTCGCATGAACTCCAGAAGAAGACTGACAGCCTAGACTTCAAATATTTGACCCCTAAATTACGGTTGGAACCTTGGATGTTGTCCGATTCCCAGGTATTCTCGAAGACCTTTCATATGGTCTGCTCAGCAGGACGTTGCGTGTCTATTGTACAGAATATACTGCAGCGGCGAGAAGAACTACTGCGAGAAGGCAAAGCACCTTCCAGCAGCCACGCTTCAGAGAGGCCTTTCTTTGTCTGGGAGCCTGTGCCTGATCTCTGCACACCTGAAGAGCAAGATAAGTTCTTTGTTGCAAACCGGGTAGTAGATGTGGTAAGCCCTAATGAACTAGAGCTGGGAATGATGTTTGGACAACCGGGGTGGAATGAAGAGAGCGAATTCGGGAAAAACATTGTCAAACGCATCCTTGATTCAGGCATTGGCCCGAACGGGAATGGGCACTTGGTTATTAGGGCAGGGAAAGATGGAAGCTATGCATTCTCAAGAGGCCAGAGGATCTGGTTGCCCGCTTACCATCAACCCGATACTTCAGCAAATACGCCAGTAGTTGATCCGACTGGCGCAGGTAATTCTTTCTTGGGGGCACTGACTCAAGGAATGGTGACTGCTGGTAGGACCCCAGCCAAAATCGTTGGCTCGTTGCTTGCAAGGTCTGCTGTCTGGGAAAGGGCAGTGGAAGCATTGGGCAAGCAGAGTTATATACTGTCCTCTCTGGTATTTGCTACTGTTGCTGCAGGTTTCGTGGTGGAGCAGATTGGAGTGCCCCATCTGTCTACGTCTACCGATGAAAGAGAACTTTGGAACGGAACTGAATTCACGGAACGGGTCCGTCTGTACACGCAGCGATTGTATCGAACACTCGAAGAGTCTCCCCAGAAGCACTTGCAGATCAATTGACCGATTGAAGAACGCCCTTCTATTGTCGTACAGCCCACAATAATATGAAACAAATACCTATCATGCCATATAAACCTTCCGAAGGGTTTCATTGTAGCCCATGCTCCCCCTTTATGAATCCTGCTTCGCAGTTTGCTGTCTCTCATGTTCGATAATCTGCTTGCTCCAGCTACAATGTAAGAGTAGAATGTCAGTACGTGCGATCTTTAGCGAGCACCTTCGAGATGAACTGACTAGCGACTGGGGAAGAATCTGCCGGGTTCTGGCATTCTGTCACGGCGTTCCCGGTCGGCACTAACGCTCCATGTCACGGCAGCAATACCAATAACAACCGCTCCCATGATAGCAGTGTTGGCCCTCCAGTTCGCGGGCTGAGCGTACCAGCCTCCAGCGGGAGACCAGACTTCCTTGGGATACCTGAGTAAAAGATCGGTCAGCCTCTCACGGCATCAGTAATTCAGGGAGAATCAATCGCATACGGGATCTTGCCGCCTCCACCCATTGTGGCTGGAATATAATTGAACAATGGTAGGGAAAGAACGTGGGCGATAGCTTGCTAGGAAAGCGTTGTTCTGGCGGGTTGAAGCCGAAATGGCCGTCGACGTCCCTCGTCCCAGAACCCGTGACGCTAGCCCCGTATGCGGTTTAGCGCCACACTGGGCTTTCTCACACGACTCGCCGGTCCCGTGACTTCCGCCGAAGCTCGACTTTTCTCCAGCGGTCAAAAGTTCATACAATATCGACGTGGAAACCCCTACACTAAACCTCCACGCAACGCCCTGGGCAGCCCAATCTTGTTTTCGCTCCTTCCAATCGCCCTCCTGTTTCAGGTCTCCCACCCTCACAGTTGCCCAGATGAAGAGGCTGCAGCTCCAACGATGGAGCAGTTCGGTCCTTTCGCCGCGGGCCCGAACTGGTGGCCGCCTGCAGCAGCATCTGTACTATAATTTGCGTCACCAATCGACTGTTTCGCCTGCTCCTCAGGCCGAGAATGAGCCATTGTTTGAGGAACAATCGCTGAATTCGTCAACTCACATCCCCCAGTCCTCTCACTTCAAATACCTCCTCCCTTCTCCTCCGGTTGAGGCCGCACGCGAGTCCGCAAAACTTGCCGCCCTTCATGCACGCCTCTACCTCCCCTCCCGACTACCGCTCGAGACATTAGCACGCTCTCTAGTCGATGCTTCAGCCGACTCGAATCCTAATTTCAACAATGAAGCATTGGCTTCGCTCGGTCATGACCTCCTGACCCACTACACCTCCGAACACCTTGTTTGTACATATCCTCGACTTCCCTTAACCGTCATCTTCGCGGCAATGTATGCGTATGTCGGCCCTAAAACTTTGGCAGCAATGGCAAAGGAATGGGGTGTTGAGATTGCTGCAGTACCTGGTGGAGAGGTTGATCCCGGTCTCTTGCAGTTCAAGAGAGTACTCCCAGGTACTGATGTGAATGCGGAACCCGTTACTGGCACAGAGAGACCCAATGAACACCGGAAATCATGGAGAAAGTCCATGACCTCTAGAGTTGTTTACGACAATGAGTATGGGGATCCTGTCAGGGCATCCGGCGAGTCGGCCGCTGCGGAATCGCAGAATACTCAGGGCGTGACTGCAGAGCACGCCAACGCGACATTTGTGCGTGCTGTAATGGGCGCCATCTATCTCCATGCCGGCAGACCGGCTGCCAAGCGATTTTTTGAGCAACATTTCCTCTCCCGCCACCTCAACATCTCGGACCTATTCAACTTCTCCCAGCCGGCTCGTGACCTTTCTCGGCTGTGTGCACGAGAGAACTTTGAGCCACCTGTTGCAAAAATCATCAGTGAAACTGGCCGCAAGAGCAGACACCCTGTCTTTGTCGTTGGTATTTTCTCCGGTCAGGATAAGCTGGGAGAGGGCGCTGGCGCCAGTCTGCTTGAGGCTCGATCCAGGGCTGCCGTGGCTGCGCTCAAGGGCTGGTACCTGTATAGCCCCTTGAATGTGCGTGTCCCTAGCTCCATGGAAGAAGAAGGTGCTGCACCCTGGAAGCCAGTCCACGTGGACTTGGGTGAGGTGATTGTGTAAGATGAGATAGCGGAGAGGAAAGAGACACGCGTCCACGTGGAAAAGGTGTTATATTATATGACATGACTTGTCGTCGATGGGAGCAAGAGCATATTACATATTATCTATTCGAATTTGCAAGAACAGGTTTTGTACAGTATGGGAAATCTATTTCATTCGTCTGATGTCTTCTGCTGAACCCTTTTTTTTTATTCTCTTATTTTTAACTTTTTATTTCTCGTTTGTCTTGGTTACTTCTTTGCATTTCCACCCCAATCCGTTTTAGACAGGAAACGGTCCTTAGAACAGAGTCGTTATAAGGGCTGATTCTTAGACAAAAGTACATAGATGTATGTACCGAATGAATGCATATTACATGACCTGGGGTTGCAGAGTCCTTGGGACTCCTCGTAATCTACGGAAGTCTTACAATTGCGGGTATGTCAACTCCACCAACGATGCGAGTTAGGGGAGGTCACTCCGGGGGGTTGACAATCTCATCCTCCCAATTCCCACCGCTTCGTTCCGTGCTCATCCGACCATGTCTATCAAGGTATCTGCCGTAGTCATCCCAAAGTTCATCGACCCCGGACCCAAACAGATTCTTCCAAAAGCCGGGACGTCCGTGGTCCAGGGTCTCGCTCTCACCAATATATCCAACCCGCAATAGCCGGTCGTTCAACATTCCAACCGCGCCTTTCCCAATCCGCACATCCTCCAGCCACTCCAGGAAGAATGCTGTATGCTGATAGCCCTGATCCCATTTCTCAGCTCTCTCCTGGGCAGACGCCGGCCGTTTCCAGTGCGGCGGCACGAAGCCCGCTTTGAGACGCACAAAATCCGCGATGCCCTCGATCAGGCCCCCGGGCGGACGTGGCACAGAGGCATTGTCCTGGCGGGGTGCCGTATGCTGGTAGCAGTGAACCAGCTCATGGGTGAGAACGCCGACTATCTCGGCTCTTGGATCGGGCAGCTTCATGGCGGTAAGGATATACTGGAGAGACAGGTGAATCTCCTTGTGGTCATCGTCCAGCTCCATCCCGGTCGTGTAGGCTACACCGCCAATGTCACGGAGAAAGAAGGTTACGGATCGGGTTGGCGGAATGGAGGGTGTGAAGGTTGGGGTTGGGGTCTTGGCTGTGGTGACGGCGTGCGATTCATCTTGCGGATGGGGTGGGGTGTAGAGGTGGTCGATAATATCAGCTAGGGCTTTATCGATAGTAGATGCAATGTCAGGGACGAGGAGTAAGAAGGCATTAGAGCCGGAGTGACGTAGATCGTTGATCTGGAGACGAAGCTTGGGTTTCGGGGGCCCAGTGGACCGTTTGTTTGGACTAGGGTCGACTGGGGAGATGGCGGTGGGGAGAGAGTCGACAGGTGACATCTTTTGAATTTAATCCCCCGTACAATAATCGAATTAAATGAGTAAGGGGGACGCGGAAAAATGTAGGTCCTGCGTCAAGATATCCCCACCGGAGTCTGTAGGCGCAAAATATACTTCGACTGGAATGTTCGTACAACGGAGTATAAATCCACTACTTATTGTGACTTAGTAGGAGTAAGTTAAGTACTACATCCATGTTGCATGCGCCCGAACTGTCCACAAGACCTGATTCGGTGCTTCTTCAACCGAGTCAGCCAATCGATCTATTCCAATTGCCCCTTGATGGATCCCCCCCCCCCATATTAAGTACTAGAGGTGTAGGGTACGGAGTAAGTACAAGTATTGTTGTACGTCCTACGGACTATGTCAGGTATGGCACCTTTTGTTGCGGCTCTTTCTTAACATGACGCATGGTAGGGATTTGGTCCAAGTGCCCACGCCGACCGGCGATCGTGTGGAGAAGCCAGACGGACCTGGATTAGGTCAATAATGATTGGATCGTATGTCATTTAGATTTATTGAGATTTATTGAGATTTATTGTGGATTTAAAAACTGGAAAATAAAAAAAGAATATTGTAAGGTGTAAAACTAAGAACAATTATTTCACTAGGTTTGGGACATCCGGACTCCTGCGGAGTATTATTGTAACGTAACGCGCGGTGGAAAATATATACACTGAATGTAAACACAAAAAGAAACAAATCAATACATATAGAACTGTGCAAATTCTACTGCAGTAAAGTATTTCCAATTTTAGGTATTTAGATATAAGCATAATGCGATCTTATCATTCTTCTTTCGGTTTTACCTTAACAACATTTCTATACAGTGCAATCAAGATACTACTAGTAGTAGTATCCTTGGTTCAAAAGTTGTTGGGCTGCGAAGACCTTAGGCGCATTCGATCCCCTCCCCCCACTGACTTGCGGTTTCCGTGGCCAATGTTGCCGGTAAACAAAGCGGAAAAAAAAAAGATTCAGGGAACCAACGACCCGACTCGGCTTCTTCCACTCCCTTCACTCTGTCGCACGTCAACACGTCAATTTCACCGAAAGAACTTCGTACACTTCGGTTTGATTAAAATTTACTAAAATTGCTCCCATCATCTAAAGAGTGTGGAGTTCGAAGCGCTTATCGGCGCGTCTATTCGCTTATCGCTCCTTCCGTTGCAAACCCCCCCGTCGCTGCAGACCATCCTCGGAAGTGTCGTCGTCAGGATAGTAGCTTCCTCACCATCATCCTCCTCAACTCGCAACTCGCACCCCCTTCAACCCCCATCGCAACGGCCATAATCAAGGTATGTATGAGCTCCTTCCTCATCGCTGTCTTCTGGATTGTTTGGCTTAGGATGTCTCTCCTTCTCCCCCGTCGTCTTTGTAACCATAACCATTCACACTCACATTCACATTCACGATCGCACACTTGCTTTTGGCGTACCTGCATCTACATTTCAGCTTATGCTAATCATTCAAAATGGGTTTTTACAGCCTCACCTCTTTTGTGACCGAGCTCACACTCTGCATTTGGGTTTTGACCCTCTACTTCGCCTTCCCCCTTTACTTCTCCATCCAGCTTGGATGCCAACCTGTCTCAACACTCAAGTTTATCTTGATCCTTTATGTGAAGACTATCAGACGTCTCCTCGTTTACTCCGACCTTGTCCTTCTATATGTCATCCGAGTTGTCTGTCGGATTGAACATTTTCTCGCACCCAACATGGAAGGAAAAGCTACAGAGCTACTGGCGGTCCTGAAGAACAATAACCTTGCGATTGATGTCAAGGTCAGCCACCTGCTGGGCATCAAATCTGATATCAAACAGAAAAATGTTCCCGATAATGCAGTGGATTTGATCTTCGAGAGCCTACGGCTGGCGATCACATCTCACCACGCCGCCCTCTACGCAGCCGGTTTCTCTACGCTTGGACACTTCCTGAAGCGGCTGTTCATACAGGACCAGGCTCATGTCGTCTCCGCTTATGCCCGTCACTTTTGCCCTGTACTTCTAGAGCGCCTGGGAGACCACAAAGAGCGTGTCCGCACCCAAGCTGCTCAAATATTTACCGATTTATGGCCAGCTGCCAGCGCTGATGTAGAGCACTATGTACTCGAAGTAGCCTTGACGGGGAAAAACCCCAAGGCCAAAGAGACAAGCCTGATATGGCTATCTAATGTAGGTTAATTCTCTTCTACTGTTGCATCTTTTACTTACCCGGCGTTCGCAGATGTCGAGAAATCACGGTCTCCTTTTCCGATCATATGTGCCGAGCGTGGTTTCATGCTTAGAAGATGCAGATAGTTTCGTGAGACACACTGCCAAATCGACTGTAGTCGAACTATTTCAGTATGATCTCGCCTGGGGTTAAGTGTTTTGTTTAGGATCAATTGTGTGGCTAACAAAGGGCTTAGGGGTGCGCCTGCACGGGCCAAAGCAGACCTGACCAAAGAAATGACTGCTCAGAACGTTCGTCAATCGATCATGAATGCAGTTTATGCAAATATCGGACTTGAAGACCACTCTTCCACCGCTCGCCCGCGCTCACGAGTAGAGCCTCGGTATACCCCCTGCACGGATGCTCATCCTCTACGTGCCGCCTCTCGAGCAGAGCTCGGACACCAGCAGTCTACTACTATGATCTCCTCAGCCCCCCTAAGACCCTCTAAAGAAGGTGAGTTTGCTTTACTTCCCTCTGCATTGATAACCATGCCGTTCTAATTCTTGCCAGCCACACCAGTGGTTGTGGAACCGGAACCGATCAAAAGCCGCCCTGGCTCATCAAAGAGCGAACGGGAACGGACGACAGCTGCGGCTCCTGAGGCAGAAAACGCATCACATATGGAACCTGCCCAACCGAGCACCCAGGATGGTGAAATTCCTAAGCCGCTTCATGCCGAAACGCCGAGGCACGTCGAAGATCTCTTCCGCGTGATGTCTCCTGCTTTCGAGGGTCGCGAGTCCGAGGACAATTGGAAACACCGTGAAAAATACATTATTTCTCTCCGCCGACTTACCTACGGCAACGCACCCCAGGATTTTCCTCAGCCATTCTTTACCGGGGTTAAGTCGAATCTCGATGGCATTTTCAAAGCAGTCAACTCCCTTCGCACCACTTTGTCCACCAATGGGTGCCTCTTGATACAGGATCTAGCCAAGATCGGCGGATCCAGAATGGACCCGATGGTTGAGGTCATTATGCAGAACCTGATCAAGCTTTGTGGCGGGATGAAAAAGATCAGTGCTCAAAACGGTAATGTCACCGTCAACGACGTCCTGGCCAATGTGACTTACACTCCACGCCTCCTGCAACATGTGGCGAGCGCATGCCAGGACAAGAACGTTCAGTTACGTCTGTCTGCTGCGGGGTGGCTTAAAACCTTGCTCAACAAGCAAAGCCACCACAAGAGTTCGCTTGAGCACGGTGGCGGCTTAGCACTTCTTGAGAAGTCCCTAAAGAGGGGACTTACCGATGCTAATCCAGGCATAAGAGAAGCGATGAGGGGCGCCTTCTGGACTTTCTATCGGATGTGGCCCACAAGGGGCAACAAGTGAGTTATTTCTTTTCATTTCTGGATGAATGGTTTGATAACACCTCACAGCATTCTATCCGATCTCGACAACAAGACCCGCCACCTACTCGAAAAAGATCCGGCGAATCCAAACCGTGATCAACTAAGTTCCTTGTCAAGCGACAGTCTCACCGTGCCTAGTCGCTCCGCCTTGAAAGAGGCCATTGCAGCACACAAAAAAGCTCGTCTTGCACCAGCCAAGACTTTACCTCCACGACCGGAATCGGCCCAGTCGTCGTTTGGTGAAACGAAGACATCTGATCACTCGGCGAAGTCTACTGGGCGCACCGCTCGGGCACCTCTTTCTTCACTTTCTTCTGCGCCTGTGCGACCTGGTGCTAAACCTCGCCGACCCGAATTGGCACGCCCCGCGACTGCCGATCCATATTCTTCTCGCAAAACCGCCGCCACAGAACGCGCTCACATTGACAGCTCGCCAAGACCTAAGAGGGTAGGAAACTTGGGGCAGGCGGCTAGCTCAACTAAGAGCAAGCCCAAGAAACTCGATATTCCCATGACGATGGCCGTCGACCCAGTTGCACCTAACGCGAGCAACGAAAATGGGACCCAGATGACTAGTAAGGTTAGAAAGCGTTCCAGCTTGTCTGAACAATTCGCTGCGATCAAGAGAGGTATTCGGGCCAGAACATCCCCCAAAACGACACCCAAAACAACTCCCGAAACATCGCCCGACACATCTCCCAAAATATCCCCCCAAACACCCCACAATGAACCAGATGATTGCGATATAAATGCCCTGGGCGAATTATCTATCAATAAACCAGATCTTCCCGATGAAATCGCCCTGGGCGAATCATCCAACAATGAACCAGATCGTCACCATGAATATGTACCGAGCGAAATATCTATCAATGAACTAGATCGTGGCGATGAAGATGCACCGAGCGTATCACCTATTAGTGGACCAGATCATCACCATGAAAATGCCCTGGGTGAATTATCTATTAATAGACTAGATCGTCGCGATGAAAATGCGCTGAGCAAATCACCTGTTAGTGAACCAGAACGTCGCGATGAAACTGCCTTGGGCGAATTATCTATCAATAAACTAGATCGTCGCGAAAATGTACCGAGCAAATCACCTGTTAGTGAACCAGAACGTCGCGACGAAAAAACGATTGACTCTGTTGAAACTACATCTCAACCCCACCGACGTGTCGAAGAATCCGAGCCTTTTTACGCGCGCTTAAAGGTCCGCAGTCGCCTGAGCAACAAACGAAGGAACATCAGTCCACATTCAGAACAACTAGAGAATGCAAAAGAGATGGTCCGGGTTGCGGGTCAACGAATCCGCTCCAGGTCATTCGACCTATTTGCATACCGAAAACTGCAGGACCTTATTCATTATCATGGAGAGAAACTCTTCACTCGGCCAGTGTTTGATGATTTGCTCGACGGACTGTTGGTGGAGCTGCGCAAAGAACCGAGCCCAGATAGAAAACACAATGGTGACTACGCAGACGTGAAGACCCAGGTCGTTGGGACACTTCGACTGTTGGAAAAGAGCTGCCCGAACTTCTTTGTGATTGATTATGACGCGATAGACGCCGTCTTTCACGCGAGAAGATACTTCGAAACCAACTCTTGGATTGTTCAAGAACTCCAGCAAACAGTGTTGGAGTGGTTCCGTCACTGCGAGCCATCAGGGCTCGAAGGCATGCTGGATACACTTGTCCAATATGTACAACGTGAGACGCGGGACGGGCCGGGATATCGGTCCATCCTTATGGCCCTCTCTCTACTCACTGACCTGATTGGGGATGCAAACAAGAGGGGGACTTGGTTCTCGCATCAGATCTTGGAGCAGGTTGGGACAATAGCAGCAAGGGACATCCTAGCCGAAGACACCGACATAAGAAAGAAGTCTATCGAACTCTGTGTCCAACTATATGCGATGTCTTCTAACCTGTATCAAGACAAGGGGGTATCTTTCTGGAGGCTGGTGAAAGCTCCCGAGGGGGGCACCCGGCAATTGATAATGTACTACATAGCCAGGCAGTAGGCTCTGTATTCCAATAGCTGTATTAATCAAATCAAAATAATTTCTTCACAGGAGCTACCTATATGCGATTACTTCGTTCTTGTTAGTGTCGTACATCTACTATGATATAATCAATAATCAGACAAGTACCCCGAAAGAGCCCTTGACTGGGAAATCCAAATATTCGACGGTGACGAGAGCAGCGACGTCCGACTGGAATGATAATCTAGGATAGCGGGCGAGTATTCACTAGTCAGCATGTCCTCGCTTATCACATTTGATACCATCGATGCCCTTGACAGTTCCTGAAGAACAGTCTCCTCACGATCCAACAGCATTGGCTGCGATGATCGATTACTCGGCTGGGTGTCTTCGAATGCAGGCACCTGATCAACGCCCGTCTTCTTCCCGTTGATTGTTATCTCCAGGCCATCAATAGTCCCGATTTCCGATAACGTTTCGTTCTTTCGGAATCCCCGACGAAAGAGCGGGCCCTCCCCGCGGGACACTTGGTTATCGGGTTTATCCAACCTCCTTCGATCCGCTTCTGTTAGTTTCCGTCTTTTGCCAAATTGTGCCAGCTCTTCCAGTGGCGGGAAGGTCATTTTTAATGGACGCGCAGCCGAGACAGCGGCCCAGTCTGTCTTTGCCAAAAGTTGACGTTTGATACGCTCTAGACGAGTGGATTCTTTCGAGGATTGATGGTTTGGTGATAAAGATGCTAAGGTCGTGGGGGACTAGATAGGAAGCATTATATTGGTTCAATGCTGTTACAAGTTTCGACAGATGTAACCTTACCTGCTTCTGATGACTGGTTTGGTTGTCCTTGTCGTTGGGTGTATGCTTATCAGAATCTGGAACCTTGGTTTGTGTAAACTTGTGAAATAGAGTCACTTGTTGTGAACCTTGGGTTGGTTTTCTAATGCCTTGTTTTTTGTGTTTGTGCTTGGGGGGGTTGGCGGTGGAGTGCCGGTGGAGACGACCTCCTGTCCAGTTCATGGTTTCCTGGTTTTGATTGGGGCATGGTATGATTGATGCTGTAGAGGGGGGGGTGTCTTTCTGTAAAGAGATGAATGTGTGGAAGTGGTGGAAGAAGTATAATAGTACATTCATTCTATCATGTGATTGCTGGAGAACATTGATTGGCCTATGGTTTGGTCACGAGGCCGACTACTCTGTGGTAGTCCTGGCGGTAGTAGTAATACTCTTTCTACAGCTATTTCGTGCTTGTGTTCTGCGAGACACTATCTACCACATTGCTATGATATGCATACTACAACTGAAAAAGCATCTCACGGACTTGCTTTCCATGGACTGATTGGGTTTTGTATTCGTGGTTAAGCAGATCTGCTCGTCAAGTATGTACTAATTAGTTATTTCTGTGTGATGTAGACATGCGATGAGTGAAAGCAGCTATGGGTGCCATCGATACTCATGATATAACCTAGATTAAGTGGATAGAGGACAAAAGCTGGGCACTTAGTGCATCCCTCCCATGGCTGTTTATATGGATATGTTTAAATACGTATAACATATACTACCCAACGCCGTCTACCTACTACGTGGTTCTGTTTGTATATCTGTAAGTTACTCCCCGGACAAATGCTCAAAATATGACCAGAAAGTGGAATGTTAACTGTTGGTCAGAATGTGTCCGGGTGGTAGTAACCATGCGCTTTATATCTATCAAGCATCAGGCGCATAAAAATAATCAAAGAGCCGACGTCGCTGAATCTACTGTAGCACTCGCTTCTTATGAGGATAAATATATTCGGTGGTTCTTATAGAAAGCGTTAGACTGAAAGATGAATCTATATGGTATACGTCTTCATGGCCTAATGGCAATTATTCCTTATATATGCATATATATATATATATATATATCATATTATGGACTGTGTGTCAACTTGATTTGGTATTACCGCTTTATCACTGAATACCCGGTCATTCAATTGAACGGAAGTGCATGATATTTTCTATCGCCCATAATGGACCGAGCTCAGGTGGCAATCAGTGGCGAGGGTAATACTCTCAGCTTGTTGCGCAGCGAAGCAAGCATTATAAAACGATACGAACGAGGGTCGTGATCCACTCAAAGAGAAATGTTCAAAAGCTCCTTCAATTTGGAGTATGGCAATACACAAGATGTGATTGATGACTGTCGATATACAGGAGACCTCTGTCCTATCCATGAGAACAACTGTGCTTGAGTTTGCATGGTTCATGGGGGCTTGTCTAGGGCTCAAGGATAACTCTTGTGAAAATTATTGAGTATTATGTGTCTTATAGATTAAATATATACTAAACAAAATAACTACCAGCGTGGATAGTGTAGCGGTTATCATCCTTGCCTTCCAAGCAAGGGACCCGGGTTCGACTCCCGGCCCACGCAGCTTTTTTGCTCATTGATTTTTCATGATTCCTTTCCTTTATTAACTTAACACCAAAACTTCTGGGGTTCACGAAGTATTGCGCTAAAACAACTCTGAATGTATAGCCAATGGATGCAGGATAATTGTATATCACTCTGCTATCTGGCAATAGCCCTAACAACGCTGTACTAGCTGCAACATTATCGACACTCCTTATCGCCTATTAAGAGAGAAGGCTCTCATTGTACCCGTCTGGAAACTTTCTAGACAATAGATACAGTCTCCAAGGGTTGATTTGTACTTATGGCACTGCATGGAACATGTCGGTATAATAAGTTCTAGACATCTTGTCTACTCCTTAGCTAGTAGTTGACAAACAGCGCATGATACACACAGCCAATGGCTTCGGTCCAACTAGCAACATTGTTAAAAGCAGGGCTGATACATTGTTGAGCTGTATACTGAACACACTACATATGCCGTTACTCCTAATCAAAAATATAGGAACTGATTAATATGGTGCTCCTTTCAGACGGCATCGTCCGACCGCCGCACCTGCGTTGTACGATAGTTGGTATCCACCTTGGTAGTAGATAGCAAGTGATGGATTGTCTATTGGATTCCAAGAGCCTACCTATCCTTTTTAACACAGCTTGACTCAACAGTAAAAAAGAAGGGCAAATAATAGATTAAAGGCAAAAAAGATGCGTGGGCCGGGAGTCGAACCCGGGTCCCTTGCTTGGAAGGCAAGGATGATAACCGCTACACTATCCACGCTACTTGTTGAAAAATATTATAATACTTTGCCTCACAACACCATAAATTAATATATACACTAGCTATACTTCCAACATTAACATAGTAGGATGTACGATATTTGGTGCTGTTTGAGTTCCTTTTGCATAAATTTCCCTTCTGAGCTTATTTTCCACTAATAATACAAGCTCTCCTCGCTGTGAGCACTTTTACACTTGTTTACGATACCTGAATATTCGATCGACAGTAATACTTAGGAACTCAAAAGATGCGCCGCCAGCAAGGAACCCGAGCTATCTGCTTACAAGAACGGCCCTTACTTTGCTGCATTGGATACCATTCACAGGGCTTCTGAAAAATAAGTAGGAGGTATTTAAGCACTGCATGCCTTCTGGTAGCTGTGGCTATATACATATCTCATGGGTAGTGTTTAAATAGCTACAGGAAGGGGTTTATGTTTGACGGTTGAGGCTCATAGACACACTATCATGCTGTAAATGATCAGAGACAAAAAGATCAAGATGTACTCCGTCAGATAGCATATCTGCGAGAGATACATGGAGCCCGCTTGGCCTGCAGTGGCCTAAAGACCTTAAATTTAGTTCGCCGTCGCCCGAGACCACGATGGGAGTAGTGTACAGCACCTAGCCATGGAAAGACGGTAGCGGCACGGCCCGGACGATGACCCGAATGGTCCCTAGCCAGCGGCCTGCCACGCGACTTCTTCCGAGTAGGGCTCGGGCTGCCATGTGGAGATGCAAACAGTGCAAAGCACCTACAGTCACATGACCGCTCGCTTGGACTATTTCACGCACGCTGAACCTCCCCTGTTCTTTTCCTTCCGACATATTTTCTTTCAACACCAACGCCAACACCAACACCAACACCAGGTCTTTACGCCGGGTCTGGATTGCGTCTGCCTTGATGTTGGCAGAGCTATGACACCCTGGCTGAGACAATGTGAGAGGTCCGGTTCAATAATTGATCATTATTCGGTCTCCTGAAAATTAAAAATTAATAAAAATAAAAATAGGTGAGCAATTATTTTTTTCTCCTTTTTTATTTCTCGAATTATTTGATACGACGGCGGAGGCTTGGAAACCTCGTTTCCCCCTTTTTCCTTTAATGATGATCACCATTTTTTATAAGCATAGTTCACCTGAGGTCTTCGGACCGTTGAACGACAACCTTATATCATCTTTCACCTTTGTCTGATATTGTCTCTGCCTGTCATTGCATTCTTACTTTCATTGTTATCCATCTAAGTTTGAACCTCATGACTGACTGGAAGTCTATAGAAGATAGTAGACGACCAATATGATACGTTCCATTTCGGGGACAAAAAATTAAAAAAGATTATCTCCATGACTAGGCTACATCCTAAAACGATCAAATAAATTTATTCATTTCTCATAAGGTTCCCGATGGCCCCGATTATTATCTTCTGGTAGACGCATTGCTGCCCAACGTGGGCTTGATGGGGCAGCCCATTGGCGAACCCACTGGTAGTCGAAGTGTAAAGAAGGTAATGGCTAGCAGTGACACATTGTATGTGTGCGAAATAAGCAAAGAAAGAGCAAACGATCATGGCAAGCCCCTTTTTCACTGTGTTGTCATGAAACAGGAACCCCTCTCCCTGTCATCCGACGTACTTTCGTTCTCATCCAGTCCGGAAGTGAAGCATATTGGCACAGACGCGCTGCAAGATGAAGTCGCAAAGTGTCAGACAGGGTGAATGGAGGGGTTTATTGGTATCGCAACCCCTCCTCTCCGCCGTGACATGCAGGTGAGCAACATCTCTTCCATGTTCCCCGATGAGATGGAGGGGTTTGACGTGGTAGGGCTCACAACCAAACGATGGGAGGCAGTCAAGTGCAACTTTCACGAGGAAGAAGTGGAGCCCCAATAGGGGAGTCGTAAAACAAGATGGGAAGGGAGTGGGGGAGGGGGATGATAGGCGTAGAAGACGCGAGATATGCCTGCAGGATTGGGTTCTGGCGAACGCCTTTTTTAGTCGCGGGAGGGAGATTCACCTCCAATGATGCAATGGACGGGATGAGGACCCCTTTTTAAGGCCAATAAACGAACGGGCCGAAGTGGGACCCGCTTCACCGCCAGATTGGGCAAGTACCGTTAATGGACCACGGGAAAGAGGATCCTTCGTCCCGCTGCCACGTCAAGCCTCCGTTATTGGCCGACTCAACACCGTCGCATGTTGCACCACCATCACCGCCATGTCGCGCAGCACCAAATCATCGCCCGCCATCCGCCCAGTGAGGCGCCGCTACTGCTGCAGAATGCGAGTCCGTCACGCCGCTCGGACGCTGCGAATCCACCCCACGCTTGCCATTTTCCTCCTTCCAAAGCATCTAAAAAGCCGTCGTTTCCCCCCCTCCTGATCCAATTCTTTCTCGATCTCTTCTAATCCTACTTCAGACATCAATCAGTTTCCCAAACAAAAGAAAACATTTCCAGGACAGAAACGAAAACAAGGATTCAGGAGAACCCTTAACCTTAACTTTGAATTTTTTTGTTGTTTTGACAAGAGATACCCCCCTAACGTCACTCCACTTTTCTACTTTCATACATACATACATACATACATCCGTCTCCCGTACATACAATACCTCCATTTACTCATCTCCCTCCACTATACTTTTTTCGTGCTTGATTTGTCACCAGTCAAATCAGCTGATCCCCTTTTCCATACTCCCACATCCCCATCCCACAACAACTTTACCGAAGGCTTCTTGTTGCTTTTCTTTTCTCTACTTCTCCAGTCCCACCCGTGGATCTTTAGTCTTCAGAAGAAGAAGCAGAACTTCCCTCTGGTCTACCATTCAACCCATTGGATCTCAGTCCATTCTCCAGGATAGGACTTTGCCTTGTTTGTGCTTTGTGTCTTCACTCCCAGGCTTTTTGGTCTGAGCAGTCATCGACAAATAACAGGTAGTCCCCTTGATTTTTCCTTTTGTGTTCTTGTTTTTACTTCTGCATTTCCGTTCTTTATCTCGCATCTCGACAAATCACCCTGGACAACCGACTGTGGACGACCCGTGCTATATCGTATTGCCGGATTTGCTGGATTCCTGATTTGCTTTATCTACATTGCCGTGCTGGACACTTGCCCCGTCTTCAATGACGGTAACTTGAATAATGATGACCATGGAAACCATTCTTGTCCCAGCGCCCGCTGTGAGACTGGATACATTGAGTGCTGTTTAATGTTGCACACTCAACTCCACTTGGATTCTTTTATACCGTTCCTGGACCCGTGGACTCTCTTTCTCCACCCGGAGAAGAGAATTTGGATTATATTGGCCTTGGATACCCTCCCTGGACTTGAATGAAACCACCTTGGACATGACCCATCGCCCTGAGGATTTTTTATAATGTACTACAGCTTTGACCTGCCCTGGATCGCACAATATCACAATGCCTTAATCACCCCACCCCCGGATGATTCAATGATGTTTGCTGGAATTGATAAACACCTGGAGAGATTGTCGGCACCAATGGAGACAGAACTTTCTCGCACCTGATAATGCCAAGCTTGACCTTTACTACACCTTCCTCTCGCAGGTCTTGTAGTCTTCCGGACTAATGCTCTATGGATTGTACTGGTCATCGAAATCTCTGAAGGATCACTACACGGCGTGTAGCTCGGACCTAGTATGCGTTATGGACCTCACCATGTCGGTGTGCTTTTATTGTCGCTTCTTGTCTGGCCATTGTGTGTATAGTTGCCTGGATTTTCACGTCACTTAGCCTGGACCTTAGTGATAGTATCAATGGATCATATGTTCTTTGGTTGGTACTTTCGATGATTCTCAGGCAATCGCTCAGTCAACTAACCGATTCTTCCTAGGACGTCACTCCCTCTTGGATCGCGGACATGTGCTTTTTCATTAATGTCAATGATTATATTTCATGAATGCAAAGGTTTATTTACTGACATACAGTTCTTTCCTATAGTGCTTGCTATTACTTTCCCAGCCAAGCTGGATCTCCAATATATCACAATGCCTTGCCACATCAAAAACGACCCAGAACAGGTTTCTTTGTCCCAGCCAGCGATGAAGAACATGGACCACATCTCTCAACCCAGGCATACCGAATTGATCCCAGGAATCTCAAACATGGCCTCCAGATCGATCCAGGATGATGACCTTTCAAGCCAGGACAATTTCTCTTTGTGCTCCAGTACACATCAAAGCCATGGAACTCCCCACGGACTGCCGTCATGGACTTTGGGCGATGTGGACTCACTAGACAATGGTGTCATCCCATCCACCAAGCCAGAATCTCCAGATGTACAGATGTTGTCTTTCAATTTGTCCCATCAATTGATGCCTTCCACCGTGGGCCCCGGTGATTTAATGTATCACACCGGATCTGAATACCCAGGCTTCCATGATAATGACATGGATCTCACACATTCTCAAGATTTCAGCCCATACTCCATGATGGACTTGACTGCTTATGATGATGTCTCCGGTCAAAGCGGGAACCAGTCCTGCCCTGATGATGCGCTATCTAGCCACAGCTCTCACACAGACGACAGCCACCTGGCTGCTAGCGATGCTTGGAATTCCATGGTGACAGACACCAGAAACTACCACGGATCACCACTTGAACAATTTTCTTCCAGCATGTTTCACCCCGTGCCCGTTTCACCCCCTTTGACGGAAGCGAGTAATGATGTCTCTGTTACTTCCTCATGCTCTCACCCCGGATACCCATCGTTCATGACCCACGAGGATGCCATGCTGAAGGACGTTACAACCACTCCGGTTGGAAGCCATGGTATCAACCTAGGAGACCCGTTGTTCCCCCTCACGCCGCCGCTCGCGGAACAGGACCCAAACAAGTAAGTTCCTCTTGACTCCCAATTACGTATTGATCATGTCTTGGAATGATCCTAATCTCCTTTTTTCCCTCGATAGAACCATCCGGGCTTCTAAGAATGCACGTAGACCAGCTCTCCACACCCCACCATCCCAGACCCAGGTGAAGCAGGACCCAGAGTTTTTCCCTCCCCTGTCAAAGGAGCCCGTCCGGCAAAGATCTACCAAGGAGTCCGCTGAGCTACGCAATCCCCGGGATCATCCATTCTATTCTTCGCCTACAAACAGTGATGGGAAGTATTACTGCCCTTTCGCCAACGGAGACAAGCCTTGCAACCACGCTCCCACTACCCAGAAGTGTGCTTATCAGTAAGTTTCGACACACCTCCATTACCGTTACGAGGAAATGTGGCTAATCGTGTACAGCAAATATCTGGATTCCCACTTGAAGCCATACCGTTGCAAGGTGCCTGCCTGCATGGATGCCCAGTTGCAATTTTCTTCCAATGCATGCCTCTTCCGCCACGAACGCGAAGCCCATGGATTCCATGGACATGGAGACAACCCTCACCTTTGCCTGTTTGAAGGATGCGACCGTTCAATTCCTGGATATGGATTTCCCCGTCGGTGGAACCTCTTTGACCACATGAGGCGCGTCCACGATTATGCTTCTTCTGACCGGCCCAGCTCCCCAGATGCTTCCCCAACTACCGGCCAGGCTGCTAAAAAGAAGGAAACCGTCGGACGTAAGCGTCGGGTGACTGGTGTTTCTGGAGCGCAGACCATGAAGCGCACTCGCTCCACCCAGTCCCAGACCAACCCGCTCAAAGCGGCCCAGCAGACCTCCGCCCATCACAACCAGAGACTCCAGAACGCGGAGAGGAACTACTATAACTGCCGCTCCCGACTGCTCCAGGAGCTGAGCAACATCACCCCCCAAAATTCATCGATGCACGAGAAGGTCAATGCCAGCCTCCAGGAATTGATCACTCTGGGATTGAACTACCGCCACATTGAAGCCGGCCAGGCTGCTCAGATTGCCAATGGTCTTGCTGCTTGAATGAAGCTTAAGAAGCAACAATCATGCCGACAGCTTGTTCCCTTTAGGTCACCAAGGATTGGATGATTTACCGTTTAAACATCTCATGATGTCCATCATGAGAGCCCCTTATGGATGTGTGAAAGAACTGCGGACCTGTCCGAGCTCACTTCTCCGGCCCTGTTAGATTTCCTATTTCTGTATAGAGGATCTCTTACATACCTTCCGGTTTGCCAGGAGCACACCTCCGCAGCGATGTGTCTCTGACCATCGTCCTCTCCAAGCTGCCACAGTTGACCTGGGCAGTTGATTGTCCTTTCTCATGGCGCTGCCACTTTGATTAGTAGCAGCCTAGAGATTGTCACTCTGGCGAGCTGGAGCAGGGATGCTGCAATCTGCCACAAATGCCCCCAGGCATGGCCTTTTAAACTAGTATTTCCATCGGAAATACTTGCTCTTCTCTTTTTGACATGGACGGCTTGCTGTTCCATGTAACATTCCTTCTCAGTTGGTGCTTTATTCTCAAAAAGTCAAAAATTTCTATTTGCAACACACAAAAACAAGTGAAAACACAGAAAATCAACATACATTGGTTGGGACAATGGAAGACAAAAAATAAAAAAAAGGTTCGGTGGGAATGGCTCGGTGCCTTAGGATACTTAGAATAGTTTGCATTACCCTTTCTTGTTTATATTTCTGTTTACTGTGCATTGGTTTTTGGTTTTCAACTGGATATAAAGAAAAACCCTGGATATTCTTTTTGATTCCCCTACTGATTTGTCGATGCTTTGCTTCGCCTATATTCCCCTTCTGTCTATATCAAACAAAATAGTTCAAATCAACATCAGACTACCTCATTATGATTTGCTCATCAAAAACAAAACCGCTTGATAGGAAAGCTTCCAGTCTACAAAACACAATAAGATTAGAGTTCAATAATCAGGTCAGATCATCATTCGTAAACCGTATCACAGCAATCAAACCCGATCTATACTCTATCCACGCTCATGAACACCGATACCCAAACTTTTTTCGCTTCATGAAAATCCCGTAAAGATAACCAATCAAGCAACCCCCTCTCCCGCAAAATCCGCATTCAAGAACCTCACAAATGCATCCCCAACCTGCTCCGCCCCCAGACTAGTTTTATCCCCCCCGGCCACTTTCGCCACATAAGCCCGATTCAACGTAATCCACTGCCTCCTCAACCTCTGCAACCTAGGCACCGCCAGAATCCCCCCGGCACCACCGAGCTCATCCGTCGTCGCCGTCATCGCCACATGCGCCGGTATGAACACCGCTGTCTCCACCTCCGGCACAACAATCCTAATCCCATTTGCATCATCCCCGGCCTTCGCCAACGCACCCTCCGCAGACGGATTCTCGACCACGAAACTCCGAATCGCAGATACCACCGCCGACGTCCGCTTCTCCATACTATAGAGAAGCCCCGAGTCGGTAGACGTCGGCTGCACGGTTGCAAGGTGGGGTTTGATCTTGGGGCGTTCGCGGCGGAAGGACCCCCCTCCTTTGGTTGTTGTTGAGGGCGCTATCGATGCGACGGAGGAGAGGTGTGTGTTTGTGAGTGCTGAGGTTAGGGTTGGGAGTTGGTCCGTAGTCTCGGTGGCAGCCGTTGAGGGGTGCTGGATGCCTGTTAGGGCGGTCCAGATGTCGGCGATTGGAGGTTTTTCGTCGCTCCAGGGAACCGTGAAAAGGGGTTTGTCCCATCTGCTGTGTGTGCTTGGTTCTTCGTACCGGAAGATGAGGTTCTGGAGGAGGGCGGGTGGGTAGGGCTGTTCTGGTTCTGTGGTTTTCTCGGTGGCTGTAGCTGGAGGTGTGGATTCGGATTCGGGTTTAGGTTCAGATTCCGATTGAGATTGGGATTGGCGATTAATCCGGGCCTCGTTGTTTGCGACACATTGGTCGATTGGTGTTCCGACGTGGACCTGTTGGTATCCTTGTTAGTATCTGCTCCTGGGCAGGAAATAAGGAAAGAATCAAGAAACATACAACACAACACGTCGTCCCCAACGCCTTCGCCTCACACCACAACTGATACCGATACCCCTTAATATAATTCATACCGTCAAGAATCACGAAACTATCCTTTCCCAGCATACGGCGCGCCCGCGTGTACGCCACACCGCGGGCTTCCTTCTCCGTGCGCGCATGATCATAGACTGTGCGCGGGCGATTTTCGTCATGTGTTGATACGACGTGGATTTTGTAGGGCGGTTTCTCGGCGTCGGCGAATACGGCTTCTTGGGTTTCTTGGAGGCCTGTTGCGAGTTGGTTCGCGCGGTGAGTTAGCCCCGAGCAGGGGTAACCGGTTAGGATTATGAGCTGTTGTTGGGCACGGATTTGTTAGTTTAGAGGGATTGGGGAAAAGGATATTGGGCTTGCTTACGGGCATTTTTGGGGAGTGAGTTGGTGGTTATTTTGAGGTGGTGGTGGTTTTGGAGGGGGATTTTTTTAGGGCGCTTTTTTGCGTTGCGGAGTGCGGGGCACATGTGACTTTTGTTATCGGGGAAGGCTGTTTATCGGGGATAAAAATTATACTATGTATATTAAGTACAGGCACGTGTAGAATTTAAATTTGGGTTAGAAGGTTGTTATGCTTTGGGTTGATTTATTTTCGGAGAATTATGTAGCTTATTTTTGATTTCATTGTGATGGGATCGTTTGCTGGGCATGTGTTGGTTGTTTTCTTAATACGTCGTATGCTTTTCTGCCGAGAATCTACTTGTATAAATGCGCTGCTCGATTGCTGTGTAAAGTGCTCGTCAAAGTAGTATACCTGAGAGTTAATCCCACTTGCGCAAAGGGTATGTTAGTCTGGCTCTTTCATTGAGGGTCAATTGTATAGGGTTTGAGCAGCTTGGTATAACGGCCGAGAGGAACGAAAGGAAGCGATAGGTTGTATCGCCAAGTGTCACTTGCGAGTTTGTCCGCTATGTGGCTGTTGGAGATACTAGAAATATCTAGTAAGATGGAAGCTGAGCGAGATGACTTACTGCAGATCATGAATGGATCTGGAGTAGCTAAAACGGAGAATTGGAAACGCAATTGAACGGACGACTAAGTAGATCAGGATTGTTCCTGAGCTAGACTAGTAACTGGCATGTAGTATGTAGTGGATATGCCTAGTACTATTGTGTGATTGGGCCACACAGTTTGCATTTCCATCCTTAATGTTCACTGTAGCTTTTTTTTTTTTTTTTTTTGATGAAGTAGTAGCCTCAGAGTTGGCCTATTCAATGCATTCGTGAGGTGTTGTTAATGTGCTGAGGAGTCATTACCATGTTATAGCCTCGGGTCATTCGTGGTCATAGCTGAGGTCTCAGGTAACTGTTGTACTAAGGACTTCTGTTCATGTATTAGCCAGACCGGTATGGACGACTCGGAGTGATCAGGATTTGCCTGCAGAGCATCGTAAGCTTCTCATCAGTGGCGCACGCAGACTCTCGGAGTTGACGCTCTATGCGTCAATACTTTCACATGGGTTTGTCCGAGTTCTAGAACCTCTCCAACCATAGGACGTTGCTTGGCAGGAGCTGGCGTACCATTGTATCGTAGCACGGTACAATGACTGCGTTTCATATTCAAAAATGTTGGTGGATGCATGACGATACTACTTTACTAAGTAAAGGAGTAGTGGTGATGATTGGTGGATGATGTTGCTCTCGTTTCGGTATTCATCCTCGATGGTAGACTCGTTCTCGGCTTTAGCACGGCAAAGTACCACCAACGAACACACCCATTGCCGTCCATTGACCGACTAGGTAGTATCGCAGCATCCAAAGAAAGAAACTCTCGATAACCTCCACCTTCGGCTCCTCCCCGGATCTCCTTTGCCGAGGACGGGCAAATCGGCCGATCACCAGATATCCCAGGCAGCAGCGTAAAATCACACATCGCCGGTGAAACAAGCTTCAGCCACAATTAAACTGACAAGATCCGTAGCAAATCAGATGGCACCGGTTGCTGCAAGCATACGACGCTTTATAGGGTGAAGTTCGCAAAGCCGCGTGGTTCCCGGAGTGACAGGTGAGGCTCCTTGACGCAGGAGCCAATCGGAAATGGCACGGTCAAAGTACTGTTGTCCATCATCGGACAAGCGATGATGCCCCATTCGCGCGCTGGTCCTGGCCAACTGTCATTGCTCCGTTGGACCAGGCTTCGGCAGATCAAGTGGGGACCGCTGAGTGGCTGATTGATGACGACCGGGCTTACGAGTTAGTGGGAACGTTCTGGAATACCCGTGTGTGGGTTATTGTGAAACTTGAGTATCTCCAACTCATTGTATTTTATCGTGTTTGTATTGTCTTGGGGAAGGTGTGGATTGGGTTGTTTGGGATTGTCTTGGTTCCATGGGTTGCATGGGAGGAAAGGTTTCATTGTATGTGGTTCCTTTCTTGGGGTGCTGTGTTTTCTTATGCATTGCAGTGGGTAGAACTGGATCCACCAGGTATTTATTGGTTTGTTGTATGGACTCATGGGGTTCTATTTAGAATGGCTGACGTGGGATGCTGCAGATGCACCGTCAGAACTGTAGAATGTAAAGGTAGGGAGGATTCTGTTTATAAGACAAAATAGTAAACATCTTCTATAATTAGAAGTCCTCGATGGTCTAACGGTCATGATTTCCGCTTGTCATCTCTTACGAGAACAAGCGCGGGAGACCTGGGTTCGACTCCCAGTCGGGGAGATTTCATTTTTATTTTCCGGACAGATGTTTTTTCATATAAACTTTTCCTTCTTGGGTTGTTATGGAGAGGCGGACAATTGAGAAAAGATTAACTTTGGTCCATGAGAACCACAACTGTCATCCATGGATCGTCTCTGTCAAGTGAGCACCATGGGTGAGACTGTTTTAGACTCATGTCACCCAATAGACAAATTCCCGTAACGATCATGCATGATTACGGCATTCTACATACGCAGACGAGCAAGCCATGGGGCCCTCCCAAGCGCCAAATGTGCCGTGATCGGCGAACTTAGGTTAGTCGACGCTTCAATTCTCCAATCAGCAATCACCAGGCCAACCAGCGCGAAAGGAGTGGTAGAGAATTCGCCATGACGGGCTGAACATCAGCCGCCAGGACCGATTGAATTTTCCCAAAACAGTGGGTGTCGACGAACCTTGTTGGCGGCGGACGCCGAAAACCTTCCTTTTCGCAGAATCCCTCCCATATTACAATTTCCGGACTAGGGAAAGAAGGGGTTTAGTGTCTACTTTTCGCAGTATAATTCGTGTCCTCGCAGCCAATCTCTGGACGGGTTGCGCACATGCCGGGGGGAGGCCAAGAAACGATCCACATCCCTTGTGGCTGTGGGGGTTGCGATGAAATCATGACGAGCAAGTTTCAGAGTGGCTGATTGAACGCTACTGCGTTAGGGGCACAGGTGGGTAGAGTCATTGGTTACAGAGAGATTATTTTTACCGACACTGACCCAGTCCAGGAATTTTCTAGTCGAAGCTCTCCGTACGGAGGATGTATCACGTTAGTCAGGGCTGGGACGGATGTATGCATAATTGTACCACCTTCGTTTGCAGAACTGCGGAACTCGATACAGAGTATATTCTAAGGTGGATGTTTATGCATAGAGGCCAGAAGAATGATGCCAGACACATCCCAAATGAGACAAAGAATTCCACCATTCCAGTCCGAATGGGGGGTGTGTGTGTGCCCCGTGCCTTTCGTCCTGCCAGCAAATTCGAATTGAAGGGTACAGGTGGTCCTGACTCGCATCCTTATTGCGCGAACTCCCGCGCTTCCGATGGAATGAGGCCCCCAGTGGATTGTGGTCCCATCTCCTGTTTAGCTACTCCATAGGTATTGTTCTTGATTATTTGGGGGTTTCCCCTTACCATTCGGTGTTCTCCTTCCTTCCCCGTCCATGAACAACAACTCCATAAGATAGATCATTTCTCTCACCTGCCACTACACTGTCCTACCATGTACCACCTTCTCGGAGACTTGGGTACCTCGTTCTCTATCCATGTTTCAACTGAAACCAGAACTTTTGCGATGGATTCAGTCACTATCAATCGGTTCCGTGGCGGACGGGCTGCCAGCCGCCACGTCGGCCAATGAACACCGGTCGGTTCCTCCAAGGCAACCGCCGACGTTACAGAGCGAGATCTCATAGATTAAAGCCGATAATTTTTTTCATTGTATGATCCAAGGGAAATGCGAAACAAGCCCCGGTGGTTAACCCCGCGGACCATGTCAGTCCGTAGTCACTGTCGATATAATGATGGTTTTGAGACAAGCAAATCATGCTAGAGAATCTAAAAGCATTCCTTTTTTTTTTTTTTTTTTTTTTTTTAGAAAATAAAGGAGTACCAGAAGAAAAAAAAAAGGGAACAGAAACAAGAAAATCAAAATACCAGAACGAGTGCATACACATTGAGAGACGTGGGGACCGTCCCGATACGGATCCGTACATACACCAGCCGTACTAAGATACCGATCCAGTATTGAGCCACTCACTAACAATGTGCTGAGTGAACAGTTCCACTTTCCCTCCTTTAGTCTTTTTTCCAATCGCTGCTATAATTATTTCTTAACCCCCCCAGCCCATCCCTACACCGGCATCAGACGAACTGTCTGACTCGGCTTGGGTTGGGCTGAGAATTTTTACTGGAATACTTCATACCATCATCCCTTCTCCTCCTGCTATTATTATCACTATCACTATCGCTATCGCTATCGTTATCAATCCTCCTCTGACTTTTTTTGTACATCACCACTCAATAGCCAAGAATTCCCTAATTCAGATAATCAATTGGAGCTCTTCGATCCCATCGACAAACTTTTAAAGAATGATGTTCACCTCCTCGTCCTCCTCGTCCTCTTCCGGTTCCAACAGTCCAATCTCTCAACATCCTCAGGCATATTTCCCATCTCTCCCTCGTCGGAGAGAGCCTGTAAAATGCCCTCGCTACTACTCGACTCCATTGCAATCTGATTCCCCCGAATCGACCCCCCCTCAAATGTACGGCCTGGAACAGCGGGAGCCATCGCTCTACGGGGATAGACCCTCCACGCTTCTGCGTCGATTCTCCCACGCCCTCGACGACATTAAAGAAGACTTCTCCCTCCAGCTGGACCCACGTAACACCACCGACAAGATCCGCAGCAAGCGTCGCCAGTCCACCCTGATGATGATGGACACCAGCGCCCCGGGTTCCCGCGCTGGCTCGCTCTCGGGATCGGAGAGTCCAGCTGAAGCCCCGCGTGCCCGACCCATGTCGATGATGTCGACCGACAACAGCTTCATGCCGCCGACGAGAAGATTGAGCCGGAGACTCACATTCTTCCGGAAGAACCGGCTTCGCGGCAGCCAGGCGGCGAGCATCTCGCAGCCGAATCTGATCGGATCGTCGACTCAGATTTAAACATTTTAAAACACAACATATCAACTCCCCCAACCGACTCGCAATCGATAATCACCAGTCTACACTCCTTTTGCATTCCACTGCACACACTGTTTTTTTTTTTTTTTTAATCGCATCTCGGGCTATATTACAAGCATTCAAAGCATCATTCCTTTCCATTGGGACTTCTTGCGACTGTTTGACTGCATTCTTCATCGGAGTTTCGGAAAGGCGGGCGGTACCATCCTACGATACTATTTTAATATCCGGCCAAAAGTCATTCCTTGGTAGCCTTTCCTTGTTGTTTTGTACCTATTACCTATATTCTTTCCTTAACCTTTGCATTAGCTCGGTGTTGGGTGTCTGTATATACTCCATGTCTTTTTTTTTTTTTTTTTCTTTTTGGTTATTGTTTTTATTTTCCGCTTTATCGTTTCCATCCTGCGTTGCCCTTGCATCATACATGCATATACAGGTGATATATACACACCTCGCCCAGAAGTATATAGAACCGACGTATATATCACATTTGACGAGAGAACCACCTTTGATCGCAACATTCCATCACGTAATAACCCTACATGGCAGCAGCAGTACACCAGGGGTGAACTCCTCAGGAGTCGAAACCTCCTATTTCAGAAATTAAAAGACTAGAAACTACAAATCATGAATCAGACTGAAATTACCTAAAAGGATGTCTCATATTTCCATCTCCTAAACGTCGCCCGGTAATAGTCTTAACCCACTATAACTCTAGCATGCCCCCCGAGCAACGAAATAAAATGAACACCCCCCATCTCGGAAATTAAAACCAGAAACAAAAAGGTAAAAAATCCATTTCCCAGCTCCATACCTTAATCCACTTTTTAATTTAACGGACCCTAATCCGCCCTCGTATGAACCAACAACCACCTTTTCGCCAACCTGAAGTAAACAAAGGGGGCGATAGCTGAGAGGTCCGAACTAGCTACAAGAACCCTTGGGGCCACTATTGGCGGTAGTCTACCTTAGTTGATATTCCCGGGGACCCGGTTAAGCGATTTTCACGCCTAGTAAGGCCCGATTTTCTCCTGCCTAGTAACTGTAAATCATTATTATTATTTTTTTCTTTCTGTCCTTGCCGAGTCGGGTTCGCTTTCGGGCGCCTTTTCGGGCTTAGAGGGGGCTTCTGCTTGTGCGAGGCTCTTGTCTTTGCCTATTGCCTATTGCCTATTTGCCTATTTGTATTGGAGGGTTTAATTAGTGTTTGGGGGTTGATTGTTGAGTATGGAGACACGTGGGAGGGTTCTTGGTTCTTGGTTCTTGGGTCTTTGGGGGTTTCTTTTTCTTTTTGCTTTTTTCTATTCATGCACGGGGGTTTTTTTGATGGCTGGCTGAGGCTTTGTTGGCCTTTGGGTCTGGTTCTTGGTTGACCTTTCGGTTGCACTTCGGTACATACTACTGCAAGAGTAGGTATGAACTGGAGTTCGTTGGGTGGATTTGGTCTGGTATTACTTTTGTTGTTGCCTTGTGGACTGTATGTATCTATTACAGTTACAAGAAACAAGGTACAGGTACAGGTACAGGTACAGATACAGATACAGATACATACTGAGTATCACATCATCTTATGTTAGATTTATCAGCAATAATCAATATGGTTTAATTTATGAAACAGACTTCGTGTTCTTGCCCGATATCATTAAAAGCCCTTTCCCCCAGTCAGCCAATTACAAAACAACTTGGTATAAAGAAAGTAAAGGGAAAAAAAAAAAAAACAAAGACAAACGCCAACCAGCCAGTTTCCATCCGCCCAAAAGTATAATCGCTCCAATCAGTAAGGAATAAGAGAGAAAAAAAAAAGAGGCTTTAAACAAAGAAAGAAACACCCATCTACACAAACAACCATGGGGATAAAATGAATTCCCCATACCAAAGTAATCGATTAATCAATGAAATCGGTTTGGTTGCAGTGGTAGGTGGGTAGGTACTAAAGTACTGTACCGGTCCAGATCTCCCATACTATGCATACCCGATCTAAACCAAGAGACGGGGGGATCCATCCTATAGACGTAGAGATGAGATGTTGTCCTCGATACCATCACCATCACCATCACCTAACCGTAGCCCGACCACGACCCCAGGTAGATGAACTTCGGCTATTTCCATATTCCACGTCATACAAGGCCCCGTATAAAACCCACACCTCCCGCAGTAGCGCATCGCGTCAGATCTATAGCGTTACCGCTTCCAAATCCCTCATCACAACCGACATCTGGGCGCGTTTGGCCGCCTCGGCGACAAGGCTGAAGTCCCGTAAGAATGGCGCCGTAGCGGTCGGGCCTCCCGACCCGGACACTTGGTGCGGATAGCTTTCCAGCGCGTTCTGCTGTTGGCCGTTGGTCTCCGACAATTGGGACAGTTGCTGTTGGGAATATTCGGTGGGCTGCGTGTGGGGATGGTGCGATGTTGATCGCTCGTGTATGCTGGTTGCGGAAGTTGGGATTGGTTGCTTGGACGCGAGGCTGAGCGGGTTGTGAGGCTGAGGTGAGGTGGTGAGGAGCGGTTGTTGCGTTGTGCTCATGTTGTTATTGGCGTGGGTGTTGCTGTTGCCTGCGATTTGTGCTCTAGAGTCCATTGTGGATATGATGTATGTGTGTATGGTGGCTAGTCGTTGCGTTGGGGGCGGTTAAGTTGGGATGGCTCGGTTGGTAAGTTCTATACGGGGATGTAGATATTTTTCTAAGAAGTATCGGTGAAGATATCGGAGTTTCCGCGCGGGATAAAAACCAGGTGAAGATTTTCCTGCTGTGGGCTGATCCGGTGGGGTAAGTCAGATTTGATCCAAGTGGGCGGGCTTGATAGATGGTGGTGATGGTATTGGTAGTTCGAGGGAGTAAATGGCGTGATGGAGAAAAGGAAATAAGTTGAAAAGGGAAAAGAGAAAGGGAAAATTTTTTTTTTTTAGATGAGGGTCTAAAAAAAAAAAAAAGTCGGCTTCAGTCTGTAACAACACGTGGGGCTCTTTTATCTTTATGTTTTTTTTTTCCACTGTTCTCCCTTCCTCCAGATTATGACGTTGCATGAACAGGATATTGATAAGATGATCTGGGAGTGGTGACGCCGATAGATAAAGTCTTTCGCAATGAGAACCAGATTAAGCAGCAGCCTTGCCTCTTACTTAAACCCGACGATCGGTACTTTTGAAAGGAGCAATCAAAATCAGGGGGACAAACAAAGATTAGGTCTGAGGAACTGATTGTCGATGATCGACAAACCTGGGCTTCATTCGTGATCGTCTGCCTTGATATGTACATCATCTTTGGTACCTCTGGGGGTAGGGTAGTAACTATAATATAGTAGGTAGTATTCTATAGGTAAAACGCATCACTATACTTCTCAACGTCCAATTGACGGATAATTTTAATTTGCGCATGCCGACAATTACCCGGTTCGTATCAGGCCCGTATCTCCGCCAACCCCATGCGGGGATTGGCTGTGGAATGTCTAAGAATGCAGGTACCGTATTGTATCGATTGATACTAGCCGGAGAAGCCTCGGCATCAGCCGCAACCCCCCCACGTGATCTCATGTGACTGCACAGGAATGGATCACCAGCACTAATCCTCTTCCGGCAATCCCCCACTCCTCCCCACTCTTGTGTGCGATAGAGAATTCAGCATATGATTGTCGATCGCAGAAGAAGAATTCTGGTTCGAATGACAATTCTGCACCACCTGATCCCCCCGTGAATAGGGGGCGACGACGATCCAAATGGCGGACGCAGATGACTTCGAAACGGGGGACCTCTTCAAGGAACCCGAGGGCTTCTACGAGCCTGAAAAGGAGCCCACCTTCGCCGAGCACCACATGCTCTCCGGCCAAACGGTGCGCGTGCGCTTAGTTGGAGACCATCCTCTTTATGTACGGCCGCCCCCAGTCTGTCTGTCACAGGCAACCCACTGACGCTTCGCAAGGGTAACCTCCTCTGGAACGCCGGCCGAACAACCTCCCATTACATCGAAGAACGTGCGCACGAGCTCATCGCCGGCAAAGATGTGCTCGAGATCGGCGCTGCTGCCGGCGTCCCTAGCATTACCGCCGCGGTCATGGGCGCCCGCACTTCCGTGATGACCGACTACCCGGATCCCGATCTCGTCGGTAACATGCGTTATAATGCGGAGATCTCCGCGCCGTTGATCCCCAAGAACTCATCCCTGCATGTCGATGGATACAAGTGGGGGGCTCCGGTGGAACCGTTGTTGGCGTACCTGCCGGATGGGTCGACGGGTTTCGATGTCTTGATCATGGCGGATGTGGTGTACAGCTGGCGGGAACATGGCAATTTGATCAAGACGATGCAAATGGCGCTGAAGAAGTCGCCCGATTCCGTCGCCTTGGTGATCTTCACCCCGTATCAACCGTGGCTTCTGCCCAGGACCGAGACGTTCTTTCCGTTGGCGGAGCAGAATGGGTTTCGTGTGACGAAGATCTTTGAGAAGCTTATGGATGCGGTCCTGTTTGAGAATGATCCTGGTGTAAGTGCATTTCTAGTGTGGGTTTGGTAGTAGCTTTTGCTGACGTTATTGCAGGATGAGAAGCTTAGGAGGACCGTTTTTGGATACGAGATTAGATGGGCCGACGATCAGCTCAAATAGACGATGCATAGACTATATACTATGGCGTTGGTTGGGGAAAATAGCATTGGAAGGTTTCATAATGCATGAAGCGACGAATCAGGAAAATGGTGCAGATGACCGACTTATTTGGAGTATAATAAGTCGTTGACGTACTAGCATAAAAGTCTTGATTATTTTATACCCTATACATATTCATATCATTTATAGACCCGGATTCCTCCCCTTCACGAGTGTTCGATGGGGTCAGACCTCTGCTTTATTATCTCTCTTAAAGGGTGCTGTGCAAACTTCTTTTGCTCTTGCAAGTTTGCTGATCCTGAAGAACTTTCGTGATGCCTTCAATCAATTTGAGGCTCTTGCACGTTCATGTTAGTCAGGCCCTTGAAATCCTCGGAGAACCTCAGATAGATTCCCTTTATGGTCCCTCTCAGGAGTCGGACAAGTGGGCCGAATCCACGGACCAAAAATCACCTCTGGCGCTTGAACCGAATCCTCGGACCCTCTCTGCTGCTAACGAGGTCGTCCTGGTGGAGTTCGGAGGGAATTTGCTGTCTACAAGTGTGCCTGAGATCCTGGAGGACCCCTGTCGTCTGAACATCGTCGCGGTGATCATGGTGGCAGAGTCAGCGACCGTGGCTATTGGAATGGAAACAAAGCTGTTCAGGATCTCTCCCAGTTATACAAGCATGCCCTACTACGTCGCGGGGCCAACAACAACTCTCAGAGCGAACAGGAGTGGTGTGAAGCGTGAGACGCGATGTGCAGGATGCTACGACCTCTGGAGCAAGAATAACTCTCGTGCATCCCAGAGTCAACGAGATGCGAGCAGTGCCTCTTCGCAGGAACTAACACGGAAGCTGCTGGAGCATTGTGGCCTGGGACCTGTTGAGTTGTTGCTCGGGATAATGGAGATGACTTTTCCGAGCGGATAAAAGCCGAAGATACAGTGACTGGGACATCCGTCACACAGCTCTGTTGGGCTACATGGACTCTGTGCATAGCGAAAACTTGACAGCTTCCTCAAAGGGTTCATGGTCATTGAATTCCACACAAATATTCCATGGTAGAGTACCCGAATTTTCGAAATTGAAGGCCACGGTCCCAAGACTTGTTCCCAAACGAGAACCCCGGCTGCCTCGTGGCCAGCAAGAAGGTCGACATAGCATTAGCTGCGGTAATCTTCACCCTCATTAAATGATTCGCATAAATGATGATATTTGCCCCGGCCTGACGCAACTCCTGGTCTGTAATAGAGCCGTAGGTGGTTGGTATCACAACCAGGGGGGAACTGATTGAGAAATGACAAGACCTTGAGCGAAGTTTCACTTTGCTGTAGATCATAATAGCATCCGCTCCGCGGCTCTTGTAGAGTTCCGCACGCGCCAGCGCATCTTTGAGGGCCAGTTGGACCGACGTTAATTCTTTGGCTTCGTTCTCCTCCGGCGTGCGGTTGGTGAAGCTCTCGACCCATGCAGTAATCATGATCTCACTGTCTCTAGTGGCGGCTCTGAATGCTTGAAGGATCCTGACAATCTCGTACATATTAGCCTGGCCCTGAGAGTGGGAGGTGCCAGCAAGAGAGTTGACCTTCTGACCCCGCGACGTCAAGCTCTTGTCTTCAATTATCACCATGGAGATGCCCAGGGACAGTAGACACGACTTCGATTGCGGAATCTCCTCGACATTGCTACCACTATCTGCGTCGAACGCAGCGCAGAGCGGACGGCACCCATCTTGCACAATATTGTTGTTCGAGTCTGACATGTGCATTGCACACTGAAGGGGGGAGATCAATTCTGTATCTGTGATCCCAAAATACGTGGTCTGGGTCAGGCCACTCAGCTAAAATCCCATCAAAAGATTCGCCATTTTCACTGAATGTCCCGCAGATTGTCTCCTTGGTGGCATGATCATGAGCCTCCAGTAGCTGAACTCGGCCCTGGTGCTCCTTCCATACGGACTTGATGGAAGGAGACATTGTATGAACTCGGGTGACGGTCAATGTGCCAAAGGCTCCAGTATCACGGAATCCGATATCTCTCTGCTGCCTTTTGAGTATCTCAAGCTCCCTCTCATAGATCCAGATAGGCGACTACGCTGCGTGCATATAAATCGAAGGATCCTATACTTGCAAGGAGACTTGCTGTATGTGGTCCGATCTCGACAAGGACATTTCATGCTTGAGGTCGAAGTGGGTCTCGTTTCTATTCCTGTTCGTTTTGGTCCTTGTGCTTTCCGATAACAGAATATAGAGCTAGTCTGGAACTCTGTCTAAATTGATGTTTATAAAGTGGGTATTGTTGGTTGCTCTGCCCTGCATTAGGACCAAGGGTAAGAGCATACATGTGACAGATGACAGATAGTGCTCCCAGGCCAACTTAATGTCCATCATCCGGCCCCATTCAGTACGCTGCAAGTCCATTAATTCTGTTTTGGGAAGGTATGATCCAGGTCCACTCATACACCATCAACCATAGGCCAAATATGCAAGGTGATATATGAAAATCTGTATGTTACTTGCCGCGGAACGGGCGGCATGGGCGGACCGGTGGCACAGTAGGTGATCTGCACTGCAAGCACATTTGTTCTGCTCCCAGGTGGTATCTAGGTCCACTTATACACCACCAACCATGCTTGTTTCCTAGCTCATTATCTACCCAGTAGGATAAAGGATATCAGGGAACTTTAGAAGCTAGGAAAGGAAGACTGCAGCTAAAATCTTACTTAGTACTCTCTTAGTAAATTGGTAGCCTTTGCTAGCTTATACTTATCTAGATATAGTTTAGTAGAGTTACAATCTCACTCTCAGGGTTTTCTGAGACAAAGAGATAAATCTACGGTAAAGTAATCTTAGTTAACTCCCTGTTCTCTAGTTTAATAGAGGATGAGGTATATATTATTATACAACTATATATATAATACTTGTATTTTATTTACAAAGCATTAAATCTTTACAGTCACAGTAAACCGATATCCAGACTCATATATCAAGTATTAGTTATGAAAATTTATTTATGATTTTTAAGCATGTGACCCAATGATAGCATACTATAGTACCATTGCGTATAAGAAGTTGAAAACATAGGAGTAAACTAGGGAGTTTGAAATGCCACACCACCCGAGTAGATCGCTTGTCAGATACCGCAGAGATATCGTCTACCAGGAAAATATCGGTCCTTGATCTGAAACTCGCACTGTATCCCTCAACGCGAGGACTGCTTCTTGGTCAGTTGCATGATGCATTATTCAACATTGGTTTTCTGTATATTTCCAACCATGGAGTCTCGGAAGAGACGGCAACTGGAATTCCGTTGACCTAATTCCAAACATTCTCGTTGTCAACTTAGGCTACGCCTTTAAAGGGGCCACCGAGGGTGCAGCCAGAGCCACAGTTCACCGAGTAAGGGCACCTTCACAGAAAGATCGATACTCGATTCCTTTTTTCATGGGGTTGCCGCTCGAACTTAAGCTCTCAGAGGTAAGGAGTCTTATCCCAGAGAGTGTGAGGGCGATGAGACGCAAAGGACTGGAGAATGGTGAATGGACCATAGGCCAGAAGATCGAAACATTTTTGGACCCGAGATGGGACAGTATCGGTGAATCCGTACTGAGAAGATCTATGAGAGGATACAAGGAAACAGCTTTAATATTCTATGGGTAGGAGGTGTACCAGTACTATACTCAGTGAACTCATGTGGGGAAGCTGGCTTATGCTTTCATTGCAATCCTGGATAGTGATAAATTGACGAACTCGATGCGATATTTAATATCCACTGAACCAGCGTTTATTCAATTTCGTACGTGAAACTCCTTCGTACTTTCTGTCCCAGCCGGAGACAGTCCTCTCTGCTCCTTCTACTGGCCACGGAAAAGTATGCTAGGTAGCTGAATACTTTGGCCTTGGGTCCGAGTAATATATCCCCCTTTTTCTTCATCGTCTTATAGTCTACAACGGCCAATCGTAAATCTTCATGCCGCTCCAACATCTCTTTACCGGCGTCAGGACTTTTCATCACACCACTTTTATCCTCCGGAATAATGATGACCTGAAGCCACCATTGTGGGCCATGACAGAAAGGTACGCTCAGCGCACGACATCGATCAAAGTCGCCGAGAGCGGCCAGTATATGATTGGCGTAGTAGTCCACACCGTAGGTCAACAGCGTAGCACTACTCACAAAATAACCACCCGGTCGAGCATTGATCTCATGCAGGTAGAATGAGGGTTCCTCATTACCTTGTAATCGATCGCTGGGATACAAGTCAACAATCCCATCACGTGTATCGTACGCTTTGGATGCATAGCGAATTCGCCCCTCGCAGTGAAAGACGCCGGTGCGGAAGCCTTGTCGCAAGAGGGTTTGATGAATCGAATCCTTGGTAACTTGAATTTCTTTTGGGGAAAGTCCTGTCGGGAGAACCATATCTGTCTCCATGAAGGAACCGTTCAATGCATTCCCGGCTTTTCCGCCAGCTTTTTCGCCAGCTTTGGGGAAGTCATCTGCAACCTCAAAGAAGATGATATCCCCTTCGATCAGAACAAAATTAGCATCAACTTCGGGCCCCTCGATATACGGCTCAATCATCACATCCGACCGCGGGTTTGGCCCTTCACTGTGTCGACTTGAAGCCCGCGCGACTGCTTGAATGAGTTCTTCTTCGGTCTGCACTTTCGAAACACACTCACTACCCCACCCCATACAGGGTTTTACGATTACGGGGTACTTAATGGGCGAATCTGTCTTGGACCGCAGCCGTGTGCGTAGCTCGTCGACATTGAAGATCTTGAATGCTCCGCCGTTATCGGGCTCCATCTCTCGCGTCTTGAACTTGTCTCCAGCAATGATGTATGACTCAGGTGGCGCAGACCGGAACCCCAATATTTGACAAGCTCGTGCAGCGCCGATTGCTCCAGCGTTGTTAACCGTCACAAGCGCGTGGATAGGTTTGTCGTAGCTACGCACCGCGGCCACGATGCGGTCTACGAACCCCTGGTCAGCGGTGATATCGGTAGGAATAAAGGCTTCTCGTAAAAAGTTCCAGCGGTCATCGTCCTTCTGAAACCAGTGGCCATCATGGTCCAGGATCACCACCTTGATGCCCAATGATCGAGCGGCTTCCCATATGCGCCTCCCGCTCTCCAGGTCCTCCTTGCCTTTAATCCATGCGATGCGTTTCTCTTCAATTGGCTCAGGTGAGATCCATGCGAATGATAACCTGTTCGCTAACTCGGCCTCCAGACTGGCTAGGCGCTGTTCACTCTGGACTTGAACGGCTCCAACAGCATGGGGTAGAAGATCGAGTAGGCTCAATGGAGATTTACTATCCAGGCGTCGGAAATCAGGAGCTTTAATCTCTTCTCTTGGCGTCAGAAAACTTTCGACACTCAGCGCATGCTCGTAACCTTCCAGACGCCGCTCAAGGAAGTCAGACCTGACCGTGAAGCCAGACTTTACGGGTAGAATGAACTTGATAGCAAGAACGGAAGATGCCGGCAGCGGCTGATGGAGAAGACGAATGAGAAAGTTGGACGCACGATCGTCCGATCTTAATTGCAGGGCATTAAGTGCGCTTGACGTAGGTAGCAGCGCGGTGTTATTACCAATCGACAAGAGATCTAGTGTCACATCTAGAGATCTATGTAGAGATTCTCCAGGCGCAACAATATTGAGTTGCCACAACCCGTCGACGTAGACTACCAACAGCGTCAGTGTTTAGTGTGAGGCAAAAGTGCAGCGAGGCTGAATACCATCTTTCCCTTCTACCTTGTATTGGAACTTACTCGCCTCCGCACCAGGCATAATGAATCATAGAGAGATGCTGATTAAAATTTGATGAAGATGGTCCGTGTGAGCAAGAGGGGTACGGTGCTCTTGTTCAGGCAACCCCGGGGGCAAGCGGCGGCACTTTAACTGTTTAACTGGTACTCCATAGAGTCTACTGGTCACATGTTGGACACTGTGCATAGATCAATTCCGTCTTTGTACACCAAAGTCCAATCTATCCGCTTAGCATGTACATATCGGTCAACTAAACTAGTTAGATCACACGCCTTCTCAATGATGTTTCGCAAATTTCATAGTTTGCTCATATTATTTTTCAATTTATGCACAGTGGTACTATACTATAACATTATTGGGCTATATACTGGAAGATTATAAATATATTTTGACAAAGTGTTTAGTGTATAAATCTGGATACCAGATTTACAGTATCTGTAGAGATTGTAAATTTCAAAAATAAGATATAAATATAGTATATATATTTAGTATCTAATAATATATATCTTATTTTCTACTGAGCGAGAGGACAGGGAGTCAACTTAAGTTAATAGTGGGGTTGCTTTTTACCCCATGTAGAGAGTGGCTTAGGGCTAGGTTGGGCTATACCTTCCTGGAACAGAACAAACAGGGTTGCAGTACACATTGCATACTTTTTAACATTCCCGCCAGTTCCGCGGCAAGTGACAATTACAAATTTCCATATATCACTTATATATTTGGCCTATGGTTGGTGGTGTAAGTGGACCTGGATTATGTCCTCCTAGAATGGAATGAATGGCTACCACCAATATAATCCATACGAAACAGTCATTTCGTATATCTTGATATGTCAATGAAACTGTTTGTCAACTATCGTCTAAAATTACATATAAGTAATAGTTAGTTATAGAATGGGCTTAATAATCAGATAATGAAAAATTAATCAGAAAAATTCAACATTGATTAAAAAACCAACAATTGCACTGTATATTTGCTTTTGGCAATATACATAACTTGATATAATTTGGATGTATACTCATTAATTTAAAAATTCATTGAAAAGCATATATTCTTTTACTAAATAAGTAATATAATTAACATGTGATTTTCGGTTATTCCATACAAACTCCAGGACACACAACCCCTAGCTATAAGCAGTAAGTTTATAAAAATACAGTGGAGGATGTTGGTAGCTTACAAAACTCATGCGGGTTACTAGCGTCAGATAGAAACAAAGAAGCAACCTACCTCACCGCATTAGATTTATCATATCTGGTGCGGAGTTGATCGGCGGTAAGCTTTATGGCTAACGATAGTGTAAGTTTGATGTTCCCACAGATCCGATTCGTTGTAAGCTCCCCTTCTCGCTCGTGTGATATATAGGTAATCATGGGAATGTCCATTGGTGGTAAAGGTCTTCCTGTCTTCACCATTATCTAATGTGATGGCGAGGATTGTTGAAGCCGGAAGCGGCCCTGCGGGCATTAATGACGAATCTCTCTCGCCTCGAGATGCTACAGACGAAGAGATTGGGTCTCTGAGGCATGTCGTTGACAAGCTACCCAGAAAGGTCTGGGTCTCCTTGCTGGTAAGTGGAGCAGAGCGCTTCACATACTACACAATCACAACTCCGTGGCGTAAGTGTACGGTGATGTGCCAGGGCATGATATGATGTACTGCTAAGACACAATGGCAGAGAACTACATACAGAATGCTCCGGGTGATGGTGCCGTGCCAGGTGCTCTGGGGCTTGGGCAGTCTCGGGCGACCATGATCTTCAACGCCTTCTACTTATTCTATTACTTGGTGCCTATACCCATCGCCCTTGTGTCGGATGCATGGCTAGGGCGATACGCGGTTCTCTGTATCAGCCTGAGGTGTGTGTTGGCGTGTCACGGCACCTGGAACTGGCCAGCTTGCTAACGCCATATAGCTTGTATTTCTGTGGCACGCTCGTACAGTTTATAACGTCTCTACCCTCACTTTTCCACTATGAGTCAGGCTTGGCGGGCCTTGTCCTCTCTATGATATTAATAGGTCTCGGTGTTGGAGGAACAAAAGCAGCAATCACGCCCTTCATCGGTAGTTTTTCCCTGTCAAGCACCCTATCTTTGAATAGATCTAATAAAGGCATTAGGAGACCAATACCCGGTCAAGCCTCCACAAGTCAAGACCCTGGCAACCGGAGAACGCGTGATCATAGATCGAACTTTGACCTTGCAGTATGTCTACAACGTCTACTACTGGTTAGCACCTCCAAGACTCAATGGGTGGCACGGACTAACCCATCGTAGGATCACTAATATCGCCGCACTCTCTATCCTGGCATCGACTTATCTCGAGAAGGAACGTGGTTTCTGGGCGGCCAATGTCCTTGCATTGTGTTCATCCTGGATTGGGGTTGCCTTGCTTGCTATCTTTGGCAAGGAACTCGGTGCGTCCCCACATACCAGGATGAGGGTGTGGCTGATTAGTTGTAGAACGGTATCCAGCTCAAGGTGGTGTTTTGTTAAAAGCTGGAAAGGTTCTGGCATATGCTATCCACGATAAATTCAAGATCGATGCCGCACGACCACGCTACCAATTGGAAAAGCACAATCGGGCAGTCCCATGGACAGATCGTTTCGTCACGGAGATTCAAAGTGGTCTTCGTGCATGTCAAGTTATGTGGGATTTCCCCCCTGGAATTCTCCCTTTGGGCAAATGGGACACGAGCGCTTACTGACCGTGTGACGGATAGGACCTGGTTCGTGTTGTTCCATCTTGGCATCAACCAGATGACCAACAACCTCGTTTCGCAAGCAGGTGAAATGCAACTCTCCGGCTTTCCCAACGACGGGATTCAGGTTCTAAACCCAATCGCCTGCGTTTTACTCGGCCCAGTCATCCAGAAACTACTCTACCCAACCCTTGCGAGATACCGGATCCCCTTTGGTCCCCTCATACGCATGATTATGGCCTTCTTTACAATGGCAGCGACGTTCGCCTACGCTGCTGGAGTGCAGAAGATGATTTACAATTCTGGTCCCTGCTACGAGGCTCCATTGGTTTGTCCGGCGGCGCAAAGAGTCGGACAGCCCGCCTTGCCCAATAATATCAAGGTCTGGGTGCAGACGCCTATATATGTGATCTTAGCCGTATCTGAAATATTCGGTTTCGTCACTCTCAGTGAGTATAGCTACAGCAAGGCACCTAAGGATATGCGCACTGTAGTCCAGTCAATGAGGCAGCTGAGTGCTGGCATTGGAAGCGCTGTCGGTATAGCTCTCGGTCCGGTTTCACGTGATCCAAAGGTATTGTGGATGGACGTTGGACTGGCAGTAAGCTTGGGGCTTTCAGGGCTACTGTTTTGGGCGGTTATGGGTCACCAGGAAAAAGATAATGACGATTTGGACACGATGTTACTGAACGATGACCGGAGTAGGGCGGCGCACACTGGGGTTGAGGACATTTCAGGAACTAAAAACTGAATCCCTTATCCGCTTGATATTCAGCTGTACATACATCCACGTTTAGTAAGCCAGATTGCAAAAGAGGCTACGATAGAGGTTGTGATGTGGGAGATGCGGGTGAGCAAAGATTGGTATTATAGAGAGTACTGGGAGTTGCCGGTGAGCCAGTCAGACTTGTGAAGCTCGAGACATTGACTGCGTCTGGTATTGCCCTCGACAAGAAGTCGCATAGGTTCCCATGGTACTATTTAGAACTACACTAAGATAGATCTATATATATATCTAATTAGATTAGTATATTTTTTAAAATTTATGTAACTTTAGCCTAACCCTAATATAGACTTGTCTTGCCCAGAGAGGCTGAACTTGCTGAGATAAGAGGGAGGAATTAATGGAGTTCGGAAACCCACAGTTTTTTGTTGTCGGAAGACCAAAGTACTTTTCGGGCATTGTACGATGCCGAGACACATGACCAAGGGAGTTTAGGAGAGTCATCTTATTCATAAAGTGTATGTGGTATATATAGGCGAGGACAACCTCCACTGTCTAGAAGACGTAATCTGCGACCGTGGATATGTCGGCGGCTACACATTTGGTTTTTCTTTTTTTTTTTTTGGGTTTGTTAGGCGGTACCAAATTGAAATCGTGCATTTACAGTCTGCATAACGAGGTAATTATGCCAGCCCTAGTCAGCGCTCAGAAATGCCAATAGCTACCTTGGCCTTTCAAAATGATTATTCCATAGTTCCGCCACCTACCCTGAACAGCAGGGCAGGACATGACTGGAGGGAAACCCAGTAAGCTTCCCAGAGAGGGCAACTCTCATGACATCATCTACTAAACGAGACCCCTTGACGGAGCCACCGAAAGCCTATGACCGGATTCATGGGACAGTTTAACTCACCTGCAGCTGGCATACCTGTTACCCAGCATTTTACCTTGGCCATAGTCCGGGTATACAAGGTAAACCAGAAAGCCTGTCCATGACGTAGAATTAAAGTAGCATAACCTTTCTTTTGAAAACCATATTTTATATAGACATATAGTCACACATAATCCCCCGATCCAGCCTTATATTTCACACTACCCAAACCAAGGCCCCAAATTCCACCTACCACCTCCATAACTCAAATATGATTGATTGAGTGATCGAGCATCACATTATCCATAGCCAGATAAATAAAAAATCAATTGAAAGATCCAAAATGATCCACCTCAAACTCACAATCCCCAAACCCATCAAGAAACCCGTCATCGAAACCCTAACAGCCCGACTAAAGTCCATCGACGAAGACTTTAACCTCACATCCATCGATCAGCGATTCGCGGAAGCGTTCTACGATTGTCCGGATTCGAGCGAATCAGAATTAGACGTTGTCCGCGCGGATATCCAACAATTGATGAAAGATCCGAACCCGCTGATTCGTGGATATACAATTGATCATCACTGGTAGTTTGGGGGGGTCTGAGTACGGAGTACGGAGTAATTGGACTGGGGTTTGAGGCTGGGGGTTTTTGGGGGCTATGTCGTCTTCATATGGGGTCTATGGTAATTTATATTTTCGGTTGTGGTGTTTATTTATTATTTTATTTTCATCTCAATGGCTATGGCAATGCAGTTTAGTCTATTATCTTTAATGGAATGGATGTGAGATGGCGGGGGTAGAGTTGAGTTGAGTTGAGTATCAAGCGAATATGACAGGTCAGGGTTAACTAGTTAAATAGCCCCAGATCTTTCAATGTCGGATATCCACCATGACCCTGGCTGGACCGGGACCCTTTCTGGACCCTTCGTAGCTAAGCGATTATGGCGTGCTGTCAGACTTGGTCTACCGGCGGATATACTCCGGAGGAACGAGTCTGCAACACTTATTGAGAGAACAATATAGTTTCCAGTATTTGTTATATCTATTTCCATATATATACTAACTATATTATACAGTACACAGAAGATCCATGATTCAACATCTTCTCCCCTCAAACGGTCAAACCCACCCATCCCCATCCCATATCGATTCCTATCAATCCCTAACCACCACTCATAACCAAGTAAATACGGCAGCCCCACTCAGGATCAGCCTCACGCAACATACAAACCCCGACCTTTTAACGAAAGAATGAGAAGATTGGGGGCCAAACAAGCCGCACGAGTCAGACTGAGCAAATCTAAATGGGGGGCTTAGAACTCTTGGCGTCGTCTAAACAGGCATTTCACTCGATGCTCAGATTCCTTCCTGTCCTCGTTTAGGGCAAATGGTTTGACGATGAGGACGCTAGTCGACTCCGCCGGCTCCTTATTTTCACCTTTGGACCAATGACGGTCGGCATGGAAGGGTTGCTTTGATAAGCTGCAGTATGGTGGTGATTGCGGGTGGGCGTGTGTTTGGGTTATTTTTGTGATGAGGGTTGCTTGAGATTGGTTTGGGATGGGGTTTTGATTTCTTCTTGGGAATCTTTCTTTTTGTCGTGTGGTTTTTTGGTGTTGTATATTACGCTTCTGGTGTTTACTTTACTTTACTTTACCTTAATACTACTCTATTATAATATCATTAGCAGCGACTACATTATTGATACTTATCCACTTAGCAACCAAACCCCCGCAAACCCTCAAAACCCGATATAGAACACAACCCAACACCCAAGAAAAGAAAGAAAAGAAAGAAAAGGAGAAGAAAAACGAAAAAGCGAGAGAGACAAAATGAAACTCCCAACAATATCATCATCAGCCCCCTTCCTCCTCTCTCTCTTGGCTCTCCTCCCAACAACCCACGCCGACAACAAAACATGCTACTTCCTCGACGGCAGCGTCGCAACCGCAGACGTGCCCTGCACCTCCGACGAAACCACAAACTGCTGCAACAAAGCCGATGTCTGCATGTCCAATGGTCTCTGCTATCTACAGGGTTCTCACGGCATGGTGCTTTCAAGGGGAAGTTGTACGGATAAATCTTGGGGTGCTAGGTGTTTTGCGCCTTGTTGTATGTTCTTTTTTTCTTTCTATCTTCTTTGTGGTATACCTTCTATACCTACCGTCTAGACTAGACTAGTCTATTCGGTCTAGGTTACCGGGGTTTATAAACCAAGAAACACCAACTAACTCCATTTTCACAGCAAGTTCAAACCGCAACAACGGCTTCCCCGTCATCAACGTCGGTTTCTCAGGCAAAGACTCCCAATACTGCTGTGGCTCTGTTACCGTGAAAGACGGCAAGACGACCTGTACATCAGAAGGGGATCCCTTCACGATTACCATGGGGACGGCGATACCCGGCGTGGCGGGGTTATCTGTGAACAACAACGACAACAACAATAACAACAATAACTCTGATTCGGGGTCGGGGTCGGGGTCGACGAACAACACTGACTCAACGTGCGACGACCAAAGGTTAAAGGAGAAGGCATTGGATAATCATGATATTGCCATTGGGGTCGGGGTGGGTGTGCCGTTGGGGCTTATTGCGGTGGCCTCGATTGTTTGGGCGTTGTATGAGCGGAGACAGAGACGGGGTGCCGGAGGGGGTGTGGTTGGGGAGAAGGCGGAGGGAGGAGGAGGAGGGTATGTGGGTTTATATGGGGATGGGAATATGGGTACGCCGAATATGGGAGGGAGTATGAATATGAATCATGGGGGGACACCACTGGTGGAGTTGAATACTACTACTGGTACTCAGAGACCGGTAGAGTTGGATTCTGGAAAAGTGCAGAGGTGATGATATACTAGGGTTCTAGATGGGTGGTTGTTGTTGTTATGTGTCATGTGTTTGTTATATTGATACCTGGTTGCTTATCTGTACTTTACCTTACTTATCTAATGTTGGGCTGCAATGGATGATGTCAGATGCATCGTGGTTTCTCTTGTCATACTCCGAGTCTTGTCCTGATGGATACTTGGAATGATTGGGCTTTATAGCTGTGGAGCATGGGTTACGAGTGGCTTGCTCGTATCTGTTAATACGAGATGCTGACTTGGTCTTGCGAACCTAATTATCGGATTAATAGTGATATTTATCGTGTTTCCATTGTTTGTTACTCATTATTATCTTTTCTATCTCGTATATCTGTCCGTGTCTACCAGTAGACTTTTCTCGGACCAACTATCGTAGCCAGTATCCACGTTTGATGTGCAAGTGCATCGCCTGTTCCTCTCGGACAGATGGCTCCTTATGGTTCGCCCTACGCGGACCGGCAAGGTTGAAGATGGGAGGCTGCGGTTGCTCAGTGCCCGTCGTCGTGTTGGTCGTGTGGGTTTCAGGCGTGCCAGACATGTCCATGCGCTGCAGACCGGGCAGTCGCAGCGCCGGGTCGAAATTGATGAGAATGATCGCCTGAAGATCGGAGCTCAGGCCCTCCTGGTTCACCGTGTAGATGATGGTCCGTTCGTCCGCCATGGCCTCAACCTTGCCGGTTCGCTTGGATGGGCAGAGAAGTTGGGTCAACGCGGGCGGCGCGTGGTCAGGCGGCCATAGGCGGACTCCACGGGACGCGAAGCGCTCTTCACTGCCATCTGCGGGTTGTCCATCCTCTTCCTGTTCTTCTTCCGTGATCTCCGGACAATAGAGCAGGTTTGGGGTTCCTTCTTCGCCCGTCTCGTCGATTGGGCACTTGCGCTTGCGCGATACCATGCGCAGCCGCAACCGGTCGTGCGGGATCAGACTCCCAGGGGTTGGACATGGGTCGTTGACGAGATCGACGAAGGTCGAGGCGGAGAGGTTGTACGTGCGTAGCTTGGTGCGGTTCAAGATGAAGTCCTGTCGGTGCACGGGGTCGTCGTGGCCCAGGGTGTATTCGGGGTGGTAGTGTCGGCGGAGACGTTTCCGGGGGCGTTCGTAGTTCGGTTTGCTGGACGGGTCCAGGGTTTTGGTCAACGGTTCGTCGGGTAGAGAGACGGGACGGAAGGCTTCGCCCTGGTGCTTACTATGCTGCGTTATCTCCGTGGGCGATGGGAGCGGCTGCACGTAGTATGTGCGGAAATTCTCACTGCCGCCCTTGTGCCACTCGCGGCGACATTCCAGGATGATCAGCTGTTTGGTGGCCTCATCGTGTCGCAGGGAGATATCTGACCACGAGTCGTTTATGGGGCCCTCCCGATGCTGTCGGCGCCAGGTCCGGTTGAGTGTCACGCGCTTCGTATTGTTGGTGGGGGCCACGCAGACCCAAACGTAGAACGAGGTCCAGTCGACCTCTTCCATCTCGAAGGCTGTTTGCGTGGACACGGCGTATAGATGGTCCTGGTGGACGTCAAAACACACCGTTTGTCCGATTTCGTTGCCGGCGAAATCGTGCAGCTGGACCGGTTTCTCGTTCGTTTGTTTGCCCGTCGCCAACTCGAAACAATTGACGATCCATTGCTTATACCCATGATAACCCGCACCGGAGTGGGTCCCGTAGTAGAGGTAAGATTGGTTGTGTCGCACGAATAATCGCTGTTTGCTCTCGAGTTGTCGGCGCAGGCGCAATCGCCCCTTTCCACCTTCCGTCTTTCGCCGCATATCCACCGCCAGGAGCCAGGTTTCCCGGCGGTCTACAATCTCCACGGAAAATGCCAGCACGCCATGGCTGTAGTTCATCAGGGAGAGTTGGGTTGCGTCTTCGGTCGGGTCGCAATCCGGGATGACGCGGGACAGGACCGCGTGCAGGTTCAGGACATGCTCAACTTGGCTGGCCCCATGGACATCCAACGCACGAATTTCGTCGTTGAACACATAGCACAGCGCACCGCCGCTGTAGAGAAAGGCACTCCCGTAGCCGATAATTGAGGCCGAGTACGGATCGGCGGTGGCCACAGCTTCCTTGATGTCATATAGACGTCCCAGTGCTTTACGGTATCCCGCCTTGTGCTCAGTTGCCTGTTGCCCTTCCTTGGTATGCAGTAGGTGGTTCTGTCGCACTGTCAGTGTTCCACGTTCTACATAGACGGTATAGAAGGTATTACCTCGACGGTCTTCCGTGCCAATGACTCGTTTCGCATCAAGGCATTCAGGCTTCGATTCACCCGGCTGAGATGCACGAAATCATGACAGTCCAGGGTGGATGCCACTTGGTAGAAAACATCGTACGGGATACAATCCAGATTTCTGGTCATCTCTGCCATGACCGAAGGGAACACACACGATGGGTGTGAAAAGCATCTGAAGGAAGTCGATTGCACTGAAGAGGGAATGTAGTTAATAAAATAATATATGCGGGTTTCAAGGGAATGTTTCTTCAGGGAAAACCGCCTGTGAATACCACGAGTGCAACGCAAGTCAATGGTTGCTACAAAGGCAGTCAACCACCCATGGAGACGGAATTGGCCAGCTGCGCAGCAGCATGTTTTAGTAGTTCAGGAATGCGGCTCTCACACAAGCATGAGGATCATTTCGAAGCGAGATCGAAGACCCGATGGAATCGTGGAGCCTCTTGGACCCCCAGTACCGCGATTGGTGCAAGGAGCGCTTATTAGGATTTGACCCAAGTGGATATCAAAATTAAAGCCACGCCACATGCATCGAATGAAGGTCCGCGCGTCAAGGTCGGATGATGAAAGCCTACGATCGTCCCTTTCATTTACTTTGGAGCGGTGGGGGTCGTTCTTCCCGTGTCTATTCGATTAAATTTTAATGTCCAAGAGCCTCATCTTGGACCTTCGTCACTTGGTTTCCCTTTCCTTGTTCCCTCGTTCGTGATCCATGGGGGATGATAACGGGGTGAGATTGGTGGATCTGATTTCCATGTTGTCTGTCTTGCTGTCTTTCTTTCTTTCATTCATATTCTTTTTATTTTCTCTTTATTATGTCTTTTCTCTCTTTCAACCGAGTTACGTTACTTACTAAAGCTAAAAATAAATTAATTGGGAAACGAACTGCGGGATGGCTCCGAATGATACCAACCTTTGGCGTTGGTTGGGGCTTCACCGACTTTGGCCCTTTTTTTGCGGCTCTTTTTGGTTCACACTCTCAGCGTGGCGGAAAACAAAAAGCGACCCAGCGCTATTTTTCTTACGCCGGTCGCTTCCTGCCGACTTGAACTTTACCCCATCCTGTCGGACCCCGAATTGCCTCTTCGCGCTTCGGAGAAACAAACTGAGCCCTCTAGTGTCTCAGCGTTACACTATCGAAATTGAAATCACACCCAAGGACTACCACTAGTCTGTCAAAAGTGATGCGGCTGCATGATTCTGTACCACCAGCTGGTCCTTTCCACCGAGAAACACTTGTCTTTTGCCACGCCGGGTAAAAATATCGACCATGGATAATGGATTGGTGAACACCGAGTTTCTTGAGTATTCTCATTCTTGCCCAATTTATTGATACACTAAACTGGGAATACAAAAATAGATGCAGAAAAAAAAAAAAAAAAAAAAAAAAAAAAAAAAAAAAAAAAAAAAAAAAAAAAAAAAAAAAAAAGAAATATCGAGGAAAGGAAAAACATAATCCAAGAGGCCGATACTCGGGCCATGATTGCCATATCATCAATCAATTCGTGGCGGTGCCCGTAAGCTGCCAAATTACTCATGCCGTCACATCCGTCAACCAACTGGTCAGGGCGTGCCCTCAGATCAACATCTTAAAATCATTTCCCCCCCGTGGAACATGTCTACGGAACATACTCAATTGAGTAAAGTAGAGCGCCACTAAACCTGACATGAGACTCGAAATATGGTTGCCTTTCAAATTCAACAATGGCGATGGCAAACGAATAATTGCGCATCAACTGCGCCTTGCACTGCCTCATTCCGGACGAGGATCCATCAGGTACCCCCCCGGAAGAGGCTGGTCATCCAGATCGCCGCACTGAGGCCCAAGTTGGCACACGATCGCCTGTCAAACCCAGGGTAAGGTGTCCATGCTTTGGGGGCTCCCGTGCGATGGGGAGTAGGTCCAACAATGACTGGTCGTCTCGTTTCATACCGGATAGCCAGCCTCGTCGATGAGCTCCCCATGCAAGGTTGTTCGGGTCATCTTTGTTCATAGTGACGCACCTGCCAATCAGGAAAGACCCGTGCGAGATAAGACATAAGCATGGAGACTCGGGCTCTGCGGGGTATCGCAACAGGTCCAAACCTAGTCCCTCGTCACGTTGTACGCTGTACATCACTCCACGAGATGTGACGACGATCTTCCGAAGGGGTGAGCACCCAGATTGGTCGACGCGTCTGGAACGTGGTCGATGGATTCGTCTGGGTCCTGTGTCCATGCGCCGCTCAAGGCGGAGGAAGCAAGGATCCCTGTTTGGTCACATTCCTGCTGCCCGGTTGCTTTTTGTTTGCTCGTATCCTTGTAGACCCCGATAGAAGAGGGGCTGGTGTTGATAATGTGGAGCACAAGCACAGACCATTGAGTTTTCCTCTGGTGCCTTGATCATGAGCTCTCCTCGGGGTGTAAATTGCTGAGGGGTCAGGCCTCGTGAGGAGAACCCACTGAGGCTCAACAAGGACCTGTTGGGAATATATCTAGACGCTCGTGTCCTCCGTTCTGGAACACTTTGTGCTCAAGTTGAGGGTCGATTCTTGACCCCTTTTATCGTATGAAGCTCTACGCATACGTCATGCCATGTGTATAAACATGTGGCGCGAGTCATATGTCACTCTCTACCACTATGGCTGGCTTAGTGTCATTGAGGCTCTTTACCATCATGATGCCTTAACAGCGGGTAGGACTAATGATTACCCTGGGAACATACTTGGGAGTAAATGGGGCTACATTATCTAAACCTGGTTTGTGTCGCATTTAATTCTGCACAAAGCTATACTTTGCTACCGCAAGTTGCCAGCCCCCCAGTCAATCCATCATTTATCATGTTGCAAAGTTGCCGACTGGTTGCGGTGCTTACTCCCAACATGGTACGCGGTGAGACGTAGCATACCAACTAACATGTTCCATGGTGGTCATGTGAGCATGACCCCGTGACGGGCAACAAAGACTTGGCTGTCAAGCAGCAGCATCTGGCCCCTTGGTGACGGTCGTAAGATACTCGTACTATAATGTCCCCAAGAAAATGAGATACGGTGGTGCCATCCTCGTGACCTGCACTGAATCAACTAATAGGCATGACTCTGGGCCAAGCCTGGATGATCGGCCAGCCGGCAACCGACGATTCCATCATTGGACTTCCATCATCGTCATTTATGCTCAGCCTTCATGTGCCCGGCTGCAGGCCAAGACCGAGACAGTTATGCTGGTGCCTAGCGAACATTCCGGAACATTGCCCCCTCGGGACAAGCGCCGAACTCGTCAAGGTTCCTGGGGAATGGATTGGCTGGGGGAGCATCCACTGTGGCACGTACCATGGAACCAGGGCTGTAGGGCTGTCCCATCCAAATGAACTTGGAAGGGAGAGTACGTATCATGTGTTGAGAAGCAGGATGCCAAACGGTCTGCAAGACGGGTCGAGGGGCAAATTCTATTTGCCGAGATTACCGGAACCCACCTTCAGGAGTCTGCGGTAAGGCTGACAGCCTACCAATGGATGTCGTGCTTGATGATAATGGCGTTCCGTCGTCATGGATTACTCATGCCGATCGAGGGGGAGACCTTTTTTTGGGGTGGTCCATTTCAAGTGCGATTGTTGTGGGATAGGATTGTAGATATCACCCAAAAAAATGTGTCGACGAACAAGACCGGTGCAATTGACTTGCATCGGTTGTCCGTAAGTCCCCTCACACCGACCTCATTCGCAACAAAGAAGGCAATCAAAAAGACCCATCTTCTCTCTCTCTCACTTGACCGCTGTTGCCCTATCCGCCTCGTGTCAGACCCACATTGGACAATTGGGCCAATCGCCCGACGGAACGGACCCCACCGAGGAATGCGGACTATCAGCCAGCCTGCCTCAGGTTCCCCGTTCTTGTTAAATCTCGCGTTCTGGTCTTTTCTTCTTCCTTTTCTCCCACTTCTTATTCCCTGATCACTTTATTGTTCTCTTCCTGTTCCTCCTCCCCCCCATCCTGTCCCCAGTGGGAAGATAAGCTTACATTTCTTCACGATCTTGTGGGTTGAGGGGTTCGTGTTTAATCCAACCCCCCCGAGACGGTGCACTGACTTTCTCCACACGAGTGACTGTTTCTTGGCGAGGGGAAATTGATCACTCCTTCACTTTCATTCTCTCTCACACTCACACACTCACACTCTCTCTTTCTATCCCTTCAACGTCACGAGTAACACTTCAATTTCATCCTAATTGATGTACTACCCAAACTATAATTACCCTCCCCCGCAATCGGGTTGGGGGGGTGGTTACTACCCGCCGCCGCAGCAGCATCACCAGCAGTGGTCAGCACCTCCACCGCCGCCGCAACAGCAGCCTTACTAGTAAGTTGCCGCTTTTGTCCACTCACCGTCCTGTCATTAGGGCTAACCGGTCCAAGTTCCAACGGATACCCTCCTCCATCCCAATCACCCCATTCGTATTCTCCACCACAATATCCGCCCCCCGGTCATTATGGCCATCACACTCCGACTCCGCCCCCATCCTCGGGGTCACAGTACCGCTCTTATCACAGTAAGCGCAACCATGCCAATCTTGCTACAGACAGGAACGACTAACCCATCCTAGGTCACTCGCCGTCATGGGGCCAAACGCCCCCACGCCCTCCCATGGAGGCACAGAAGTTCGGCAACGGAGCTCCCTCCAACTATCGCTTCCAGTACTCTGCGTGTACGGGCCGACGGAAGGCCCTATTGATTGGAATTAACTATGCCGGGCAACCGAACGCCCTCCGCGGCTGTATCAATGATGTGACCAATATGTCGACCTTCCTCCATGATAGATATGGCTACCGGAGAGAAGACATGGTCATCCTGACCGACGACCAACAGAACCCCATGAGTGTCCCGACGAAAGCTAATATTCTACGAGCGATGCAATGGTTGGTCAAGGATGCGCAGCCGAACGATTCGCTTTTCATTCATTTCTCAGGTAGAGATCTTCGCCTCAACTCATCCGGAATTTATTGGCTGATTGGTCTAGGACATGGCGGTCGAACACCGGATCTGGATGGAGACGAGGAGGATGGTAAGTATCTGGCCCTTCACCCATGATGTGTATTCATGACTAATGCTGACGGACACAAGGATACGATGACGTTATCTACCCGTTGGACTACCGTACGGCAGGACACATCGTAGACGATGACATGCACGCTATTATGTACGTGTGCTCTCTGCTTACTGCTCGTCTCAATACTGACAATGCTTCAAGGGTACGCCCGCTGCAACCGGGTGTTCGTCTGACTGCTATTTTCGACTCGTGCCACTCGGGGACGGCCCTGGACCTTCCTTACGTATACTCCACACAGGTAAGCTTTTCTCACGTTTAACGTACCTTCCAGTGGCTCATCTCAGCTAGGGTATTCTGAAAGAACCCAATCTCGCCAAAGAGGCGGCTCAGGACCTCTTTAGCGCCATAACGTCATATGGGCAAGGCGACTTCGCTAGTGTGGCCCAGACGGCGATTGGCTTCCTCAAGAAAGCCGCCTTGGGCGACTCTGCGCGCGAACGAACCGTTAGAACCAAGACATCCCCTGCGGACGTCGTCATGTTTTCAGGCTCCAAGGATACCCAAACTTCGTAAGTGTCCTACCAGGTGACATCGTCGTTCCCAGCTAACAGGGTGATAGAGCGGATACCTTCCAGGATGGAGAGGCTCGAGGTGCATTGAGTTGGGCTTTTATCAAGACCTTACAACAGCGTCCAAACCAGAGCTATTTACAACTACTAAACTCGATTCGGTCCGAATTAGATGGCAAATACAGCCAGAAGCCGCAGCTGAGCTGCAGCCACCCTCTAGGTGAGTCTCCTGATCTATCTTGTCGACTTCTTTTGTTCTCGACTAACAGCGCTAGATACCAATTTGCTTTTTGTGATGTGATGTGATATGTATCGTATGAGACATGATGTATGCGTAGTGTTCTTTTTTCTTTTCTTTTCTTTCTGGTTTACAAGATTTCATGATGTTCCATAGCACTTGCATGGGCCTTCGAGCAAAGCCCAGGCCATATTTCCTTTCGGTTTCATTTCTATGCATTGTTTAGCTAGACAGCAGTGCTGTTGATAGTTATACTCCCTGACCAACAGCACGCTTAAGGTACAACGATTCTGGTCTTGGCCATACGGTGTCCTAAGGTTTTCTTTCCATCTCTTGCTACTGTCACGGATATAAGCTTTAAGTGCACATCCGACATGCATGTCGATAATAAGTCCTGGTACTTGAAAGACCCCAACTCTGCAACGCTGTTGGCCGATGTAACAATTCAATCAAAGATCACAGCCTTCGATACTTTGGTTTGCACCGAGCCTGTCGTAGCTACCTTAGATAATCCCGACTATGGGGGAATGCTCTTCCACAAAAGAAAAAAGAATGATACCTGGGCCATGTACGGGGCCGTCCAAGCCCTACATAATGGATAAGGTAAAAAGACCTAATGTCTTTGAGATATATTGCAGTATCAGCTGCCTGGTACCCCCTGGGAGTTTTAAATATCCCTAGAAGGATTCTCTGTACATATTGGCGAATACATCTCCAGAGTCTAATCGAAAATTGAATAGACTTTGCCTGCCCAGTGATCTCTACCAGGCTGTCTGCCCTTTATTTTAATGGTGTCGATCCACTAACAGAATAGAAGCTACCCCAAAATTCTAAACGTTAACTATATAATAAGTTAAGCAATAGGGTACCTGGCACCTCCTTCAGGGAGTTTGACTAAGCCCCTAAGTATCTCCTCATCTTAACTATGTATAATGGCGCATGCCACATCCACAGGATATAGTAGCTATCGTGAGCGTAAGGTATGCTAAGTCTCGGTTCTATATATTGAAAGTCACGAGGATGTATAGGTGACGCTGTAAATTTCATGTACATGTATTATGCCTGATTTAGAATATCAGTTAGACATTCATATTTCTCGCTGTTCTTGTGACATGAGGATATATTCGCTATACATGGTTTCTGTTTCTCATCAGTAACAGTAACAGTAGACTCCGACTATAGAAGGAGTGGATAAAGTAGCTAGTATAAAATCACATCCATTAAACGAATTCCCCAAAACTAAGAAAAGAAAATAAGACAGAAAATTAACCATAATATAGCATTAGTAAGACTGACTATGCTCACCCAAGACCAATTGCGGCTGTCTCGCCGCTGTTGAAGCAACCCTTCAAGGTCCTATAGGAACCTGAATATTAGTTTATCGTCATCCGAAAAAGTAGTAAATATATTTTGATTTATATACCGGCTAGGACCGCTATAGTATTCGTCATTATGTCATTCCCACTCGGCCAAAATAACCATATAGTACAATGTCGCGCCTTGAACAACTTCATCCCCAACAGTATGGAACAGTACGATGTGTTCACTTCCACCCAGAGATATGATGACAGCGAGGAGCTGTGAAGAAAAGTATTGGGGTTTTACATGTGCCCCTGGCGCAGAAGAGGGAAAAAAAAAACAAAAAGGAAAAGAAAAGAAAAGCCGAGATTGACACCATCTATCTACAGCACAGCCTCGCAATAGAGACCACGACGTAGCTATCGGCGTTTCTTTGATGTTAAATCATAGCTGAAAGAGGGCCCGAGCGCTGAAAAATCATTGGATCGAGTCGAGGCTCAGCTCATGCATTCTCTATTCAAAAGTGGGGACAGTCGAATGGCAGTGTATAATGTTCGCGTTAAGTGTCATGCATGCATATCGAAACACGTCACGTTACGAAAAACCCATCTTACCTCCGACTGTTTGTATTCTCTTCTCACTGACTGAGTTACAGTCAATCCGTCTCGTCCATCGGACGAAAAGAGTGAAAATGTTCCAGAAACTGGTTGATTGCCTTGACTGTGGCAAGGATCACAGCGATAGTGGTGATGATAATGGGGCCCCTTCCCGGCCCGTCAACCTGAATAGAGAATTAAGAAAGGAGGAGGAAGGCGGCAAGGCAGGACTGCCAACTCGTGTTCAAGAGAATAAGTCGTCGTCACTCAGTGCTCCTTCCATCCCTGACTCTACATCGACTTCTCAGCTGTCGCAGCGTCAAGTAGAGAGCGAGCCGAAAAGCCAGGATCTTTGGGTTCTTGCAAAGGAGAGGTTGAGCCCAGAGGATCAGAAATGCTTCGAAGGTGGGAACGCAAAGACGACGGAAAAGACAATCGAGGAAGTGCGAGACGCGATAGAAGAGAAGTACAAGGAGTACAAGGATGGTGGACTCCAGATTCGAGGGCCCCATGGGAAGAACATCAATCTTCAAGAATGTTTCCAAGGGATCATTAAATCTGTTTCGCAGGTGCAAGAACTTATCAAGAATGCGACGTCGTTTGACCCGACGGGCCATGGTACGTTGCCCTATTATCGCCATCGATCGAAATAGGCTGACAGACATCTAGCATCGCAGGCATGGGCCGTCGTTTCAGTTGGGCTTACTGTAAGGAGCAATATTTTAATGTTTAGAACCAGTGAGCTAAAACAGCATAGTTCGTAAAGAACGACATTGAACGCCGCGATGCTGTCATGGAAGCATCTGGTTTTCTTGCCAATAATCTTTCGTATTACGCCATTATTGACAGAAATGACCGGAATCGCCAGGTTGAAAGCGATGAGCATCTCGAAGAGGCCCTTGTGAAGGTTTATGCGGCCATTCTTGAATACACTGCTGAAGTTTACAGGGCGAGTCGTGAAAAGGGAACAGGTATCCATGTCTCCGTTGTCAACAATTCTATCCTAGTCTAAGCATAAAATTATAGCTCGCGTGTGGAAAAGCGTTAGTGCCCTGGTCGACCAGCCTCTACAACGTCTTAAACAAGCCATTGAGCTGGAAGAGGAAAACGTCAGAAAGTGGACGGATCTTGGTAGGAATTTGGGTAAGATTCTATTTCGCACGACTGCGATACTTCTCTCATCAATTCCAGATCAACAAAAATTAGCGCAAAAGATTGATACACGGGCTCTGAGTACGCTTCTTATTTCTATTGACTACTGAACTGAATGCTAAAAAAATGCCACAGGCTCACAGGAGATGGAGATTTTGAATTGGCTGTCACCAACGGATCAGTCTGGCGGAGAGCAGTCTGCAATTTACAACAAGGCGCAAAAGGACCGAACATCTCAAACGGGCGACTGGTTCCTTGACTCACCAGAATGCCAAAAATGGATGGCTGAACCTGGGAGCATTCTGAGGCTCCATGGAGTTGGTTGGTTTCCCATCCCAAGTACAAGGCATGCTTCACTAACAATGCTAGTGGGATGTGGCAAAACAGTGCTTTGGTATGTAGTAAATCCTAAGCACGCCAACAATGATCTCTAATTGATAGGCCCCAGCTCAACCATTATAGCACACGTGCACAAGGTTTGTGAATGCGATCCGAAAAAGAGACTAGCCTACTGGTTCTTTAATTTCAACCAGAATAGTCAGCAAGTCGTTGAGATCATGTTAAGATCTGTCATTCGGCAACTTTGTCCCAATCCAGTTCCCGAGTCTATCATTAAGTTGTGGGAAGGACATCGCCAAGGTCGAGAACCAACACAGGAAAATCTCTTTGTTATTCTCGAGCAGATGATCGAAAGTCATAAAGGACACATAATTCTTATCTTTGACGCCCTAGATGAGTGCCCCGAACTGCCTGGGAACTCTGCACGAGGTACATTGTTGAAGTTCCTGAATAGGCTGATAGATCAGCACAAAGAAACACTTCACATTCTTGTAACAAGTCGACCGGAGCATGATATCCGTTTTCATCTGGGAAAATACCCAGGCTATGATATAGAAGAAGACTTAAGCCAAGATGTTGAGAGGTTTGTTGACGACAGACTTGAACAAGGGGAGCCATGGAAGTGGCTCAGCGAGAACAGACCCATGAAAGAAAAGATTCGAAAGAGACTGCTGGGCATGGAAAGGCCGTATGTTTCTGAATTGACCACTCAAAAATAATTTCAGGATATTGACAGATACCTATTCATAGTCGTTTCCGATGGGCTTACCTGCAAATCATGCAGCTTGAGAGGTGTCACACGCCAGCCGCTATCGACAATGCGTTAGAAAGGCTGCCGAAAGATCTGTCGGAAACCTACAGCTCAATTTTGAACAAAATGCCAGAGGATGACCGAGAAGCTGCACGTACCATTCTCATCTGGGTCATCTTTTCCCGGCATTCACTGACACTGGAATTTCTGGCAAAACTTGTCGACTTCATTCGGCCACGAGATGTGGTAAATGTATGCACTACATCGTTGATTACAGTATCATCAGATAATGTTGTTAGGCTGGCGCACTTCTCGGTTAAAGAATTCCTGATCCCTGTGGATATCTCTGGCGAAACACTCTGGTACCAATTTTCTGCCTCCACTGGGCATCTCACCATTGCCAATACATCTCTTTCACTCCTTTCAAGAACGGACAACCACTTGACTAGGGATGCAGCTCTTGCCCAGCCAGTTTTAGTCTACGCAGCAAGAAATCTTGGTTTCCACCTGCTCGAGCTGGATGCAATAGGATTTCAGTCTCCAGAGCTACAGGAAAGTATTGTCCATATATTCTGTTCTCCCGTCACCTATTTCAACTGGGTACGAATTGACCATGATTACAAGAATTTTAACGACTGGTATCTGCCAGCCGATCAGTTGGAACCTCCAATATATAGAGCCTCAAAGATGGGGCTGATCCAAATTGTGGAAAGTCTACTTAAAAAAGGTGCTGACCCTCTGGCACCCTTTAATAATATCTTTCGGGGTAAGGAGAATGCGTTCTATGCTGCTGCGACAATGGGACATCTCGATGTCTTGGAGCGACTTGTGCAGATATCCTCTGTCATCTCCAAAGACCTAGCTTGTTCGATCATAAGATGCATTGACCACCGTGACCAGGAGTGGGAGAGGGTGCGCAAGATACTTGCTTTACTCCATGATAAAACATCATTTTATCACGACCAAGAACATGGCAATACGATTGACAAAAGTATTATTGCAGCGGCGGCGGGGAATTGGCGGTGGGGTGATACTCTCATACAAATACTTCTTGATTGGCCCAACAGAGCAGTCATACATATCACGGAGGATGTTATGTGTACTGCGGTTCGTAATATCACGTGTGGCGAGAGAATTATGCAGCGGCTTCTGAAAGAACAGGCAAAACACGTCCATATTGACCCCCAAGGGCTTAAACACATGATTAAACATGTATATCGCAATCCCGGTGTGGTGAGGGTTGTGGTTGAAATGCGGGGACGCGAGATCCAATTTGACGATTGGACAATGAGAGACTTCATGAAGTATGCAAGCGCAGAGGCAGTAAACCTACTCTTGTCATGTCGAGATGACATTGTGGTCACGTCAAAGATGTTGGAAGCAGCAACCGACAACCGCAATAGCTCAGGCGCGTTACTTGTTCTCTTGAAGAAAAGAGCATCTAGCACCCCTGTTAGCACGGAAATGCTGGCTATTGCAGCAGGCAATAGAGAATGTGGCTTCGAAGTGATGAAAGTGCTGCTTGGGGAATGGAGTCCAGGTACTCCTATCAACGAAGAAGTCATTTATAAACTCGCCTCAAACAGGAGCCAGGGTCTCGAGATAATGGACCTGTTTCTACGAAGACAACAGACAGGCATTACCGTCTCACAGAAAGTTTTGGCTCAGGCTGCGAGACTCAATACAAGTAAGATGCTAGAACTGCTTGTGAACAATGCGGGATCGGGCATCAAAATCACACCGGAGATTCTTTGCGAGGCAGCACAGAACTCCGGTTCCCCAGAAGCTGTCATGTCTTACCTGCTTGACCTTGGCGGGAAGGATCTTGAGATTTCAGAGGATGTGCTGGTATCAGCTGCCGGGAATTTCTTCAAGGGTGCTGACGTATTATCCTTGGTCCTAGACAAGTTCCCAGAAGTGAAGGTGACGGACCGAGTTTTTGAAGCGGCGTGTCAGAGTCAGGATAGCATGTCGGTACTACTGAAGAGATTCCCAAATCAGTTTCCTAAGGAAATAGTGGTCGAAGGAATAGCAAAGCAAACAGTATTTGGACGGTATGCTCTAGGGTTTCTTATTGGCCATGCGATTGTAGATATCGATCAGGAACTGGTGGAGAAGCTTGCGCATAGTTCATATGCCCTGAGAATTCTTCTAAAGTTCAAGCCAGACTTTCCAGTCTCGCACCAAACTCTACTTGTGGCAGCAGCAACGGATTCAATGTGCATGGATGCAGTGCTTTGCGCTTGCAAGATGGATATTATTATCACAGCAGACATAGTCGACGCAGCATTAGAGTCGGGAGGCTTCGACGTCATACATCTGCTTTTCAGCCGATATGGGTCAAGATTTCCTATAACAGAGATGGTGTTGACACGGGCAGCTCTACATAAAAATCCACATCACGCACTTGATTTCCTCCTAGAAAGGGAATCTGGGGTGGACCTTCAGCGGGTGTGGGAAAATGTCTGGCAAAGCGACTCCTCGGAAGCAGACAAGATTTACGCATCTGAAGCGCTTATAAGGCGCGCGAACTTGGAAGTTACAGAAAGTATGATGGATATTACAGCTTCCAGGACCGTTGATGATAAACATGACCTTGACGATTTGATTCAATTCTGTATAAGGGAAAACATATCAATGCCTGGAAGCGAGAAGGCAATGTGGATTGTTATAGAAAGATTCTATGATTGGCAGACTGTCGAGGACTTTCTTAAGTACAAACCGGAGATCAAAACTACTCAGGAGCAATTTGATGCCTTGGCTGGGCATGAATCTTTCCCGGGGTCTTTGACGGAAACTCTTCTTGATCGTAACGATTTCTGTTAACTGCTACAGGCTTAGTACGATTTCGAAGCAACTATAGTCTTAATAAACTGTTGCCTTCATATTATTGATTGATATTATGGTGGTGTGTTTAATTATTAATCAACAGAGTCAATTAGTCCGTTCATTTGGCATAATGTAGCCAATTTAGATGAAGAATAGGTTAGTCTAAGAGTAGAGAATCTGCATTATCATGTATAGCGAGCAATTATAACTTAAGGAATCATAAGAGCAGGCTCTTCTAAAACCGCGTAGGTAAGCCAATCTACTCTATCGAGTCAGTCCCCTCATCCTTCACACTCCTTCTGCTCCTTCAACGTCAGTTGACCTTCCAAGGCTCGGTTCAAATCATAACTCTAGGTAAGCAAACTCACCACGAACCCCAACCCAACCCCAAAGCCACACGCTAAACCGCTCATACAATCCTCAAACTATCCATATATCAACCCCGTATATAAGGCCAATTTGGCCCCCCAGCCGGCATATGTCTCAGTACCTGCCACTAGACTCATCGCATCCTAAGTATAAGCACTTTGCCATAGCCGTCAGAGTGCAGGGTAACTTCAAAAATTCGGTATGAATCGCTGTTCTGGAAGATGGCCCATATATTTAGCCATAGCCCTACCAGTCGCCTGGCCCGTATCACGGAAAAGGCGAGTTATGGAGACGTTACCAGACATATTAAAAGAAAACACCTGGGGCATGTGTCAGCATTATCCAATGTAAGGTGTAAATGTACCAACGCCATGCCTCAGAGGTGAATTGGACCGTCACCTCATACTGTATTAGCGTTCTTTTATAATAAAAACATCATCAACAATTGTCTCCTTGAACAAGAGTGCTTCTCAAATTTAGCGTGCTTGTTGATGGTACCTGGTGTTTTGTTTCGAGTTGCATAAAGATAGCAGCAAAATAGTGTGGTGTATGGGAGCCGATATGTCACAATCAGATCTATAACATAAGTCTGTCTGGAGCTTATATGAAAGATTATACATTTTATCTACTGAATATCGCTTTTAACTAGATCTAGTCACAGGTCCTCAACAGCCCTTCCTGGATCTGATTCTGTTGGCTATATAAATGGTCAGACTGGCCTATGAAGAATTTCACAAGATGTATCTATCAAGATTACTGAATGAAGAGTAGTCTGTAATTTCTGTCTGGGATTCAGTACGCATGATACCAAGCCATTGTTGCAATGCGTGTACTCACCCCTCTATGGTGTTTCTCCTTTCTCCTTTTTAATTTTTATTTGGGTTGAGCTCAGGTAACTTTTGGGCAACAAGATCAGAACCCCAGCCTCGTGGTATTTATTTCCCCTCACAGATCACTACATTGGCTCTTTTTAAATGTCACACAACTCCACTTTTACTGCGCAATCCAATTCAAAATATAACTGCCCATCATGAAGCCCTCTCCTTATACAAATGACGAATATACCATCGGATGGATATCTGCTTCGAATGAAGAGTTGATGATGGCCATGGCGATGCTAGATGAGGAGCATGGGAGGCCCCAATCCACACCTCGAGACGATACCAACGCCTATCATTAGGTAAGGTTGGTGAACAAAATGTTGCGATGGCTTGTCTATCGGGAGGGCAAACGGGCACTGGCCCAGCTGATATTGTGGCAGAAAATATGCGTCGCACGTTCAAGAACATCAGGTTCACGCTCCTCGTGGGAACTGGAGGAGGTGTCCCAAGAAAGAAAAAGGACATTCGTCTGGGTGATGTCGTGGTTAGCTATCCTAGTGGGTCCTACAACGGAATTGTACAATACGACTATGGGAAGCTGAAGAATAACGGTCATGTTCAGAGGAAAGACTGGTTCAGCGCGCCACCTCGCAAGCTTCTGGCTGCGGTGGACCTCTTAAGGGCTTACCACGCGAGACCTAAGAAACCAATCAACAATAAGCTAGGCATTATCGATGAGTTGGGCGAGAAATACGGATATCCAGAAGACCACATAGCTCCTGATCTGTTGTATCAGTCAGATTATGAGCATGACCCGAAAGCTGAAACTTGCGATTCCTGCGACAGAAAAGCGCTCATTCAACGAAAGTCCCGTAACTCTCCGTGTAAACCATATGTACATTATGGTGTCATTGCATCTGGGAATATGGTCGCTAAGAGCGGCATCGAAAGGGATAAGATTGACCAACGTTACGAGAACTCAATACTCTGTTTTGAAATGGAAGCGGCCGGATTGATAAATAATTTCCCTTGCCTTGTTATCCAAGGAATTAGCAACTACTCCGATTCTCATAAAAACGATCAATGGCAAAAGTGCGCAATTGCCGCAGCGTCGGCATATGCGAAAGAACTCCTCTTACTGATCGAGCCATCCGATATGAAACTTTTGCCCCCTATAGTTGCTCGCATGCTGCATACTGGTATGCGCTTACATCACCAAATACTATATTTCCTGAAAAGCTCCTAATTTTCAAAGAGAATCTCCCAGCATATAGGAAAAATCGATAGGAGTACGGCTGCAAATATGACACCGCTGAAGAAAGTCGCGGAAAGGTATGTAGATTGTCGCCATAGTGTGAATTATTGCATATTAATGGTTACTTAGAAAGTTGACAGCAAGGTTTACAAATGAGGTGTGAAAGGTGGTTGAAACTACTTATCGTTCCAGAGGCCCAACAGGATCAGACTCAAAAAAGGCTTTAGGGGACCTGTAGCCGGATCTGATCAAACACAATGTTTAGTAGATAGAAGGTAGAGCCGCGAGCGTCTCATATCAGCTCCAGTCAGACGTATGTGTAGCTATGACCCCGGTTGTGGCAAGAGCATTCTAGCCTAAGACTCTGGTCAGACTCGAATAGTGCATCTACAATCAATCTACAGTACTTCCAGACTCTCTATAACCTCCTCTCCATCCCTTCCACAGCAATCTCCACCAGGAAGTAAGCGAGAGCAGGCGAAAAGCCCCTTCATGGCTCTCCAGTCCCGGTAATTGTATCAAGGAAGCTTCTATCACCATAAACAAGACCATTTATAAGCGCAGCGCAGTGGTAGAAGTTTAACCCAACCAAGTCCAATGTTTCAAGTGGTTCAACGAGAGTTCTCTACTGAGCTCTATGATTTAGTCGTTAATAGCTCCGATGATGGGAGATTTTATGCTATAATAAACGTAAAATGAACCCTCTAGAAGAACCAGGAAGCTTCTCTAATCTTTCATTGTGCAGGAAAACATGATCTTCAGTCACTGTGACATAGAGACAATATTATTAGTGAATACTCCGGGTAAATATATACAGCAACCCTCAGGGAGTCTGGTACAGAATATGTCTCATCCGAGCCTGAATACGTGTGTAGAGTCTATATTAAATTCCATAGAATGTTCAGAGAAAGCTAATAAGATCTGCTATTATATAGATACCCTACAACGAGGAAATATGCTGGGTAGATTGTTCGGTTGGACGCACGACCAAATGCCTAAGGTATTTTGGTCGAGTGGCAGAACGCTCAACGAAATATACCACCGAAACCATCGGAGCATTGCAAAAATTTACGCCTTAACGGAACCTCCACTTGGGATGGTCTTATGTCTAGCAGGCCCACCGATGTTCGATCAAACCCAACCCCAATTATGGGGCCGTTGAGCAAACGGATACGTACTACCTAAGATTACCAAACTATTTAATTGGCTCCTCAAGAAAGGGGCACTTAGGGTTTTTTATTAAATCCACACAGGTGTACGTGCATTTTCATTGGCTAGAATGCTCCACCAACGTTGCGGACACAAAAAGAATTCTCCACTGATTAAGCAATAACCCAAGCATTTCCGTGTGGAAAATAAGTGGGAAAGAGGAGATGCATTAGCTAGGAAAGACATGGCGCTATTGATAAACCTTGCTAGTAAAGAAAGACGGTGATTTTATGGTTGTACTTCTTGTTAGGTTATCGTCCCTGCTTTAACTTGCACATCAAGTACGCCAACCAGAACTCCTGGAGAAAGTTTAGCGGGTGCTCCACTGGAGTCGTTGGTGGGTGGCAAGTCGGACGATGTATTTTTGGAATCTCGCTCCCAATTGAAGACGATGTAACGTGGGTTACAATAGCTTGAGATATCTCTAGTAATTCTGTTTTAAGAACGGACATAGAACCTGATATATTGACCGAATGGTAGACACCGGAAAGCCCGGAAACCACATGTATGAACGTGTGTAAACTTGTGGATATATACCAGTGTACTACCGGCGAAGAATTTTCGTGATTAACTATAATTAGACCAGCTGATCAATAGCAAAGAGTATAAGTTATGTAATGCGTATATTGGGCATCTAAATTATCGTAGCCAGGATATCATTAACTAAGCACATCGCAATAGGGTTATCATCATAAATCAAATCATATCTAAAACCAAACGCCACTTGATATCGCTGACACGGCCATGTACATTAATCGCGGCCGCGTGCGTCATGAAAATCATTATTTATAGGAACCCCTCTAGAATATTAATCATAGACGAGCGCTTTTCAGGATTATTCAAGAGTTCATCCACGGCGCGGCTAGTCAACAGATTACTCAGGCCCTTGTTAGAATCCCCAAGCAAATTGCTGAGTAAACCGCCGCCGCCGCCGCTATTTGTGTCTGAATTGTCAGTGAGATTGGCGAAAATATTGGTTCCGCTGTCGTCGTGGAGGAGGCCGCGTAGAGTGTTCGTGATCAGGCCGCCGAGGGGCACTTGCGCCGTCATGGTTAGGTTTCTCATTACTTCGGTGTAGTAGGGGACCTCGACGCCGTCGTAGACGACAGATTTACCGACGGTGTCAAGGGTGAGGTAGCCATTCTTGAGGGAGCTGGCCTGGGTCTGCAGGATGGGTACGAGGTTCTTGATTAAGACCTTGAGGTCCATGATGCCGTGGATGGGGGATGAGTGGTTGCCTGGTTTGAGGATAAGATTGTCGATGGTTGCGTTGCCGATGACGAGGTCTCCACTTTTGAGGTCCAGGATCGTTGTTCCCTGTTTCTGTTAGTAAGTCTTTATTGAGTTTCGGTTGGATGCCACGTACGATTTCCAAGGTCATAACGGAGGGGTTGGGCAGGGTGGCGTTGGCAATGAGGTTGGTCCCGTCCTCTCTCGGAGGGAGAAGGAGTTGAGGGTCCGCGACGGAGAAGCCAGAGAACGAGTTGAGAGCTGGAACATTGGTTAGTATATTTTTGGAGTATGGGTCATTGTGAACATACTATTTTGCTTCACGTCTTTATCCATGGTGACGTGATTCTTCAGTTTGCCGAGGTATGCGGTGGTTTTACCGTTGAGCGATAGCGGGGCGTTCTTCTCGAAGACCACGCTGTGGACGTATTTTTTCCATTGCTCTACGTTCAACGGGGTGAATTGGTTGTCGATTCCTAGGGTGGTGTTCCCGTCGATCGTTGCGCCATCAAGGTACACCTTGGCCCAGGTACCGTTGCCCTTTTCCTTGCGGTTGAATAGACTGATCGCTATGGGCTCGATACGTACAGGAACGCCGATGGGTAGTTTCAGAGCAGTCTTCAAGCTAAGCATAATCGAATCCGGCCGCGGCTGCATAACGCTCGTCTCGGTGACGACGAGCGACGCATTGTCGAGCACTCTTTGGGCAATGGCCGGGATGATGACCGTGAAGCTGCAAAAATTAGTCAAAATCTGAAACGTAGTTGGGGTGAAAGTGGAGCACCTACAAAACGGGCAAGAAAACTACCAGGAAGATAATGCTCCAAAAAATGTAGCAGCACCAAAATCGAGCCCAGTGGCGGCGTGCTCGCTCAGCCCTCGTCTTTTCCCTTTTCTCTAACGAGATGGTGTTTGCCGTCTCGACATGTTCGATTGCGACGCCTTCGCCATCATCTGGGGGAAGAGGACCACGATGGACGCCCAGGGCATATTTGGCGGCTTTGGAGCCGAGATAGGATTGCTTCTCTTCCATGGCTTTTATGCCCAATCGCTGTCCACGGGGAGCAAGGGTGGACACGTCGGACTTGTCGGGGGGGAGGAGGAAATGAAAAGATACGGTCGAGGCGTGTATGATTTAATATATGGCCACTGAGTAGATTAATGTTCAGATGTGCTCTCCTAGTTATTTTCGCCTTTGGGGGGTTCGAACACCAAGGAGTTAATTCCGGAGAAAGCCCGGTTTCGACCTTGGTACCTTCACTCCGCATGGATCAACAATGCGACACTGTCGATCGCAGTGAGTGGCGCGTCAGGGCCAATGATGGCGACCTCATTTTAGACACACGAGTTCACATGCGGAAGTTGGATGAGGATCGGCACGAACTATTGAGAAACCGCGGTTGTTAGCAGGGGACCTAAGCTTCGGGGTCGGTGGTGGATCCACCTACTCCAGAGATTAAAACTTGGGTACGGATTTATTGCCTCTTTGAGATGCGGGGGAAGTGAGTAAAAAAAGAGGGTCACTGGGGCCTGATTTACATGATAAAGGACAAAGATAGGCGAGTTGATGTATGACAAGCCTCTAGAGGCGAGGTTGTCGTACTTCCAAGCGCATGTGTTGTTGTCAACGAGTCGTCGGTGATCTTGTAACCCTAAGACGTCCATCGCGCAAAAACTCCCGCGACAACCCGTGGAAAATCTCTGACCTTCGACGAGAAAAAGCCAAACATCCCCCCTTTTATTCTCCATCAGACGTATAGCCATCATGTCGTTCGATGAGAAGAAATCCCCAGACCATATTTCCCAGACACCATCGGTCTCATCCGATTCAAGTCGTCTGGAAGCCCTCGATCAACTCGAAATTCTTCCTCAGATCCTGCAAGAAGGCATCTTATTTGCTGGATCAGGATCCGCTTTGCTACTCCAGGCGGCCTTCCCCGGAATCAGAAATCGAACTAGTGATACCCATAATGCCAGCAACGGCAACAGCAGCAACCTAGCGACAGAGCTAGCCGATGCCCTCCAGGCAAATCTCAGCTACATCGCTTGCCTGGTGTTCGGCACACGAGAAGAAAAGAAGACTCTGTTGGACCTCATCAGCCAAGGACAGCCACCTCTCCGGGGGAGTGAGAACTTCTCCTCTCACCGACCGACTCAGCTCTGGGTCGCAGCGACGCTCTACGCGACCGCGACCGATTTCTACCAGCGCGTCTACGGCCTCGTCAACTACACTACAGCCGAGAAGGCATACGCAGAGTTTACAATCCTCATGCATTCCATGGGCCTACCGTCGGGTACTTGGCCTGAGAACCGACAGGCATTCTGGAAGTACTGGGACGACCAGATCGAGCAGTTGACCGTCACAGCAGACGCACACAAATTTGCTCAGGACCTTCTGCACCGCACCGATTATCCGCGCTGGGTGTCGGTTATGAAACCATTTTTGCGGGTCCTTACGATCGAGATGTTACCACCACGCATTAGAGAGGCTTACGGACTTAAGTCGACATTTAGTACACGGGGATTGTATCGGACCACCATGGGGTTCTCGGTAGCGGTGTACCCTGCACTACCGACCTCTACACGGGGATATCCACTGCGCTATTATTTGCAAGAATTACGAAAGCATTTGAATGTTGTGTAGATACTTGGTATTTGTGTCCTTATTTTTTGTCGTAGTGCATGCACCCACGTCATCCACTCATGCTTGGAGCGGGATCTGAATGAAATTAATGAGACAAACTGGGGTCAAAATCTCTGCCATGCACGTGCGTCCCGATTCAATATAACCTACAGGTTAATAATGAGCTAAATGTCTTGTTTTGCTCTTAAGATCCCTGTCAATTTAATTTGAACGATAAGGCCAAATGAACTATGCGCGGCACATTACAGGGGTACGAAACTAGACCCAGATAAGAAGAGAGAGCCGGGGGAAAAAAAAAGCGCATTCATTTCATGTCTCTAGATCGCTATTTGAACAATTTAAAAAGAAATAAAAAGAAACCCTAGGAGCCCAAACATCCATCTAGGCATGTAGGACATTCGTATAAGAACATAAAGCCTATGATAACCGTCTAGGCATCAAAAGTGCTGCTTTCGTAACATTATTAAATCAAGGATCCCAGGAGTCCAGCCAATAGTTTCGAGACATTATCGACGAGCTAGTAAAGTCATTAATATTCACTCATAGTCATGTGTTTGATGCTAGCTTACCGGTGACGCAGCGTCAATCAGGGTTGTTGTCTCGTTGACAAATTTCGGTGTCAAGAGACCGTCGGCATTATCAACGATACCCTGCAGTTTATCGATGTTCTCACTCGACAGAAGCTTCTGTAGGTTCTTGGGAGTGTCTCCGCCCAGAAGGACTGCACCACCCTTGACGATGGTTTGGATGTCATTGAGAGTGTCGGTGCTCAAGAGGTCCTTGACGGCGTCGATGAGCGCAGGCAGCTCCGAGAGGAGACCACCATCAGGCGCAGGAGCTGCTACCGGGTTGGGCCTGGGAGTCGCAAGAGCGAGAGGGGCGGCAAAAACAAGGTACTTGAAGAAACGCATTTTTGTGCTTGTAGAATGATATTCAGGGTCTGAACGAATGACTTCTGGAGTGTATGGGATCTTGAAGAGAGATGCTGATCTGTGGAAAAGATTACCGACTACTGTGGTTGCCCAAACTTATATGTAGCTATGGAGTCCGACAAACTTGTTTTTTTCTATGAATACGAAACAAAAGCAACCCCGCCTGCACCTTAATCTATGGCGTTCCAAATTTCCAGCTGGTGCCCCATACTAAAAGTCTGGACAGAGAGGATATGCTACCTAAAAGTGTATCCATGTCTGGATGGCAAATACTGCACACGGCTGAGGCTAGCCTCTGATTCGACAGGTGTTAGTTGTTCTCCAATCCCGGTCTGGACTTTGAGATCGTCGATTGCCTTTTGCTCTAGTCGTTGTTTTGCGTTGATGCCCGCTTGTTGCTTTCACCCGAGGCTCAAGTAGGGTTATTCCCGCCTGGAAGATCCAGCTTTCCCGGAACGAAAACCCTGTCCATGTGAATTTGCCTCAGCATCGGTTTTGTATGAGTCAATGGCTGTTATACCCCTCTTTCGCTACCAAATCATTCTACGAATTAATCTTCGCCAGGATGCGGTGATATAGTACCATTCGGGGCTGGGCAAGAACTGGAGACTCCAGACGACCCCGCATGGGATTAGGGCTCCGCTAACTGCTGTAACTGTCGATCACTTCGGGGAATACCCCCTCAAGTCGGCCAATCAGACCCTCCAATTTATATGGCATCGCGGTGGTTTCCTCTTTCGCCCTCGGGCCGAGAGGTACATGTGATACTTTTTGATCTGATCTCTAACCTTGATCGATCTGTTGGTGGTGAAAACCCTCAAAACACCGTTGCACTGCGATCAACATATCGCTTCGTATCAACGGTGGAGTCCACTCGGAATCGACAACCCCAGCCTAATTTTAGTAGGAACCCCAATCGACACCAAAGAATCTCGAATATGGGGTAGAACCCGATCAGAGAGAACCCGTTCGGAGTCGATATCCGCTTTCATATGATTAAATCCAAGGGACATACGTACTATCAGGCAACGCAAGCCCGGCCGAGCATGCTAAAGTCCCACTCCATATCCCCACCCGAAGCTTGTTTAGCCTGTGCGTGCAGCCAGTCTGTCGTATTCCACTTGGTCAATTAATCTAATACGACACTAATCACAGGGACCACATACGCCACCGCCAGGGTTGTAATTGAAACTACTATGTAAAGACCCAGAGAAAAAAAAAAACAATTCCGTCATTTCCATAGCTTATCATCTCACTTCGGTCATAAATTCATGTCGATCACAACGCCAATGCTACCCCGAGCACCCCCAAGGCCCCCATCCCACCCATGACCAACCCGCCGGTCGGCTTAGCTGCTGCCGCTCCCATTCCTGATGATGTTGTGGACGATGCGCCACCGTCTTTCGTGCTCTCGGCCGTAGCCTTTGCAGGGGCGTACTTGCCCGTCGTAGCTGTCAATGCACCGTCGGACATTTCCTTCTTCACCTCGGCCATGTAGCTTTTGACGTCAGTGGGGAGCGCCAGATACCAGGAGGGGGTGGTCCCGGCATCAATCTCGCTAGCAAGGGCACTTCGCTGAGCGGGAACCACCAGCTGAGCCAGCGCCGAGGGAGGCACATTCTTAATGATCTCCGGGATAAGGGAGCGTGGAGGCGGAGAGATGTTATCCAAGTTGGCCGACCCTGTAGGCATCGTAAGCGTGATCGATTTCCTACCATTGTTAGCACTTTCAACTCTGGTAAACATCACAACAAAGGGACATACAAAGCTTGACCAAGTGCAGACCAATTGACCGACTCGGTCGATGTCGGAGCAGCATCGCGCTTTTCGGGCGCTGCCAGCACCGTAGCAGAAAGGGCAGCGAGCAACCACACGAACTTCATTTTTGCGACCTGGTTTGATAGACAAAAGGGACTGGGTGGGCAAATACGATGAGATGAGACGATGGGCGATTGGGGAAAGTTAAATAGTGAAACTGGACTCTTTCATGTGCCTGGCAGGGCGGAGTAATAATTCATCTTATGCCAAAGTTCAACTCAACTTGGACCCGAGATCCGGAGTGGAGAGTCTGTGTCAATGATCGTCGTTGAGCCGAGTAGTAACTGCATGGCCCTAACTTTCTCCCCTACGCGACCACGGTCTGGAATGTGGAATCCGTTCCCAGTTCCTATTTTTCAGTGTATTTTGTTTCATCCTCAATGTTAGCCCGACAGGCAGTCTCTCATTTTGTTACAGCTTGAAGTGCTGGTTACTTGTACGTATGTGTAGGGTGTGTCTGTTTTTTGGGGCTATTGGGCGAGATGACCCTTTTTTATTTGATTGATAAAGGGCCCCTTCCCCTAGAGCGCCAATATGCAACTGTTTGAATTGTTACCTTTACGCAGAATGGACTTCTTCCCGTTTCTAGTGTTCTATATGTGGTTTGAATATGCAGCAGATGCAACCAAGCATGTTCCTCCTTCGATCCAAAAGTCAAGCACCAAAAGGTAAAATCAACCTAGTTACTAAACTATGCTTAAACTGGTGATGGTAAGGCAAATTCTAACGGATCTACAGAAGCTCTCTAAAGCAAAAGAAAAATAAACGGAGATTGTCGAAGCTAGTCGCATAAAATCGACCGCTAGAAGAACCGAGATACGATTTGGAGCAAACTATTGCTGAGCCGGAACATTGCATCTCGAAAGCTGCCAGCGCTAGTAAAGTTCCGCGGCCCGAGAGCTTCTGGTCGCAAGACGTATAACTTGGGGTGATGCATGGAATAATGATCGTCGGCTGGCCCGATTACTTATCACCACTTTCGAAGTCGCCGTATGGCTGGCTTTCTACCCTTGTCCGCTTAGACAGTTTACGTTAATAGCTTTTCAGAATTGCGTCGCTTTCGAACTTTGAATAGAAAGAATCATATCCTGATTGGCTTGGGAAATGGTCTCTCTGTTTACACATTTCCATGTCGTTTGGGTCGCCAATGATTTTCTTGTCGGTGCCTCACTCACTGGCTGGGTGATTCTCTTTTGATAAGGGTTGCTTGTTCCGATAACGACATATAACCCTCCTTCTCTGTGAATACTGCGTTTTGGCTGTCAAAAGAACCTAAATCAGATATAAGATGTAGAGAATCATGTACATGGATATCAAACGGAGAATGGCACCCCCGCAGAACCTTAGACGAACTTCTTTTCCCTTCCTTATGTTTTCCCGTCTTCTACTGTTTTTTAGAGTCCCAGTGTCGTTGCCTGCGCGACGTATAGCCAGGTATCTGCCAACATTAAGCCTTCTTCGATATGTTTAATTGATATTGTACAAGGATTTGAAAAACCCCTGTCTAAAGCTTGTTATGAAGCAATAAAACAAAATCCGCAAGAAGATCGAACAGAACATCCGTGGCAATGCACCTGATGATGAAGATATGTCTCTAGATAAATTTGGAACAATGAGAAAAAAATTGACCTTCCCTCTGAAATTTCTAGGAGTTATGTCTGCACGAGCCACCCCTAAATGTGTTGATCCATGGAAACTTTATGGGCTGTAGCAATGTATTGTATCCCGCCATCGCGCGGGAGACCGTAGAGTAGTATGATCGATCAACAACGTCTAGTTCCAACCTTTTTACTTTGAACCTTCTGATGACCCAAGAGCCCTTGATCGGCTGTGGTATGGATTTCTCCATCCTGTGCTATAAGTTGGTATCAGCCCGACTAACTGGTTGACGCTCGCCCAGTTAATCAGTATAGTATCCCGAAGAATATCCTCAAGGACAGAACTGATGGCATGGCGTTGTCCGGATTCAAGGTGGGTTGGGAAATTTCGTCTCTTGTTTGGTACCTGCTTGATTCAGGAGCACTGCGTCGAGCCTAGAGTTGATATTGGGTCGGGTTCGGGTGCAAGATCTATGACCCACAATAAAATTTAAGAGTAGACTGAGGTCTGTGGCTCTAGGATAGTGACTAGTATCAGAGATAGGATTGAAAAGAGAGGAGATAGAGTTTTGGGGGATACAGTGACCCGAGTGAAATATAACTCTAACGGTTTGGAAGCCAAAATAACCTTGTATTCGGTATTGCCTAATTTGAAGTCTCCGATGAGAGGCACTCAGCTACTTTCGCGTATCATGCTGTCACCTTAGTCTCATAAAACGATGCGGTTTTTGTGAATGGCAGTACCCTAGTAGTTATAGGGAACTAATATCCGCAGGACAGATTATTGGCCCGCAGCAGAGGAGTCGGAACAAGCCTCACCAGCATCCACGTGATATATATACCAAGGACATAGTCTTGGGATATATGTGGATACTCATCCATGGACTTAATTATAGTTGTGGCGATCAAAACTAGCAAGTTACTTGATATCACTTTTCGATTCAAGTACGATTACCAGCTCAACTCATTTATACTGTCTAACTATTGATTGTATGTACTTGATAGACTCTGGTCCTTCTACCTTGGCCAATCAATTCATCACGTCAGATTATACTCACACCCTTGCTCGAAGTTCGAACCTTTACTTTATCCTTCATTGCTGTCGACATCTAGCGGATGCTAGATGTTGTCGGTAAGTCACATCTGAGCAATATAGCGAATTGATTGCAGAGTCCTTGAACATGGCCCCGGGTATAACACCTCTGAATTTATAGTGCCAAGACTTATGTATTAGGGCTTAACTGTAATCTCAATCATCTTAAAATTACTGTGAGATTGGTTATAAAGCTGTGGGTGTAATACTCTATTTGAAAGAGTGAAATTTCAGAACTTAACTGTATTAAGTTTTGGGGAGCGGAAGCCAGCATTTTTTTGACACAAGCTTATATCAAAATACATGGTTGCAGTTAAGGGGCGCTTAGGAGATTCTTCCGAAAAGAATAAAGTTAGCATTCTAGGAAAAGCTGAATAACATACGGTTGAAGAAAATGGGTCACGAAGTGGGAGGCTGTAATACATATCCCTCAAACCAGATTATATTGAAGAATTAATGGTTCTTAAACCTAAACCTGCACTCTGAAGTAGGACTAATACTCGACAGACAGTTCGGCATAAACGTATACGCCCATGGTTTCTGTGAATAACAAGGAATTATCTGCCTTTAGCATTAGTGAATCCCTAAGTAGCTCATCAATGCCCTTCAAACCCTAGCTGCCTCCATAAACCGGCCAAGTGGTGTAGTCGTCGGATGGTTCGGGCTGTTTTTTCATTTGTTGAACGGTGCGATATTCAGGCTTCAGTCCCCATTTCACGAAGTAGTTGGTGAGGTTCTTTCTGGCGATTTGTGCGGCTTTAGTCATGAAGTAATGTTTCATGTCAGCATCAGAGCGTTGATCTAGTGCTCTCCGCGAGGACATATGAAGTAGGTGGAAAAACCGATCGCCGAATACGACACGCAGTTGCTCAAACATAACAAGCTTAGTGTAGACGGGTGCAGTATCAAAGTCCTTATCCCCAGATTGGCTGAGATAGGCCTTAGCATTGTTCCACTCTTTGATAGGCCTATCGTATCGAGTTTCATTGAAGAAGGTCCGTTGGGCGGCTAGAGAATAAATGTTGACTGTGACTTCACCCTGTGCACCCCAGCTCCATGTATTCGTGTGTTGGCGATGATGGCCCAGTTCGTGCCACACCATCCAGGATTGGCGAAGGGCGGGCTGCCACCACATCTCGCCACTCCTTTCATGTGGAATGGCGGCACGAAAGTTATATGAATTTGGGTCAATGTGCCCTCTGGTTTGTACAACCATTGGCCGTAAGAGACTGGGCTTGTCCCTAGGGCTCCATGCAGGAAGCCTCAGACCGCTGATAGTATCTTGGGCCTTGATGATCCTCTTATATGTATCCAGTAGCTGCATCTGATCTTGTCCTCGATCTGCGTGATGTTTGACATCCGCAGCTAGACCTGTGAGAATAACTCGTGCACCACTGACCTCCGCAAACGGGACGGTAGTGGCGTCCAACATGGCCTTCCACTGAGCAGGGCGTGTGATTCCCTCCTGGAAAAATGGGAATGGCTGGACTGCACTGCCTTTGCCGAGTGTAACCGTCACCGGGGGTATATTTACAAACGCAGGATGAGAGTAGCGGATATACAAAATCCCACCGAGCGGATCAGACACAAAATTATGACCATTTCGCAACGGCTGTAACTCCCGCAGCCCCCCGGGCATGTCTTCACTATGATAATCCGGGTGCACTAAAGCGGGAGTACCAACCATCAACTGCGGCTGCGAGCCGAATAATGGTCCAGAAACGGTGATATCCAGGCTGACATTAGGATTCAGATAAAAGCCTGTTGGTTGGAAGTCAGCCCACTTGAAATGTTGCTTCAGTCGTGCCTGCTCATCATCGGATTTCGGAAGACAGCGCACTGTAATGGAGCGCGGCTGCGGAAACTCCGAGGCATCGTTTTGAACATAGGTTAGTAAGTCTCTTTTGTGCCAGTGCACCGGGGCCGTTTTGACTTCCGGTGCCTCGCCATAGTTATAAGACGTAAGCGTGAGATTGAACTTTATTTCTGGTCCAGTGTATTCACCCAGCCTCAATGGCAGCCTCACTGGCATCGATGTACCAGGGTAAAAATCCATCCACTGGCACCTGATCTTCGTACCTCCATCATGTATCTCATAGCACCCGGCGATGTCCTCGGCAATTGAAAGATTCCAAACGCTTAGGTCAGAAGACTCGAGGACGAGGTATTCCGACCCATATGCAGGCTCGTCGCAGGTCTCGACGATTGCCCAAACATATTGCGTTTGCCCAGGATAGATGACTTGAAAGTCCTGATCAACTTTCAGGGTAATGTTACCCTCAGCTTTCTCTAAACTCTCAGCCTCTCTTGAAATAGGTATAACTTGCTGAGTATCCCGGTGCCACGGATTTGATTGCTGTGCAGGTATTGCATTCAAGCCCGTATCGTGGCGACCGCTCTCAGGCACGGACTCTGAATCTCCCCATGGAGCAAACCAGGACTTGATTATCTCCGATGGGCGAGATACTCCAGGCCCAGCAAGTGGCTCGGGGTCCCAGAAGGAGGCTTTTAAGCCGAGGGCTGCAGACTCCGCTGCAAAGAGCAGTGAGCTCCAGTACATTGTCACCGTTTAACAGCGCCTATAATTGTGTGAAGGTTAATATTTATCCCCAAAGCTACAGGCAGAACGGGGTGAAACAAAAAAGCAAGAAGGAAAGAACGAAAGGTGTGCTGACACTGTAGAATACTGACTTTCCGAATATATCCGTAGGGATTTTGTAGCCCTTCTGAACAGTAGTTCAAGTGGTTTTCCTAGATGGCTATCATTATTTCGCTGCTCCTTATAATACTTCGGGGGATTGTCATTACTACTGAGGCATTTGGAGTAGAGCAGCTTAGTAAAAATAGCGACGTCATCGACATTTCTGTCACGTCACAGTGATCAATTCCTAGAGACCCACGCGCACTCAGCCTTGGGACGATAATGCAAATCTTGGATGCATCAAGCTTCAATTGGTGACTTGCACCGTTTTCAGACAGTAATTGGTGGCGGATGATCATAAAACTTCGGCGGTGTGTTTGCAGCTATGTGATCAGTCACCTTCTTTTTCCTGACAAAGTTAATTATATTGGAATTTACTCATCCTGTATCTCTCGAGTCCTTGGCCACTTCGGTTCTACATGTATTTGTTGGGGTCTATGATTGAATAAGAAACAGCCTCTTGTTGATCAATTATCCAAAGGGTCTAATGCAGATCTCATAGGTTGCAGAGAAAGGATCCACCAGGATGGATAACCGTCATTACAAGCAGTGCCGAGGTGCCTAGTCTCCAAATCACCAATCACGTATGATGTAACCCTAAAGATATTCAGAATACCTAGGCAGAGACCGACCCTTTCGGCGTTCGATAGAGTGTGCTAGCTTAGTAGCTGATGTCCTAGGGAACTTTCAAAGCTTCTGCACATAGTATAACAATCATTGCTTCCGCATACACCAGGTATCCTAAAGCTAATGATACTAAGACTTGAAACTATCGATGCTTGCTTGTGTTATCCGTGTAATTTAGGGTTATCTTGGAATGTGGCTCGAATGCTGACCGACGGATGTAAGTAATATTTCACTGGGAACGACTGGGTTCGGGAACTAGTTAAGTACACGCTCCCAGACATTCAGTAGTTTTATACTAGCTTAGATTTGAATGTAGGTATTCAGCCTTGATGACATGTAGCTACTTGATAAAGGGATTGACTGACTATATTGCCTTAACGTAGTGACTAAAGACCATCGTGGAGAGTCGTCACACCCCCACAATACAGGAGTAGAGTAAGTAAACTGACAAATGCAAATCCGCCGTTCCCCTGCTCCACCAAACAGTGTACATGATGGTATTTTATTGAAGATTATTCATCTCAATATTCCTGTTACGTCAACTTTACGGAACATATGTATCCCCAGTGAGATGCCATAGGTTGAAGGCCAGGGAGTTCCCGGTAGCCAGCACACCATCTTATCCCCATGGGTGATCGACCCGCAATGCCTCCCCTCGGCTCACCGCGTTGGGGATCACTGTGAGGAATACAGTGAGCCTTACTGTGCACAAGGCGAGCTCTAAATAACGTATCCCAGAGTCATGTTATTGAACCGAGTCCCGGCAGCGAGGGCAACAGCAGAATCCCTTGATTTGAGTCGAGCATCATGTGTACTGTATAATGAGCTCGCTCTGAGATCGTCGCCCGTCGGAGGGGGATGCTTTGCCTGAAAGAAAGAATAACAGCATAAGCCAAACGACATTTCCTTGTCCTTCTATCCTATCCGAGCACCCTATCAATTGCGATGAATGCCATTGGAGGTTCAGTGATATTGCCACAGCCTGAGCTGTTCCACACAAACGTGTCGATGACATGAAGGAAAGGTTGAAAGACATTCTATCGTTTTTCAAGAGCCATGTGAACCTTCGCCGTAGAGAACAGAAATGGCTTTATCGCGGTGTCGTGCGTGTCCTTGGGAAGCCAGTCTTGATAGGGAGTGGGCGGCCGAGAAGATTGACCGCAGTATGGCTTGACTTCCACAGTTACTGCATCCATCGACTTGCTTGCCGTTTCTTCGTCGCGGACTCAGCTTTTCGTCGACCGCCTGAGGGTATATATATATCCACTCGTTGATAAGGTGCATCTATGATGTGGGGCTCATGATCTTACAAAGAAGATCAACTTCGTTGACATGTGAACTCTGTAGACCATGGCGCCGTTAGCTCAAAACAAGATAACAAAATACGATCAACCAACACCCCCATGACATTTAGTTGGAGAGCTATGTTGGATTGGGCTTTGGATCTGGATCGGGCTTTGGTGTTTCGAGACCGGTGGTATCGTATCCTCCTCGTCCCATGCTCACAGATCACCACCCAGTATGTGAAACAAGAACTGATTTGACAGAACGAAAGAAATGGGACACTTGTGTAGAAGGCGAAGGAAAGAATGAGTTGAGGAAGGTGTCTCGGAACAGTTGAGAACGACCAATTTATATCTTGCCTATCGGTTTGACGGGTCAGTGGTTTCTCGGCATATACCGGTATTCACAAAGTCTTTGTTTGAAATCTACAGTCGTTTTCTATTTCATTCTGGAGTCAACCGGTGCTTTCAGAAGACAATGGCAACAGTGACGGTTGACACCATCATTACAGGAGCGATTGGTAGAAACCATAAAACAATGAACTTTAGAGACTGACAATACAGTAAATAACCTGACTAGTTACCGAAGAATCTGGAAGTTAACTGAGATTGAATAATATCAGAGAGCTTTTCGGGGTAAGGCGGAATTAAGACTAAGATACCTGTTCAATGTATAATCTCTGTTTCCACGGCTCTTCTTTTAGAACTTATAATTAGGTGGTCCTACAAAAGAAATAAAGCGAAAATAAAAAAAAAAGATAAAGAAGAAGGAATCTGCAAAGAGTCATAGTGCTGGGTATAACTTACATGGAATTATCCTCCTAGTTGATAACAAGTAACTGGCAACGACTTGAATAACTATGGTTTCTTTGGTGACCTTGATTCGACTAAAGGACAAGGAAACCCAAGGAATATCACTCATACACTAACTATTGTTAATAAACCTTTACAGATATACTTGTTACATAGCAAACCTGTCGATAATCTATAAAGAGTTGCTTACTGATATAGTAGAGATATCTATACCTATATCGCGTCGTAATATAGCTATTGCTTTATTATTGCCTCCAAGCAACGTTTCTGGCAAAGTGTAGCTGTGGTTAAAGAGTTGCTTTAAGCAATTTATTCGGTATCACAACCTCTGATTATATACGATGGAGAGGTACCCCGATATAGTAAAATGGAATGACAGTGGATTTGTATATCTAATGCGAAAATGAATGATGGCTTAAATATAGTCGAAGTCGGTTTGGTAAAGAGGATGCACATCTAATATCTAGGCCACGCAAGCCTACCTGCATTACATGTAATAAATGGATCATAATTGAATTACGTTGCTGAAAAATAGTGTATTTGCTCTTATGCGAGAAAGTATATTACTTTGATTAGCCGTGTGGACCTCAGAATGTATAGGTACTCATGCTCAGACTTGGGTCAAGTTCGTGTGGTTGTCCAGCTGAGTGGTGGATTGCGTTATAGTCGGGACTCATCTCGAGTGTACCGGCTCTTTAGCAAGAGACTGCTCTATAACGCAACATGTGTTACACGCCATTAACTTCACCACAAGCGTCAGAAGTAGCAGACTTCACAGTGTATGTTCGTTGATACTGCTGATCAACATGCTCCAAGTAATACACTCCTTCCCCGACGCTAGCTAGATCGCCTCTTGGGGTGAAATTTGATGTGCCGTACGCGGCTTCGCGCAATTGACAGGCCTAGTAAACAAGTATTAGCATTGTGCTCGAAGATGAATGCAGGAGAGAGAAAGGAAGGAGCGTACCTCTTCGTACTCCTGTGGACTCGCCACGCGCCTCGCCTCCAATCTTGCAAACAGGTTAATCTTGTCGATAATAGCACTCACATCGCCCACGACCTGCAGTGTGAAAAGGGTGCTAGTAATGCCGCTGCCATAGCTAAACAGGCCAATGGTCTTATCCTGCAGCGCATCAGATCCAACGTGCGACAGAAGGCTGATCAATGAACAATACAGGCTCGCAGTATACATGTTTCCACACAGGCTGGGGGCACGGATACAAGGCTCGACACGAGATACAAAACGCTCTTTACTAAGTTCAATAAACGCCTTTTCCAGCTCCTTCGATTTAAGAGACTCTTCGTATGACAGATCTCGAAGATTCTGGTTCAGGTTGGCGAATTCCGCTCTGGACTTGTCATTCAGAAAGTCATTAAAGAGCAATCGACCGTATGACTTGCTGACTAGTTTGCAGTTGGGTGTGTGAAATGCCATAAAGTCAAACACGTCGATCATACTCTGACGCTCCTTAGCAAGGATAGCAACCGCTTCTGGATGTCTACCTTCCGCGTTATTTGCAAGGTGTGCGGCATTCTTGCGCAGCTCTGCATAGCAGCCATCAAGCGCGGACAAGAAACAGGAGATGGAGAGATGGCCGTTAACCAGAGGATATTCGGATTTCATGTCAGGTTTGTAAAAGTCATACGCGTGGGTCATGTATGAACCACGCAGCCCAGGCACCGCAACGATCGGTGCATTGGGCCCAACAAGAATTGCCACACACCCAGCACCCCCCGTTGGCCTGGCAGCAGCCTCCTTGTAAATAGCAATGTCGGAGGCAACAACAATAGCATCTCGGCCATCCCAAGAGCGCGATTCCACCCAATTAATTGCATTGAATAGCGCGTTTGTTCCACCATAGCAGGCGTTCACTGTGTCAGCGCCTTCTAGAGAATGATTGTCGGCAAAGAGCTGGGTGAGAACCGTCTTGACTGATTTAGCCTTATCGATGGGAGACTCAGTCCCTACTTCAAGTCGGCCGACCGATCGCGGGTCGATTGAGTATTTCCGTAGGAGTGATGCGACCGCTGTCAGAGCGAGAGAACAGACATCTACCAGAGGTTATTAGGGCCGACCATTGTCGAAACACAGCGCTCTGTCGCGAAAACTCACCTTCGCGGTCTGTGCAAAAGTTCATGGACCGCAGACCCAGGCCAATGGTATATTTGCCGGCAGAGACTCCCTGGTGACTCTCGAACTCGCTCTGATCTAAGACCTATAATAAAACCATCATGAGCAACTATTTCCCCGCACACGATGGGTCGTGTGTATACCTACCTGACCCGGGACATAGATCTCGAGGGCCTTAATGCCCACGTTCTTGGGGCACGCCATTAGGTATCCTGCAGCTAGGGGTCTATCGGTCAGCTGGGAGTGTTGCAGTCAAATGTCGCAAAAAGTTAACAAAATAAAATACTTGGGTGGTGTGTGTAGTCGGAAGCTGCAGATCAGGTTTAGGGTTGCCGGAGCTAATACGAGTAGACTTGCCTTGTTGGTCAATTTTTCTCCTTGGGGAACTTGACTCCGACTGGACTCTTTCGGGTGGTCGCCGCTCACATTGTATATGCAACCATATCAGGATGGGCTATATTACTACTAGATATTACTGCAGTATGGCGATTAAAAAACAAAAGGGATAAAGGCAAAGAAAAAGAAAAAGAAAAAAGGAACCAGCATCGAAAATCTTCCATTATCATCCTCCTCCCATACATTGGACACTCGCCCGCCATGACGGTAACCATTCCTAAATGTATTACTCCTTCTTCCTGGATTCCAGCAACTCATCCCTTGGTGGAGTCCATCAGTGCTGAAGTAAATGGCTGGTTCCTCCAGCACTGGCCCTTTCCAAATGAAAAAGCGAGGAAGAAGTTTGTGGCAGCGGGTTTCTCGCGCGTCACCTGTCTATACTTCCCTCTGGCACGAGATGACCGCATTGCCTATGCCTGCCAGCTGCTGACAATTTTGTTTTTGATTGATGGTGCGTCTTCTGTGAGTTGTGCTTGGCTATGGTAACTGGAAGCTAACCATGGGCTTGCAAGACCTTCTCGAGGACATGTCTCTCAAGGACGGTAAAGCGTACAATGACAAACTCATGCCGATAGCCAGAGGTGACGTAGCACCAGACCGTAAGTCTCCCAACCGGTCGGCAACTAGCTTATTTGCGCATTCCATTGCCTCATAGCTACTAACCATTTCCAGCCTCAATTCCTGTAGAATGGATGTTCCACGAAATTTGGGCGAATATGCGTGCCCAAGACGTTATGCTCGCTGATGATGTCCTCGAACCATGCTTCGTTTTCATGAGGGCACAAACGGACAAGTCACGCCAGACCATCAATGAGCTGGGCGAATACATGATCTATCGAGAGCGCGATGTGGGCAGTGCGCTTCTCTCCTCACTAATGCGCTTTGCTATGGACTTGCCCCTTTCGCCCGAGGAACTTGCAGTGGTACGACCGGTAGAGAGAAACTGTGCTAAGCACATTGCCATCATCAACGACATCTACAGCTGGGAGAAGGAGCTTGCGCAGTCGCAAAAATCGTCAGAAGAAGGATCTGTCCTATGTTCCGCCGTGAAAGTCATGGCAGACAATGCAGGTCTGAGCATTGATTCGGCGAGGCGGGTGCTGTGGAGCATGGTACGTGAGTGGGAATCTAAGCATGATTTACTATGTGCGATGCTGTGTGGGCAGGATCCTACCGATGTGAAGACTCTGTATGTAGAGGGATTGAAGTATCAAATGAGTGGGAACGAGCTGTGGAGTAGGACAACACCGAGGTATTTATTGGTGGATTAGGTCGGACCACGAAGGCCAAATGAACCAAATGGATTTTATGAACGCATGGAGTGCTCGTAGTTGGTAATATCATGGTCGTTAAGGACATCCACCGAAATAAGTGAGATTAGGCCCTACAAGGCCCATTACTCCGGACGATAGGGCTCCGGGGCAGCATAGATTTCGAGCAGTCCGACTCCGACACTGGCTAACCCATATATATATCTCCTTTCTCATACCCCCTTCTTTCTCCTCAGAACGCCATTACCCACCATGGACCCAGCAACACTATCTACATGCACCACCCTCGGGTGCCTGGACGATATCATGCCCGACATCGATCTTCCCATGATCCTCTCGTTTGCATGCCCAACTACACACTACGCTATAACCGAACAGAACCTCCGCCGTTCTTTCACGGAGCTATTGGGAAAAAGCCCCTGGTTGAGGGGATACATTCACAGTAACGTCACTGGACTAGATGAGCATTATAGGAAGGGAACAAAATTGTTCAGCCATATCCCTGATCTTTCATCTAACGTCAAGAATAAGGAAGATGCGGAGAGAATCGAATTTCAAGATCTCTCCTCGCACACAACATACAAGGGCAAAACCTATCCAGAGCTCGTGGCAGAGAACATGCCCGCCTCATACCTTTCACCCGAGCTCCTAGTTCCCAATCGAGCGACAAAAGATGCAAACGTGAAGTATGCCCTGCAAGCGAAGGTATCTTTCATCAGAGAAGGAGTCTTCATCGTGTTGAGCACGAGCCATGCGCTTATGGACGCTACCTCTCTGGCTGCGATATTCGGTGCATGGGCTGCTCTCTCGAGGGGAGAAGAACCTACACCATTGTCGCACTCTCCCGTCTTGGGGCCCGAGTTGGATTTCAGGGGACGAAGCGGGAAACAAACGATGGCCACGGAGGAATCGAACTCTTCCGATTGCCGAGGGGAGAAGAGCTGTATGCAGGCGACGTATGAAGCCCTGAAAGTTCAAAAACACTTATGGCATATGATGGGCCTTGATTACCGGCCGAAGGAAATGAGTAGCGCGGTGTTGGCCCAGCGGGTTCCGAGTCGGTCAACAGTGACGAAGATTTTCAAGATTACAGCAGCGGCGCTAGCCCGGTTGAAGGTAGATTGCTCCATACCGAATGGGAGCGAAGATCATGGCCAAGAAAGAGGGTGGATTTCAACCAATGATGCGCTTTCAGCACTTCTCTGGAGATGCATTGTCCGCGCGAGAATCGCCGCTACTCCGGACCTGCGAACTCGCACGAGCAGCGTGATGTGCGCTATGGATATGCGGAACTCCCCTGTTTTGGCCCCCAGGGCTACTCAAACGGCAGACGAGGCCGGCATGGCAAGGGCAAAACTTGCAAACATTGTGTTGTACAGCATCGAGAGAGCGCTAGTTCCCGAGCTCGTGGAGTCGAGTTCGCTGTCAGACACTGCACGTGGCATCCGCACTGCCATGCAGAAATACACCGAATCATCGCACGTTAGCAGGGCTTTACAACTTGCAGCAGCCATCCCGGATGTTTCAGCACTCGGGCTTGTGTACCCCACGTGGCTAGAGCATGATGTGGTTATCAGCTCCCTAGCACGTCTCCCATTGTACAACACACCGTGGGGAGACACATTTGGAGACGAAGGAAACGGTGTACCGGATATTGTTCGCTGGCCTGAACGCGTTTTTGAGGGTGTGACTTTTGTAATGCCTCGCAGAAGGGACGGTAGTGTTGAGATAGTGCTTACTATGGGAACAGCGGACATGAAGGAGATGGATCGGGATAAAGAGTGGAGCAGTTATGCTGAGAACGTAGCTTAGGCAGGGCAAAATAGATATGCGGCATATAAAGAATATGTCGGATGTGTATCGATTGCTCTTGTTATTTTCAGTTCTTCATCGTAGTCTTCTGTTTACAAAGTCTACAATAACTCATGCCCGCGAGTGTCTTTCTTGTATTCTAGGGAAGTTCTGCATTGTTTAAGAGACAATATCACTTCGTCCATTTGCTTCAATGATATCTCAATGGGAACTTCACTGAGCAAAAAAGACCTTGTATCGAAAATATAGAGTATGTATGGGTTGGGACTATTATGCGGTGCTGACAGAAATGCCGTCTTTCTGACTCTTTCCCTCTGTACTTCCTGCTATCTGGATCTCTCCATCCGCACCCTTGTGATCTTCAGTGACAACCGAATGTGCCGGCTGCCTCATATTGCGCACTTTCGCTCCAAAACTACTTAAAAACGCCACACCAGCACACGCCAAGCCCAGAATCCATGCCGCCCTGAGACCAGTTAGGTAGGCATCCAGAATATCTCGGAGCTGAGTGCCTGAAAAGTGAGACCGTAAATCATCGGCGCCCACGGAAATAATTTGGTTGGGATTATAGGTTGACGAGAGGGAAAGGAGCTTGGTTATGAGGCGATTGGTAAAGACGGACTGAGCCACAGATACAAATATCGTGCCACCAAGAGTTTGGAAGACTGGAGAGTGCAAGAACGTTAGCTAGGAATGGTCTTTCTTGAAAGGGAAAAAATAGTAGTCAAGTGGTAAAAGTAAAACGCGTACAGAGCAAGATTGCTGTAATAGACGCCGTATCTTCTGGCTTCGCGAACGTCTGCCCAGCCATGACTGGCACTTGCAGGCAAAGGCCTGAGCCAATACCAAAAACAAGCTGGCCGCAAACATACTTGGCCGTGCTGAGGTCCAAAGACAGGGTGTATAGAATACCACCAGCAACGGTGCAGAGAGCGGAGCCAATCCATAGGAAGATATGGAAGTATCCAAAGACAGTTAAAGCAGCACCTGCGACAATGCCGAAAATAGCTATTTTGGAGGTGAGCGCAGTCAGTGATATGGCAAGTATGGCAAGGGGTAAAATTGCTTACACGAGCCGACAATGAGCGGGAGGCTGCGGACTGAGCTTGCGGCGGCAGACAAGTTGCCAATAGATTGGAAGTAGATGGGTAAATAATATACAAAGGTAAAATACGAGCCAGCAAGGCTAAAAGTCATGTTAGTTCTAGTCAACAAGCGAGGAACGAAGGGCTGCCATACAAGCAATTGAAGAGGGACAGGAAAATTGTGTCGCGCTTCAGAAGAAGGCGGGGGACCGCCATAGCCTTCTCACCCTGCCACCATTGCGTTCCAGCGAAGGCAATAAGAATGACAATAAACCCTACAAGGCAGCCGATGACTTCGGAGGACCCCCAGGGCCTGGTAATGCCACCCCATTGTACTGCGAGGAGAAGACATACTAGAGAGCAGGTGACCAGTAGGACACCTAGCGGATCCATAAACAAGAACTTTTCCCAGATAGTCGCGGGTTTTGGCGTCGCTGTAGCCGGTGTTTTGAAGAAAATGAAGAGCACAAGCAAGGAAAATCCACCGATAGGGAGGTTGATATAGAAGCTTCAAAGTATTAGCCTGGTACTCAATCACCACTACAGTCACCCGGGACTCACCACCACCGCCATGTCACATTTGTTGTGAAAGCGCCGCCAACAAGCGGGCCAGCCACGCTTGCCAATCCATATACTGCCCCGAGCACGCCAGTGTAAGCAGGACGCTTCTCCGGCGGAGCGATGAAGGCAATGATGATGTAGCAACCATTGGTGACACCGGCGCCGCCAGCACCACAAATGGCTCTCCCGATAATGAGTGTCCGACTATCCTGAGCGACGCCTGTATGCAAGGTGAGGTTCGACTTCCGCTAGATAGGGATAGACAGGAAAGCAGTACCACAAATCAAGCTACCGATTTCAAAGATAACTATAGCCGCTATAATAACCCATTTGAGGGGAAAGTAGGTATAAGCCTTGCCCCAGGACTGCGCAAAGCTCGATATAGTGAGAAAGAACGCCGAGCCATACCATCCAATATCGTCTAAACTATTAAACTCCTGAGTGATACGTGGAATGGCCGTGGCAACTATACTCTAGTAAAATTAGGGTTGGGTGGTGTCGACTGAGGTCGGCGGGGGTAGGCTAACCATGTCCAATGCCACCAGAAATATACTGACTATGAGTGCCAGGACCAGCAAGGCCAATTTTATGCCAGATGGATAGTCACCTGTGGAAGTCATACTGTCGAAGACAAATATGGTGTTTGTGTATATGCCAGGTTGCTAGGGTGGGGCAGAGGGTGAGGGAAGGAGAGAAGGGAGACGCCTTTACGAGGAACAGGGACATGGAATTGTGCGTTCCATGGCAAAGCGGCGAGCTGAATGTTTCTCAAAAGCACAGGGCAAAATCTGGCTGGCGATCGGCGTTGCGTATATTTTTTTGGGACTATCCAGATGGAGATGTGCCTATTTCAGAATTACCCCATTAGGATAGCTTTGGAAATGGACCCGCCAAACACACACAAACCAGGTGATCTAGAATTCTTTCAGTTCAGTAAGCCCCACGAGGCCGCCATATCCCTCTTGGAAATCAATTCTGCAATATTCTTAGTCATTCTCTGACCCTGATGCTACTTTGCCTTCTGCATCAGGTGATTGATGCCCTAGCTTCTGCCAAGATTTTGTTCTTCATATCACCTCTCTTGGAATGCAATATGAGATAAATATAATACTACTAGTTTCTGTTTTTGTTCGGAATAAGCGTACTTGCTATATATCTAAGGTCGAAGCCACAGGATGCCCTTGGCAACTTTTCCAATATCGCCGCCCAGTGTCATTCAATATTAGGGGATATACGGAAGTAAAAGGTTTCAAAATTACCTACCACTATAATGGCTTAGTCCAACCTTTCTGATGCTATTATTGGGCAATAAATGAATATGCTCTATTTGATATGACTATAATGATCATATGAAAGATTCGAGTAAACTGGATCAGGTACACCTGCCTAAGACACAGATAAATGCCTGAGATGCAATGTTCCTTGATGTCATTCTAAAGACGAACTACCCTTTTAGAACGTTTTATTATACTGTCTTATATGTGAAGTCTCAAAACTTGTCGAAAATAACAATCTTCTTGAAGTAGTGGTAAATAACTTTGGCCAATTATATGAAAGGGCTGAAAAGCACGCTCATCGTGTGAATATCATAAGGGTCACCAGACCAAGAGATACTGGTCTCTACCGTCCTGCCCTTCTCTTTAAAACTAGTCGCTGTCCGTCCAACGGCGCAAGCGTGACTTTACCTGCACACTTCAAATCTAAATCTCTTCTTGCCTGATCCCGATCTACGCCTTCGGCAAATGTTATCTCGAATGTGTGCAGTAGAACCGAGAAGAAAGCCATGTATTCTGCTTGCGCAAACTTGCGGCCGAGGCAGGCGCGAGCCCCGTCACTGAATGTTAGCAAAGTGCCACGCATTTGGCGTGTTTTATCGGCTGCGATGGCGGCAGTTTTAGCGTGGGATTTCGCAGAGCTCGGCGCTGCCGTGGGCCTGCTCGTATTTTTATCGCTGAAAGAATAGCTCTCAGACCATCGCTCCGGTCTTAGTTCTTTGGGATTCTCCCAATACTTCTCGCTGTAGTGGACGCCTGGAGTGGATAAATAGACGCGGCAGCCTGGCGGGAGGATGTGTGAGGTGTTCCCAACGCAAACGCGCTGGGCTTCGTGGCACATTTTTGTGATGAGCGTAACGCCAGGGTAGAGCCTGAAAGTTTCGTACTGGATAGTTTTGTTAGCGCAGCTCAACTGAATCGTCTCAGACATCCACAGAGAAGGGGCCGGGGGGAGGATGAGATTCTTAGTAGGCATTGGAGACTCACCATAAAGCCGTACATATATTTCAACTCGGGAAAGTCTAATTGGTACGTGAGTTCACTGCGACCTTCCATAGCTGCTTGCGACCATACGGAGTCAACTTCAGCAGCGACACGCGTCTGTAATTCCGGCTCCAAGGCGAGCACAACCAGGCCGTATGCGATAGCATTCGCTGTGGTTTCATAACCTGAGTTCGTTTGCGGGTTAGCCCGTAAACGGACGCACCAAGGGACAGGGACTCACCGGCCAACAGATAGATAAACAAATTTCCCAAAACTTCGGACTCGGTAAACGCATGCTTTTTACTTGGCTCCGAGGGAGCTCCCTTTTGTTGCTGCTGTTTCTCCTGCGCAACGTCATAAGATGACTTGAGTAGCGTCTGCATTAGGTTTCCTGACGGTCCACGAGATGCCACACTTCCACCGCTGTCCAGCGCTTCCCGCTCCTCCTGGATCATAGCACGAAGATATTTGTCCAGCTCTGCATGTGCCAGTGTCGCCTTTGCCAGCGGAGAGACTCTTAACAGCCACGCCGGAAATACTAGAATAGCGACCATAAACGCCGTCGTATCCGTTATGGCTCTCAGAAAGCTGATCTTATATCCTGACGGAATATCCTGGGTCTGTTCTGTCACCGAGTCGAGCTTCTTGCCAAAGCCCGCAAGAGAAATAACTGCAAGTGTCAGAGCGTTGACGTCTTCATGCAGATTTCCAGGGGACTCTTGCTCCCATTTAGGAAGAAGATTGCGGGTTTGGCGCATAGTTTCTGTCCAGACAAGGTCGTTGACACCACTGCCATCTGATAAGGGCGGTGCAGTGATGCGTAGGTGGAAACGGTGCTCAGCTCCTTCGGCGGTTGCCACGTTCGGTCCATAGAGTTCGAGGAGTTCTATTATTATCATACAGGGTGGTTAGAAGCGAACCTAAACATGCCTGAGGGCATATGCTAGACCGAATGAACCCACTGTATTTATCTCGCGGTTTTGTGAAATCGTATCGACGGTTCATCACGTCCCAGCCCATCTTCGCATCTGCACTGTAGCAAATCATGCCCTCAGTGGATACGACAATAAAAACGTCACCATATTCCTCGTGGGCCAGCCGCTTATCCTCCCATGACCAGTCTTTGATCATAAAGCGGCACCATCGAGGCCATCCTTTACCCTCATCAAGAGAGTTAATATATATGGTGCGAAGAATGGGGGTTGCAATCTGGGCAAGAACTTGTGTCTCGAGCAGTGGAGTGACGACGACGGGAAGACCGGTTCCCTTCGCTTTGGTATAGTTTCGCCATAGCTTCAATGATTGTACAACAACGACGATGAGGGCCAGGACCAGCAGAATTCCTGGCGTAGCTATGTGTTGCATGGTAACCGGGCTCCTCTAGCATCAAGATGTGCTTGCGGACATGGGATAAAATATTTATATGGACTCCCGAATACTCGGCCCGGGGTGGGAATGGAACTGGAGTGATATTATTTTAGTTCTGGTTGCTGCGATCTGCATGAACCACGCTAAATTGGTGGTAATAATTTTTTTTTGAACTTCAACTTCTCATTTTCTTATTGGGGTAATGACCACATGGGGTATAGTGCGACGACCGCTAGTACTTCATCGCTTCAAAGGACCATACCAAGTACACACTTATTGCTCGGAACACAATTTAGCAGAAATAAATTCCATCATGACTAGTATCCAGCTCACACTAGAGGATATCCCTTCGTTGGAGGGTAAGGTGGTGGTTCTTACAGGTTCGTTCTTGTGACTACTCCCACATTGCATCTTGAATTCGTATACCTAAGCCCACACCTGTGATAGGCGGCGCCTCCGGTATTGGCCTGGCAGCTAGTCGGATCTTTGCGCACAAGGGAGCACAAGTCCATATTCTAGACATTGTACCCATTGATGAGGACTTTGACATCTACGAGATCCCTGGTCAGTCGAGTGGTGACTCTCCAAAGCTAGATCCGAGCTCTGGGGGTTCCATCCACTTTAGGAAGTGCGATATTACGGACTGGAGCTGCCTCCGAGACACTTTCCTTTCCTTTGACCACATTGACATTGTTGTCGCCAATGCAGGTGTATCTCAGGACCCAGACTACTTCACCGATACTTTGGATGAGAGTGGCCAGCTTAAAGAACCAGCCCATCATGTCGTCGACGTTAACTTTCGCTCGACATTAAACCTCACGAAGCTCGCCCTTCGACAATTTCAGAAGCAAGGCCCAGGGAGCAGTCTTGTCATTACCGCGAGTAGCACTGCGTATTCGCCTGAGCAGAGCCTGCCAATTTACAGCGCCACCAAAAGTGCTGTATGTTGGGCGATCCCTAAAGTGTCCACTGCTGGCTGACCATTTTTTTCTAGCTCATCGGCTTAATCCGAGGACTGCGTCCGATGGCAGAGGTCTATGGGGCTACTGTTAACGGAGTGGCACCAGCCGCTACCATCTCCAAGCTCTTACCCGGAAATCTCGCACTGCCTATCAAGGCTGCAGGAGCACCCATTAGCAGCTCCTTCCACGCCGGTCTTGCGGTAGCATTTTCAGCTGTTGCGCAGCAGGCGCGCTCCGTTGAGCTGTACGGTAGAGATGACCCCGCAAAGGTAGCATTGCCAGGCCGGTGGAATGGCCGGGTCATCGTAACTTTGGGTGACAGATGGACGGAGGTGGAGGAGCCAATTGCGACATTGCGCTCGCAGTGGTTCGGGGAATATAACACAGAGCAGACCGCACTACAACAGAAGCTGACCGATTTACGGGGGGTGTAGTTAGACGTTGTACATTTTTTTTTTTTTTTTGGAGAAACGACTAAAATGAAAGTCTCGATAGGCTCGCAGTGAGCTTTCCTGACTATTTGCCATAGGAATTGGGCAGCGCGCTTTTGATAATATTCAATATTTCATATGTTTCTCTATATAGAATGTCTATCCAAAACTAAAGTAAACAATAATCCTGTGTATTCATCTATATGAATAGTAGAGACACTAAAGTAACAGTCGGTAGTTACCGAGATGTCTAGAGGTCTAGTGTGTACAGGCGGGTTAGAGAGAGGGAGAAGTTTAAGATTATTCAGATACGGGAAACCTTTGCTTTTAGGGACTGGCAGGGACTCACTAGCCGGTGAGGCCATGAAATGTGGTTTACCATAGTCATACATCACCATATGGGAAGGCTAGCTAAGGCCTCTCGTGGAACCGAATCCAGAGTTCTGGTTTCCACCACATCACAAAGACCTTGCCCTCTTCCAGCCAATCCAGATCTTTGTTGACAAGCTCCATGTCGTACTTCCATAGCAACTTGGCCAAAAGCATATTAATTTCCATATATGCGAAACTATCGACATATCAGTTTGGATCCCAGTCCACTAGGACGAACAAACAAAGGGGCTTGGCTTACTTGCGTCCTAGACAACCTCTTGGACCTAATGAGAAAGGCTGGCTAGCCTCCTTGACATCCCGACTATTGGGATCTATCCAGCGCTCGGGTTTGAACTGCATTGGATCCTGGAAGTACTTTGCATCGTGTGTCACTGCCCAAGCGCTCGTATATATCTCCGTCTATTTGGCGTCCATGTTAGCCCTTTTTCAAAACATCATCCATAGGTGGTGGGGCCACTTGCGCCTGGCGGAATAAATTCACCGTGCAATTCAAAGCCTGGTGAGATACGAGGGAAGCCCTGTGATCCCGGGGGGTATATCCGTAGACCCTCATTAATCACGGCTTGCAGATACGAAAGCTGTTGCGCCTTTTGTGCTTCAATCTCGCCGAATGAGGTAAATGCCCCGCGAATTTCAGCGGTGAGTTGATTGAGGACATCTGGATTCTTGAGCAGAAAGAAGGTAGTGCCTGCGAGGAAGGTCGATACTGTTTCGCCGCCAGCAATCCTGTGAGAGATGAGCGTACTGGATATTAAAAGCACAAGCAAAATCTCGCTACCCACGCTAAGGTCGACACATGGGCCGTCATCTCCTCCTTATCAACCTCGCCAGTGCGCACCTTGTCGGCCAGGGTAGTAAGGAAGTCCCTTTTTCCAGTTTTCGAACTGAGGCGTCTGTTATAACGGTTAGATTAGTCGTTCTCCGTCTTGACCACACTCACTTTTCCACTTGTGCCCTGCTATACTGGGAATTCTGGTTCTGGACGACCAAGGTCGATGGGAACACGATCTTGGCGATCGTGGCGACGAACGGCAATCGGCTTAGGTTGTCAATCAATGTGATGAGGTACAAATGATCTTCAACGAGGTCCGACCAAAAATGGGGTTTTCCTGTTGGTTGTTAACGGTCAGTGGAGGGTAACGTATCTTGGTTGGCAACAAGCAGTTTGTCTCACCATCCTCGAGGCTATGAAACGACTCCCCGAATGCCATCTCCCCAAGGATATCAAACCCAACCATCTCGGTCCACTTTGTCATGTTCAACCCTGGGCTTCCTTTCCCACCCTTCTTCCCAACGATCTCAATAAATCTATCCACAATCCGGCCAACAGTACCCTCCTGCTCCAATAAGCTCCGCTGGGAGAAGGCTGATGAAAGCATGCGCCGCATCTCGCCGTGTTTCCTTGGGTTGCGCTCGCTGCCAATACATGACTTCCTGAAACCCGCCCCGAAGACATCATAGAACGGGCTTTTAATGGCGATAGGCTTGCCGGGAGCGGCATGCCCGTATATGGCTTTCCAGGACTCGACCGACGCGAAGGACAGTTCGTTTGGGGAAATACGAACAATCGGCCCTGGGGGAGTTAGTCCGCCACTTGGCTACGGGACGCTGGGACGTCTCTGGCATACCGTACTGCCGATGCAACTTCTCGATCGCGATGTGGATTTTGCCAGTTGCAGTATTATTGTATCGCCATAGCTGGGAAAATGTAAGCCCGTCTTTTCAACACAGAAAATGCCCGGGAGCAAAAATACCAACGTCGCTCTACCTAAGAGTGGCCCAGGGAACCTGGCCAGAGGGTGAAAAAAGACATTGTATGCGGCCTTAATGAGCAGAAACCCCACTACAAACGAGCATACCAGCAGAAGCGGCCAGTTTGCTGCTCGTGGTGCCCAGCTTGCTATATCAGCCATCACGCTTTCAGCAGTTGCAGGAACAAATTCCCTACTGGCGGACATATTGGTTGGCTATTCATCTCACGCCCAGAGAAGAGGTACGGGATACGATAGATCCATTTTCGACATCTTTGAATCGGGATTTATGCCTGACCCGCGGCCCCGAGAAGCCCTTTGCGGATATTGTCTCGAAGGGGAAAGACCACTTTCTCCTCATTAGGAATATCCGGAGCTATAAGTTACATTAGCGGACCTATCCTATATCTACTAGGTAATCCACCCGATTAGGAGTTCGCTGCGACTGGGCCATTGTGAGGCAGTCTAAACCACTATCATGCAATCCCAGAGGGAGTTCCGGAGTTCCTGGGACCTCAGGAGCTATAACCAGATTAGAACTCTACATAGCTCTAAATTAGTCAGAGCTTTACCTTCCTTCTAATTATATCAAAGCAATAAAATTTTCATAAATATGATCCCATACTAAAATAACCACTAAGCATATTGGCTAATATTGTCTTCACAGTTTTTATGAATACTATCTATATCTATATTGATATTCATACTTCGTGGGAAACTTTTTCTAAAAGGTATAGGTTTAATATAATCATGTGAATATTTCCGCGGGAGTTCAAGCTGTCATTTCCAGCCCCAACCCTGACCCACTCTTCGGACCATGGCCGAGGGGCAGGATTGCCCAAAAATAACTCGTTGGCTAATGTCACGGTGGTAATTGTCGGAAGCGGTCATGTATACTGGTTATTGTATCATCTCCACTCCTAAGAGTTCAGCCAACCTTTTTTTATTTCTTCTTTTGGCTGTTATAGGAGGTTATCTTGGCGACTCCAAATCATCCTTCGCAGCACGCTATGCATCCCTTAGCAACTCGAGCCTCTGAATCGAGGCATGCAATCGTTCACGGCATTGCCCTGCTGGTCCCGACGCGCCCCGTAATCGCTCTCGGAACCGCACCGAAAATCCGGTCATGGCCTTCAACTTCTCGTGGACTAGGAGCGCGATCAAGCTTCTTCGCTCGGCCACACTCTCGACTACATACTCACCGACGCGCACAGGCACCGTCATGACCAAGCTAGCCGCCATCTGCTCGTCTCTCGCGCATGATACCGTGGGAAGCTGCTCCAGGAGTCCAGCGTAAAGGTCCACAATTTGCTCAATGAGCATAACGAGCTGGGCCGTGTTGGAGCCTTGTCCAACGCATTGAGGGGCACACGCTAATACGTCGCTCCCGAGTCGCGCTGCGCGTTCATGAGCAGCGAAGACAAACGACATATTCTGCCCTAGTTGGGCCGCGCTGCCGCGGGTAGGGTTTATGGATGAAGAGGGATAGCACCAGCGTGAGTATCCGCTCAGACTGAATAGTAGTGCCGACAGGCGATCAGCGCAGGCGCAGGGGTTCGGTGGAGAAGATGGCCGATTCGCCAATGCCTCGAACGCGGGGGATGATCGGCCGAGGGAGGCGTCTTGCTGCGTTCCCCCACCACAGAGGGTGGGGCCTGGAGATGTAGAGCGATCGTTGTCAGGCGTGGATGTGCTTGGGACTAAAATGGAGGTGCACGCGGTTGCGTCAGTCGGCTGATACTGATCAAGACTAACTGGTTGACTCACATGGCTCATAAGCGACTAGGTCAGCAGGAGCGTTCTTGGGCTTCTTATCGTCCTCAAATGTCCAGTCCAAGTGGTCAGAATATTCCAAAGACGATCCTATAAAATCCATGGCGGCCCCATCGCTAAGATATGGCGAGGAATTTGGAGTGTGACTCTGGAAGGCGGAGTGCTCTTCGTCCGTAGGCAGGCTAGTCAGTAATTCAGGTGATATAGTTGGAGGTCCAAGCTCATGCTGAGGCTTATCAACTGCGTATCCTGCCTGAAACATAGAGTCACTGGTCTTTTCCGGTGCCAGAGAAAGCTCGTTATAGTGGCGCTTATGTGAGGCGCCTTTGTTGGGATTATGGATGCTCCAGCTCAACTCTATGCCGGCTGTGGGACTCATACTTCGGCAATTCTGCGGCCGTGATGACCGGGAACTGGACTTGCCGGTCCTGTTGTATACGCATTTTACTTTTAGCCCAACACATCGTGCACAGCCTAACTGATCGCCGCTGCATTTGACCTGGTGGCGGTTTAGCTTCTAACACCTTTATACAGAGGGGAGATGCCTACTGCTTGTATTGGCGCATGTCTCTTACCTTGTGAACCCGGCACGTTTCACAAGCAAACTTCCGGGTAGAATGGCCGGGGTCACCGTGGGGAAACGAACCAGCTTTAGAATTCTTCGACAGTCCCTTATCTGTGAACGAGAGAGTGCCGAACATCACTGCTCCTCTCACCAGAAGGGAAATCGAGTGTTCGACGTTCTGCGGCTATGAACAGCCCTGGCGTCCCATGAAGGGTACTGGTGTGGGGGAGGCGGAGGGGAGGGGCGGACAGCTCTTATCAAGAAATAGCTGAAGCAAAAGACTTTAAAATTTGTGTATGTATTTCGTCGAGTCGAGGACAGTGCTGCCCGTATTAATTGACAGATTTGCAAGGGCATTGCTTGCACATTCACCTATCCTCACGTCGGGGCGTTGGTTGGTATGGTGGGGCTTGCTGTCTCGTATCATCACCACGCTAAGCGCTGGCTTCATTGCGATGCGGGATAATTCATGACTACACGGAAAATGACAGGCTCACATCACTTCGCTTAGATTCAAACCTCATCTCCGGTTGGAAGTCGGGAAGCAGAAGCCCCTCCTTCCTCAGGGACAGGTATCCGCAGATAATTGCTCGGACCACCCATACTAAATCCTTCTCACTATTTAGACTCCTTCACAACACTTCACCTCGGCTTTCGACATTAGCCATGAGAGTCCTAGAGTAGACGAACACAATGAGACCATTAAAGGTAGAAAAAGTCCCATCCAAGGGCCGAGAACACCTATTGCGTATATGTAGGAGTCCATGTAGTACGTAATGCCTGACGAACAGAATAATCATTGGTCGACCGATACAGGGTGTCTTAATCTAAGTAGAAAATCTGGCTAGTGGGCGGATTGCCTGCTCCGGTAGTACTGCCTACAGGATGATATAACCTAGTGGTTCCACTCTCTACAAGACCCTTTGACGGCTGAGATCAATTCTTAGGTTACTTCAATCTCATGGGGGCCAAAACCTCGGCTTGCTCTCGGTTACATGGCAAGTTGTAATAAATTTTGAACACGACCACTACTCAGGCTTAAAAAATGAAGCTTTGATCCACATATAAGGTAATAAAATTCCCGCGCAGTTTGGGGTCCAAGTCCAGGATCCGCTGCGGATCCTGGTGGATTTCCAACCGATCTTGTGGCTTGGACACAGAGATCAGCCGATTTGGGCCGAATCTGCACAGGTTTATTTATCTAATTCACTGGGTTTATCTTGATCTTTGAGCGAGGAGGGTGGGGGAAGGGGAGAAGGGAGGAAAATAAAAAATGCCAAAGAAAAGAGACCTCAGATTACGAGTAGTCAACTTTTGGTACCGTGAAATTGCGGCTATTTGTGGGTTTCTCCCGCGGAGAATACCTTTTTATATTGCACTGAAGTCCAGAGACTAGGGCTCCGATACTAGTGCCATGAACGGGGTGGAGCCGCTAAGGCAGGAATGGAAGGTACCGTCACCGGGCCTCTCACGCCACCTACCGAAAGGAATTGACCCCATACGGCAGACTAAATCGAAGTTCCGGACAATGGACAATGTTTACCAATTTTACTCACACCAACTCACTATAATTCAGCCAATTTAAGTCGATTTAAAAAGCACCATTAGATTATCTACCAATAGTAATCGTCTAAATAATCGGGTTATCAGCAACTGAATATATTTACCGCTGTTAAGGCGTTTTTCCGCCAGCACTCGACCGCTTTAGAAACTCTTAGTTTTATTTCCTGCTGTCTCTATAAACTTAGATTTTTTAACTAACGTTAGGTACTTGAATCCCTAAACTTAGGGCCTAGTGTCTGGATATTTATACCGCTAGGACTACTGCTATTACCACCCCATCCCCTACCTATACCCCTACCACTACCACTACTACTACCACTATAGTACTAATTCTAGATACTATAATCCTCTCTAATTTTTTAATACTATTGATTTAATTAATATTTAATAATATTAATATATTGTAAAATTCTGAATGGTAGAGAGCGCTATTAAATAAGTATGTGACTTAATGTAAAAACTCTGAGATTCCTGTAAGAAGTCATTTTATTGTCCAGACCTTCGATTTAATCCGCCGTAACCCTGCTTTGTACCCATCAAGTCCAGATTTGCATCCTTTTGGTTAAAAGCATGTCAGGCTTTCTGTCTAGACACATAAGATAAACCTTGCTACCTAAGTTATTGCCATTGTGCTGGGAGGAATCTACATCTTAGCAACCAGAGTAGTTACTAGCTATGTATATATATGCTCTTTTAGATACAGTTCACTTTATCAGTGGCTTGACTCTGCATGATCAGAGCGATTCGTTTTAGACTGGTGATACTATACTGGTCGACACGTACGGTATCGGACCAATTCGGTTGTCAGATAATCAGGTTCTGTGGAGAGAGGGTAGTTGTGGAAGGCAGCAGTCCTAATTACTCGCTATGTTTCAATCCGAGCATATCGAGAGAGTCCTCCCATAGCTGCTTCTCACGCCTTTCGTCATATGCCCAAGGCGCATGCCCATCATCTCCAATTGGAACCTGTACCCCCTCGACCTCGACGCCTGCAGAAGGCCCTTGTTCAACGCACTGGCTCAAATACTTGCCACCTTTGGTCTTCCATTCCTCACTCAACGCAGCGTATATGCAAGTAGCTGCGCCCTGCTCGGCGTTCATCATGTATGCATACACAGAATCATTGGCCTGAAGTGCTTCTATTACCTTTGGATCCCAGTGCTTCTGTAGTCCAGTCCAGATACCCCCCGGGTGCAAGCTGCTTCCGTGGACACCACGGCTGCCATAACGGCGCTCGAGCTCGTTGGCGAACCAGATGTTGGCCGTCTTCGCCTGCCCGTAAGCGTGGCCTGGATCGTATGACCCCGGTTCTGTGAAGTTGTAGTCTCCGGGACGGACTTTGCCGTAACGATGGCCCATAGAAGAGACAGAAACGACTCGGGAGGGAAAGTCATGAGAGGCAGAGGCCAGCAGGGTCGACTTGAGGAGCTGGAAGAGCAAGAAATGACCAAGGTGATTGGTTCCGAATTGGGTTTCAAATCCATCTTCTGTCTTGCCTTCTGGGGTGTGCATGACGCTGAGGTCGTTGAGGATCAGTCATGACTGTGCTATTTGATCAGAGACACTAGACGGGGGTCGCTTACCCAGCGTTGTTGATTAGAACATTAAGCTTCTTGCTCTGACTCAGAAACTCTGCAGCCGCTTTTCTTACCGATGCCAAACTGTCCAATCTCATTTCAATTAAGGTGATCTTGCCGCCCTTTGTCGTGGATCGGATATCATCGACCACCTTCTTGCCCTTAGCCACATCGCGGACCGTGCCAAAGACATGAGCTCCCGTGGCATAGAGTGCCCGAAGGATCTCGATGCCAATCCCAGAAGATACCCCAGTGACTTGGTCTCGTTAGAAGGAATGGTTTCTTATCATCCAAGGAGGGCAGCAGTGATCTCATACCCAGGAATGTCTTGTCCGTAAGTTTACCAATTAGGGCCTCATCCTTCACAATTTGAAGGGCCGTTGGCCGACTATCTCCTGGGCCTTTAAACCCGGCATATGCATGTGCGTAGTGAGACATCCTTTGGGGGGGAGACTCCTCTGACTCTTCGTTCATGTCGTAGCATAAGCAAGTTCAATACCAGAACATCGTGCTTTATTCACACGCATTCTTGCTAACACGGCATCGCAATTAGTGCCACATAGTTCCTTTCTTAAATGAGCAATGTCCTAACATGGTACCGATTGTAATTTTCCCCTTTGGGTCCCACCACTAGAAGTCCCACCACCCGTCGGAGTGTTGGAACTAAAGCCCCAAACAGTCCAATTTGGGCCCACATTAACAATTTCCTCTTAATTTAATTTATTTTTTCCCCATTATTACATAACCCGCAGTAATATACTGGTAACTATCACTTGTTCTAGGCTTTCTCGCCTCGGAACTTTGGCATACTGAGACACACACACACTCTCTCTCTCTCTCTTTCCACAACCATCCCCACACGTCTTCACAGTCCTTACTCTCTCGCCTCCGGATCTAACTCCCAGAAGTCGGCCTCGTACCCCTTCCGTGGGCTAACATCCAACCACAGATCACTGCTCGGCAAATCCACTGCTGCTGCAATGGTATGCCCATGCGCGCCCGGGAACTTCCAGTCGCCTCCATTCTCCACGGGCACGCAGTCACTGCTCATGATGAAGAGCGCCAAGGCGCCTAACATCTGGCTCATAGCTTGATGTCGTCCGGCGCAAAGACTCGCGCCGCCCCCGAAAGGACGGAAAGCGCCGCGGGCAGCCTTGGCCTCGGCGGAGCGCGGGTCGGCGAGGAAGCGACCGGGATTGAAGTCGCTGACAGTGGAGCCCCAGTAATTGGGGTTGGAGTGCAGAACATTGTTGGGCAGTTCCATGACCGTTCCCTTCTTGAGGAGATATTGGTTTTTGAGGGTGACATTTTCCGTCACAAAGCGGGAGGAAATGCCGCAGGTGCGATGACGGAAGGTCTCGTTAATGGTCGCGGTCAGGAGCGGCGCTTGACGCTTTAAGTCGATATTTTTGATCGTCCAGGTACGACTGCTGCCACCCCTCTGGGCAGCGATCTCTGTCGGTGTCGCAATCTGGCTGATCTCATCGCGCAGCGCCGCCAGCAATTTGGCATCCCGGTAGACGTAGTACACGGCCCAGAAGATGGTTGGGACGGTGTTGGTCAGAATGCCGATGATCATCGTGACCTCCAGTTTGCCGATATCGAGGTTGGACAAGCCACGCTCGGCAGCGTGGCGATGTCGGGCTTTGACGAGTTCCGAGCCCTTCAGATGTCCGTTGTTCGTGAAGTATTTCGCAAAGCCAGCCCATGCATCGGCGCGACCACGGTCACCAGTGGGGCAAGTCAGGCTTGCCTTGGGGGTGATCAGAAGGTCGGAGATATTGTCATCGAAAGCCCTGCATTGATCGAGTGAGCCACTTTTGCATGCGTGAAGACCGTGGAGAGGAAGTGATTACCAGAAGCCGGCTTCAACCTTGGGGTCTTTAAACGGATTCTCGGGCCCATAGATCCCATTCGTCGAGCTCATGCCGAACTCATGTCTGAACCAGTGCAGCAAATTCACCCGTGTGGTCTTTCCGTGCAGCTTCTTGATCGAGTCATTCAAGTCGTAAGCCACCCGCTGGAGGATGGGCTCGAGCTTGGGCCCTGGAGCTAGCGTGGCGTGGATATCCAGCATCACGGCATTCATGTATCCCTCCAGCTTGTTGGGACCCATGGTCTTGTCAAGAACTGTCCGTGCGCCCTGCTTCGAGAGCCCAGACAATTTGTTGATGACCAGCGCGGCAATGGGAGCGAAGGCGATAGCATCGGGGTTCTTATCCACATGCGAGAGAACCTCTGGGGTATTGACAATGGCCACTTTGCCGCCTGGTACGGGAATCAAGTAGATGGGAAGCCCGCATTTCTTCCTATAAGGCATTCGCAGTTAGCATACCATCGTTCTGCAGAGAGATTCCGCCACACAACTCACGCGATCCACACAAAATGGCGAGAGCCAAAACGGTAGATATTGATGGCATGGCCGATAATGGGAATGGAAGGTTTAATTAGGGTCGGCTCCCGTTCATCTTGATGGTAGACGAAAAGCAGTTTATGTAAAATAAAGAGTGCAATAAAAGTAATAAACAACGCCACGCGATGTTCATGTAACGTGTCCCACAGGTTTTGCTGCTCAAAAGCTAGCTTAAAATCGCCGTGCATTCTTGTTTTGATAGAATCCATACTTGGCATATTCAAGATTACATTGAGATGGCCCCATTATTAATAATGGCAGCGAGAGAGGTCCGGATTCAGGGCAGAATGGTTAGCTCCTAGAGAAAAACCTGTTGCATTCCCAGAAGGGGAAATCATCCTTTTGGATCGACGCCCCATTAGGACACTACCTGTTTGGGATACTAGTGCTGCCCGAGCAGATGGATTACTTTACAACAGTCGGATGGGAACGAAAGAGCGTCGACATGCAGCTAAAATGGACTCTGTATTCTTCAGTGGCATCAGTGTCAGCATGGACGACTGCCCAATAGGTGTCTTAGGGCTAGTAGCATGCCTCGTGCGTATCTCTAGTCCTCTTGGGTTTCGTCGAACTATCTCATTTATATGCAATAGGCATTCTCTTTCCTCGTATTCCAGGTGATCTACAGAATATACTTCCATCCGCTTTCACACTTTCCTGGGCCGAAACTCGCCGCCCTCTCCAATGTAGGCTTCTATCTCACCAACCAGACCTTGCTCATACTCAACGCGACCTAACCTACCATTCAAGTATCCATATAGTCGCTCCTACCTGTCCGGCCGCCAGCCTTGGGACCTACTCGCGCTTCATCAACGTTATGGGCCCGCAGTCCGCGTCTCGCCCACCGAAGTCTCCTTTTCATCTGCGCAATCTTGGATCGACATCTACGCGCCACGCAAAGGGGCCGAGTTCATCAAATCTCCTTTCTACGATGGCGGCAACTTTGCGGATAAGGCGCATAGTATCGTTTCGGAGCGAGATCCGGTCAAGCATGCGAGGATGAGGAAGTTCTTAGCGAGAGCGTTTAGCGAGCAGAGTCTACGAGAGCAGGAAGGAATCATTGACGGCGTTATCCAGAAGTGGGTCACGAAGGTTGGAAAAGTTAGCGAAGCGGCGGGAGAGGTTGACTTGACGAGATGGTTCAACTTGATGACCTTCGGTAGAGTTGCTATGTAGTCAGGAGCTGGGCAACATGAACGGATAGGCTGACTAGGATTGGCAGACGTGATTGGATTATTGGCGTTTGGGAAGGACTTTGGAGGTGTGGAAAGTGGTAACGTCTGACGCTCTAGACGAAAGTCTCCACGTCTTACTGACTGGCTTTTGATCCAGGCAAGACTCACTTCTGGATATCTGATGTGCTGGGCAGCATGTCCCAGGCCAGCCTCTCCGATACTCTGGCCCGTTTTCCCTGGGCTGGCAAGATCTATATGCTGCTGCGGCCAGACTGGCTGAAGAGACTTATGACCGCCTCACAGCGTCATCAAGCCTACACGATGAAAGTGACCACGGAGTAAGGCCTCGCCCGTGATCTAGGATTTTGGAATTTCACCTGTTCTAATGATCGATGCAGGAGAATACACGAGAAAACCGATCGCAAAGACTTCATGTCCTATCTTCTACACGACCGGGAAGAAGAGAACATCTCCGATATCCAACTCGCAGCCCATGCGTCTGACTTTGTGATCGCCGGCTCCGAAACAACCGCCACGACCCTCGCCGTCTGTATCCACCATTTACTGCTCAACCCGTCCACCCTCCAGACTCTCACCACCGAGATCCTCTCGACCTTCTCGGCCTATTCCGAAATCACAGCCTCCTCGAGCGCGCAGCTCAAGTATCTCCACGCCGTATGCCTCGAAGCATTGCGTATTTTTGCCCCCCTCCCGCTGGGACTACCGCGCGTCGTTCCCAGAGGAGGGGGTTTGGTGGATGGTTGGCATGTGCCGCAGGGCTATACCGTGAGTACGAATCCATTTGCGGCGAGTATGGGTGTCGAGAACTTTAGCAGCCCGAAGTCCTTTATCCCGGAACGCTGGCTTGGGGAGAATGTGGTCGACACACTTGAAGCCACCCGGCCATTTAGCATTGGGAGTAGAAGCTGCCTGGGACGCAGTCTGGGATGGCTGGAGCTGCATCTGACATTGAGTCGGTTGCTATTCCGGTACAGGATTGATGTGGTCAGACCTGTCGATTGGGAGAGGGAGAGTCAGATGCATTTGTTATGGAAGAAGCCTGAGTTAATGGTCAGGCTGACGCCACGGGAGATGAAGCAGGGCTAGTAGACCCTTAGACTTTAACGATGTCAACTGGGACAGAATGCATTTCAAAGGGGTCTTAAGTGTTAGGGATAGAGTACCCAAGTCACGACTCTAGTGCCATGTGGTATTTTGTTCGCGTTGTATCGAGATAAATCATAGGAGCTAGTAAGCTACTAGGGCTACTACAACCGCAAAGCGAGATCCGCCCCTCTTTACGGTAGTCGGTCCTGCCAGCTTCTTGGACGAGCTGATATGAACTTTTTCTGACACGTGTTATAGATGGAAATTTTATGTTCAATCGGTTCATTTTCACTGCAGTTACCATGTAGGAGTAATAATCTGTAGCCTGGGGCACGAGACATACTCCTTCCGGTAGTTCGATGATGCTTGTTGAATATGAGGATGTGCTCGAATGTGGAAGTCATAGTAGTTTTAAGGATCTCCACCCATAACGGGGAAACATCGTTCCCAGGAAGCCTTAATTTTTACGAACTTGGACAATCAAAGTAAGATGATGTGTCCAAGGCAGTCGAGAGATCTATGGACCATGTTAGGAAATTCTGTAACCCGAGTATTTCATCCTCTGGAGAGTGTTCCGAGAGGATATCAAGTAATAGTCATTATGGTATCGTATAGAGTAAAAGCGAATTGCTCTAGGATTACTTACTAAGATTTACTCATAGTATCTAGAATTAACTAGAGTAACTAGTATATACTTCATCGGTAATTAGTCAGTGCCTTAGCATATTCTTAAGAGGTATTTACTAAACACTGATAACACATTACTTTTAAAAAATGTGACGGCGACTATACTAGGTAACGAACTGGACGGAACTTGTAGAAAGGCAGTTCAATTATATACTGCGACAGGACAGTAGGATAGTATGTGATTGGTTACAGTATTCAGATATCTGTGCTGGTCATGCAGGACGTGGAATAATGTTTCCATCTCAGCCGTTCATACGGGGGATAGATGAATCGGGCACTCACATTTCTATTATAGCTTAGAGAGCGTGAGTGAGAATACCAAAGCCACATTTACAGACTGAGTTGGTAACAGGATTTATAGGCGCGGAGATAGGAGATAAAGCCGACAAGACGAAGTTAACGTGTAAACCGAAACCCCTCCTCTAGTATTCATAAAGCACCCACTTCATGCACTGCCACTAAACAAGATGGACTCTGTATATACCTCATAGCCCCCTACTCCATTCGACACTAGAAGTCAAAACAAAAGGGAGACAATACAGAAAGCTAACTCAACCTCGGCCAGAAATGGGACATCATTGCAGAAATACCCGACCTAACCGGCAAAGTGGCCATTGTAACGGGTGCAAAGTACAGCAGTATACCAAGATGTAAAGAAACAATAGCTGATCAGAAGAGTAGCTCCCCACAGGGAATCGGATATCATATCGCCCACCAGCTTGCCATCAAAGGGGCGAGAGTATACGTTGGTGCACGAAACATAGAAAAGACTCAAAATGCGATCGATGAGATGCTTCAGTCCACGCCGTCTTTGGATCCCGGGCGATTAATGCCGCTAGCTATGAATTTAAATGATTTCCAGCAGGTCCAAAGTACGGCCAGAGGTATTTTGGAGAGAGAGGAAAGCTTAGATATCTTAGTCAACAATGCGACGCGGTAAGTGAATAGTGTCTAACAAATCCATGTCGACAGTATCTTTATCGGCGATACGCTAATTCCCGATTGTATTTACTAGTATGTCGATGCCCTTACACAAGGACCAACATGGTATTTCGATATCTTTTGGCACGAAGTACGTTATTTCACAAGGAATCGTTGCTCGTCGGGTTTATATACTTATGAGCGTCAGCTTTCTCGGCCCATACCTATTCACGACGGAGCTACTTCCTCTTTTAAAGAAGACTGCTCGTCTAACACTTGGAGTTCGAATTATCAATGTGAGTATTGTTTACCTCCCCATAAAGACCTCCAAGCAAAATTTAGTCTGCCAACTTAGCTGACAACATCGCCTCCCTAGATCTCTTCAAGGGTCCATCTTGCCCTTCCGGCCGGCGTACGATTCAATTCTCTGGATGACTTCAACCGAGACTTTGGCTCCGAGGACGATCATCAAAGCAACCGCCTCCGCTATGGTATGGGTTTCTTTCTTCATTGTCATATCCCCAATCCAACAACTAATCTCCATGTAAAGGTCTCTCTAAACTCGCCATGGTACTCTTGTCAAAGGAAATACAGAGACGTGCGAATGAGGATGGAATACCTCTGTTGGCCATGAGCATGCACCCCGGTGGTGTGAGGACTGGTGCGTACGCGTCCTATCCATTGCTTGTATTATTGCATACAGTTTACCTTTTCTTCTTGCAACATATAGTCGGAGTAACTAGATATCTCGGTGAGGGAAATGATAGGCTCCAGGACCTTTTGACACCCCTGGATGGAGCTTTGACACCACTTTTTGCCGCAGCACATCCACTGCCGTTCATCGAGAGGGAAAGGTATGGAGGGGCGTATTTGGTGCCCTTTGGTGAGATTGGGGATACTTCAGAGGATGGTGAGAATGAACAGCTTGCGAAGGATTTGTGGGGTACGAGTGAGCGAGTCTTGAAGGATATCCTCAGCCCAGGTTTCTGAAGGTATCTGCTTTGCTACTGGAGCCGGAGAGCAGAGACTCAATAAATATAGGTATAAATTTAACACAGGTAGGAAGCAAGTCGAAAGTAAGTTTATCAATTCCATCTAGTATAATACATCCCAGTCATAAAAAGTACATCCCATAACCATGTAACTCCGCAGCTCAGTGATATCAACCCAGTCGCAGTGGCATCACAAATAATGCTTGAAAGTCCCATTTAGGCATGCTTCTGCATATCAAGCTCAGCACCCCTTTGCTTAACCTTGCCCTCATCATGGACCTGAGTCCACTTCGCCTCCTCCTCGCGATCGCCAGTAGCAGCCGCAGCAACCTTTCCAATACCACCCTGGAGACGATCGGCAGCGCCCTCACCGAAGTCCTTCAGCTGTCCCTCGGCCTCGGCACCCTTGCCACGCAGGTTCTGATTTTCACCTTCCTTGCGCAGGTTCTCGTTCCCGATCAGGTTGCCCAGGGACTCCTTCGCGGAACCGACGGTCTGATCCCAGGCGCCAGTGGAGCGCTGCTCACGGTCCTTGGCTGTCGCACCAGTGTTGGGGTCGGCAGAGAATGGACCTAGCTTGGCGGTGGTGTGGCTGGCGTCATGTTCGGCGGTGGCCTTCTGCTGGGTGGCATCGCCTTCAGCCTGTGTTTTGTTAGCTTATGCTTACTAGTGACCGACAAGGAGGTGTGGTAGTATATACCTTGTTGGCAGAGTTGCCAGTCACGGAACCGACAGCGCTCTGGACCATGCCAGCGGCAGAGTCGACGTAGGACTTGAGAGTGGAAGAACCGTTGTCAGACATTGTGGTTGTTGTTGGGGGTTGAAGTGGTTGTTTGTGAAGTAGGTAAAGAATTGGTAGACTTTTGATTCTAATTGTGTTTGTTTGTTTGTTATGATTGTTGTTGTGCTTCTTGCTGATGATGTTTAGACAAGCCAAAGATGGCTCTTTATATAGGGTTGTTCCTGAACCCTCGACTTTTTGTTCCTGGGTTGTGATGATATCATATGACGTCATAGATAAAGTGGACGCACCGCGACGACGTCATGGGCTTTTTGTCATAACCAAAGATGGACATCGATTCACCTCGGTATGCTACTAGTAGGTTATTCACTCATTGAAGGATTGCCATTGGGCTCATATCTGATGGACCATGGTGGTTTAAAAAAAAGCTCATTGTGGCTGCTGGAAACTTCACTTCGGGACAGGAACTAAAGACAAACCAAGTGACGACTTTCGATATGTATGACGACCACAAACTTACGTAAACAATCATCTAGTCACGTTTTGTAACAGAATACCGGAATCGATAGAAGATGGAGAAGACGACGAGGGCATCAATCTATAAGTGAACAGTTGACTGGCCAGAATAGATTTTCCACTCTGGTGCTGTGCTCTTGATTTATTGGTTGGATATATTATATATTTTAACCGTTAGTAGTCTAGCTCCTGGACCAAGTACGAGACAAGGCCTTAGGCAGTGAACAGCGCATCTCTAGTCCTGTAAGATATCAAGCGATTTTAGAAGCTTTGATTAAGACTTTTCCTACTTAAAATGCTGGACGCTCACAAGTCCTCTCACATCGCAGCTATATATTTATATCGAGCAATGTGCTCCTGTAATTTGGGTCATTTGAACCTCGACCCATCGTGGATTTTAATATCCTTCAAATTCCCCGTATACCTTTGTATATTTTTACAGACAGAAGCTCTGTAAAATGCTCTTGCTAAATATAAATATAATACAAGTACTACGACAAGCTCAATATAAACTTCTAAGAAGTTTCAACATCAAATGGTCAAGAGAGTAACCTGATTTACGAATCAACCTAGGATAGAGGTGGTGGGCCAGGGGATTCTGTTTAATCTCTCAGCTCCTGCAAATAGAGGGAAAATAAGACTTGCGCGCGTCAGGATCCAGATCTTCGGATCGGTCTATAATAATTTGGGATAGGGTTAATCATAAGTCTTCGTAACCTTCTAAAAGGAAGTAACCCGCTCAGGCTCCTTGTCTGCTTGGACCCAAAAATGTTGAAGAATAATTGTTTCGCTCACCAACTCTCATACTGTTAGTCATCAGTCCAAGAAAAACATCTTGTAACTGGTTCTAGCCAGTCTATTGATGCATAACAGATTGACAGCGGGATTCAGATAGCATGGTCGCTTTCAGTTATAAGCAGGGGATATGACATATCGACTCCCAGCGTTCTACTTTTGACGCTGATCTCACCACTAGGAAGCTCTATCGCTCCACCAGTTCATTTATACATGTAGGTAACATCAGGCTGCCAACTTAGACCGAATGCGATAGTATCGCAAGGACTCTTGAATCATGAGAGTTGGTATTATCGGTAACAGTACTGTAACTAGATACTACTTCTTCAAGTACCCCGCTACAGTCGCTGTTAACGCCATTTGCGGGCTCTTATTTCGTCAGTGTATCAATGAATGTCGTTATCACAGAAACAATACATGAATATACTTGGGTCTGTTTGGCCCATGGGTCACCGGTAAAGCCGCTTGGAGTCACGAACGTCATCTACAATGAGTATTTAGGACAGGAGAGGGGGAGGGGGGGGGGGGGAGAACAAAAGAGAAAAAAGACTGATAAAAAGAACAGAATCACTTTTCTATATCGACGCGCGATAGATGCGCGCTGTTGATCATAAGAACATGAAAAGGGCATTTTATCAGCATAAGCAGATAACAATCATCATCATCGTAACATAAGAAAAACAAAGAATAACAAAAACATCTAACAATAGTCATTACAGATCTCTAACCAAGACAAACAAAAGAGACCTCATATACAATCATCACAGTCATGCAATAATCATCATAATCGTAATCATCATCATCCAAGCATGGTACACATAATCCGAACGATTTCCACCAACGCATATACTAAACCTCCCTTTCTTCAGGACAAGGTTTCTGCAGTCTAGAGGTAAACAAACAGGCGTCCAAAGCTTTCGACCAATCCCAGGTCTCCGAATTCAACCCATCCTCTCCGTTGGCAGCATATTGAGCTTGATTCAACCAGTCATCCCAAGCGTCCGTATCCGGTGCGATACGTCCAGTCTTCACCCATCTAGTCGACTTGGTCAATTTAATCGCATTCCATAGCGCCATTCCGAAGCTCTTCTTCTCCCCGGGCGCCGGAAAAGCAGGCGTGACCTCCTTGATATTAAGCGCCGAGTAATCCCAGTGGAGTCTCTCGGGCAAGGCTGCAACCATCCAGTACGCAGCATTGAGCAACAGATACGACGCACCGAAGGCGACTTGCATGCGTGCTCCCGAGTTTCCCAGCGCAATAACTCCGAACATGAGCATCATTGTTCCGAGGAGGGCGAGAGAGCGATACCACGTTCCCGAGATGAGATAGTTGCATCGTTCGGGGGCGAAAAAGAGCGGTCGGGCGACTGCTTCGTCACACTCCACGATTATGAATGCGCCGTTCGGGTAGCAAATTATCACGCTACCGGACGGAATATGTTCTGATCCTGTTACACGTTTTCCAAGCTTCAGGGACCATTTGCACATGAGGCCCAGAAGGGACGAGAGGCAGGAGAGGAGGATGGTCGCTATCAGTGCCCATCCGTCATTGAAATGGATTGAGAGGCCAAGCAGCGCGATCGACATGGCACAGCCGATGGCGGCGAGTAGGGACAGTAGACTGAAAGCGCGTGCCGTGATCAATGCATCTTTCGGGTCTCCTCCATCTTTGATCGTGATTTGATATTGGCGGACTGTGTAATCAGAATCGCTTTTCATCGATTCATCCCCCGGCAGGATGATATGAGGGATGCGGTAGACGTGAGGCCGGCAGTTTCCTGAGCGAATGCCCACCACAGTACCCGGAACATCATCTAGACGAAGTGGTCGCGACGGTCTCATAAACGCCTGGGGTGCGGGCAAGAGGCGTGGGAGGAAGGTGAAGGCTGATAATGTCGAGACTTGGTAGTTCACCGATACGGAACCCTCACCCAAAATGGCGAGGAAACCGACGATGTCAAGGTGAAAATCCTCGAAACTGTCATTGAAGAACATGATGGGCTGTGTGGTGTCAGCCAAAAGAGTGTGACATGCGAATATCCCCTATATATTCCAAGGATACGACCGACTGTGAGGTTGTGTTGCGCTCCCCGCGACTCGACAGATGTGGCCGTCCGCTTTTATTTATTTTTCATCTGGCGAGGCTGGACCTCTTCCCCGTGGAGCTCATTATTGGCCAGACGCTCAAGCGCATAAGCGCTTGAAACTTGCCAAGATATCATTGGCAGGTTGTGGTTCATTTGCGCCGGGGCCGAATGAGGGACTAATTAGGGCTCGTTGATTGGAGGTAGGAAGATTAGGTGCATATGGGGCTGAAAGCTAAGAGTATCTGAGCCAATGGTTCCGACTTGGGGTAATGATTTGCGGGCCGGGCCTTTTCGTGAAATCGGGTATCCATCCATCTTCCATCAAAAAGTCATTATACAAGGCTTTTTTATCAGGCGTCTTTGCCCTTCGATACCGCCGTCAGATCTATCTGGCATTTTAGCTTGTGGCGAATTTTGTGGAAGTTTAGGAACTCACTCGCAGACTCTGGAAAAGGCACGATGACATCAAGCCATGCCATTCATGTCTGCCTGGCCACTGGCCAAAGGTGGAAACCCCCTTGTCGCTATGCGATGCTTGTACTTGCGTCATGAAGATTTTACACATTACAGCACTCATTCAGCCTGATCGTCGCCGCTCGCGCCGAATCAAACCCTCGGGCCGAACTTAAATAACGGGTGCGTTTCACCATTTCCAGGATCACGGCAAAGGATCATGGATTACACCGTATCGCGGCATCCTACTCAAGTTTGTGGAGCATGTTAAGCGCCTAGGTCTAAAACTCAGAGGATGTTTCGAGAAAACCTTTTCCTCCATCATCGATGCTAGTGGGGAGTCGCTATGATGCTGACTCATGAAATCCTGCTGCAGCAAGTGCAATAATGTATGGCCCTAGGAGAATATAATGGTGGGCGCAGCCTACTAGCTTGACTTGTCTGGGCTGACACCGACCGTTGGGGCTGAGCGATAATTCTGTGAGACTTGACGTAGTTTAGGCAACACGATAATTGCGGTATCACACTTTTTCTTTTCTTCACTTTCTGTTTTTCTTTGATGGCCTTTGTATAAGCAAAAGGGTTCCATGGAAAATCCACAGGAGAATGGTAATCAAGAAAGTAAAATATCATCCGGAAGTGGTCATCGCTAGCGACCTTTATAACGTGTACTTTGTGCTTCGATGCGAGTGAACTGAGAGACATGTAGCTGTTCTAGCCGTCAACTAATTCCCCACGTAAACACATGAATATGGGTAAATCCCGGTCATCACCGTTCGAGATATATTTTTACCTGCGAAGTCTAGACCCTGTACCTCTAACAGGCTGTGACATGCACGAAGCCGACCATTTCGAAATAGGAAACCCGACCAGATCCATGGAGAACCGCCGATTCTCGGAACGGATCAGATAAGATAACAGGCCCTCTTCGGAGATTCCACGGAAGGCCCATCAGTCGACCCGGAGTAAACACGAATTTCCCGTCACCCGGACATAAGTACAAAGACATATTCTGGCAGGCTAGGCGAAAAGAATACGATGGTCTTACCTTCATCGGACGGATATTCCATCAATCCGAGCTCCGAGACTTATCACCGACTCTTAAACCCCAGCATTCGCCCTCCCTGACGCCTAGACTTACTGATGCAAACAAAGAACTAAAACACAACTCGGGATGATGCTCATAGTCTTGTCATCATGTTAACCAAACTGCTACTCATCTGTAAGCTCTTTGGACCTATCTTCGGTCAGATAGTCGCCAACTTGAGACAGGCGGTTGCAACCCGCTTACACCGACTCACGTACCGCGCAGTCGAGCGTCCGCGCAACGTTGTCGTTGTTGGCGCTTCTTTCGCTGGATATCACGCAGCTAAATGCCTTGCTAGTTCGCTCCCAACTGGGTATAGAGTTGTGGTTATCGAGAAGAATACTCATTTTCAATTGACCTGGGTTTTGCCCCGGTTTAGCGTGGTGAATGGCCATGAACATAAGGCTTTCATTCCTTATGGGCCTTACCTTGGTTGTGTTCCCGAAGGTTCTTATCAGTGGCTTCGTGATGGCGTTGAGCGAATTGTACCCGGTGAGAATGGACATACTGGAAAGGTAGAGCTCGCATCCGGTGATGATATGGAATTCGATTACTTGGTGCTTGCGACTGGGGCGTCGGGAGCACTTCCGTCGCGAGTGCCAGCCGGGACCAAACAGGAAGGAATAGAACAACTACTGGCTGAGCAGGAAAAACTCCGAGCTGCCACGAATGTGGTCATTGTTGGTGGTGGAGCTGCGGGAATTGAGCTCGTGGCAGATGCGAAATCACTATATCCTGAGAAAAACGTCACGTTAGTTCATTCTCGGAAGGCATTGCTGGGTCGGTTTGGTCCTAGACTCGGAGAAAAGGCATTGCAAGCACTTGAAGAGCTGGGAGTACGGACTATAATGGGTGAAAGAGTGCTTAGTGACAAGGCAGAAGCCGGGTTTGTCAAGTTGGGCTCAGGGGAAGCTCTCGCATGTGATTATCTGGTACGGTTCTTGCGATTTCGTCCTTAGGTGCTGCTAATTCTCCAGATAAAATGTGTTGGTCAACGTCCCAACTCCAAGTTAATACAGGCGTTGTCGCCCGAGTCAGTCTCCGAGACAGGTCATGTCAAAATTCGCCCTACACTTCAGCTAGCAGACACGTCCCTCAATCATATCTATGCTGCCGGGGATGTGGTAGATATGGACAATATCAAAAATGGTCGAGCAGCAGTGCAGCAGGCGCAGTCTGTGGCACAGAATATTGTGCGATCCATCAAATCGCAAAATCAGCTCGAGTATCGCCCGCAGTGGTGGGAGGGAATGACGAAGCTACACGTAGGACTGGTGAGTGATTTTTCTGTTAGCGCTTCAGACCATGCACAAGCTGACTCCAACATAGGGGAAAGCATTGGTTTGGATGGGTGATGGTTCAGCCGAAATAATCATGTCCGTGAAGTGCCGAGCGGAGGAGTTGGACAGCGCAAAGGTGTGGAAGTTTTTCGGGGTGAAGCCATACGTGGATGTGGGATATGAACTGAAAAGGGATTGAAGTATACGGCCATGCCTGAGGTATACGTCCTCTGTACGTGAGCATGGGAGACTTCTGTCTTGACTTTGTTTGAAAAACGTATTGCAAAGCAGGTTACTGGCTTACATTTATAAGAAATAACTGTTTGTCTGATTTGCAACTCATGGGTAATGGTAGTGAATAATGCTGATGTAGTGGGCAATATTAGCCCCTATGAACAAGTCTCTCAAGTCCACAATAAGTTTCACGAACATAAGCTCAACTTGTTCTTTGTACCGAAGCTCTAGACAATTCTCATGCACTTAGTATAATCCTCAGATGTAAGATTTAAACAGAGTCGCGGTCTAATGAATGGGTTCAGTGGATGTTTGGAACAGTGCGGGATCTTCCACTGAATCAGTAGGCAAGCGCTTCCCTAGGCTGAAGTTTACATGTTGCTTATCCTGATAACGTTAACTTCTACAACGAGGCGATACTATGTTACTACATGATGGAGAAGTGACACTAGAAATCCTAGGTCTCAAGTTAAGTCCGCTATCGCCTGAGTGGCAGATAATATGGAACACACAATTATATTATACTGATTACTTTGTTTCCAACGCTAGCTGAGAAGAATTCAAATATGCTTCGCTTGCGTAGTTATACGAAACATGTAGCTTGCAAGAACCCTTTAGCAGAGGTTGGTGACTGGTATCGGTACGAGAACAGCGCAAAGTTAGAGTCAGTCTGCCATCCGCTACTGCTAGTACTAGTAGTAGTAGTATCACGCATTAAGGCTGCACGTGGCACGTAGCACGTGGCCCAGACACTACATCTGTTTCTGGTTTGAGCCTCGTCGTATATGGAAAAGGCTGGCTATGACTTGTTCAAAGGCCATACTACCAGATTCTCAACTCAGCATGACGCAAGATCAAGATTTCAGTAGCATACAGAATTCTCAACTGGAACTACCCCCACTGTATAGCCAACCCAAAAGCAAACGAGCAGGCTTTTCTCAAAAAGCTCTTTGTGTTGCTCCCTACCGGGATGAGAGCTCTATCCAACTGGAAAATATCTGTGCCACTCACATAACCCGGAAAACAAAACGATCGATAGTACGGACACCGTATGCTACATCCAGTTTGGATTGCCATACTTGTCTCATACTGAGTGAGGATTTCCCCATCATGCCTGTGGAATCGGTGATTGTTACACCCTCTGGGCGTCAAACGTCTTCCCGAAAATTCCAGCTCTGTGGGTGTTACCATCTATATTGAAGAATGATCCCGCGAAACGTGGCGCGTTCAATAAAACACACGAGCACTCTGTGCACGCCCCAAGATTACTGACTTGATAGTGGTTATCTTGGACCTTGTTTACACTGTAATATCTTGGCATAGAGGAAACGCTAATCGTGGGCGACGCAAATGTGACATGTCTCAACCGGTTGGCTCCATCTTGATTGATCATATTCCGTTTGCTCCACATATGCATGCAAAGATTACGCGGAAACGTTTTCCTGATTACCTTTCAGAGATTTATGGGTAACTTCTATTGTAAACACCGCCCTTGGCCAAACCCCATTCCCACCCCTTGCATACTTCGCGTGTCCACCATCAAAACAGAGAACGTTTTAAGAACTCTCACCTGCATGTTTTATTCGAAGTGACCCCTGCCTCACTGAGTACGCAATCTCGATAAGTATACGATTGTATGGACAATGTTTGGAAATAAATTTGATGTGAACGGCAAGGTCTTACATCCTCCCTTTTGTTAGGCGTATATGCTAATAACTACCAGTTAGTAGTAGTAGCGGGGGGATCGAGGGGGTTAGGCAAGGCACTAGCGCTAGAGCTAGCATCGAAGGGTACGATCCGATGATCACCAAGAAAATTCCCTCCTCATCATATCGTGCTCTATATTAGACTTGTATGAAGCTCACATGAACCAGGTGCCAATCTGCTCCTCCTCGCCCGGACGGAGACTGCATTACAAGATACGCAACATGAAGTCGAAGCTGCATGTGTATCGTCAAAGCAAATTATCGATGCTCGATCTGTTGATTTGACCAAGCCTGATGAAGTATACCTCCTCTGTACATACCATCCTCAGTCATCCTTGCTAAACTAGGCAGATAACTAAAGCCTTACGACACTACCACCCCCCTGACATCCTTGTTTGTACAGCCGGAGGCACCCCCAACCAGGTCGGCTTTCTCGCCGACATCCCCCCGGAAGCGCTCACCTCGTGCATGGAATCCAATTACTACACCACAATATTCGCCGTCCAATGTTGCTTAAAGTTATGGCTCGCTGCCCCGCAGACGCCCACACCTAGACATATTATCCTCGCATCGTCCACCACGGCTTTCCTCGGGCTACCGGGTTATATAGCCTACACACCTACCAAGGTAGCTATTCGCGCGTTGGCCGATACCCTTCGCCAAGAACTCCTTCTTTACGGAAAAGATGCGTTTCGAGTCCATTGCTGTTTCCCAGGCGCATTCCTCTCCGAGTCCTTTTCCCAGGGCCAAGAGCACAAACCCGGACTAACAAAGGTCCTTGAGGGAACGAGTATGCCCCAGGAGGCACTGGAGCGCAAGATACCCGGTGCCAGAGAGGTGGCGAGGAAGATTGTCTGGGGCTTGGAGAAGGGGAAGACGTACATCTCGGTCGACTTTCGGACGGAACTTCTGCTGAATAATATGCGTGGACCAAGTCCACGGTTTTGGACAGTGTGTGATTTCTTCCTGGGACTGTTGGCGTCCTTAGTGTGGTGGATAGTCCGGGTCGATTTTGATAGGAAGACCACAAGGTATGGGGCGGCGAGGAATCCACGAGATAGCCGGGTTTAATATTGGGTCTGTGGTGTTCGACATGAAGGTTGGGCCGTGTGGATTATTGTATACTGATATGTACTAATACTGTTAGGTCAGACGTCCTCAGTATCTAATGTCTAGTAATAATAGCTTCCAATTTTGCAGGACAGTGCTACCTAGCTGTTGAAAAAGTCCTACTCCGATTATCCGTTACCCTCCCCTCGCTTGGTTGCATCGATGATGGGTCCTGTGGTAAAAAGCGCATTTATAATCAACTTAGCTCATGATTATCCTAAGTATTACTTGAAGTAGAGCAATCATTACGTGAGAAATCCATATTTACAGTTATCGAACTATAAATTTTTAAGATATACAAGAACCAGCCAATGGCAGTAGAGTTCTATGGAACACTAACCAATGGGAAGCCGCAAAAGTGGTATCGGCCTCGGCACCTGATCCGGGCATTTGTCAGCCGTAATTTTCTGGCATCCAAAAAGATTCCACGCGATTCACCATATCGAAAATCTATAAATCACCATGAGCTCATCGACAATGACCTTTATCCGGCAGGACAATCTACTTTCGTTCTCTCCTCACAATCAGAAACCAAGATAGTCACAATGGGATCCATCTCTTCCACATCCCCCTCCGTGGTCAAAGCTGATAGCACCCCCTACTTCACCCCCGCCAACAATGCAGGTGCCGCTGTCAACCCCGACGACCCTGGCACTCCCACCCTCTTCAAACCCTTGCGCATCCGCGATGTGACCCTCAAGAACCGCATCATTGTGTCCCCCATGTGCATGTACTCCGCCGAGTCGAACCCCGCCTCCCCCTTCGTCGGCGCCCTGACCGACTACCACATCGCACACCTGGGTCAATTCGCGCTAAAAGGCGCCGGCTTGGTCTTCGTCGAGGCCCAGGCTGTCCAACCCAATGGACGTATCTCGCCCCATGATGCCGGTCTCTGGCAAGAGGGAACCGACTCCGAACAATTCAAAGGTCTGCAACGCGTGGTCAAATTCTCCCATAGCCAAGGTGCCAAGGTGGCCGTTCAGTTGGCCCACGCCGGTCGGAAAGCCAGTGTGTTACCCCCATGGGTAGCATCGCAGGCCGGAAAACACAGTCTTCGGGCCGATGAGAGCGTCTTCGGATGGCCAAAGGACGTCGTCGGTCCTAGTGGCGGTGAAGAAAATATCTGGGATCCCGCGGAGGGGACATACTGGGCTCCCCGAGCATTGAGCATAGCGGAGATCAAGGAGGTGGTCCAAGCGTTCGCGAAGAGTGCGGAACTGGCGGTGAAGGCTGGTGTCGATGTCATTGAGATCCATGCGGCACATGGATATCTGTTGAATCAGTTCCTAAGCCCGGCGACCAACAAACGTACCGATGAGTACGGTGGTAGCTTCGAGAACCGTGTTCGCATTGTCCGTGAGGTTGCGACTGCCATCCGTGCTGTCGTTCCGCAAGGTACGCCGGTTTTCCTCCGCATCAGTGCGACCGATTGGCTTGAGGGTCAGCCTGTGGCTGCCGAATCCGGCAGTTGGGCTCTGGAGAGCTCTCTCCGGTTAGTTGAGATCTTGCCAGGATTGGGTATTGATTTGGTCGACGTCAGTTCGGGTGGCGTTCATAAGGACCAGAAGATTAAGCTGGGTCCTGGCTACCAGGTGGATTTGGCTGGGGAGCTGAGAAAGGCGATCCGGGAAGCTGGCGCATCGACCCTTGTGGGAGGTGTGGGATTGATCACCGAGGCAGAACAGGCGCAGAGCATCGTTCAGGGTGCCGATGAAGCGCAGCAGGCCGAGGCCATCGTGACGGCCAAGGCAGATGTGGTTTTCTTGGCTCGTCAGTTCCTGAGAGAGCCTGAATGGGTCATTATCACGGCGAAGAAGTTAGGAGTCAAGGTGACGCATCCACATCAGTTCTGGCGAGCACTATAGACAAAATCTGGGCATAGAGGGTATGTATGTATAAACATGATAGAAGTAATGAATTTCTTGGATTATGATATGCAATTGAGTTTTTGAATCAATTAACTTCGGTTAATTCCGGCTCAACCCGGAGGACTCCGGAGTCCGAACTGCACGCCTTGCTTTAGTCCTAATTTACTATTGAGAGCTAAGGTTGTAAAGGCAGTAGTTTGAACCCCACCATCGAATTAGTTGATCTTCATTGATTATGATATAATCCGCTACCCCGCGTCCAATTAAATTTACCCCAAAACGTTCCAACTCACAACACACTCTCTCCTCACCACCACTCAGACAAGCATCTTAGCCATACTCATCAGTCACCATGGCCCTCAAACCCGGAGATTCCTTCCCCGAAAACGTCGTCTTCCAGTTTGTAACCTCCACTTTATCCGTTCCAGTCCCCCACTAATTGTTGTTAGGTACGTCCCCTGGACCGAGGAGAAGGGCGACATCACCGCCTGCGGCATCCCCATCGCTTACAACGCCTCTAAAGAATGGGCCGATAAGAAGGTGGTCCTGTTCTCCGTTCCTGGTCAGTCTCTAATGTCTTTCCTCGCTCATTGCTATAGCGAATCTAACACGACTGTACAATTCTAGGTGCTTTCACCCCAACCTGCTCCGTCAACCACGTTCCCGGATACATCCAGAACCTGCCCCAGCTGAAGGAAAAGGGCGTCCAGGTCGTCGCTGTCGTCGCATCCAATGACCCCTTCGTCATGAGCGCCTGGGGAAAGGCTAACAAGGTGGAGCGTGATGACATTGTATGTATCTTCACGCGATGGTCTACAAAAGTCTTCGATTGCAATATACTAACTGCTGCAGCTGTTCCTCTCCGACCCCGACGCCAAGTTCTCGGACAGCATCGGCTGGGCCAACAACGGTCGCACTGGTCGTTATGCCATTGTCATTGATCACGGCAAGGTGACTTACGCTCAGATCGAGACTGAGAAGGGTGTTGTTAAGGTACGTTTTCTTCCTGTCCTGCTGGCAATTGCTAAAGCTAACTAATTGGGCAGGTGTCGGGTGCCGAGGCTGTCTTGGCTCACTTGTGATTATCTTCGGAAGCTCGTTTTCCGAGGTGAATTATCTAGAGTGGAGCAACTTACTGCTTAGCTAGCGTTTTCTTTTGGTTAAAACTCGCCCACGACATGCTGGGCCTAGAACTACAGGTTAGTACTAGGCAGGAAAGAGGTGTTATCAAGCGATTGACTTACGTCTAATGGAAATCATCCTTCTCACCTAATGCATTCTGTAGCCGTCCATCAATAAAAGCGAACAAGATAAGATATGAATAAAAAAGACTGTAACGTGCCAGACTTGGAACCCACCAATGCCCTAAAGAACGCCGGGCGTTATGAACAAGTGAGAACGCCTGCTCAATCCATTAGCATTCACGGGCCGGGGGCGGCGTCACAGATCTACATGAATGCACAGACACAACACTGTACAGTAATTCCGGGAGGAATTGACATGCCAGAACCTTAGGAGTGAAACAAGTTAGGATGAGTGAGCAGCCCTGCGCTGTTGACATGAATCCGACACATATCCGGTGCATTAAGGAAAGGTTGGATTAACTAGTGAAGAACCCCTTCACTTCGGCAGTGGCTACCGAAGACAACATAGGGTTAGCTGCAATGTCTCTTACAACAGCCCGAGTCGGCGATTACTGAAAACGTTCGTGAAGACTGCATTGGTTTGAAAGGGCCATCTCAATTACTAACGTTATGCTGCTACACTTCAATACTGGGTTATCCGTCTAGTGCCTTCGAGCTGCGTGCAGTCTTAAAGCTGAGAGACTATCCCCTCGTTTCACTCTAGTCCCCTCATGTAACAACGCTGCTTCTGGAAGAGCAGTCTCATTCCTGTTATCGGACATATATTCGTATACTCCAAATATCAAATCCCGTAACAAAATTGGAGTGGTATGGAATTGAGCCATTATGCTGCATAAGGGTGCCACTGGTCCTTTCAAGCGGAGGCCCACTGCATTCTTACTTTGAGATATTCCATAGCGCTACCCATATGAATAATGGAACTTAATTTTCCACTTTACCAACTCTATTACGGCGACTGGGAGATGTAATTTTACAAGGCACATTGTACAGGAAAGAAACCTTTATCTCAATTGCCCCGAACCCTATTATGATGAATCATTGCTTCCTCATCATTGACACTACGTCCTGACTCACTCGATCACAACTTAGGCTTGACGTGATAGAGGTCTAGTAATAATATCAATATCTACTCCAGTTACTGTTAATTAAACCCCTGGGCGTACTAAGTATGCACATACCTTATTCGGTGGGCAACATAGTCTACCATGGATAAAATTGCATAAGACCAAATTGAATTAACTCTCCATGCCTCTTTTCACACTCCAAGTCCAATTTAGTACCATTCCTCCTACAATGGAGGTATAAATATACCATCATGGACCAGATACCAAAATCTCTTTTCCTCTCCTCACCATCAACTTCCATTGAACAATCTCCCTTATAAAAAACCAACACAATTTGGGATTAAAAGTCCACCTCTAGTCAACATGACCAACTTCAAGATCCTCTTTACCTTCCTCGCCATGTTCATGTTCTCCATCCAAACTGTCATGGCCCTCCCCGGCAATACCAAAAGCGTCACTTCTACTGCCGTCGATGACTACGAGACTGGAAACCAAAAGTCTCCTGCTCCAGCTAAAGATGAGCCTTTCGTACGTTTGGCACTACCATTCTATCCAGGGAGATAGCTCGCTATGTAGACAAAATCAGGCATCTTACTAACAGTATCCGATCCACAGCAACGCGGAAGGTATTGCCATGGTTCTTGCAACAAGCAGAAAAGCTGTAATTGTTCGGAAGGAAAAACGACATACTCTTGTCCATGCGTGCATCCGGATATGAGTTGCTCGTGTTGGGTGGTCTAGGTGAGCGTGAGACTCTGGGGACTTTCTTCAGATAGGGTTGCTGATCTACGATGGCTCAAAAGTCTGTACGGGATTGAGATATTCGGGTTCATGTGGTGAGCAGGCAGAGTTGGGATAGGAGTGTGGATGTCGGTGGATGTTGGCTTTCTTGTCTCTTCTTGTCTCTTCTCGTCGCTCCTACGGTATCAGTAGTTGAAGGGAGGCAGTAGCTTAGTTTGAATGAAAGATATTGTTGGCTGATAACTACTTGTTGTGGTATTGTGTCGTCTATGGGTAGCTGATATTAGCCGAAGACAGTGGTAAGTTGGTATATACATGGCTTCTTTTGTAAAACTAACAAATCGGAAAGCAAAATCGCCAGATTAGCACACACTTAATAGTCGTCAGACTCATCACTCATAACAATGTCATCGTCAGAGTCATCATCATTGTCCCAATCATCGTAAACATCATCATCATCCTCATCCGAGTCACCATCGGCCATCTTGTGGAACATCTCCTGCATCATGAACCGGAAGGTCTTCTCAACATGGGCCTCGTCGAGATCGAGCAGGACCTTCAAGGACTCCTTCGGTGTCCAGTCTGCCGGTTCCACCTCATCTCGATCGAACAGAAATTCCGGGAGATGAGAAGCGAAGAAAGCCAGAACCAATGATCCAACGCCCATAACATACTCCGTGGAAAGCGAGATGCTTGCCTCATCACGGTCCAGTCTAGTCGCTAAACCGGTCACATCGCGTTCCTTGAGGAACTCAACAAGATCCACCGCGGGGAGATCTACCTTGTCACCTTCACTAGCGCAAGCCTTGATCAACTGAAGGGTCTCATCCCAATCAACCGTGTGGCGTTCACACAGGAGCGCCAGCAAAAGGAAAGTCGGGCACTCGTTATGATAATTTTGGCCTACCAAGACCTTGTCGAAGGAGGCTTTCTCCGCTTCAAGACGTCCGTGGAAAGGTCTCCAGAATGCCTTGTGCCAGGGATCAGACACTTGAGACGAAGGATGGCTCTTAGCATCCTTAATTATGTCCTCGGGAAGGTACTTTTCGTATCTGTTGAATGTCCACATATTCCACAGATTGTCGAGCTCTTCGCCTAGCTTGGTTTTGGTCGCGAGATCAAAGGACAGCCGGGCGGGCTCGTTGTTCTCGAGCGATTTTTCATATTCCCTGATGCATGCTTGGGCAACCTCGCGCTCTTCTTTGGTGGGAGAGCCATTGGTCAGTGTGTGGCAGGCTTCCAAGTATTCAAAAAGAGCTTCTTCCCTTTCTTCGGAGATTTTGAAGTGAGGGTTCGCTTTCATGGAGTCCACATAGCTGATCCTTTCCTTGATTTCTTTGGTTGTGGAGGTGGAAATTTCTGTGAATGGGCGCGGGGACGCCAAGTAGCGTAGTGGGTTCATTGTGGTCTTGTGTATAATGTACGCTATTCCACGATACAAATAGATACTATGTCCAAGGGTCTTTTATTTTGGTATTGTTGAGTTTGTAAACACAAAAGTCTGTATAATAAAAAAAATTTCTGATGAGGGGTGAAGCTTATCCGCATTGTATCCCCACTGTGGGGCCAGCGGATGTGCCTGAGTGGTCTCTTGTCTGTGATCTGCATGCTATCAGTGCATTTCTATTGTTTTTCCTCTATTGCCCGACTCCTACAGTATATACCATGAAGGGTTCAGGGGCCCATACTTTGAGTCATCGAAGTTTTAGGTGGCTCAAGTATGATTGATAGTGAGGTTTTCCAAATTCCGCTATACGACAACGAATACGTGAAATAGATGTTTGTCCAGTTTATATATTAGAATACATATATATATTAAGGATCAATAGTACAATTGATCATCAACATCTCAGACTCGTCTTGATCCAGAGGCTTTCGCTAGCTTACACGTGGTAGAGATAGGTTCCCTGTCCGACTTCAACCCATCCCGCTTGTTAAGCCATTTTATCATAGCTTCCCGAAGAAAACTAATTCTGATACCACTGTCCAGTCCCATGTGCTCTCGCAAGGTGGGCACAAAGCTTTCATGGATCTTAAGTAGATCATCTACATGGCTTGAAATAGGTTGCAGCTTGAATAGTAGTGTGCTTAGCTTTGTAAATCTCAATGCTTGGGAGAGTCTTGGCTTGGATTCATATATCGATTGATTGTAAACGGAGTGCCATATTTTAAACTTAGAAGTTAGAGGCAGGCACATTATATTATTTTTGTTAGCTTATAAAATCTTTTGAAAACGAATTTGATAACCAAGCCCGGTTAGCTCAGTCGGAAGAGCGTGAGACTTTTAGGTTATCCTGCCATCTCAATGTCAGGGGTTCGAGCCCCCTATCGGGCGATTTCTTTTTTGAAAATTTTTTAATTCGACGGGCAGTCTTTTCCATAAATATTTTATTAGGTTCTGTCCACCTTCTTAGTTCATGTCTGTCGCCATACAAGGACCCGTATGCTGTGTTACTGGGCCCTCCTTTGCTCTCCTAGATCACTTTGTTATTGTCAATCTACAGGCATACGACGTTGCAGTGGGTTGGATGACACATTTTCTTCGTGCTTCCAACATTCCCACATCTTGCCCCCTCATTGCCGACCGGTCCCGTGGCAAATCCTACTAATTTAGATATTTACTGCTTGAAGGGGCTCTGCATCATTGATTATATGAATTAAGTATGTCTTGCCCTACTGCCCCATGTGTATCTTTGCAGGTTAATGTCTCGTTCCGAAGTGCACCGTTGCTGTTGGGAAAGTACTTTGCGTCGTCCTCCTAGACCCACTTTTGCAGATGATTTTTCCTAAACCTAGGAGCTCACTGTGCTCAACCTACACAGCAGGCTCGCCCTCTGGTAGCCATCTATAATGTGTCGTCATTATCCAAGGCCCGGTTAGCTTAGTTGGAAGAGCGTGAGACTTTTAGATTATCTGTATAGAAGTCTGCTATCTCAAGGTCGCGGGTTCGAGCCCCGCATTGGGCGTGCTCTTTTTGTTGCCGCAACATAGGATTATCATTTTGAGGTATGAATAGTGGCAGGCGTCTCTAACTTTCCCTACAACCGAGCCTATGCAGCTGGATGCTCCATGTTGTGCTCTATTCTCTGTCGGCATACGGTGTGGAATGCTCTCCAGTCTGCTCGTGCTCTCATGACTGTAGCTCTTCTTTAAACAAGAGACCTCCCTGGGCTTTTGCTGCTAGAAAGATTGCTACACATTCCATCCTTTTTGAGGGCTCCTGAGGAGGGCCGCGAGTTTGGCCATGTAAATTATTTCATCACAGGAAGCCACAAGAAGACCACTTTCAAAGCTACGATTGCCACCATTCTCGATGAGGTCTTTGGAAGGTCCTCTTAGGGCACAGAAGGGAGAGCCTTCATGTCGCGAAAGAGAAGGCGAAAATGATAGCAGTTCTCGTTTATGATTGGACAAAGCCACTTATATAAGTACTAGCTCTCAAGGTTTGCATGTAGTTGGCAGCGTGCTCGCTTCTTGCACTTTGCCTAGAAGCTTTTGGGATGACTGATGCTCTCCCTATAGCACTCCTTGTGACCCTAATATAGACTATCGCAGCTGGAAGCTTTTCCCTAACAATGTTATAGAGTACCTTTTGTCGGATGCCATGCCTTAGTCTAGGATTCAGCTCGTTGGCTTTGTTACAACACTCAATGCTCTTTCGATATTTCGTCTCACTTGAGCCAATATCCGAATTTGTAAAGCTTACAATTATCATGAAGCATATACTCGTGACGAACTTACCTGAGAGCCTAGACAAATGAGATAATGGAGGGACTATCATGCACATTTCACTGAAAAAAGGCGTTTGCACGAATACACAACGGCAGATGCATTCTGAAAAGAATTTAACCAAAGATAGAAGAGCTAGGTATTATGGAGGCGAAAGATGACTTCCCACTCTATCGTACTCGCCACCACCATGATGTGGAAGTACCATGACCTTCACTTTTCTCTGAAGCAACAGAAGTTAAGCTGTACTGTTTACTGTTTCGAAGGTGACAAAGAAATTCTCGCCCTATCTCACTAGGTAGTAATCTATTAAGTAAAATTAAATCTGCTATAACGATTGACACAGTCTATGGGAAGGCGGGTCCCGCGGGTAAAGGTCGGATGAATAACTGAGTGTGCATCTTTCAATAGAAATTTGAACAAAAGCGCTCCCTGGAGTTCCATCGGATGGAGGCCTCATTTATTCGCCCAGGTGTGGAACCCAGAGTGCTCAATAGGGTAAGGCATGTGCTATGTGGTAGCCTAGTTCAATAGTGAGACCCATCCCAGCCGCTAGTTGGAATTCTGATGAAACATTCCCACCATAAGGCTGAATCCCTGTTGACGACAGGACTCCGAAGGATTTTGGTGGTTGCCTAATGAGGCCGAAGCAGAATTCTCACATAGATAGTCATAAATGAAGTCAGAGTCACTTGGCTGACGCTTAGAATGTACTGTATGCGGTGTTGAACCGTTGATCTCGATGTTTCCCCGTATTCTCCTTAGCTTTCCACCTACGATATGAAATTGACAACCCTCCTGCTAGGGGCTACTCTGGCCAGTGCCGCCCCTGGTCTTGACCTACGCGCTTTGCCGAATGCTCCCGATGGATACGCTCCTGCAAATATCTCTTGCCCTGCTGTGAAACCTACAGTCCGCACTGCATCCAAGCTCTCCCAGAATGAAACGGACTGGCTCGAGTCGCGCCGGAAGGAAGTAGTGTCGCCCCTGAAGAGTTTGCTCGGCCGCCTGAACCTGACCAACTTCGATGCATCAGCGTATATTGACCGAGTGTCTACGAACACTTCCAATCTACCCAATGTGGGAATTGCCGTGTCCGGTGGTGGTTATCGCGCCATGCTAAATGGTGCCGGAGCCCTTAAAGCTTTTGACAGTCGGACCACGAATTCGACCGCTTCTGGTCAACTCGGAGGCCTCTTACAGTCTGCCACTTACCTTTCAGCACTAAGTGGAGGTGGATGGCTGGTAGGATCTGTCTTTATCAACAACTTCACCACCATCAGCGATCTACAGACGAGTGAGAATACTTGGGACCTAAGAAACAATATTTTAGAGGGTCCGGACGTGAAGCACTTCCAGTTCTTCAAAACGGTCGATTACTGGTCTGAATTAGTGGACACAGTAAAAACTAAGAAAGAGGCGGGCTTTAACACATCTCTTACAGACTATTGGGGCCGCGCACTCTCCTACCAGTTTATCAATGCCAGCAACGGGGGTCCGGATTACACCTGGTCATCGATCGCTTTGATGGAGAATTTCCAACGAGGCCAAACACCCCTGCCCATTCTGGTCGCGGACGGACGAAATCCCGGCGAGTTAGTTGTTGGTAGTAATTCTACTGTGTATGAGTTCAATCCCTGGGAATTTGGTACCTTCGATCCTGCTATCTATAGCTTCGCGCCATTAGAATATCTGGGTTCCGACTTCAAAGGTGGTCAGATTTCCAGCAATGGGTCCTGTGTTCGGGGCTTCGACAATGCTGGCTATATCATGGGTACCTCGTCTTCTCTGTTCAACCAAGGGCTATTACGATTGAATGGCACAAAAATCCCCAAGATTTTTAAGTCGGCCATCGAAAGCATTCTCGAAGATTTGGGCCAGGACAACAAGGATATTGCCAACTACCCCAACCCATTTTATCAATATACCGATACTACGCCAAATATCGCACGCCGGACCCACTTGAGTGTCGTCGACGGGGGTGAAGACGGGCAAAACGTTCCATTACACCCTTTGATCCAGCCAGAGCGCCACGTCGACGTAATCTTCGCCGTGGATTCTACATCTAATATCCACGGCTGGCCTTCCGGCAAGTCGTTAGTGCGCACCTATGAACGGAGTCTGAGCTCGACTGTCAGCAACGGAACCGCGTTCCCTGCGGTCCCCGATCCCAACACCTTCATCAATTTAGGGCTGAACAAACGTCCGACCTTCTTCGGGTGCGATAGCAAGAACCTGACTGGGCCTGCACCGTTGATTGTCTATCTTCCAAATGCTCCTTATACATACCTTTCTAATACGTCCACGTTCGACCTGTCTTACAGCTACGAGGACCGTGATGACATGATCACGAACGGTTATAATGTTGTCACCCAGGGAAATAGCACAGAGGATGCCAGCTGGCCGTCTTGTGTGGGGTGTGCTATTCTTTCGCGTTCCGCTGAACGAACCAAGACTACTCTGCCTGACGTCTGCACTAAGTGCTTCAAGAATTACTGCTGGGATGGAACTATAAACAGTACAGAACCGGAGAACTACGAACCGCAGCTCATGATCAAGACCAGCTTGGCTCCCAGGGAAATGCCTGGTTCCATCGCTGCCATATTCCCCTTCGCTCTCGCACTGGCGATGATGCTTTAGACATAATGATTAGTTTGTGTTGCAAACACACGAGCTGGGTTCCTTCGATATCGGCATATAACATCATTTTTTTCAAATATGGTCGCAAAACCGGCATTTATAGACATACAAGAGATGATTTGCATATACTTAGCTAAATGATATATTTTTATGAAAGCTATACGAACTGAAGTATTTCAAGCAGCAATACTAATAATAATTTCTTTCCAACAATACCAACCTTTTGAGGCATTGCCGATTTAGCCCTAAGTGGATGGTGGTGAGTGTCATTTATTAATTGGATGTTAGTGGGCGCCAAAAGAAAAGCCAGGACGTTGAAAATTCTACATAATTAGCGAGTTGGACAGGCTTTCAGGCACCAGGCGCCTTGCGTTCAGCGGGGGAATCGTTGGCCTGAGGCAGCCTGCGTTACAATTTGTCGGTTTGGAATAACACATCAGTTTATGGGCATGCGATATTGCCCGTTTTTGTGCACAGTGCGACGAGTCTAAACTAACACTGAATTACTGCTTCAATGATAATGCAATCTATATCCTTAATAAATTTTCCAATGGCAAGACATAGTACTCAGCTGGGGGTCTTTCTATGATAGTAACAGATTGTACTATCAATCACATACGGGTGATAACAGGAGCTGTGTTAGTGCAAACTACTATCCCACTACTGTACTATGTATGTCGTCTCCAGCTTCAGTGTTGACAGCGGGTAGTGCCGTCTTGCTGGCCAGTTATATGACGCCTGAAACCTGTTCCCCACAATGGAGTGCTTGATAGAGAGTGGTCGAATCCCACACACAATACTGGAGGCCTGTGCCAACCAGCAGCTAAGCTGTTGAGGGAAGTTTCGGTGACGATTTTAAAGCCGCAAACGGTGGGTTATGTGCCTTCAAAACCGCTTCGAATATTGCACTAGGAACCGGGTCTATTGTATGCCTTTATGGTTAGCGACCGTAAAAAAGAAATTACTTTGCAGTGCTAGGCCAGAGAACTCCAAGCGTCTAGGGAAAATATATGACCACCAAGTTTGCGTCCGCAGTATCCCTGTGGCTTCAAGTGTTGTAGACCATCATCTAGCGTCACCTTCTCGAAGGTGGACATGCAGGATAGATAGATACTCATAGGATAATAATGGTCGGTGAGGGAACGATCAGGATGTAAAGGGCTATTCTATGTGTCGTATTTATTGGAAATATTGACCATCGGAAAATGTAGCTCTGAAGAATTTTCATTTCATAGCAATGTAACAACACATATGCCGAATACATGCAACACATCACTGATACCGCTCACTTCTGCAGCGGAAACAAGATTTACTTGTTCCTATAGCCCTATTCACTCGCACACAATCCAAAGCCAGCAGTGATAGGCCACCCTAGAAAAGAAATTAGAGGATCCATCGTCGTGAATGCAGAATAGAAACCTCAAGTCTAGAAAACCTATAGGTAGCGGAAAGGGGCGCTGTCCACCTTCATGCCTGTCAAGAGATGTGCTGTGTGGGGCACATTCGTGCAGGCAAACTTATTGGCATGCACCACATCAGCCAAAAGCGGAGGTCCACGTCAATATCACCTGCATAATACACTAAGATGTGCCTGTTCTTGGGATGGCAAGCTGAAAGCTGAAACCTATTTCGTCCGCGTAGCTCTTGCCAATGAGCAGGCTTCAATTATGACTGATCCTGTGCGTCGTGTTGTCTACTAACCCCGCTCGAATATCCATACAGTAATCTCTAGTGATATAAATGATTCCTAGCGACTAAGCTTCTGGGTGTTTCTTTTTCTTTTTCTTTTGTTAAATGATATACTGACATTTAGTAGGCTAACAAGCGCCAAAATCACGGAAACAGCAGAGGGTATCGCGTATATTTCAACTATGGTCAAGGTAGGATAAGAGTGATTGTAGCCTTTTGAAGTAATGTGTCAGTGGGCGTTCTGTTGAATGGTTAGAGACGCATATAGCGCATATGTACGTTCAATGTATTAAATAATAGACATATCATATCATTATTAATATGAGTCTGCGCCTAATGTCTATTTGTAAACAAGCCGTGAGCTCTATGATGGAATTGGATACTTAAGTCAACCGGCGACTGGATATTCAGTACGAATCCTATAGGTTTTCCACATCTTCTGTCGAATAGTTTTCATTCATCCCTCCGGAGTACTTCATGCCTCGTATTACTAGCGCTTGACGAGAGCAGATGCAGTCTTGATGTCACAATGCAGGTACTACATACATAACAAGCTATCGGGATGCTGAAAGTACTCAGACCTGTCCAATATCCAGCTGCCTCGTGGCCGCGAGGTATCATCTTTTGTTTTTCCTGTCTGCTAAGCAGGCCGTACATGCTATTCAACATTTGAATGCCTTCCGGATATAATTTCCCTATCGAAGTAGATGATACTTAAGCTTAAAATAATCGTAGGTAGGGACTAGATTCCTCATCGCCGCTTTGAATTTAGTATTAGCAAGAGACATTCTACCGGATGAAGGAACTTCGGTCGACGATCAAGAGCCAACGATAAATGCCTGAACTAGGTACATGACGTGTATAGTATCCCCCGTCAAGAAATGGCTAGCGAAAACCATTTCGAAGTCTGGACAATTCTATGTCCAAGTCTAGCACGAAATTCGTGTATGCAGACACTCGAATCTGCAAGGCAGTACACGTCACCGGCAGCCAGTAGTCCCATGATACCCATGATCTGCCTTTCACAAGAGGCGATTCATGACATTGAGTGATTTTTCTCCTGGCATTCCTTGTCCGAATCAAATATAAACAGAGCTGGTGACACGCTCCAGAAACAACAAGGTCTCTAAGACAACCAGAAACCAAAGTCCCAAGAGAATAATCTTGCAGTATCCCTGAAAGGTAGACAGGCTTACCAAGCCTAGTATGTTCATTAACGAATTATTTTGGGTCCTTCGCATAGCATTCAGTGTGCTAATTGGTCATCAGATCGAACAAGGACGTTACAATGGCACAGCAGCTATCCAGTGTCGCCTGGTCCGCTGATAGACTCGACGTCTTTGGCATCGGCACTGACAACGCCTGTTGGCACTCCTGGTGGAATGGCTCTAGCTGGGGTGGATGGGAATCACTCGGTGGGGTCTTCAGCAGTCCTGTTCAAGCCGTCAGCTGGGGTCCTAACAGGATTGACCTTTTTGGCCTTGGCACTGACAACGCCTGCTACCATAAATGGTGGAATGGAAGCAGCTGGGGTGGATGGGAAAATCTTGGAGGGGCTGGTAGTAGCGCTGTCAGTGCAGTGAGCTGGGGCCCCAATCGACTGGATCTCTTTGTACGGGGCACTGATAACGCTGTCCACCATAAATGGTGGAATGGAAGCAGCTGGGGTGGATGGGAGTCACTCGGCGGCAAGGTCAACAGTGGCATTGAGGCCGTTAGCTGGGGACCCAACCGCCTGGATCTGTTTGCACTGGGCACCGATAACGCTGTCTACCATAAATGGTGGAATGGAAGCAGCTGGGGTGGATGGGAGAGCCTCGGCGGTGTCGCAACTAGCCCTGTCTCGGGGGTTTGCTGGGGCTTAAACCGCATAGACATCTTTGTCAAAGGCACTGACAATGCCTTGTGGCATAAATGGTGGAATGGTAGTAAATGGGGAGGCTGGGAGTCCCTTGGTGGAGTCGTGACCAGTGATGTCAAAGTTACTAGCTGGGGCAAAGATCATTTGGATATATTCGTGCGAGGGTCCAAGAATGATGCTTGGCATATATACTGGTACAATGGCAAATGGGGCGAATGGGGACAACTCGGCAACAATACCTTGTTTACTGCAATTTCAGTTGTGTCTTGGGGAGCTGGTCGCCTGGATCTTTTTGCAATTGCCACGGACAAAAACGCCGTTTTGCACCAGGCGTGGAACGGGACGTCTTGGGGCGGGTGGGGGTCTCGTGGAGGAATTTTCCTTAGCCAGCTTCGAAATGTGTAAACAGGGCCTCTTCATGAGTCGCTCTTATTATATCAGTTAGGTCATGGGGAAGAAGGAATGAAAGGCTTGAGCTAAACTCTTGACTGTGTTTGAACCATGATACGCCAGTGAAACGTCGGAGTAGACTACGACATATCCGCCTCTGTCTCGATAGTAGAGGTTTAATTATATATCAAAAGCAATCCAGTGCATCTTAATGCCCTGAAGGGTTCTGGGAACATGTGTATTTAGGTTTGATAAGTAGCTTTATGGATGTCACAAAGCTTGGTCAAGTCTAGTACTAGTCAAGACGAGAGACTTCCAAGTTGAACTAGCAGCATAACAAAAGCTTTTGTCCTACAATAATAACCAATTTTAAGGATGTTTGACAAAAATATGAGAAGGTTATATTTGGACAACTATGGACATGCTTCTAAGCCTTGTTTCACTCTAGGATGTAGAATCTTTCTACTACTCAGCCTACATATAGTATCTCACTCATTGAAGGGAGGCAAAGGATAGCTTTATGACGAGAATTCTACGCATGAGCTCTCTTTATATAGTGAAATAATTGCAAATACAGATAGTTGAGTAAGACAACCTATAGTTACTGTAACACGATAAACTATACCATCCAAGCAACTAATCGGTCTCAATCAGCGGGCGTTGCCTAGTATTACGTCGAGATATAGAGTGATTTCTAGCTGACAGTGATGTTAATGCATAGGTATTGTGGATTTCACGTTTGTTACAACGGGTCAATTACAGGTGCCCTCGGTATAGAGGTAGGCAAGCCCAGCTTAATATTATTTTATAGTAAAGGTCTTGGCAGTGGGTCCACACGATCAAGAATGACTGGAAAAGATAAATGCGCACGTTTTAAATGTTCTTATGGCGCCTCTTTACGGAGTAGTTGCCATCCGGTATCCAAGGGCGAACATCAGAAGCTCAAGTATGATTGGCTGGACTGCGGTCAGCTGACCAAACTCACCCGAACTCAACCGAGACTTCTTTTAGTGAAAAGAGAAGATATGAGTCGTTACTAGTCTACGAGGACTTGTGATTCTAGAAATTTAGATTTGATGCTTTCCGAACAGGATTCTGGACATACTCGTTGAAACAGGACTTGTCGTGCCGGAACCATGCGGCCACAAATGCGACAGACTCAGAGGGTGCCACGGTCATGTATACAATGCACCCGTAGGAAAGTGAAATGCTCGAAAAGAATACCCTGTGATAAATGCATTGAACGCGGTGAATCGGCTGCCTGTGTGCGTGAGGTTGTTAAGGTTGCTGGGAAAGTCACTGTGTGAGATCCCCCAATGCGATATTCTCGACACTTTATCAGCATATACATTCAACTGAGCTAACCTCTTACAATAGCGCAGTGGACGAAGATGTGCCATCAGACGATAGTGCTACCGGCGCCGCCTCGAAGCTTTTAGAGGAGAACATGAGCCTCAAAATGCGGATAAGGCAGCTGGAATCAGTTCTCTCCCGACCAGAAATGCTAAAAGTGGAAGCCAATATCCCCCGACGCACAGCAGCCGTAGAGGACTTTCAATCATCGGAGAGTATCTTAAGCGAGTTTCAACGTTTACCGTTCCAGCTATCAGTTGAGCCACGTCAAGGCCATGCGGATAGCACTCGTCCGTGGGATGATCATGTAATGCTCTGTCTACCTGCCCGCCACTGGAGCGAAGTAATCGTCAAGTTCTCTCTAAGAGAGTTTGGATGGGTTCATTGTGCCTTAGACGCATCGGTCTTCATGCGGGAACATGATGCATTCTGGGACAGCTTGATCGCAAATGAAAGAAATAGTCTCAGGGATCATGCTTGGATTGCGGTATATCTAAGCGTCTTAGCCGTAAGTTTTCTTTATGCCACCTTTAGCTTCCGTGATTTGACTAGCTTCCAGGTTGGCGTATACTTTATTAGTGAAGAAAAAATACAAAACCTCCAGTTGGTTTATGAAAGCTTCTCTGCCCGAGATCCTTCTGTGCGGTCTTCATTGGACAGGGGGTCTATAGAATTGTCTCGTAGTTGGCGAGCAGCCGCCTTGAAAGAGTTGAACTATGCCAACTACACCGGCAAGCCAAGCTTGCGAACTGTGCAGGCCTTGACAATTCTGAACGTGATTCATAAGAACCTCGGTGAATCAGACCAGGAATATATTCTTCATGGTACGGCCGTGAATGTTGCCCGACTCATTGGGCTCGATCGCCTTGGGCATGATCGTGGAACAGTGAGTACACACATGGAAAGCCTAGAGTCGAATTCAAGTCAGCAGAATGTTCTTCGAAGGTTGTGGTGGACACTTGTGGTTTGTGACTGGTAGGCCTATATACTTGGCCTGAAAGGGTATGGGAACGCTAACACTACATAGGATAGCTGTGTGGTCACGTCCAATCACGATCCATCCAGAGTCTTTCACAACAGTATTGGAAGTAACGGAGGGCCAAAGCACCTTTATCGATGGAACCTTTGCCTCTGCCTCGCCACATAGCTTCGGTGAAGGGGCGAACCGTCCATCTACCTTCGAGTATCATAGAGCAATAGCTCAATTGGCCATTACTATACAGACCCACGTCGGATCCATCAAAAGTTGGAATATAAAAGTACTACAAGATACCCTTGGGGAATTAGATCGCATCTCATTATCCTTCCCACCCCACCTCTCATCGGTAGGCCAGGAGACCACCATGGACGTAGTAGGCCATGAAACCAACTGGATCACAGTGCAACGCTTTTTACTCCACAACTGCCTAGATAGCTGGCGGATCCATCTCTGCGTTGCAATCTTGCCCCACATTCTGGAAAACCCCAACGAAGATGGAGGGGATGTCCTCCAGCACGGGATATTAGCTGCAAACCGTCTTCTTCAGAGGAGGCAACACGCACCATGCTCTCATTTCCACAAGTTCTGGGCTGTGACGGCCTCCATCATCACTGCAGGAATCTATACCATCATAGACCTGATATGCCTACGAAAGTATCGATCGCCCCCTGAATTAAGCGAACGACGGGAGTTAGTTAGACTAAGCATCAATCTGCTTGAACAGTCTTTCACGGAGACGCGACACGGTGCATTACTCGTCCTTCGGCGGCTATCTCATCTATATGATATCATAGACCCATCGCAAGAAATTAACCGACTCGTACTCTCGAAGATAGTGAGGTTAACAGCGTCGCCCCGTCTGTGGGCTTCTCTTCCAGATGCCGATGCGACTTTAGGATACTTGTTTCCAGAGCCAGGTTTTGACAACCCGGGAAACACGTCGTCATCATCGCCGAGCAGTAGTCACTGTGTGGAGGGTAGAATATCTGGAGAATACTCAACACTCCCAGAATTTCCTGTTGAACTGGACTTCTTTACAACTGCTATTGGGCGGGGCGAGATCCTACCTCACTTCGGTGATTTGTCGTCCTCGTTGGAACTTATTGATATGTCGATGCCATGGCTTGACCCATTCCCTCTTGATGATTTTGTTAAACAGTCTTAAGGAGCCCTTGAATTTATATACAGCCATTTAACTATAACATTTTTATCTGAGAAACAATCAGAATTATCGAAATGAAAACAAATCAGAACTTACCCTTAGCCAAAGTTAAAATAACTTGAATCAAAATCACCACAACGTATCAAAGGTCTTCGAATGGTCACTGCGCAAGAGTTGTCTCCAAGGTGTTGTCCTTTCGGTTACTTTTATCGTTAACTCATTGTCATTTCTTCTTTACATTAAGCATAGCCCAATGTTCTCACCTAATATCTCAGCTGAAGGTAGACCCAGGAGTATTAATGGCCTCACCACATTTACCCTAGGTATAAGCTTTCCATTTCCCCCCTTCCATGGAGTCTTCTAAACTTCACTAATATATATAGAAGTTTCACTATAAGCAATCTCCTGATACAAGCAATTTCAAGCACTTGCTGAATTGGTTGTTCATAACGGTGTTTTACAGTACATAGTCTACCAATAGATTACAGTAACATTTTGAGTGATGTTGTTTATAATCCGGGTGAGCAGGGTGAGCTAGGCAAACTGGTTGGATTTTGTGAAGTTAAATAGGGGCACTCAACCTGGTTTTTCACCCTTCGAGTTACTCGTTCTCAAGAAACGGCTTGAAGCGCGATCTTATACGGACCGACCATGTCGCGTGATAGACTCAGTATCTCGGTGGCAGCCAGATAATTAGTGCTTGAGGCATTCACAGGTACAATACTACCTATTTAAACAATCATTATAGTCTTGAGTGTACTATTAAGAGAGTATATAGTACTTAAAGACCTTATCTAGATGACTATATAGCCTCTGTATTTAAAATTACGATGGTTTACTAGGAATTTAATTCTATTCAGAGAACTCATCAATAATCTTATAGCGAGAAGTAACTATCTGAGCTAACTAAATGGGACAAAGGCACGGAGAAGTGTAATATGTTTGTACTAGATTTCAACGGTCTTCTTGTCAACAGCATATTTCATCGTAAGGAACCGAATCTTCGAACCGAAGATGAAAACAACGAAACCAAAAGCCGAGATAACTCCCATAATGATAGCACAGATATCCAATGCCTGCTTATAACCCATCTGTGCAACGAACTTCGTGACGCCAAAGGAAATCCCGAAGGAGATCAAGCCACGGCTTGTACAGATCAGCACCAGAATGGGACCTGCTCGCTCTCCATAACTATCAAGGGAGTACGTGTATCCAATGAGTATGATACCAATGAAGCCGAAGTAAATCCCATTAAAACCGACCGTGACTGCCCAAGGCGACCAGTGATATGGATCGGAACCAGCATGGCCAAATATGACACATGAAATTAGTGCCACGGCGACAGGCAGTAAAATTGGAATCAGGCGAAACTCAGGTTCGGCCACACCGTTGCGGCGTCTTGCTATCCATTCGTGGAGCTTGTCTCCGCCGTATCCGAGAACAGGGACGAGGATCAGTGAGACAACTATTTGGCCTCCTTGGACAAGGCCTAAAGCTGTGGCGGGATAGTTGTATGGTGGCGCAGTAAGGATGGATCCGAACACGGTTACCATGATCACATAGATTCCGAGCACGACACTATTCATCAACACGATCCACAGGATGTTGGGGAATAAGATACACTGCAGCATGTGCTTCCAGCAGTCTATCGCTACCGACCACTTCGCAGGACCGTGGAAGACCTTCAAGCTGTGCCGCCATGTACGCGGTTGATACCGGGTGAAGTCCAATTCCACTCGGTGCTTGGTAGTTGCACGAACAACGGCCAGGTCTTCGCCTTCATGCTGAACATGGACCTGGCCATCAAAAGCGTCCGTGGGCCGTTGATACAAGGACTCTGGGACCAGTGCAAAGGAGACCAAGAACAGTACGCCGCTTATGATAGCGAATATGCCGTACCACCACCTCCACCCCAGGCTCTGAACAAGGTAGGCTGTAGCAATGGTCAAGGCAGCGCTGCCTATAGATTGGATGGCGCTGAACCATGCTAGCCTACTACTGCGCTCGTGAACAAAATGGATCTCCTACAGTAGTGGGTGCACCGAGATGTCAGTCTCTGCTCTGTGTATATTGTGTCCGGATAGACAGGGAGTACCTGAATGATGAGAGGACACAATGCCTCCGACTGTCCGGCAGCCAAAGATAACACATCTCGCCCAGCAATATGCGAGTCCAGACTAGTACTCGCAGCACACCAGATTGACCCGACTGTCAGTATTAGAGCAGAGGTCAGGAATACTGGACGACGCCCCACAGCCTCAGCGAGTGGTACAGCGACTACGTTTCCAAGCCCCATGAACAACGTTGGATATGTCATCAAGTCGTTGGTTCTGGGATTGCCGTCGTAATAGGCCGAGATGGTAGTGGTGATAGGGCCCATACCAGAGGTCATCAGGACACTCAGCACGGCGACTAGCCAAAATTTCGTGCGGTTAATATTTCTCTTTACTCAAAACCACCTATTGCAGAATATTCGGAAGAGAGTGGGAAATAGAAATAGATAATAAAAACTTACAGACCCCTAAAGTGCTGCTTATTACCCACTTCTGCCATTGAGGTAGGTTGAGAGGATCTCATTATCGTCAGCAACAATGGTTGGAAAACCGGTAGCCGATCACGGCTGGATATGCACCCTACCTCTGGGATCAGGGGAAGGAGTTGGAATCAAGACAATTTCTCCATCCTCAACTAGCTTCACCGTTCCTGTTGGGACATTTGGTGCCGAGTCTTTTGTAACAGCATACTCATGATGCGCGGCGTCGACCTCCTTCGCCATGTTTAACGCTTTAGTCGGGGTGATCTATGACCTCCGAGAAAAGACGTCGGGCGATTGCACCGTTAATATAGAATTTGTAGGTGATCCATTAGAAATATCCCCTCGCGTATTGGGAGATACGTTTTTACCGGCCCTGTATAGCGCCGGTCTTTGTGCACGGGGTCCCCGTGGGGAAAACCCATGTACCGGTCGATAGCCGATCGCGGAGAAACCAACCAGCAAACCTCAAGGTCGCCAGGAACTACCGGGATAGAGAATGTGGAGCCGAGGCAGGTCCGTGGCCCGTCCACGGCTGGTTGACGTTGACAGCAAGGTTTGCGATACTTAAGACTCACCCGAGCTCGACCGAGTTTTGCCCCTCCGTACCGGCTAAGCGCACGTTAGCCTGTCAGAGTTGCGGCTTCATTAATCAAAGCTGCTAGCCTAGTCTAGTCTATCTTTTTAGCACTTGACACGGCGCGAAGACGGTAAAGTGGCCGTCCGAAGGTAATAAACTAAAGGTCATGTGGCCACGGAGGAACTATTATGTTGTTCTTGCCCCCCCCCCCCCCCCAGTAAGCTTCAGAAATTGCTCATGATAGTATCGTGTGAAGGCTTGTGTTATTTTTTTCTTTCTCTAGCTTCCTGTATGTTCTTTTCCTCCCGAAAGAGATCTCAGCACAAAGGTGTATTTATAATTTATGTCATGCTAGGTATAAGCGATCTGCGTATTAAGATCTATTGTACCCTATGCTTTTGATGGATCGACGTAATAAATATCATAAATATAGAACAGACAGCTAAATTGAATACGTAATATTTAAATACACAGCTAGTAAGCGATAAAACAAATTCCCAATTTGATATCATTCGACAGGCATGACGCTTCCAACGCTTCGCAGATCAATAGGGAACTACGCCAGCTAGTTTGAGCAACCTCTCAGTCTTCACTGGTTTGGTAAGAGGCTCATCCCTTTCAAGCGGGTCTGGTACCTCCTCTCCATCAACCTTGATTGTTGCCTTGCCATGGGTGTAGAGATTAGTATGTGGCCAATGGGTCGTAGTTTCAAAATTCTCGAAAAGCTCCTTTTTTGCTGCTCGGTCTTCGTCGGACATCCAGGCCGCAGGTGTATAGGTTGCGTAGACAATTGTACGAATAAGGTCAGAATCTCCAAACTGTGCCCAATGCATCTCACGCGAGTCCCACAGAATCAAGTCACCCGGTTCGGCGCAGACTTTGATCAACTCACAGCCGTGCTCGCGGTACCAGTCCAGGTCTTTGTCTGAGAATGGATGGAAGTCCTTGTGCTTAGCAGTTCGCCATGGCATGGGGCCTGTCACTGGGTTCTCTTCGAAGAACTTATCGAAGAGAGCGGCGGATCCCTTCATGACGACGAGGCCACCGTCATTAGGTCCAGATTCGGATAGGTTCACAATGCCTTGAACACAAGACAAACCCTTGCGCTCTGGAGCTTGGTCACAGTGAGGCCAAGGCTTGGAATCATACTCTCCAACGATGGATTGAGGCAGTGTGATGTTGACGGTGTCGAAGGAGACAACTAGTTCATCGGTTCCCCAGAGTTTCGCAAATGGCTCAACAACTCCTGGTTCGCTGGAGGCAAAATGTTAGTCATTCTAGTCTTTGAGATCTGACAAGCAAAACTTACGTTCTAACGTCCCACATGTACTTCTCGTGTGCGGCAGCAAAGTGAAGATACATTCCACCTTTGAAGCTTTGGGGCAGGTTTTCTTTCTTCCACGTGCTTCTATCATTGCGGTTGAATCCGATATTGAATGACTCCAGCCAGGTGAGTGCCTCGCTCTGGTACTCCCGGGCGCGCTCCTTGCTCAGAACGCCCTTGATGACTGTGTAGCCATTCTTGAAAAAATCATCACGAAAGTCACCGTAATGGGTTTCTTGCTTCGTGCTCTGATGAGACTTCAGAGGGTTGGGAGTGCTCATAGGCTCAGGTGTATCAACGCGAGAAGGCGCCATATCTTCGTGTTATTTTCGTGCAGGTGAATATTTTATTGAGTAAACAGAAAGCAATAATGAGATGATTGAAGAAAATAGATAATTACTCCAGATTCAGGGTATGTAGACCGTACATGCGGACTTTTAAACCTACGATGATTTTCTCTCGGGTATAAAGGGAACGTTCCACATCCGAGACCTTTGCCAACAAAAGATTAGCACGGCCGAACTCTTCCAGAACTCAGGAAGAGTGAATCTTGTGACCTTGTCGGTGTGTCTTGTCCATATCGGCAATACTTTGGTATCTACCGATCGTTTCTCTACAGCTGAGCCGATCTCGGCCGAGCTCGCCCGAAGGCCCCCTTTAGCCTCAAAATTTCCCCATAACGGGAATTATCAAGGTAATATCCCTGCCGAAACTCCCCACAGTACCGGCAAGATCCATGACTTAAAGATGTAGGGGAGGACGTTGGCCAAGAGACGACAAGAGCCAACACCTAGAGCACATAATCTCTCCAAAGATGCCGCCGCCAGTCCCTATTGCCACTCGGCCAATCGATAAGCCCTCCGTGGGCCGAAATAATTACCAACCCTTCGGATTTCGTGAGGAAGTTCTTCCTACAGGTTGGAGTCAGAATGGCTCCAGGCCATTACCCTGTGACATCCATGCATCGCATGACGTTGGAGTCAAAGTTCGTGATGGTAGCACTTTATACTGCGACATCTACCGTCCTGCCGACGCTACAAAACCGGTGCCCGCCATCCTAGCCTGGAGTCCATTCGGCAAGAAGTTCAATGGTATATCGATGCTTAAATTCCTACCATGGGGCCTCGGAATACCTAGCGGGGTACTCAGCGGGTTGGAGAAATTTGAGGGCCCAGACCCTGCTGATTTTGTTCCTCGTGGGTTCGCCATCATCAATGTCGATGCTCGCGGATCTGGTGACTCAGAAGGCACTGTGGGTATTATGGGTACGCAGGAGGCTGAGGATGGATACGACGTAATTGAAGCCGTGGCCAAGATGCCATGGTGCAATGGGAATGTCGGGTTGGCCGGTAACTCTCACTTGGCCATTGTTCAGTGGTTCATTGCCGCATTGCAACCACCTTCTCTGAAGGCCATTGCTCCCTGGGAGGCTTGTGGTGATTTGTACCGTGAACAGTTTGTCCGTGGCGGGGTATTTGACGCTGGTCTATTCGACTTTATTATCGACACTAATATTCAGGGGCACGGTGGGGTGGAGGACTTCCACGAAATGTATCGGCGCTACCCCAAAGCCGATGCCTTGTATTGGAAGGACAAACGACCGGACATCAACAAGATTAAGATTCCAACCTACATCACCGCCTCCTACACAAGCTTTGTACATACCATGGGCTCGCTGCGGGGCTGGCTGGAGGTGCAATCTCCACACAAATGGCTTCGTCTGTGCCCATGGCAGGAATGGTACGACATCTGGAATTGCAAGGACTCAGCCGATGACCTTGCAAGGTTCTTCGATCGTTACCTCAATGGTGCCGACAATGACTGGGAGAAGACCCCCAAGGTCCGGACAACCATTTTACGATTCAACCAAGAACCACTGTATAATATTGCCGAAGAGGATTACCCCATCCCACGCACCGACTACCGGAATATGTATTTCCACCCTGGCGGGCATTTAAGCGCCGATGTACCCAAAACAGAAACATCAATCTCTTATAATTCAGAAAAATACTTAGACTGCGCCAGCTTCACACACACCTTTGACACCCGGACACGGTTAGCAGGTGTTCCAAAAGCGGTCGTGTACATGTCATGCCCTGACTTCCATGATATGGATGTGTACGTACTCCTGCGCAAGTTGGATGCGAATGGCAAAGCTCTGCTGAACCTCAACATTCCCTGGTCATCGATTGCACACCACGGGGTCTCTCAAGATAACATCGACGACATACCTCCTCGGAATAAGAACAATCTGATGTTCCATGTTGGATCATTGGGTATCCTTCGTGCGTCGCGCCGAGCCATTGACAGTTCTCGGTCCATCCTCGAAAACTACCCATTCCATCCACATGACCGTGATGAATATATCACACCCGGTGATATAGTCAAGTTGGATATTGGCATATGGGCCATGGGAGTGGAGTACGAGGCCGGCGAAAGTCTGCAGGTGCAGGTACATGGGAATAGCCCACTTTTGCGCGGTGAATTCAAGGAAGATAATGAGTTCCAAGAGCTTGCATCGCATGGGACTCACAATGTTCATATTGGCCCTGAGTATCCTTCGTGTATTATTTTACCTTTCGTTTGAGCAGCGAACAAAAGAAATAACTGGTTGATTATAAATAAATAGTAGCTTTTCCACCCCTTTTTGCTCGCTGATTATTGGCGAATAGAACATTAAATCATCAATCGAGCTTTCCCTCACAAACATATACATTTCCATATGTTCTTTTAACTGAAGTAAATATCTCCCTATAGCCAGTAGTACATATCTAAATATATCTTAAATCGAAATCTAGTATCAATCTACAGATATTAGTAAGTTCTCAAAGTATAAAATTCTCTGCTCATGCCGATAGACCCGTATAGCTGCTTATATAAATTTCCATGTGCTTTATACCCCATGGTTATAAATCATTCTCAGCTCTCTGGGTATACTATTTCAGGAGCTAAGCACTTCGATAACTGTTTCCTCAGAGACCACATGCTTTGTAAAGGAGCCTGTGAGCAGCATGTATGTAGGTATATTTATTGTACAACGTACTGTACTCTATAGGTGACTGTTGTCGATCCGGTTGCTTGTTAATCTTCGAAGTAGCTGACGTAAAGGAATTCCACATAACTAATGTCGCTGTAATGTCTTAAATTTTCCGTGTAGTGCAGAATATTACGTTACATAGATAACGCCCATGGGACAACAGGGCAAACGGTTGGAAGTTTACACAGTCCAATAGCCAAAGTAGTCAAACAAAGAATGGACCTATACAGGGACGTTCGGCCGTTGCCCTGTGAGCAGAGTTTGCTTCAGAGGTCTGACCCCATAGCCGTTACCAAGACACTTTGAAGAATATATTTCGTGCTCAAGCCCTTTGTCACACCCTTATACTTGTGGTGTTTGGTGATGGGAATCATATACCGCTAGCCTTTGTCAACCTTCCCAGCCTTTACACGTCAGTTGTGTTACGATAATTGCTTCTGGACACTGCCGCGGCCTATTTGACTCGGTGTCTATGTTCTCTATACCTGCTAATAATACAAGCAATCATAACTCAAATTAATGATAAGGAATATATTTAGGCAATCTCTTCTGTACCCCCAAGGACGGGGCCAAAAAAAAAAGTCTCTTGGACATTTTAGGCTTTTAGAGGCAGCGTTCTTTATAATTTTATAACACGCTTTGTTCATCCATGGTTTAGTCCGAGTTCCCAAGCCCCACAAACTAACCTTCATTTTCGGTGTGTTTTTGAAAAAGGAGCATTTATATATGGATACTTCAGCTGTGAATTCCAGGAAAGTTCTATCTGCACCAACCTCGCTGTCTACCTTCGTGGCCCAAACTTGAACCATTCCAGCCATGAAAGTCGTCAGTTTCTTACAGACCTGGTCAGTCTGGGGAAGCTTCATTGTCTTTGGACTGTGTTTCCAGTCCTGCAATTCTGAATCGCTCCCCAACCCTCTCGCCCCAGGTAGTTTGCATCGACTGGACAATTCGACAACGGATGATGAACGCAGCGCGTGCAGCAACAATGCGTTGAAGACATTTAGTGTTCGTGATCAAAATTGGCACGAGTGGGAAGCAGAAAATCGAATATTTTAGATGGCCTCATGACGGACGACTTTACCCTTGTGAATGCAGAGACAACTCTATACACGGGCAACAACAATCAAACGACAATTACGGACACGCCATCGGCTGGAACCGTGATCCTAAGCTTATTCGATTTCGATGTGGATGTAGCAGGTTGAGAGTGAAAATTATAGAGACAGCCTGGCTCAATATCATCATGATGGTCTGTTTGGGCACCACCTCTGTTTCAGGAGGAAAGAACAACTGACTGGCAGATAGTTGAATCGCGCCACACCTTTCTTGCAGCGTCTTCGAGAATTAAATCAGAACCATGCTCCGATTCAAGCATTGACAGCTCAAGATCAATCCAGGTCATAATCTGTTCAGAACCTTGTATGCCTCCGAGCCACAACGTGGTCAAGCCCTCGATCGAATCGAAGGTATGTTGCCTAGTAGTCCAAACCGAGACGCAATTGGGAACTGATCAGATTCGTGCAGGAATGAGGTCCAGTATTCTTAACGCCATGACCTCAGATTGGTACGCAGTTAATTTTTGGTGCGGCGATATGGATTGGATATTGGATGAACAATACAAGATGATTAAAGACAAACCAAAACGCTGCGCTACACAAAATGAGGTTAAGTACGGAAGGCGGCATGCTACATACCGTAAAAGGCCTGATGACCAAGGTTGGTCTTCCATTCTTCGTGATATCTTCCCCCTTATAGTTGCTGACTGCCTCTAGTGATGTGGAGAAATAAACATGACAACTGGGTGACGTACACGGCGAAACGGAGTAGTTATTGCAAACGACCTGACAGAAGCATGCAGGGCGTTATTGCTGATCCGTTCGCAATTGCAAAAGGGGATCATATTATTATCTGTAAGCATTCTTTTACGCAGCAGTGGTCGCAACACATTACATCGTTGCGCGAGAGGATGCAGTTTGAAATAATGACAAATTCGCCCGACCATTTTCTCTATCGTGTGACAGATTTAACCCCAGAAGGAGAAATTCTCAGTGTGCTCGCCATGTCAGAGAGTATACATGGTGAAAGACTGACTATGGACGATGCCAACAAGTTTGCCCAACTTCTTTTAGGTAAGTTATTGCTTTCATCCTTGCCTCTTCCCTTTGTCATATAGACTAATATATTACCGTGGTATTTGCTCTTCGCCTGCATGACAGGCCTATACTTGGAACAGTGCAACTGGAGTTCAATGAATTTAAATTGCCACCGCTTCGCAAAACAGAGGAAGAAAAAGTCTCAACCTTGATTTCGTTTGGGCTAACCACTCTTTCAGCGGGTGGACGAAGTTTTCGATTGTCAAGCGCGAGCAGGCTGTCTGGGCAAGGGACATCAATATACAGAAGTTGTTTGCCAGTTTCTCTTCTGTTCACACTATGCACTCATTGTCAATAACTATAAAATTCCTCGCTCGTTTGATGCTACAATTGTGTTTGAAGTACTACCCTGGTACCACACTTTATAGACATATGCGCTGGGATCCAGTAGAGCTCGGGTAAATGAGTTATAACAATCAAAGTGTTCAGGTAGTCTTAGAGAGCGTAGGAGACAATCAGTGGGGTGTAGCCTGTAATTTTCGCTTTAGAAGGTTTTCTATAATCCCGTTTATTGGCTATTGGTACCCTGTCTTGTTGTAGTTCTCACATTTCAAGTAGCTCCAAGACCTATACATTGTACATTTTGTCTTCTGGGCACATGTGCGTCATAGCAAAATTTACCAATTACTGCAACGAAGCCAACATCTGAAATTGGATAGCACAACAATACAATGATAATATATGACGGCTCAGAAGACCCCGTATCTTCCCCAGTCAGGCATGATATACAGGTTATAAAAGCTAATGGTGCCTGATGGATATGTGGCGGCTTTCGAGGTATAAACGTAATACTCACTGGCCGGGAAGGCCTATTCAATATGTGGTAAGGCAAAGCGCTGTACAATCTCTTCACTGGTCTAATCCCATTCTACCAACAGGAAATTAAGAGAATATTCTTCCTGGATTATGTACGGTTTTGCCCCGTCCATTTAGCACTGTTTGGAATGAGCTGAAGATCATATTGGTAGAGTAAGCGAAAATGCAGAAGCATGACAACATTGGCCAGACTAAGAAGTGCCCGGTGGCTTAGCCTCTGCTTTGACTGTGACTGTTTCCAGAGAGTTTATGCCTTGTACGATGCATGTATTTCATCCTACATTGAGCACTTGAACTGCTGATTAATTGTCATCTTATACGCTATCTCCCTTAGCCTACGTTTTAAGGATAAAATCCATGATCTCGCAAAAGGTCGCTTAATTGTAAAGAGATACGGCTGACTGAGCGATGGGGTTTGACGATAGAAAGCTTTTATATGGGGGTAGATATTGTAGCTTTATCTATTTATTGACTAATCAATTATACAGTGAAGAGATAACATAGAACTTGATTTTGACAATGATACTTAAAATAGTTAGTGGCGACGGTTTACTAAAGGCAGGGCTAATCAGCGCATGACACTCTCGTATGAACTATATAATGGACCACCTTAGAACCCAAGCATGGTTCTTTCAATTGTTTGCAGCTATAGTAGAGCCGGTTGAATGAATCGATTTTGAAAAGCCAAATGTTTTCACCTCCTCGTTTATACTTTCACCAGATACCTCAATAGATGCGGACCAGCAACCTCAAAGACATGGGTTACGAGAAGATTGTAACGAATTGACACAATACGAACGTAGGGTAAGACATATGATGAGAGCATTTACTGTATTATGTTCGTACACGCAGCTTATCATCAGGCCGAGAAAGGCATTGTTCGTGTGACAGTGAATGGAGTTTCCTTCGGTTAATTAATCAACCCATCTTGCCAAGAACATCTCTTGCGAGCCATGTAGAACCAAATATTCCAGACCTGGTTCCGATCAAGTCACTTGGAAAGCATCATGCACAGCTGGGAGACACATCCTCATCTGCGAGTAAAGGCGCAAGTGGACGATTCGACAAAAGTCTTCAGAGATAGACTGTCCTCAAGGCTGTCAGACAATAGCCCCGAAATCCAGGAATACAGCAGCAGTCGTACAGTCAATACCATTAACACGACCTATCCCGGGTCTAAGTAAAGACCGTATCAGACATAAACTGAATTTAGGCCAAGGTTTTTGCCTTCACCAGCTAAAAGGTTTTGGCCTTGTTTTTATCGCCCTCGCGACCTTCTAGAAGGCCAAGCTTGAATCTTCGGTAAAAGAACCAATTCTACAGAACAATTGGTCAAGATTCAAGATCCAGTTTCAGTCATCACTAGAATTGGACTTACGAATAGCCGCAGTGGTAAAATTGTAACAAGTAGTCGAAGAGTGCGCGCAAGAGCGCCTTCCCATATTTCGGCACTGACCCGTGGCTTCACCAGCTTCGCAACCACAGATCTCGCATAAGCATCTGCCGGCATGCCACTTGCGTTGCCTTCGTACTTGATATCCTCGATGGTCTTCTTGAGTGGAAGATAGAGGGATGTCTCCGGAGCATACATTCCATGGTGTAGAATATTACTCTGCACGAAGCCGGTGACAAGCTCAATGACCTCTATTCCAAACGGCTTGACCTCCTATGATGCAGGTCAATTACAGGAATACGGCATGGGACGAAGTGACAATGCGGCATAGGAGCAGGGGGGGGAGCCAGGCTTACCAAGCGGAGCGTGTTGGAATACTGACTGAGGGCCGCCTTGGAGGCATTATAAGGCGCCTGCCAGACCATAGGTACGTTCCTTGTCACGCTTCCAAGCTGCACAATACGTCCGCGAGGGGAGCTGCGGAGGAGTGGGATGAAGATCTGGCAAAGCTGCATGACAGCAAAGACGTTGACTTGAAACAGTTTCTCGACCTCTTCAATCTCAAGGTCCATTGCGGTGGATGCGTAATGCGTTCCTGCATTGTTGACCAAGAAATCTAACCGGCCACCAGTGCGCTCGGATACCGCATCCTTCAGCTTGGCAATACTCTCTGAACTGCTGAGCTCCAGTTCGAAAGCTTCGATATTCTCGTGCTCGCGTGTTAGCTCCTTAAGATATTCGACACGGCGGGCGGTTGCAAGGACGGTAACTCCTTGTTCTGCGAACGCTACTGCGAGCGCTTTTCCAATGCCACTGCTACAGCCGGTTATGAGGGCGAAAGAAGTCGTTTGCGCCATCAGTGCGATCAAATCACAAACACGCTGTTGAATAATACAGGACAATGCTGTATGTTGTACGTGCCGTTGTGGATCTGGAGTGTCGAAATGAGCAGGTTGTCAATGCTGTGCCGATCAAAGAAAAAGTGAGAAATCACATGACTAGTATGATTGTTGAGGGAACCAGGGACCGCATTGCGATTGGCTGTGGAATGTCATATTATAGTGTGGTATAGGCTATAGCGTGGTATAGCGTGGTCCACAGCAATCAAGATCGGCTTTCAAGCGAGTGAGACGCCGCCCGTATTTAGGATTACGTTAGTTAGCTGTTGGGGGGCCAACTGACTAAGACCGCGTCTTCTGCACTGCCTTTCCTATATTATATAGAAGATATACCAATGAGGTTCTAACTTTGCCTTTCGATTACAGGAACAACAAAAGGGTCGGCAAGCTTTGTATGGAAGCTCCGGGCGGAGCGGCTTATTCCGGCCCGAACGGGCAATTCCGAGCCAAACTTAACGAGAGATCCTTATTGGTTATATAGCTTGTTTGTTATTATCACAACCTAGCTTTTTACAGACAGATCCTAATGTGGTGGGGTAGTATTAAAATGCCCATGTACTTAGTAGTAAAACTGAACTTGGTACTATTTTAAAGTCGGCGGTACATGAACACAGACGGCTTATCAACATGAAGTTGGGGCTAGTTTTACAGAGACTTTACTTGCGCCAGTTGTCTTTTAAACTGAGCAAGACATGCATCGTCTATGCTAGGTGTTGGTAGGCTTGACAAGGAGGTTGTGAACCTAGACATGTCGCTCACGGCCCCAAGAGTAAAGGGCCGTCCCTGGGTAGGCGCAACTTGTGTTTTCTTTTTCAATCTTTGGCCAATGGACGAGAGACTTGGCTGATGAGATCCCCTGCCTCGCATTCAAGCCGAGCCACTAGTGCTTACATACTTCCACGAGAGAGGGAATAAGATCTCCCTAAACTCGGCAATGGCATGTTACACGAATGCGTGGCCAAGGCATTTTGGTGGTGCCTGATGGTGGCAGGCAAGCGAGTTGTGAGATATGCTGTAAGCCCTGTATACCCCAGTTCCTTGCTCGACGTGTGCTGTAAGCTCCCAAAGAGGGAAAGGGAAAGGAAGGCCTGCGTGAAGCATGAAGTGGGTATCACTACGGTAGAAGTTCCTGACAGCAGATCAATGTCTCTTTAATGTATAAATACTCTTCATAGTCTCGTTGGAGGCTCATCCCGGACACAATAAGATTTTTATATTTTCCGTCTCACCTCACTAGCAGTATGGCACTCTCGTCTGAGCAGCGTCAAGCTCTCCTTGATGGTCCAGCTGCCTCTCCGCCTTCAGGAGTCGTTCCCAATCTTGCTGATCCCCCAAATCTGCAAGCCGTCGGGCGGGCTCTGATCCTCGTCTTCTGGAGTCTGGCTTTGATCACTTTTGCTATCCGCATCTACACGAAGGCTTTTATTATTAGATCCTTTAGAGTATCTGACTGTAAGTGATGCCTGTTCCACATAGATCCACCGGGCTGCTAACATACTGCATCAGACGCCATGGTTGTAGCTTGGGTATAGTTACATGATGCCTGTCTCCACTACCGCGCTTTATCTGACATGGCTAGACACTATCTATCGGCTACTTCCCAATCGCATGGAAAGTTGGGAATATTGCCCCAGGTATAGACCAATGGAACCTGCAGGTGAAGGACTTGATCGAATTGTTACATGTAAGTGGCCATTGAGGCAACTACTACGCAAGTCGCTACAGTATATCCCTGACCAATGTAAAAATAGTGGTTCCATACCGGCCTCATTATGTATTCGATCATGATCTGCTTTATCAAGATCTCAATCCTCCGTCAATTCCTCGAGATATTCAGCCTAGAACGAGACTATTTCTTCTGGACTTGCCACTTTCTTATCTGCATTAATATTCTCTATTATACCATCTTCACATTTACGACCGTCTTCGCGTGCAATCCTATCTCGAAATACTGGGACGTTCTAAGAACAGATGGCAAATGCCTCCATACAGAGCTACAGATGTTTGTGGCTGGAATTATCAATACCATATCGGATTTGACAATCTTGGTTCTCCCTCATCTGAAGGTCTGGAGGCTCCAGATGTCGCCGCGAAAGAAGCGTGCTGTTTCTGTGGCATTTCTGTTTGGCTTAATGTAGGTTTTTTTTTCATCCAGTCGTCATTCATGTCTTGGAAGGTGCCTCCGAGCAACATTCTAATTAATTGTGCTTATGCCCAGCGCCTGCGTCGGATCATCACTCAAGATCTACTACGCAGTAAGACTCCTTCATACCGAGAACAACAAATCCTACCAGATCTACCTCCTTGGCGTCTGCACACTTCCCGAAATTGGAGGCGGTATAATTGCTGGCTGTCTGCCGTCGTCGCCCAAATTCTTCAGACACATACTGCAAACGCCTCTTTTCTCGAGTTACAAAGCCTATTTCAGCAAACTTATCTCGGCGTCCTCTCGGTGGTCTTCGTCATCAACCGTCGCTCGATCGCCCGGAAATTCCGCTACCGTGGATCTCAAAGCTACGAAGAGTCAATTCGATGACCATTATCCACTGACTTCGGTTGTGAGTTGCCCAGGCAGTGAAACTGTCGGTATCTCTATTGCGACGAGACACTCGACGCAAGAGTGTACAATAGTGTCCAGTCACGGTAAAGGAAACTGAGATCACAGGAGTTGTGGGATGAAAGTGGTACGTTTTGACACTGTATATACTTTAGGTGAGATGCATGTTCTTCATATCATCCATATCTAGCCTATTTCAACGCATCTAGAATATAACCTAAGTGAGTAGCCAGGGATAGTATAGGTGAAGCATTCGATATAATACTTTTATAGCTACCAGGAGCAGTCAAATGGTCAATTCCAGGAACATCGGTGTCTCGTATTGGTCCATGCCCTTGAATATATAAGAAGCATATAGAAAAAGAGCTTTAAGATCGCTCATACTTCCAATCCACAAAGCGGGCGTTGATCATACTTCGACTAAACCATGATTACTGAACTTATTAATGGATAGTCGCCGAACCGGGGGGATTATTTGCCGATAGGAACGGTAACTCGTGGGTCTCTCCACTCGATAAGATAAATTAGCGCTCGGTTTTGTTTTCCTCCAGCTGTCTCATTGGCTGTCTTGGGTATTCTGCACAATTCCTCCACCGTCGATTGTGTGGTGATTCAGGGACTCGTATGACTATTCGTCCACGTAAGTACCTTTTGATCTAGGAACCGTATTTTGGAGCAAATCTTGATCCCCACACATATTAGGGGAATTTTGGGGAAGTAGTTAGAAACAATAAATGTTAAAAAATGGAAGTATCTGAGCGAGTCAAGTACGTACCTTTCAAGGGGATATGATGTCATCCATCATCAGCTGCCCCACTATACCCTATATAAGGTCGACCTGGACCCTCACTTGGAGGGTTTACGAACCAGCGCAGAAAAAAACACACAGCCCACACTTCTTGACAAAATGGCTCCCAAGGTTCTCGTTGTCCTTACCTCCCAGGCCCAGATTCCTGGCCGCGACCACGCCACCGGATGGTTTCTGGTATGTACTATTACCCCCGCCATGTTCGTCTGTCTATGGAGCAGATCTAATGGGATTCTAGCCCGAGTTTGCCCACCCGTGGGAGGTCCTCCATGAGAAGGTCGAGCTCACCATCGCCTCCCCTAAGGGTGGTGAGGCTCCCCTCGACCCCTCTTCGATCAAGATGTTCGAGAGCGACCCCGTATCGACCAAATTCCTGAATGAGCAGCAGTCGCTTTGGAAGAACACCCACAAGCTGGCTGATTTCCTGCCACGCGTTTCGGAGTTCGATGCCATTTTCTATGTCGGTGGCCATGGACGTAAGGAACACCTATTATCCCTTTGATGGACGGGGTTGGAACTGACGGCTATAGCGATGTTTGACCTCCACTACGACGAGACCTCCCTTGCCCTTATCCAGGCTTTCGCTGCCGCCGGAAAGCCCGTCTCCGCAGTCTGCCACGGCCCGACCGTGTTCGTCAAGGCGACCACCAAGTCTGGACAGCCCTTGCTCGCCAACTCCACCGTTACCGCCTTCACCAACGTTGAAGAAGACCAGGCACAGCTGACCGCGCTCATGCCATACCTGGTCGAGGATGAGATGAACAAGATCCCCGGATGTAAATTTGTTAAGGCCGATCAGCCGTGGGGCGAGAAGGTTGTTGTCTCGAAGACCTCCGACGGCGCTACCCTGATCACCGGTCAGAACCCGGCCAGTGCGACGGGTGTTGGCAAGGAGATCCTCAAGGCTCTGGGACTTTAAAAGATTACTACTATATACTTATAATTCATGAAATGTATGATTGTCATGAGAAATAAATGATTATCTTCTTCATCTCCCTTCAATTGGCTCCATTTGTTTTTCTTCCGTCGGATTCCGACGGTTCAATGTATATCTCACACGCAGACCACACTGACAGCGATGATCCCTCCCCATTTCTATGGGTCTGTGGGCGAATCAGCCTTACACAATGCCGAGCGTGGTCCTCAAACACCGGAGATACAAAGGACGGGGTGACTGATAAGCACCCCGCCCCAATATCTTGAAGACCTCCCATTTGGGGAATCGACAGGGACGGTCCAGGTACTAAATTAGCCAAGAGACTAGCAGCGGCCAAAGGCGTTGCGGCATTGCAGAATGTGTGCTGCTTTATTGCATCCGCTCATGTACGCCAAGAACCCGTTCGGACACATGTGGGTTTCACTGGCTCAAGCACGTTACCCCCGGCAGATGAAGAGATATGCAAGGGATGAAGCTGATCGCCCGGCAGTAGGATATATAAAAAGGTCGCCAGCACAATATGCAGTAAAAGCAGTGCATTGCATTCACCTCCATCCTTCTTCTTTGGTCGGTTCGTCATGGTCCAGTTCACTGTCCTGGCCCTCTTGGCCCTTCCCTTCGTGAAAGCTATCCCTGCCCCGGCTCCTGTCCCAACTCCACCAGGCATTCCGGCGACAACGACTGCGGAAAATGAGTTGGCTGGGTTAACAGTCGCTGCTCAGGGTTCGCAGGATGGCTATGACCGGGATTTATTCCCCCATTGGATCAGCCAGGGCCAGTATGTATTGTCATCCCTCTTCTTCAGTTCAGAGGATTTAATGTGCTAAAACACTTTACAAAGCTCATGCGATACTCGTGAAGTCGTTCTTGCGCGCGATGGTGAGGATGTCGAAAAGAATGATTCCTGCTCTCCCACTAGTGGAACATGGTACTCGCCGTATGATGGGAAGACCTGGACAGATAAAAGCGATCTAGACATCGACCATGTTGTACCGCTTTCCAATGCCTGGAAGGTAGGTCTACCATCATCCATCCTGCTTACAAGAATAGAGTCTGATCTAATGCTTAATGAAAAAAATCAGAGCGGAGCGTCAGACTGGACCACCGACCAACGTCAGGCTTTCGCCAATGATTTGGAGAACCCTCAACTACTTGCGGTGACGAACTCTGTTAACCGCGAGAAGAGCGATGATGGGCCGGAGGACTGGAAGCCTCCTCTGAGTAAGTTCATCCCCAATTCTGTCTGGTCGCGCGCTAACTGTGTAGCTTCGTACTATTGTACCTACGCAAAGATGTGGGTCCGAGTCAAGTCGGTGTATAACTTGACTATTACACAGGATGAGAAGGGTGCTCTGGTTGACATGCTTGACTCGTGTTAGTGATGATACTGTACATAGTTCATAATATCACGTGTCGTTTGTCCACTCTAGCATGGACATGATGATACAGTATGGATGGTTATCGGGTAGAGCCTACAATATTTACTATCCTCAAATTTGCTCTAAAGCACAAGACACTGCTATAGTTACTAGGATGTCATTCGTGGATACTGACGCCACTAGACCAATGTTTGACAATACGAATTAGGGTAGTCTACAATCACATTCAATTCCTCCGGTCGCGACTTTCAATAAGAGAATCTGTAAGTCAACACGTTAAGGAAAGAAAAGCAATATACGCAAAAGTCCTCAGATACGCCAAATACAGGTCTCACTTGGTTTAATAAGCAATTGTGCCAACTGCGTAGTCTCATAAACAAACATGATTTCGAGTACACGTAACTTCCTTTACATCACTATAGCAATCAATAGTATGTTGGAGGCCCAGATTGTCCAGCATTGTACGGTCCAGCGTGGTGCTGTGGCCCAGCATTGTATGGTGGTTGGGCATTGGGCTGTGAGCCAGGATTGTCCTGTGGTCCAGCATTGTACGGCCCGGCATTGTATTGTGGTTGAGCATTGTACGGTGGTCCGGCGCTGTGCTGTGTTTCAGCATTGTGCGGTGGCCCAGGATTATATGGTGGTCCCGCATTTGGTCCAGCATTGTATGGTGGTTGAGCGTTCGGTAGCGGCCCAGTGTTGTACGGTGGTCCAGTGTTGTGCTGTGGAGGAGAATTGTACGGTGGTTGAGCATTCGATTGTGGTCCAGCATTGTACGGTGCTCCAGCATTGTACGGTCCAGCATTGGGCTGGGGCGGATAACTGTACGGTGATCCAGTATTGTCTTGTGGTCCAGCGTTGTTCTGTGGGCCAGCATTGTAGGGTGGTCCAGGATTGTAGGGTTGTCCAACGTGATGCTGTGGTCCAGTATTGGACTGAAACCCAGGATTGTAGGGCGGTCCAGCATTGTATGGTCCAGCGTTATGCTGTGGTTCAGCATTAGACTGCGGTCCATGATTCGGAGGTGGCTGGACTTGAGCCATGTGAGAGGAAGTCAGGTCCCCAGTGCTAGACGTTGGCTTATCAATGAAGCTTTGACAATTGGAATCAATATGATCGTTGATTTTCAGAGATGATACCGAGTTTCCGCATATCGGACAAGACACCATAGCGTTTGGATCATTGAGGGGGATATTGGACTGTGGCCCATGGTTGTCGTGTGGTCCAGTATTGTATTGCGGCCCATGATTTGGAGACTCCTGGACTTGAGCCATCTGAGAGGAAGTTAGGGCCCCAGTGCTGGACATTGGCTCATCAATAAAGTTTTGGCAATTGGAATCAATATGATCGTTAATTTTTAGAGATGATACCGAGTTTCTGCATATCGGACAAGATACTATAGCACTAGGATCATCGGGGGAGACCCCGGACCGTAGCCCAGGGTCGTTCTGTAGTTCAGCATTGTATGGTGGTCCAGCGTTGTGCTGTGGTTCAACATTGTACGGTGGTTGAGCATTGTACTGTAGGCCAGTATTGTATTGCGGCCCATGATCCGGAGGCGGCTGGACCTGAGCCATCTGAGTGCCCGCAAGATCTTCATATTGGAGATCGCTGGGACTTGGCCCCGTCACCATGTTAACTCCCGAGGGTGTCTGCTCGAACTGTACATCGCCTTGCGCCGCTCGAATCGTGTGCGTCAGCATTTTCACCGAGGGATTGTCGGTCCGGGCGTGGCCATTCAGGATCTCCTTAGCGGGAATCTTCCGACCGTAAAATCGTTCGTTCTCATCTATACGCTCGATGACGACTGTTCCATCAATCTGCACACCCGCATAAAATCCTCGACTCTTAACATAGGTCCAGATCGGGGCTCGCCGTTTATGAACTTCCGACTCTACCACGCCACCAAGTCCCACCGGTCCAGCAGCGACACTGATCTCGCTTCCGAGAGTCACGCGAACCTTGGTAAATGCCTCTAATGCCTCATACGTATTGATCACCATCACACAATCGTATATATCTGCACCGACAAGAAATCCCAAGCCGGCTGTATGCAGCAGGATACCCGACGGCGCACTCCATTCGCCGGTTTCAGGCACTCTGCTAACAAGAACACCACTGCCGCCCGCACCACTGAACCATAGCCCCGTTCTCATAGCCGTAAAGATAGCCAGTCCCTTCGCCTGTCGGATAACTTCGGAGGGGATCTTCTGCAACACTTTCGGCTTTCCTCGCGGCTTATCGATCGGTTGTTTTGCTCCTTTCGTTTCCAGTGCAGGAGTGCTTTCTTTGGATTCTTCGGCATATACGCCATCCTTGCAGAAGCTCTGAAGAATGCGGGCCACCTTCTCGCTTTCTTTGTCTATTGTCATGGGCCAGAAAGCCTCTGAACCGAGTTTATTAGTCAGGCGGTTAACGGGGGGACCGAGTTTGTCCAGTGCATCCCAGGCTTTGTCGAAGTTTTTCTTGCCAATGACTTTCGTTTTGTTCCATATTGAGTTTTGCTTGTTTGGTGCTTGCGACATGGTGGAGGTGCGATGATTGTGTACCTTGTCTCTGGTTCTAGGACGTTTTCTCGGGTCGAAGGATAGTGAACTAGGGTTATTGAAATGTTGTCAAAAAATAATATTCGGAAACGGGGAGTGCCAGGGTGATAATGTTGAGTTTTATCCCTGTCAGGCGCGAAATGAAAAGTCTAGGCAACACAGTGAATGTCAAGAAACGACGACATCCGAGCGGGGCATAATTGAATCTCCCAACTGCTAAGCATTCCACATGGCGTAGTGATTGGTGTGCATGTCTCCACTTCCCACGGGATTCGCCGCCGTTCCACTTTCCCAATGGCGGGAATTTTTCGTATTTTGTGCTATTAAAAGCGTTTTCATTGTTTCGTGAGACACCGGTGGCTTTCTAGTACAATGAAACTTATGCATGCAGGGTGCCTCCGCCAAGATTTAGTAGCTTCCCGGCGCTTAATGATGGCGTGCGTCCTAAACTGCGAGTAGCCTATGTGTGTACTAATATGAAAGCCCTACCACCCAAAGCGCCGAAGAGTCGATCGTGATGCGGGGAAACCCCATTTTTTCTATCGATGCGAAGTAGTTGGCAAAGGAAGTTTCCGATGCAGTCGGGACACGATCTCCGGGTAATCCTCCTCGTCCTCGGCCGTGATGATACCATGTCGAACGAAGAAATCCACGAGAACACTGGCACTGGCCGGTTTGAATTGACCATTCAACATGGCCTCCTTCACTTCATTCGTGTCCATCAGATGGAAGGCGTATACATCATCGTCGACCACTTTGAAAACCACATCTGAGTCGACTTCAAGATCATAAACATAGAGTACCCCCGGGTTGATGAGTCCCGGGTGACCACCAGATCGCTCATCGCTAATAGTGACCCAGTTCACCGTACCTGCGGCCCGTACATTCTTCCTGATCAGGTCTTCGGGCATTGCAGCCTCCTCCGATGCCTCGCGAATTAGACACTCTAACGGCTGCTCTCCGATGGCCATACCACCAGCCACGGTATTATCCAGCAAGCCTCCGTACGCCTTGTTAAATTGTCGCTGCGGAATCCAAAACTTCAACCCGGACTCTGTCCGAGTATACACGGTCATATGTACCCCGCGACCTATCATACCAAGGTACGAGAAGAAACTCCGATCGACTCCCACCGGAAACTGGGCACCAACAATCGGGAACTGTTCGTGTCTCTTTTTCCCGAATTTAGGAAACACTCCTTTCTCGCGCGCAAGCCCAGCCTGTCGCTCAATGATTTCTGCGCATTTCTCTTGCCAGTTGGCCCCTTCGGGCCGAATAAGGTGCACTTCTTTCTTAGGGGCAAGGACCACCTGGAAGTCTTCTGTCCATGGCATCTTCTCCACCACATTATCGACCAAGAGACCGTGTGGTCTGGGATCCTCTGGGAGGTAGAATTTCCATAGTGAACCCTGTACTTGCTCGTGTGCTGAATCTGGATCTTCTGCGTAAGGAAAGCTGAGCAATATTTAGTTGGGTTATGTCAGGTTTCTCGGAGAGCGCTTACTTGTCACAATCCTTTACAACTTCTAATAAGGTCTTCATTGTGCCTGGTGAATAAGTGCTGCGTTTCGATTCCCGGTCATCAGCTGCGATTATTGAGCGCATCCATGCATGCGAGGGGCCAAACTGGTAAAGGAAAAACTATTTTTCCACGCCGAGGTAGTTCTCCTCTCACGGTGCATTCAATCATAAATTCATGGCAACATTGTTTGATGACTTCTTTGATGCCCAGTGTATGTGTGTAGGCTCTCGAATCAATGAAACAATGACACCAAATGCTAAAGAGTAAAAAGTCTTTGGTGGTGTTGCTGACCTGGCGGCAGAACAATCCCTGGCATTGGCCTCGAAGGGAATGAAACAAAAGTAATCGGTCAACCACGCGTTATAAACATTTGCAGACGCTTATGGCAGGATTGAAGCTCAGATGATAGATATGACTACTAATATACTAAAATTCAAATACCCAGCAATGTGAGATTGAAACTCTCTAGGATTGCATGCAAAAGGCTAGCCTCGCTCTTAGTGACAAAATATATATTCCGCAGGGGCGAAAAGTCAATGACGCAATTCACCACTGGATTCGGAAAAGACATGTAGATACTACAGGAACTGACTACCGACAGCTTTATTGCAATATTAAAGGACAGAATGTACCCTCTTATTGACTTATCTGCAGTTGTGGCAGGCCGTGTACTCGGTATGGGGATGAACATTCCACTGGCACAGCTTCTTGCTTTAGCTTTGCCTTATGTAGCTAAAAAGGAACCGGTTCTTCAACAAGTAGCCGGGCTAGCTCAATCGGTAGAGCGTGAGACTCTTAGTCATCACGGTATCTCAAGGTTGCGGGTTCGACCCCCGCGTTCGGCTTCTCTTTTTGTTTTTGCTTTTTAGCCCTCTCGCTTTCTTATTCAGTGTCTCTCCCCCACGTATCTGTACAAGTCGTGTCAGTCACATGCATTTGGACGTATGGTAAACTTCCGTTTCCCTTTTGCTATTCTCCCCGTACCCTCTTATTTACTGTTCCTGGGTCAGGAAACCGAGGATCTTGTGTTTACTTTTACTGTCCCATAACCCATGAAGTGAATAGTTGTATTCCCTAGAACTTATGTAGCCACTGACATTCCAGACTTAGTTAGATATGATATCTGCCGCTTTCTCTGCAATCGCATATACAACTGTCTGGTAGTGTGCTGTGATCGGCAGAGGTATGATGCTAGCATCGACAACCCTGAGATTCTGAACACCTTTAACGCGGAGTTCAGTATCTACTACCTTTCCCATTGACGCCGAACCAGCTGGATGATAGAATGTATTCCCTCCCTGCTTCACCTGGGCGTCGATTTCCTCGTCTGTAGAATCGGACCTTAGTGCATTAAATCCAGGATGTGGAGCCTCACATTCGATCATCTCTCTACCCTCAGGTGTCTCAGAGAGAACCTGTGTTACCTGTCGAATGGCGGCCCGAAGGATCGCACGGTCTACTTCAGTCGAATAATAGTTAGGATCGATAAGAGGTGGACTCGTTGGATCAGCTGACGCTATACTAACACAGCCCCTCGAAGTGGGGACCATGCCTAGTATAGCTGATGCAATATGCGTGCCGTCCATCGGGATATCAGCACCAGCAACAGCCGCACCGGCAGGGGCGTACACAATGAGAATTTCAGCATGACAGGAATCAGTGACAAGATAAGGATGCGTCTCAAGAGCTGACTCGCTCTCGCCATCAGCCTTCAACGCGTCCACCAACACTTCACGTGGAGCTTGCACAGTGGCATTCCAGTCGGCTGGGAGGCCTAAAGCATACGCCGGGTCACTCCATAGCGGAGTTCCGATAGACAAGCCTTGCTCCGGATGCCGAAGCTTCCACCACCGCACAAATGAGAAGTGGTCATGAAGATTACGGCCGACTTCTGGCGCGTCGACAATTTGCGTGATATCGTGGTTCGTGAGTAGTTCAGCCGGTCCAATTCCGGAGAGCATCAGCACCTGCGGTGTGCGATATGCCCCAGCTGAGACAATCACCTCTCGCGATGCGAAGTATTTCTCTCCCCCTACCACTTCAACTCCTGTTGCGACTTTCTCTTTCTTGCCGTCACGCTCCTCGAGAATAATTCGCTTTACCATGGTCTCGGTCAAGACAGTAATCCCAGGACAGTTGAATATACCATAAGCTTCACTCGAAATCTGTCGTCGGCCAGCACGCCAATTCTCAACCAACTCACCCAGTCCTAGCGGTGATCCCGCATTTGCGTCCTGCACATATTCCACACCGACCCTGGAGAAAGCAGCCCGCAGTGGTTCTCTCAAAGGGTACTTGCGGTCAGGGCTACTCGAAGAGACCGAAGCATTATGGATAGGTCCATCGGTACCATGCAAAGCTGGATCAGTATTTGTACCATCAAAGTGTGTTTCAGTTTTCTTGAAGTATGGCAGAAGACCGTCGTAGCTCCAGCCCTCATCGCCGACTAGCTTAGCCCAGCGGTCATAGTCGGCAGCACTTCCGCGAGTCCATGTACCATAATTTGTGGCAGAGCCGCCCCCAAGGGCTTTGCCTGCGCTGTTGTAACATTGACGGCCGTTGAGGCTTTTCTGTGGCACCGTCGTATAGGCCCAGTCGAGTGGAGAATAATGGGCACCGAAACATGCAAGCGGGATTTTGGTGAGGGGGTGGTCGGCGGCATTGGCTCCCGCCTCAATGATCAGGATATTAAGAGTCTTGTTCTTTTCATAAAGCCGACTGGCGAGTGCGCATCCAGCGAGCCCACCACCGATTATAATGTAGTCTTTTGGTGAGTTTGACATTAGGGTTGTTAAGATTGCGGGGCAGTTTGATGTTGTCGAGTACGGAATCAGTCAAAGAGGGGTAGGAATGAGTTAGAAGATGATTTTCACAAGTACCCAAGTCCGTACAGAAGGATGAGCGCATTTATAGCCATTTTAGATGTATGAGCAATGCCTTTCTCTGTCAGGCAATTTAGGTTAATCAACATAGACTATAATCGGCCCCCACGCCGTCTTTTTTAAGACGCCAAAATAGCCGATCAGACCAACCATAGTGCTGCTTGGCTGTGGGTACTCAATGTTGTGGGACCTAGGGATAACTATGATCTATCTAGATGCCTTAATGTTGTACTTTATTGGGGAGGTAGTTCTGTCGGGATGGATTTCCCCATCCACCATGCTTCACGTATCCTATAGAATGTAACGTAGCCTGTGTGGTGCAATAGCCAAGGCAATGGGCTGTGGTTTAGGTCACAATAAGGAAATGACCACTTATGGGATATAAGCAGCTCGATGGTTAGTGGGGACTTCTGGTTATGAAGCCGTCTGTCATTCATATGGAAGGTGGTATTGACGAAACCTGGACTACACAGGGCTGCTTTAACGCGCTGATATTAGTTATAACGATTAACAGTCAGCGCAGATAACGGACTTTGAGAGCATACCTCCGTTACTATAATCTCACTCGAAACCTTAGTGGTCTGCTATCAGCAATTCCCGTAGATAGATGCCTCACATTCAAACATTCAACTTGCTATTTATCGTCACCCGTAATTCATACCACGGTCATTCAAAATCGGAGCCGGACGAGGCTTAGCAACCGTTTCGCACACTTGCACGAACCGCAATAGAGGCTCCTCCGCACCCTCCCTGGCCACCATACATAGGGCGGTCATTGTAGTGAAGTTATCCTATCGGGACTGTGGCGACAGGATACCCTGATCCTATTAGCAACGGCGATTCAAACGTACGCTTGATAGTTTGTTACCTTCAGCAGAAGCATGAACACATAAAGGGGAGTCTACCCAAGGTGCCAGGATATTGATTTTTTCCTTGTCAAATATGTCGTTCAGAATATCTCCCGCGGCCCTACGAAGGCCCTGTTTCATTTCGCCTATCTGTTCCTTTTCTTCGTTAGTGTTCATTACCCCTTCTGGATCATTCTGCTAGATGAATGCTGCGTTGTGTTGGTAATTCTTCATTCTAAGCTCGTATGGTCGTGTCCTCTGTCAGCTTACGAGCTGGAAGGGCTTTTTCGCTGTTTTCTTTATTGAACATGACGATATCTGCAACGCTTGTTGCAAAGCACTCGTGGAATGAGCGAATAACCCTAGGGATGCAGACATTTTTAAAGTCCCAATCTAGAATTGGTTAGCCATCCTAACTTCATCTGATACTGCAGCGACCTACATGAGATTAGCAATATAGTATTCCGTAAGGCTGATGGATCCTTGCAATGAACTTAGTCTTTAAGAGGACAGTCTCCCTTTTGTAGAGCGGAAACCGTTTCTTCGTTCTCGTCAACTTAGAATCGACTTTTAGAGCTCTGAACATCTGGATGAAATGAGTGTGACGTACCATTTGCTCCTCTGTACCCTTAAATTGCGTACCAAAGTCCGGTGACATGTTCCCAATTTTTGGGTCCAGGAACCCAACTGTGGGGAGTTGGACAGGCGGCCCAGTAGAATCTCAGGAAAAACGCGAAAGTCTGCTGCTAATTTTGCCATAGGGCCCGGACTGTCGAAAAACTCCGTCATGGTGTATAACCCAGTAGTCCCTGGACTCCGGTAGTAGGCTTGAGCGCATACAGACCGGCGCGTGTTGATGGTGTTATGATAGAACCTATAGCCTCAGCGACTATTGTAAGGGGGCTAAACCCAGCGGCTACAGCGACTGCGGAACCAGCGGATGAGCCCCAGGAGCTTACTTAGTATCAGTATAAATGAATAATATCTAAAATTTAATCTACTCACTGAGTGGCCAAGTGTCTTCTCATTATCCTGTATCTTCCTACCATACGGCGGTAGGATCTGACCGCCGTGAGCAGACCAACCGGGGCATCATCATGGTCATTTTTATGCCCGCAATTCCTAGAACAACAGTGAATCAAATAGAGTTTCCTAGGGAGCTGAATGTCTACTGACAGTCATGTTAGCCTTTCCCAGGATAAACAAGCCAGCGTCAATCAGGAGCTGAGTGATAGCTTTGTCCTTTGACGCCTTGGCCCCGAGAAATGCATATGATCCAGCAGTGGTGCCCATGCCGAGCCGACGCTGTGACAAAGCTGTCTTTTAAAACTATAGGAATTCCATGAAATGGGCCCTGGAGTTGCCCTTTCTGGCACTCCTCATCCCGAGTCTTGGCAATTTCGAAGACCTTATCCCGCGGGGCAGGCGAGATCAGCGCATTGAGTGCAGGCTCATAGCGATCGATTTGTTCAAAATACTCCTCCACGATTGGGAGTGCTCATGGTCTTATTCTTTTCGAGTAGCTGCTGGAGGTCGACCGCGTTAGGCGTGACGATCTACGCCCATTTTACAATATCTAGATGGATTAGCACATTTATAAATCATACAATTTCAAGTTATCTAATACGGATTTTTCCTCGTCCAGAGGGCCTGGACCTGCTGAGATAAACTCTGTATGGCAATTGACCTCTGCATTGGCCAATTTCAAGGTACCAATGAAAGGTACGGGATCAGGAACGGGCCATGTACGTTCGCTTCCGTGGAACGGCTTTAAGTACCGGTCTTCGATGATAACTGGGCCGGAAGGGCCTTTCCGTCATTTGCATCCTCATAATCGGCACTTTTTACTGAACTATGAAAAATCTTCTGGCCTGAAACCGAGTGCCCTATAGCGGCTATTCTCGGTTGGCTTCGGCCATGAGTCAGGGTCCACTAACCTGTTCCTGACACTTGCCACAGCGCCGTCAATAACCGAAGCCGTTGTCCTGCTGCCGAAGACTTGATTGGCCACGTTTCCAACCATCAGATGGTGCTGTGGCTCGTGCGCGTTTCTATAACATCATTTTTATATCGAAAATCTTTATCGCGGAAAAGAATGGGTCTATCCGATACTGAAATCAGGTTCTGTTTGGCAGCAAAACGTCAGTGGGCTCTTTTGATTTCGATGGAGTACGCGAGACCAGAAGAAAATGATGTGAAAAAAATGAGGGCTAGTTGGGTCTGTGGCTCTGGCCACCGCTGTGTATATTAGTAGCAGTTGGGAACCTTTCCTTGAGAATTCTTGAATTCTCACACGGAGCTAATTTTCTGTATATACTCTTAACAATATAATATATCCGCTTTACAATGGATCATATCCGGGGTGACATCCCGATTTACCAAGAAGAGCACCACAAGTGCCCCTCTCTCGATGAAACCGACACCGATAGCGAGGACTTATCCGACGAAACGGCAAACCAGGTTGATTCTTTAGAACTGGAGCGCATAAATACCTGTCGACTTCAGCAAAAGACAACTGTTGGCTCAACTAGAGGCCCTCTGCCGCGCGAGCAATGGCTACCCATGGGTGCCGGGAAAGAATATCCTCCGTTGCTTCCTGATCCTGAACAATATGTGGTGGAATTTGATGGACCAGACGATCCATTACATCCCTACAACTGGTCCATGCTGAGAAGGTTCGCCTGTTCCCACAATGGATCGTCATAAGTGGGTTTAGTTACTGACATGCCATTCATTTAGAGCTTTCCTCGTATGCATCCTCTGCTACTCAACCTTTGCCGGCTCCTTCGCTAGTGCCGTCTTCTCCGCTGCCATTGGTTCTGTGAGCGAGCAATTTAACATCGGTACGGAGGCTGCATCGCTAGGCGTCACATTATACGTTTTAGGCTTCGCTGCCGGTCCGACGATCTGGGCGCCGGCGTCTGAGCTTATCGGTCGACGCTGGCCGCTGTCCGTCGGCCTCTTTGGATGTGGTATCTTTAGCATTGCTTGTGCCACTGCAAAGGATGTGCAGACTATTATGTTAAGCCGTTTCTTTGCTGGACTGTTCGCCGCCAGCCCCATCTCAATCGTCCCTGCTGTATTTGCCGATCTTTTCAACAATGCACAACGGGGAATCATCATGTCGATCTTCTGCATGGCTGTCTTTATCGGACCCTTTGCCGCCCCTTTCGTGGGCGGTTTTATCGCCATGAGTTCCCTCGGATGGCGCTGGACTATGTATATATCCGCCATCATGGTATTCCTGGGTTTCGTTCTCGTCCTTCTATTTTTGGATGAGTCCTACCCTCCCGTGATCCTGGTCCGCAAGGCCTCGGAGCTTCGCCGACAAACGCATAACTGGGGAATTCACGCCAAACAAGACGAGGTGGAGGTTGACTTCAAGGAACTCATCCGGAACAACTTCACGCGTCCGATAACCATGCTATTCACCGAACCCATTCTCCTCCTTATCTCCCTGTACATCGCCTTTATCTACGGCCTCATGTATGCTCTACTCGGTGCATACCCGGTTGTTTTCCAAGGCGTTTACGGTATGAATATGGGAGTTGGCGGCCTTGCCTTTGTCGGTCTTATTCTGGGCGAACTGCTCGGCGGCTGCTATGTGCTCTTCCTACAGGGCGCCTATAAACGGAAGCTTGCAGCTAATGGAGACAAACCGATTCCTGAATGGCGTCTGTCTCCTGCCATTCTAGGTGCTGTGCTCTTTACAGGAGGAATGTTCTGGTAAGATACTGCTTTTCCTCTGTCTACATACCTGGTTAGTAACATCACTGACAATCTCAATAGGTTCGGCTGGACCGGCTACACATCCTCCATCCACTGGATGGCTCCAATGGCCTCCGGAGTCCTCACGGGCGCAGGAATCTTCCTGATATTCCTACAATGTTTCAACTACATTGTCGACTGCTATCCTACCCTGTAAGCCCGCTCCCGATAACCAATTCTCACGACACATAGAACCAGTAACTAACAGATATTGCTAGTGCGGCCTCCACAATAGCAGCAAACACGATTCTCCGCTCAGCAGTCGGCTGTGCATTCCCTCTCTTTTCAAGACAGATGATGCAGAATCTCGGTGTCCAATGGGCCGGAACCATGCTTGGCTGTATTGCGGCTGTGATGATTCCTATCCCAGTTGTGTTCAAGTTATATGGTCCTTGGCTAAGGGCCAGGAGTAGGTTGGCTTGTCCGCCGGTTTATGATGTTGAGAAGAAACCTTATGATGTATGATTTTTGTTGTTTGTATAAAAGTTTGGTTTTCTAGTTTTGTTTTGTTAGCGGAGATACCATTTGCATAGCGTGTGATATGGTGTTATGATTAATTCAATTACTTTGATACTATAAGAGGATTTGGTGATGATGGTTAGCGTGTTGTGAATACTATATTATCAGTAGCTAATTATGGGTGATTGGATCTACTACGACATACGTTGAGTAGAATTATGTATATGGCAGATAAAGACCGATGTATTAGACTTCGACTGGAGTGTCGCAAAATACATGCAGACTATTCTCATTGGAATGATGCTATCAAAACTGTCACGCGTTCCACTTAACAACCACAATGGATATCAATGGAGGGACTCGGTTTCTGTATCACCCCGGATGGAAAAGCCCCAGTCAAAGAAATAAATCAAGGCCAACAATGAGAGGTCAGAGTAGGGAGAACAACCGAAACTGGTCCGCATTCCATCTACTCATGAAGAATGGATGGAGGGACCGAGTTTCAGCATGATCCCAATTCAAAAGCCCTTAAATAAACAGATAATAATCAACTGACAAAGGAAATGACCCCAAGCAAAAGGAGAGAAGGAAAGGGAGCTTGCTAGCCCGCCTCAGCTGCCTGGTGTGCAATGAAATCCTCAACCTGCCCGGAGGCCCTCAATCATGATCCCAGATTGCGTACATACATTTCAGTAGCCCATCCGACCATAGAGCTCTTTAAGCATTTTGCACAAGAGAAAGTGCACCTTCCTAGACCTCCTCGTTGAGAACACGTACTTGTGTGGCGCTTTGGTGCCCACAATCGTCCGGAGGTTCCATAGCTTCATTTAATGTGCGTCCTGCGTTCAGAACAAGATCACCGAACCGGTAAAGGGATAATACCAATGTGTCGAGAGAGCCCTGCAGAGAATGTGTTTGGAGAGTTGTATGCTCGTCCAGCCAGCGCGTTGCGCAGTTGTCGTACACTTCACATAGTCGGTCGAGGCCAACAGTGCCCTCATGCTTGTCGTGGGCGAGAAGGTATTCTCCATTTGATGCAACAGCGACAGCAAGCCCGGAAATGAGATCAGAGATGGCTTGTATGGTCTCATCGAGTGTTAGGGATGACACTTTCTCGATGTGGTCTTTGAGGGGTAGATGGTCGGCTGGAACATTGGTCGTGAGATTTTTTTCTTTCTCTGTGGCTAGATCAATGATCATTGGGCAGGATAGGCTTGCGACTTCTTCAGCGTTGCTGTCTGTGTTATTGTCCGTGTCGTCGTCTTCGTCTTCCTCCATGTCGTCGTTCATGTTACGGTTGCGAGTTTACAGTGTGGTATCCATGGTTTGGTCATAGGGAGGCGTAGCGGACTCTTTTATATTGCATGGAAAGCCAAGTATTAGTCATAGTGACATTCACTGGGGATATGAAGGCTCACTCTTTGTCTGGTGAGCTCGCGGGGTTTGCCTTGGTGGCGGTTGTAGAATACTGAATGACTTTGATACGATAATTCTGTAGCCTGGTACTTCCTCGTAATGGTTAGGTCATTCTTTGAAAATCACTGAGATCCTCATACATAGAGAGAGGAAAATACTGGAATCCTTTCATTATGGGACACAATCGGTTGGGAACTTGTATGCTAAGGCAAAGATGCAAAGACTATGAAAGCTGAAGGATATTTCGGAAACAAGCAAGACAAGGAAGCTATACAATGAATTACAAAGATGAATACCTTTGTCCGATTTGACAATTGCCATATCTACACACAAGGACTTTCTGCATTTCTCTTCTGGACGATCGCAATATAACAATGTTTATTCTTCGCCACTCAACTGCATCTTCAATTATCTTCACAACAATGTAGGAGTCTTCCACAAGCGTTGGAATTCTGCAGAAACAGTTACACCTTGTCTGACGGTTCATCACCACTCTTTTCATCCAGGCCAAACTTAGTATTAAGCTTGTCCCGGAGCTTGACTCCCTTTTCAATAAGCGTTACCAACAATCCTAAGCCAGCAAAGGCTATCGCCACGAGCCGTATGGTACGAAAGGACTGTGTATAGTGATGATCAGCATACTACAAACTTACGAGGGCCAGCTAACATACCTTCTGAAAGACCTGAACAACCTGTTCCCGTAAAGCAGGGTCCTGGATGCTGTCTAAAAATGCCTTGGTATAATTTTCGGCATAAAGCAGAGGTAATCGAATTGTTGTGGATGACTTGTCTTTCGAATCGGGAAACCAACGTATGATACTCAAATAATAGAAATTACGACACCAGAAGTTGAGAAACCGAATGACTGTTCGTCCGTTTAGTAACTCGGAATTTCGGTGATTTACTATATTATCAAAAATAAATGTTCCAACAGTCGCACTGGCTAAAAGAATGAGCTGTTCTTCGGAAGTATCAAATTCTAGAGACGCCAAATAGTATACTTAATGCAAAGGAGTGTAGGTTCTACACGAAAGATAACAAATACAAGCTGTGATGTACAAATCCGCTGTGTTTGAGATAGTAATCGATGCTGTGGGTCCTAATGTCCCTGGCGCGACAAGCTGGCGCCGCCCCCAAAAGCTAAGAACGTTAGGAGAGTTCTAAATTACCGCTAGTCATGGCTAAGATTGACTCAAGCCTATCGGATTCAATTAAGCTTCTCTGGCGTCGCCTTGGTATGGTCGTGGTCCCCCGCTTAGTACCCCTCGCTTGCAGTCATCCCACATTCTATCTATCTACACTCTTCTGCAATCGTCCATATCACTACTGTTTCCCTATATATCGCACCTATAGCCCGCCCAGTGACCCTTGTAGACTAAGCCGTGGCCACGAAGCCCTCTTCCCATTCCCTCAGTGTCTTTCATCTCATTCTACAATATGACCCGCTATCAATTCTTGTCACTGGCTACCAAACCATCTGCTCAGCTCTGCTACTGCTTCCATCCAGCAGTTAGCACAGCCAAGCCTGCGTTAGTCGTGTTTGTCAATGGCCTTGGACTGCCACAGACTTCATGGGAGGGTGTCATTGCGCGCCTGCAGGCACAGCCTCCCTCCCCCGGCCTGCCCGCCATGTTGACCTATGACCGGTATGGCCAGGGCCAGACAACTGACCGTGACCCTGGCGACATCACCGCCGAGGACCCCATGCACGGCCATGATACTTTGACAGTAGTCCGGGACCTACACCAATTGCTCACACATGTCGCATCGGATAGGATGGATATATCCGATCCTAGCCGTCTTCCGCTCGTGTTGGTCTCCAACTCAATTGGCGGCGCGATAGTACGGCTCTATGCTCAAGAATATCCCGGTACAGTGGCGGGTCTTCTTTTCCTCGACAGTGTGCTGGCAAATTCCGACTTTGTCTCCATCTATCCAGACCCAGATGCGCCTGGTTTCAATCCGACCAGCTTGCTAGAAGGGGTGACGGTAGATGCTATCCGTGATGCTCGGGCGTATATGCAACGGGTATTTCACCCCAGCAATGGAAGCCGCGAGGGACTCAGTCGAAGGAACCTGGCGCAGCTCTTACCAGAAAGTGATGGACCCAAGTTGCAGGGTCCGGACGGCTGCGGTCCCTGGGTTACTGTCGTCGGCCATGAGTTCGAGGCGTTCAAGTTTGAATTTGAGCAGATGGGTGGAGCCCCTCCAAGGCTTACGGAAGTTTACATGAATCCTTACTGGCATCGTTTCAACCAAGGATTAGCCAAGCTTACCGAGCCGGATCGCAGCAAGGGCCCTCTCCTGGCTCCGGGGGCCGGCCATTTTGTCCACAGAGACAACCCGGAGCTAGTCTCTAACGAACTACGCGATATTCTTGACAAGATCCTTTGAGTTGTGGCTGAAGTATGTGGTCTTGTACGGGGGAGGAAATGAAACAGGTTGGCTTTGATCTTTCTCTGTATTTTACTAAATTCAGCCTGCTCTTAACCGGAGATTGCTTCGCGTCTTAGAGCTGGACATATTTGTGAATTATTTGTTTACTCTTGCCCACCATATTTGGACGAGCCTCGAACTCTCTAGCCAGAGAATTGTAAGCGTAACGTCTTTCATTACGCTAGTTCTGTACGTGTAGTTGGGTATATCAATAGCCAGTCTAAGGCATGCTCATGCGACAGGACCCGGCCTAGAGGTCCTTTCTGGTAATCCTACTATAGAGAGGGGTAGTTTTATGAGGAGGAACGCTCTGAGAATGACAAATATCTCGAGTAGGGAAGCATCAGTGCGAGAAAGCATGTCGAAGTGAAGAATATTCTGAAGATGAACCATTCGAGGCTTCAAATGAGAAATCATTACGAGGGGATAGCCTCCTCGATTTGTGTCCACTAAAAGTCAAGGACATATTGTACCCTGCGCACATAGCAGTGACTAAGACTAAGATGTTTGGCTATTCTGGAACAGTGCCTCATTCAACTCCTTAGAGTATACGAGTGGCGGGGGGTCAAAATTTATCGAAGCTAGTATTATATGACCCTAGAGGAGAGCTCTCTGTCTTTCGATATTAATAGTATAACAATTATTGAAAATTTCAAAAGAAATATTATATTAATATACATGTGTTCATAAGTCTTTCACTATAATTTTTATAACTAGATTATCTGGATTTATACTAAGTGTAAGATTTATTCCGCCGCTCCCCCTGAGTGGCACCGGGCAACGACCGTTCTGTGATGGCAAAACTCCAGTTAAATATCGCGCGAGTTGAATTGCTTTGTGACACGCTAACGATAATCATCAATCTCCTGGCCAGAAAATAACTGCCTTTTTTACAAAAGATACACTGCATAACATCCCATAGCTCAATGATGGTTCAAACCCAGGACCTTCCCATCGAGATTCTGTCTCATTGTCTGTCTTACATTAGGTGGCCCGATCTGGCCCTGTCTTCTCTATGGGATTATTCAAAAAGAGTGATCCATTGGGTATCACATGGAAAGCGCGGTGGGATCTCAGCAACATCTGTCGTGTATCACGGAAGTTCCGAGACCTAGCGCAACCATTGTTGTTCCGTGATTTCAAAGAGGATAACTTCAATGCCAACTTCAGCCGGTTGATTTGCTTCTCAAAGCCGTCATTATGCGCCCACAGCTTGGGAAGTACGTCCGTGTCGTCGCTTTGCACCCTGTTGACCACAGGGTGTATAACGGATTGGAGCCATACATATGCAATCAGGACAGAGATTCTTTTGTGCATGCTGTTGAGGAACTTCAATTGGATGGTGGTGAAGAGGAGTGGTGTATAGATTTGGACAGCGTCCTAATAGCTCTTTTGCTCACCAAGACCCTGAATCTGCGTCTGCTCTGCTTCCCCGGTGATGTATTTTACATTCCACTTAACATCCTCTTTGCACGCGACCTATTTTTCTTGGCCAACCTTGAAGAACTTCGCATCATAGGCTACGAAGGGGGCGAGTACTATAATATCGAATGGTGTTATGGATTTATTGTCCGTCCACGTTTGCAGCGTTTTATTAGTGACTGGGCATACGTCGAGGACAACAATATCCTTACCTCCTGGGCCCCAACATGCTCGCACTGATGGAAATCGATCTTCGCCACTGCCAACTGGACTACGATAGCCTAAAGCTATTAATCCAGACATGCAAGAAGTTGAGGCACTTCATATTCGTCAATTGGAGCAGCTTTGATGATCCACTAGGTCCCAGGAGCCAGATTCCTCTTTTTCACGGAGCCGACCTACTCCGACCACACCAGGACACCCTGGAATACCTGCGGATAGAATTCCTTGAGGACCGTATGCTTGCTTGGATCGGATCTTTCCCGAAACTTCCGGGAGAGAAGATGCCTTCGCTCCGTGACTTCACCGTTATGGTAGACCTCACGGTCCAATTCAGTCTCCTTACGCCGCATCCGGAATTTTCTTCCTCTTTGAAGCGACTGACTATTACAGACTGTAACACATCTATCTTGGATATGACTTATTGTATCGCTACCGACTGCAAGAACGGGCGATATCCAGAGCTGCAGGCAATTAATGTTGTATTCGTGAATAGGCTAAGTCTTATCGACCTAAGGATATATCAAGCGCGCGGAAAACCCTTCCGGAGTCTCCGAAATCTGTTCAAGCGCACCAAGGTGCATTACCGGATCCGTTGTCGCTCTAATCGTAGAATGCGCGGTGGCGACGATTTAGAGGAAGAGGATTGAGATTTATGAGGAAGATAAGACCGAAGGTTCGGTTGGCCGTTTGGCAGAGATGGACAGTTCACTAACAGATGTGGGCCATCCATGAACGTGGCATGGAACATTTCCTGGGCTACGGAATGGAGCTAGGGAGCGATGACATGGACACTTGAGATATTCCTCGACAGCCCATCGAGGTGAGGCTTAATGCTATTGCTATTGCTATTTCGCTATCTCTTGATCCGTGTAAGCAAGCAGACAGCGTCAAGAAATATGATGCATTTGTCTCCTAAGACTGACACAAAATCATTACCAAATTTCCCTTATCTGAAGCCTTAATTCGTTCTGTCCAGCGGACGCAATCAGAAATCCCCACTGATATCAATACTTTGCCAGAGCCTTTCCAATGCTTCCTGGCATATCTGGCATAGCACAATCTACTCTTAAACTTAATCTACACACGGCCATACAGACAGTACGTCGAAAGTAAATCGGCAATATTATTCACTTATCAACACTTTCATATAGCATCAGCAATCATCAAGTATCTCCTAACCTATCCTAATAAGCCAAACTCTACTAATAACATTCCCCTCATAACACCCGAGATAACCCATTAATTAGGGCAAGTCTAAGCACCACCACCCATCAGCATTTACCTCAAATCCAAACCTCAAGAACAGGAAAGAACCATACCGCTCCACAAGAGCTGCAACACTTAGTATCATCAGGAATGGAAGCGTTGCAGGAAGGGCAACTGCTGTGAGGGGACATTGTATTTATAGATCGATAAACCTCGACAATAATAGAACTATGCCACAAATCTAAATTTAGCGTCGCTCCCCAAACAAAGCCCGTTAATCAACATAACACACAGAGGAGAATAGTAAATCTTACTGAGCTAGTTTGTTGCTGGGGACCTTGAGTGAAAAAGTAAAATCAGGAAGTGAGTAGTAGAGTGAAGAATGTGAAGAATGTGAAGAACGTGAGTAATGAGAAAAACGCGAGTGTGACCTGAAACCTAAGTTTATTACCCCGCCGTGCGTTGAGTTGTACTTTTTATTTTGCCCCGCATTTGGGTGGTGTGAGCCTATCATGGGGTTGGACAACGCATAGACTGGGTTATGATGGTCAGATGGAGGGTATTTAGGGCTTGGTAGGTAGGGTTGATTTTATGGGTGGCATTTTGTTGTAGAGCGTTTTGTGTAGACTTCGGCAGAACATCTCGGCGTGACTCAAGGGAGAAACCTTCAATCGACAGGTCAGGCATAATAGGTTCGGTATCGGACAAACGCTGGCCACTGCTCTGCAAGTCACATAACGCGTCGAGCATACGAGAATATATGAATTCGAGTCTTGTATAACAGCTCAAAGCTAAGAGCGCTGTGGACCTAGCCTGGAAGAATTGCATTTCCCCCCGGGTTTTCGCTGCTAGCTTCTTTATTCTAGCGGTCAATGAGTGGGGTTGGCCTATTTGGAGTTCAGCTACGCTGACTCTGGGTTTTCTTCTATCATCACTATCGGATGTGCTTGTTGTGTTGAACGTTGTGTGAGAATGTGCTCTGTTCTGGCCCTGAGAAGGACTTGCATGAAGTAGGTACTGGGATAGTGCTATATTAATTCTCATAGCTCCTTCAGACACTGGATATGCTCGTCTGGGCTATTTGCCGTGGCGTCGCCCATTGACCCAGAGTTTGACTGTGGCACTCGAGTTTGGCTGACTGGTACATCTCCAAAAATTCAGATCTCGCCAAAGGCCCGACATCAACGGAAAGCCCAGTGCTAGGACCCTCTACATCAAAGCTTGTCGAGCCATAGTTCGGCGTAAGCGAGACTCCAAACGTCAATTCGTGAAGACTATTATCAATTATGTACTTCATACAACAGTAGTAGCAACATTTCTTACAAATTCAAAAACTCCAAAAGATTCGGTTGCGGTGAGGAAGCCGACAGGCAGTTTGTCGTAGTCAGTGACAGTAAAGAGTCCAATGGACTTTTTACCTCTGTGGGCTGTGTTGACATGTTGTCCTGTGCCTCATACGCCACATTAGGCGGACGGCCCATGGGTTTTGGACGTGGAACTGCACAAATGGTTTTTGCACGGGCACATCGGCGACACCTTTCGGGATTATCCCCATATGCAGCGTAGCTTTTGTCCTCGATACCGGTCATAGGCGGCCTTTGGTTTATTGTTTTTCGTGATGCTGTTGTTAGTTGCTGAGGTTGTAGGTGTCTTCGGGATTATGTTGACTTGTGTGGCAGACAGTGGTTTCACGACGAAAGTACCAGGCAGATAGTGAAAGGAATTGAAGTGAAAAGGCAGTACAGGAATCCACATAATCAGAGAACACCGATCCCCCTCGGAAAAACCGCTAATAGTTGGTCGAGTTGAGTGTGGATATAATGGGCAGAGTAACATCCAATGACGCATGCTGGAGTTTGTCAGGCCACGCACTGGGCGTTTAGTTTGGCAGTATCTAGTGGTGATAAAGAACGGTTGATATTAATTTTGCTGTTTTTGCTCTTCTTTCCTTTCTTTGTGGCGTGATATATTGATTTATAGGCTGGGGTCGGAGGAACTTTGAACATTGCCATGTCTGGCAGGCTGACCCACAGGTATAAGGCATCGTGCACAATATTTAATCATTATGAACAATAGTAACCTTCCGACTAATATCAAAGGTAGCAAAAGTTTCATCCACGTAAATTATATCAATCATAACTAGCTATATTACCTCTTGCGAATTTCACAAGGACAGATATTCAAGGCTCTCTACCCAAGATTTACTGCTTATACTGAGCCTGTTCATCTAGTGGCCTTTCTTTATGATATAATCCAACTTTCGAGTTGAATACTGCAGAGCGTCAGCAGGCAATTCGAGAGACCGGCACTAAGGTGATACTGACCTTCTTCCATTTCCTCCAAGGACTTGCCTGTTGTTTCTTTGATGAACAACCAGGCATACACCACAAGGATCCAATTGAAAATGCAAAACATCAAAAACATGCCCCAACCCATACTATCGAGGGCATGAGGTGTTGCTTGTGAAAACACAAAATTGAACAACCATTGAGTTGCAGTACCGACCGCAATACCGACCTCACGGATCCTAGTAGGGAAGATCTCGCTCATATATAGCCAAGGAACCGGCCCCCAGGACATGTTATAGCACATGGCCTCGAAGTATACCATCAGAATAGATGCAATGCCAGCAGAGCTAATGCTGGTGGCGTCTGGGTCGGGGGGAAATAACTTCGCCAGGATCCCCACGATCAACATCAGTGAGCCCATGAGGAAGGCGCCGATGATAAGCGACCACCGTCGACCAATGCGCTCGACGAGAAACAAAAGGAAGAACCAACAGGAAATTACTTTTGCAACTCCGAAGAAACCGCTCACAAATAAACTGTTGTCACCGGCTCCGACCGCCTTGAATATTTGAGGAGCATCTGTACGTGGTCAGCCAACTATGCAAGTTTATGCAGATACAATGGTGCTAACAATATGCCAGGGAAGTATTTCCCGTGATCTGAACTCCTATTTGTTGTTAGTGTCCGTAGTGAATGGTGGATGAACATGATAACAAGGTATACATACCGATTTGAATGGTGACTGCAATACACATTCGATGTAGGTTCCCCGGTACTCGCAGTATCTCTTTCCATGTCACACCTTCCGTCGCCAGGTTTTCAGCTTCTATACCGTCTAGAATTTCGGCCATTCTGCACAGAATCAGTAAATCATAAAGTTTTGCATCCTTGGAATCATGACTCACTCTGCCTGGACTTCTTCAGTCTCCTCCCCTCCTCGAATCCACACCAGTGATTTCATAGCTTCATCGTGTCGTCCCTTCTTGGCCAGCCAACGCACACTTTCTTTCAAAAATAGCATCCCAAGTCCCAGAATCCCACCTGGCACTAACTGCAATCCGATAGGGATCTGCCACTGGCTGTCACTGGTCTCAGGGATATGTTTCTCCACTGCATAGTCAATCCAATATGAGAAGAACACTCCCAGGACGAAGAAACCCTGGAAGAAACTTCCTAGCCTTCCTCGGATGGACTTAGGAGCCATCTCAGAGGTGTACATGGGAACAATGACGGTCGCCATTCCGACACCAATGCCACTAACTACTCGTGCGACATAAAACGCAGCGACAGAGTGTGTGGGAATAACTTGAATAATGGCTCCAATACAAAATATGAGAGAGGCGAGGGCGATAGACCATCGACGGCCATATTTGGCGGTGAATGGCCAGACGAAGAAACAGGCGAAAAAGGCTTTGTGTTCATCAGTCGAAGTTGACAAAATCGAAGTTCTAACACACTCACCACCGGCCTGCAAAAGACTGTTGGAATTGGAATTAATCGTCGACTTTTGCTTCTCGGTGTATCTGAACGAGTTCTGAAACGATTTAAGGGTGAGGACACCCCCAATAATTCCAGTGTCATAAGCAAATAGGAACGATCCAGTACAAGCTAGGGCGACTGTATAGTAGGCCCTGACGAGGCCTAGAGTCTTCCCCATATTGACTGAAACCGTGGACGAGAGCTCCGTGTCACGGCAAAAGATCACATCAACAGATTAAGACAGAGACAGCGGACCAAGACGAGAAGACCTTATATGCTCTGCGGGGCACATAAAAAAAAGCACCATACGCTCCATAGTCTCTCTAAATACCGACCGGTGTACAAAGCCTCTGTGATCGTGGGTTTGATGATTGCGGTATATCAACTAAAATAACACCATTGAGGGCGGGACGAGATTGAACCTTGATAGGGCCGAGGTCAGCTCTAGTCTGGGGTTACCGGTCATGGGGAGCCTTATCCCTGGGCTCCTGGATCAATCAAGGCGAGCCATCAATATGCCAAGCGGCGTTGGTGCGGAGTGAGGGCTCTATCCGATCTTGTGATTGGGATGTTGGACGCCAATGCGCAAGGGCTGCTGGCTTATTTGCTCGCCTCTCGGCTCCAGGACATTAGCCTGACTAGCTCTTCTAACCTTAACAGGCGGAGTATTCTTACCTATCAGATATCTCTCTCGCCGAACGCACGACTCAGAAAATGCGTAAAGCGATCACTTCTAACTCCATTATCCCACGATCATCTAGCCGGTGAAGTGACCATGTGGGTGTTAAATATAGTTGCCGTTCTACCTTGAAGAAAAAGCCTTATTGCTGGCTGGACGCCTAAAGCATAACATCCGCTCGAGCGTGATTACCGAAAACGGAACTCGGCGGTGTCGATCCCAATGCCACACCTCAGAGCAAGAATGCAACGCCGTCTCAAGTCTGGGATGATCAGCAGTAACCTCCTCGGGTGTCGTCGGGGTTGAAACGATGTTGATCTTGGTTACACAATCTCACGGCCAGCATTCTATCCAGCCATCAGAATGGATTCTGACCAACAACAGCTCAATGGAGTAGTGGACATACCATCATCAGTGCCTTTTTCTTACCAACTGAGTGCGCGCACTCTTTAGATTCCAATTCCAACTAGGTAGTATGTGCCCGTTTGATTTCATAGTACTGAAGATGCTTTTACGCCATAGACCTACCAAAACCATTGCTACCTTTCCACAGCATTCGGACAGACCTAGCTCGACAATTTGACATCAAGATCGAATTTGGGGTGAAGATATGCTCCCACAAACACAATATACCATACACAAGACCATAAATACAGATAGGGTAACAGAAACGGGTTACTTTATTTGGCAGACTCGTAACTTGAAACCCAATGACACCCATACAAGGACATACCTGGTCCCGCTTCTAAATTACATACACACTCCCAGCCTTTTAAATCTTGCCATCTCACTCATTTGTACGACAGTTAATTAGAGCCAATAGCCGCCCAGAATTCTCCTTCCACTTTGGTACAAGAGTACATCTTGAATAACCCGAGCTCATCGGCAAATCTGTTGGTTCACTAGTGTCAGCATCCGCAAAAGAAGTGGAGGGGATATTACAAACCCCTGTATCTGACACATGAGGGTCGATGACGCATTCCAGTCCCGGACAGCAGGTCCCTATAGAGCCTGCGATAGATACGCAAAGAGCTCCGCGTTGAAGACAAGAATGGGAGCTGGCTGAAGACTTCGGGAGAGTTTGTGCACTAGCAGACATGACCAATACGGGGAGCATGAGAAGTATTGATCTCATTGTGATGATTGCTTCGTGGTAGTCTTCGGTGGATCTTGGGAATAGGTAGTATACGGGCACGTGTCATATGTTTGACCTATGAGAATAATAAAATTGAAGAATTGACAGTCATAGCTCTTTGGGGGAAACGAATAGCTTTTATAACTTTTCCACGCACATACGGCCTTTTTAAAGCATAGCATGTGGCGTGGCCCCCTTGCATTTGCTTGGAGTAATCCGCAAGGGGATACGAGCGTACGTTGGAGTGCGAATGAGATGACGGTGCCAGTGAGCTGTTTTAGCATTGCCTCACTAGAACAGAAATATAAGTGAAGAACATATGACAACTTCTTAGAATTCCACCTAGGATTTCAAACCCATGTCGTTTTGGCCATGTACACTATGTTAATAATTAATTCCGAAACATCACCTCGCCCTATCTGTAAGTCTCGCTCTAAGTATCTGCATAGCTGAGACGGCACAATTCCCAATCTAATCTTCTGATCATCGACCATCCGCAGATTCAATACAAGAATACCTGTGTCCTGTATGTTAACGGAGAAACATCAAACATCAACGGACACACAAAATTGTCCTCCCTCCGTCCCAGGTGATACGCTTTCGAATTGCCATTTTGAAAACTTTGTGTGTAACGTTGACCACAGCGTTCTTTTCATCCAGGAGGTAAGCAGAGGGCGCAAAAACCCAAGCCTCCCCTGTTCGCAAACGTGCAATCTCATGAAGTCCATCAAGGCATTCTTCAGCGTTGTTGTTGTTACTCTCGTCATCAATAGTGACATGTTTCTTGATTGTTCTGTACCACTCAGGGCTTGTAAACCGATGAATGATTGTCATAGAGCAAAGGTCAATCAGCCGCGGCGAAATGGTTGGCTCTTCCGTGGAGATGACGGTCCGAACCCCAAGGTGGCGTTGCTGGCGAATGATGTTAAGGAATGTCTCAGTCAAGTCCTTAGCTGCTGGTGTTTCGCTCATATACTAAAACCTCGTGTTCAGCGTATTAACAGAGACGACCATGGAGACTCCAAACTGGTTTCACTTAGCTAGTTGGGTATTTCTTACCTTGTGAGCCTCATCTGCCACGATCATCTTACCCCGTGAGGGATGTGCATGTAGGAAGAGATCAATAGCAATACGAAAAAGGAGACAGGTGGTAGCCTGATCCATGAATGGGCAAGACAAATCCAAGATAGTGATGCCACCGTCAGTGAAGTAGTCGCCATTGTGCTCCCCCTTAAGGTCCAGATAGGAATCAAGCAGATCCAATCTCTGATGTAGGAAGGGTGTCTGCATACGATTTAGATTTAGGTCTTCCAGGCGTCTTCTGAAATCAAGATAATCAAAGGTTCCTCCTTTGTTTTCAATTGCGATTTCACGGAGAACTCTGGTTACCTGGCTCATGTATAAGGGCATCTGGTCACCATTTCCCATGGACATGAGAGATAACATTGTACTGATATTCAAGTGATGTGGCTTGAGTTTGAATGGCTGAACCTCGACATTTGGTATCTGGCAGTACATTATCTTGAGACTGTAGAAATTCGAGGAAGGCAACAGAACTCTAACGGGGATGGAGAATCCATGCTTCGACCATTCCGGCAAAACTGAAGACAGGAAGGCAGCTTCGCACGGCTGGGCACCAACATTCGAGCTGTGCTCATTGAAATTGAGCACCAGTGTGGAGAGTGGCCGCTTCAGGGCCCCTAAGATAGGCAATGGCAAGGAGCAATTCTCTGACATACAAGTTAGCCCTGTGGAAAGATGCGCATAGAAAGTCAATTTTACCTGTAATGCAACTTGTGGTATGAGACTTCCCACTGCCTTGGACCCCGCATATGAAGGCGGAGAACGGCACATTTGTGTTTAGCATAACTCTAGGATCTTGAGGCAACTCTGATTGTTGAGCGCTTAACACACCCATAAGAGCAAATTGGGATGGCATAGTCCTTGAAGTAGAGGATATCAAAACTGCATCCTGCACACTACTGTAGTTCTGGTCTTTCGGATTGCAATCATATTGATTGTTAGGGTTCAGGAAACACATCTGCTTTGCCAGAGAAGGCACGGTCGATGTGGTGACACAGGAGGGCCTTCCATTTCGACTGTTAGTGGAAAGGTAATCCTGGAAGTCTGCATTACTTGTTATAAACAGTCAGGAACAAGGTAGGAATAGTAACTGCCAGACCTTGTAAAATTGCATATCCATTCTGATTTTCCTTTTTCACAATGTCGTTGATTATTCCCTTGTCTGGGTTCGCTTTTCTGTCACATTTTGTAACCTGGTAAATGTTAGAGCCATCTGTCTATACCAAGATGATTTAGTGAGCATAATAGGATAATATTCTTTACTTACATCAGTTGTGTTTTCATTCTGACTGTGATTTGTATTTGACGGTCCAGACTGTGTCTCTACGTCCTTTCCAATACGCTGCTACAGAGAGAAAGCATAGCTAAATGGTCATGAATGTCAGTGCTCAAGGGAGTAGGGTGACTTACTCGACCACAACATTGTTGATATGGTTCTCCTGATCTGGATGTTTGGCTAGAAATCTAGATCTGATCACATCGCTGTCGACCTGGCCTCTCTCTGAATACATATTCCTAATAGCTTGACGTATATCAGTTTTCAGGTGCGGGGGAGGCTTATTGATCCCTGATTTTTTCTTCGACATTTCGGGTTCTCAAGTTATCAAGTGCGACAGGGCACCTCCTGCTGCAGTGGAACAGAAGAGATAGATGAAACCAAAGCGCGTCGCAAGAGCTGCTCCTGCTGGAAGAAGTGAATATGGGGTCACGTGTAGTAGCTAGCCATATACACCCTCAGGCTACTTGGACACCAGACAAGGCTGACACGTTTCACTGCCCATGAGGCTAGATATAATGCAACATGACTCGCAAGATGCAAGCTTACGCAAGGCTTCGTCTTAGCACTGCAGAGAAAAATTGGTTTGGAGCCCAAATAATGAAAACGGAATCTGTTATCGTGCGTCAGGAGATTGTTGCGCTCGAAAGGGCATTCCATTACAATTCGCATTGTGAGAATGTAGAAAGCATGCACAAATGTGTGTCTCAACAACTGCTTGTGAAGTCGTAGTGTAGCTATGAGATTTTACGATACATATATCGGTCGTGTCTCCTGGAGATGCGTCAACTAGATTTGGTATTTCACGATGACAACCTAGCGAACAGTTTTCTATTTGTAGGACTTAGTCTTGATGCGTTTAGGTGAAGATACAACTTTAAGTCATTCGTCAGGGCCACATTGAAGTTTCCACGTCAAGGTACTTTTTTTTTAAGAAAAAAAAGAAAAAAAATCATGTTGTGGCACAATAGAAAGCTTCAAAGTAACCCTCCCTCTTGCGAGAAGAACGTATTAAGGAAGCCCTCTGCGGGGTTGCCGTGGCACATTCTTGACTTTATGACTGGGCATTTAGAGCCTCTAATATATGATATACAAATTCCACACAGTAGCATAGCAACCCTTGAAAAAGAGAGAGAGATCTAGAAGACCAGTATAACAACGAGAGAATGAAGATGAAAAAAATCTCTCCCTCGGGGAGTCGAACCCCGGTCTCCCGCGCTTGTTCCTTGTGGGATGACAAGCGGAAATCATGACCGTTAGACCAAGGAAGATGAGGTTGATCGAGTTACCGCTCGACCACTTGGCTCATTGGTGACTTTTCCGGTTCACTTTTTGTCTTATAAAGCAAATTTCCTTCTGCCAAGACGGCCTGCTACTCGACAGTTTCATTTTCAGCGAAGTCACAAATAGTGTCCTTCATTTTCATGGACAAGAGTATTGGAATCGTTGGGACTTTTACTACGACTACTAAATTAACTCTAGTGCTGCAAGTTGACTTATTGAGTACCAACCCCACCGGCCATTGTCGTGTAGCCCCGGTTCTTAACACAATGCATTGCAGAATAATAACCCCCACTATGGGATTGTCAGATGTTCCTCAAAGTTGGCTTCCAACATTTTCACAAGGTATCTCGTGACACCAATCTCCGGCTGGGGTATGGCACGAGGTACATAATGCTCTATTGTGAGCGACATTCGAAAATCGTGTCGAGAATCTTGCGAGCCCCTCATGACGAGAATTTACAAGACCGTCATCCTACCCGAACGTTTTGTTAGCTATCCTCAACCAGAGTATCTCGGTGAGCCGCGAGGATATGTGAGTTTATCGAGCAGGACACCCAGAATGATATCCAGCAGCAATGGTTGTCGGCGATGCCGCAAATAAACGAGCAGCACATCGACTGATTTATCTGCACGTACTGTCGATATCGTCATACATTAGATGAATTGCAGCAGGTCCCATATTAAAGAGGAACAATTAAGGTCGGATCCCCGACGGCTTGACTGGAGATCTACAGGGGACTAAATCAATTAAAGGGGACCTGGATTGTCCATTCAGATGAGAAATCCTAGGAACTCCACTAGAATCGGCAGTAAAATTACCCCTTTGGGAAATATCCCCAGGAACAAGCCGCCGATGATCGTTGGAATAACAGCTTATGTTGGCTGCTCTAAGGCCACGATGTAACATTATCATGTATCTTGTTTTATCGCACTGGATTGAAGCTTTCAGCCAAGGATTGATCTCCGCTCATTAGGCAACTTTCCACAGAGCCTTGGTCAGTTGATAGTGATGTCTCATTCCCCTCTTCACAAGCGGACTTTGAAACACCCGAGCGTCGCCTCCCATGTATATAAGCCAGACCGTTTCTGGCCTAAAATTCTCCTTCGAGTATGATAAGAGGAACTAAACACCGATCTCCTCGTTGTTTGTTAGAGTGTCCCAAGCCCTCCTATTCTGCTTGCTAGAATGTGGTTTTCAAGCACTGCGTGGTTGCTGCCATTGGCACTTGCAGGAAGCGTCCAGGCGCTGCCCAAAGGTGCTAAAATAGGCACAACAGCGTCCCATGTCCGGAAAGGCGGGGTCACTTACAACGTCTTTGAACATGCTGCTACTGGCGCCAGGTTGGAATATGTCAACAACTCCGGTATCTGTGAGACCACGAAGGGCGTGAACCAGTACAGTGGCTACTTGAGTGTGGGAGAGAACCAGAATATGTTCTTTTGGTATGAGTCCTCCTTGTCTTTGTCCCACTTATGGAAACATCTGACCGGGTGACCAGGTTCTTCGAGAGCCGCAACAACCCGCAAAAGGCGCCTCTCTCGGCCTGGTTCAATGGCGGCCCCGGCTGCTCTTCTATGATCGGGTTGTTCCAGGAGAATGGACCTTGCCACTTCGCCAATGGCGAGGATACTCCGTCTTTGAACGAACACAGCTGGAACAGCTTTGCCAATATGCTCTACATTGACCAGCCTATTGGTGTAGGCTTTTCGTATGGAGATAACCCCGTTAATAGCACGTGGACTGCTGCTCCATATGTTTGGAAGTTTCTTCAGGCCTTCTATGAGCATTTCCCACAGTATGAAAGCCGCGACTTTGGCATTTTCACCGAGGTGAGAAATTCAATCAATGCATGACGTGTGCGTACTGAAATGCTGACTGAGCAAGTCATACGGCGGTCACTATGGCCCTGGTTTCGCTTCCTATATCCTGGACCAGAACAAGGCCATCGAAGCTGGCAGTCAGAAAGGTGAAAAGGTCAACTTGGTTGCTCTGGGAATAAATAATGGCATGTTCGACTCAACGCTCCAAGAGAAGGCTTACATCACATTTGCATACAACAATACCTACCGACAGCTCATTGATGAGTCATTGAAAGACAAGCTTCTGGAGGCTTACGAGTCTGAATGCCGTCCAGCTGTCCAGAAATGCCAGCAAACTCAAACAGACGAGGACTGCCAGAACGCCGGCTCAGTGTGTGGAGAGACAGTCGAGGATCCGATCATGCAAGCCGGCGGTGACTTTAATGTCTATGATGTGCGAGAGCCATCCAACGATCCCAATCCGCCAGAGACATACTCCACGTACATCACAAGACCCGACATAATGAAGGCAATCGGTGCGAGGTCGAGCTACCAAGAATGCGCGAATGCGCCCGGACGGAAATTCGGTGCGACCGGAGACGGTGAGTATCTCAATTATCACTTCTAGCTTCAGGATCTAACTTGAGTAGAATACCGTTCAACTCTCCCAGATTTGTCTGAGGTCATCAAGGCAGGAGTCAACGTCCTTGTCTGGGCAGGCACCGCAGACTATATATGTAACGTCGATGGAAGCATTGCCGTGGCAAACGCCGTTGATTTCCCGGGACACGACGAGTTCCAGGGCAAGGCCCTTGAAGCCTATAAGGTCAACGGAAAGGAAGCTGGACAGTTCAAGTCTGTCGACAACCTCCATCTGCTGACGGTATTCGATGCTGGGCACGAAGTTCCCTACTACCGTAAGTGCATACCGTTTACCTTCTACATGACCCGACATAATTCGCTAATTGATGCAGAGCCGGAAACCGCCCTTCAAGCGTTTACCCAGATCTTGCAGAAGAAGCCACTTTCCTCCACATAAGCCCTGTGACGTGAGAAATTAGGCTTATATAAGGCATTGTAAGGCAATTGGAGCAGTGATTGGTGTGAGATTGGGCTTAGTAGGAGCCACCAGATAAAATGTGAAGCTACACGTCACTTGGCCCTTGATCTCCAAGTCCCAAGCCGGCCATATAGTTGCATATTTTTATGTGAATCTATTGTAAATAAGGACGCAGTTGACAGAATTTATTGCCCAGGTCGTGAACATAATGTATATCTGCGACCACTCATCTATGACTAATTAAGGGTGGAGTAATTTCGGCTGCCTCATGGAATGGAAAGCAGTCTAGTTTATGGCTGTATATGATGTTACAAGGCTTACTTGCCCATGCATGCCCTGTATAATTCATGTGATAATCGAAGGAAAGTCTACCGGATACCTCAACCGTCATGTGGGACTAGCATAATCTCTTTTTCCACGTTATCAAAATTAAGATAGTCTACCATAGATAGCGTTAGGCGGCCCTTGTTTGTAATAGTTTATTATTGAGTTATGCAAAGGGGGAGAAATATAGTTCTTAACGCTTTCATGGTGGGCAACTCGTTAACGCACATTTTCATTGGATTGTATGCCTTAATCCAATTTAGATAACAATAAGCTACACGTCACATTGAATCAAGCTCAATTAGACTTACTTTGGATCAGCGCAGGGCATCTCGAATTCACATCAAGGGATAAACTATAGTTTATTGAATAGCGAAGTACGCAATGGCGATATGAGCCCTCTTCGGACATGATATGTGCTCACAATTATAGTACCCAGCCGAGGCGAATTTTGCTGTTTACCAGATCAGTTGCTTCTTTTAAGTTATTGCTGGCCCCTGATTCCGTTGCCCAGCCCATAATATAGAATGTGGAGTTGACCTACGTATGCCAGCACATCAAAGTAAAAACATCACAGAAACTACTCGGTACATGCCAAAGCAATTTGGCATCCCTTATACTTGCCCACTATTATTGTTAAATTTGGCTTGTTCTTCATGCAAAACCCCTATTCAACACCAAGAGTCAATGGACGCTCTCGAACGGGCCAAGGCTATAACACGAGGTGGCAATGGTGGTGGCTATATGCACATGTCCAAACCCGAGTGCGCCCTGCCTCCCATTTTGTATGTGTCTCAAAGCCTAGTGGTCTGTATTTTGGTATGCTGACTATTCCAGGCTTGGTTAGAATTGATTGGAGGTCGAATACTCCGTACAATTGACTCAAGTTGTAACTGTCCAAAACAAGACAAATTATCTCTTCAGCTACCCGACTCTGGGTGGCGTTAATACGACGACTGCATAAATCACACGATAGTGTGTTGTTTTCTATGTCCGATCGAGGAGACGCTATATTTAGACTACGACTTTCTTTACCATCGTTTTGCGAAACGATTATTGAGGGTTCGGCTCCTGGGCAGGACCTCCACGAGTGAGACATTTCGATCCGAGATGGCCGGGGCAGACATACGGGGTAATGATCGACCTTTAATTGATGTGCCAAGTCCAGAAAAAACCCACATCGTCTCCTCGTCAATAAGTTTCCTGAGACATAACCAATTAACCCTTTGCCCCCGACGTCTGATGTCATGAGAGCAGTCTCCAGCTCTACGCGACGGTCGCCCCCAACCGTAGTTGCCTTAATTTGGGGATGTAGCCCTAGGGGTATAAATACACAAGGATTCCCCTCTTAAAATTTACTCAACTCACTCATACATACTCGATCACGAAAAGAAGGCCCATTGACTCTCAGGGTTCACTGCCAAAAATGAAGATCTCCGCTGCCCTTTCCACTGCCCTGCTGGCCGTTAGTGCCGCTGCGTTTGACAAGAACCAACGTCAGTGATATCGCTCCATCCCACTTACCAAGCAGGATAACTAAGATGAAATTTAGCCTGGGGCAAACGCGACTACAACTGTGTCAACGTCTTCCAGGGCATCCCCGACAACTCGACCGTCGCTCCCGGCGCTGAGATCAACATCAAGTTCAACCGCAACTCCAAGAACTGCGACGAGTCTCTTGGCCAATACCCAGGAGCAAATTACACCATCTATCTCTACAACAACCCTGTTAGAAACTTGGATGTTATCCATTTCGACCGTGAACTCCCGATTAAGAAGGATATCCCCGAGAAGGACGGTGCTGTCACGATCACCATTCCGTCTCAGGAGGAGCTTGGCACCGTCGCGGACGACAGCGTTTGGTATCTCCGTCTCTCTACTAGCTTGAACACTGCCCCCCAGATGCCTACTCTCTTCAATGCTGCCGGTCCTTTCGCTATTCGTGCTTAAATATCCATGGCAGTCGTGTGTGCCACCGCAACGAACTATCGACATGGGGATGGAGGGCTAGGTTGACATATACCCTTGGATTAGCGTATCGTTCAACGCAAATGTTTTGCATTCCACATCAAACTATTTCATTACCGGAAGATGTACATGTTGATGTTCTACGTCTCGGAACCAGGGCGTTGAGCCTTTATTCTAATATCTGTCTATAGCTTAATTGAGTGTATACTTCAAATTAGATAACAGGGCTTCTGTGACCATGTGACTTTGTGCTTTTCCGTAAGACATAAACATGTGTTATTTCTTCGATGAACCACATGTAGGCTCACGTACGAATATGTTAGACTAGGACTCATAATCAAAATGATATTGAAAAGCCGGCTGAACCTATATTTCTACCCTAACTTTTCTTTTCCCTTCATATCGATGTGGCGTATATCCCTTCCCATGAACCCCATAAGTAATGAAATTAGTCATTAGAACATTAAGAGGGCATATTCGGCTTCCAGGCTGATTCGCCGTTCGCAATTCCAATTCTACAACTACATGTGATAATTGCGTATTGCACAAAGCCCCCAGAGGATAATACGTATACACTCCATGTACGAAGATGCAGAAGAATAAACTTAATCATGAGAATATTATCCACGTGCTGTGGTTTCCGACAATCCCGGCATATTACTCAATGGTATCTCATACTCGTTAACTCGACGCCTCCCGCTGACAGTTGCATCGCTCATATTCCTAAACTCCCACCCTAAAGAGGTTCTGGGCTACTCTTCTGTCCGCATCTGCATCTTCTGACTTCTTCCTAATATAACTGTGCTCAAATCACCCACCGGGATCGCAATCGGAAAGTCCACCGCCTCTAACATTTGCGCAATGAAGATATGCCAAATGGGTATAACCAAAGCGAGACTGAATGCACCTGCCGCCTGCATAGAATATATGTTAGATAAAAAGAGTATGAAAGACGGGGGAGAATGGAAGAAAACATACCATTTGAAGTCGAGCAGCAAGAGCAATCTCTCCCAGCGCCAGCTGGAAGTAGGTGGCGGCGAATAAAGAAAAGGTAATGACGAGGAGGAAAAGAGCGGTAAAAAGGCAGATGTTGGTTCGGATTGAACATATTGTGTACACAAAGGTAAGGATTGCTAAGGCAACGTAGTAAAACGCTAATAGTAAAGCTGGTTAGTGGCACTACAGCTTCCACGAGAGTTGAGTGATGCGGTTGCACATACCCATGGTAGCGTTATATGATGGTGTCTGCATTCCCTCCAGTGCATTACCAGTCGATGAGTAATGAAGCCCCGTTGCAAAAAAGGGCATGAGACCTGTTCCTTGTACAATCCAAAACGTGCCTTGATGAAGTCAATTATGGGCGTCCGCATGACTGGACATTTGCGATACGCACCATAGGTAAAGAACAAAGCGCATGAAAATGTATTCCCAATAATCCATTCCCCAATACCGCCCAGAATTTGTATAAGCCCCCCAAAGAAAATGAACACGGGCCTGCACCGCTGTGAGCCTCCAAAAGGAAAGTGGTCAAACAGATAATAAGGTACTCACAGTATTGCGGCGCCATTCTCGCCACTTCCCCTGATACCCATCGTTATAAAGGCGTTTGGGGTGGCAGCTACCAAAAACCCAATAAGCGATATTGGTGTAGGATTACCTACTTGCTTACGCAGGTCACCTTTCACTGAAGGATGCTTGGGGCTCAAGTAAAGCTTTTCGAATACATCACGGGAGACAGGAAGAAAGACACTCTCGGCTGTTCTAATTGGCCGAAGAGTGTCGATGTCATGTTTCTCACTGATATCACCACTGGACATGATTAAGGCTGCGGAACGGGTGATGGCTTGAGATCTTGGGGATTGCTGTAGTGTGAGCAATTCTAGGTCTACAATAAACCTATATATACCTGGCTCGTCCATAATCTCACCCCACATTATTAGCTTTAAGCTACATCATCATCTAACATCCCTGTATGGTCAATGCCGACCTGCATGCCGGTCTAGTTGATACGGATCCGTTTTATGCGGGTATCGCGGAGAGAAATGCGGGGAGAGCTCAATTTTGAGTTGTATTCAAGACCTTTAAATGGGTGAGAGCTGATTTAGAGTTATCGATAGTTGAACCTTCCCCACGTTTAGGGTATGCTCTGGAGCAGGGTTCACAAATCCTGCCATGTGTTCTTGATACGGGGGGCGGCGATGGGCTGCATGTCGTGAAGCCAAAGGAGCTCGCTTCATCCATCCACGAATACATGAACGATTACTTACAGCTACAAAAAGCCCAGGTCTTGTCTGAAGACACAGCACATTCGAGATCTGCACCTAGTGGCGAGAGGACGAGCGGAATCGAACCGCATTATTCAGTAGGATACATTGGATGGTGGCGATTTCCCTCGGTCTTTCAGGAATCTATTATCAAGTGGAGCAACCACTAGTTGCATGGTACTTCTTGATACTTCGAAAGGATTTCCATATGGCCGAGAGCTTAATTGTCGGTAGTTTTCGTGCACGGTTCTCTACCACCTTTCCCCTCATAAGCCTCGATGCTCGATGAAGCCCCTCGCTCCAATGAACCTGCTATTTGAGAAACTTAATTTGAGTCTTCACTCCATGTAAATTCCCGAAAATCCCACCCGCTCGTACCTCGCAACTCGGGTTCGGTTAATGCGGGACCCAACCGAGGAAGGACGTCACCAACTTAGAATCCTTCGAGATCCCGCCAAACCCTAACACAAGATACATTATCTCACCTGAACGTTTCTACTTATGCAATTGTTTCCAATGAATTCAATGCTCACTGTTTCGAGACTTGCTTCATTGGGGACAAGGAACTCCGTAGCCATCAGCAGGATGCAGGGCCATGCTGTAGCAGGATTTCTCAGGGGCAATCAGTCTATCCAGCAACAAGCAAATACACAGATCGACCATAAGAGAAACTATCCAGATTATGCCAGCCACTAAGCATATGTTATTTAATCTTGAAGCTTAACTTTGTTCTTATTTGGGCAGGAGCATAAATCTTAAGTTAAACACTTCCGCTGTAGTTTCCGCCGTAGCGGGTTCACAGCGGAATGGGAGCGGAATATAACGGGATTGCGGTTCGATCTGCGGGTCTAGTAATAAACTTCGACGAGGGAAGTATGTATATCCCGCTAATCCCTACCTATCGAAATACTGGAACTATAATAGGGCCGATGTCACCAGAGACGGGGATGTGCCATTTTATGGTAATACTAGATGGCTAGTACGCCGACTGGCAGTAGATGGGTGTGGGGTTGTTTTACATATACTGCGCAGAGTCAAGATGACTTCCAATGTCGTTGGAGATCAGCAGCCTCTTGTGGGGTAAAAACCATGTCCAGCCCGCAGTATAAACTCTTCTTTAGCCAGGCTATAGGCCATGCGCATAGGCATCTGCAGCGTTCGTGCACCCCACGTATGACCGTAGGATAGGCTGGGGTAACCCGCCTTTCCCCTAACCCTAAATGGTAAACCAACCTGGCTGGACCACAATCCAACAAATGATAAGCTGAGGCTAGGCAGTACTACGATCATTATGTGGAATATATACTATCCCCTTCCCATAGGCGAAAATGCTAATTTAACTCATGTCTAACCTAGCATCGCTGTCGATGCCTGTCTGTCTCAGCCTAGACCCAATCCGTGTTTAGCCGACGATGGCAAGGTATTAGGCTTCGGAATATATGTAGTAATAGTGGTGGAGCTTATCAAAAGACTGTTGAGATTATCCTGTAGTTGCTAGCTCACTGACCCCGTCAAGAATATCCTTAGCCTTCCTCGAAGTCTATCACAAGCAGACGAGATAGGTGCTAGAATGCAGCAGTATTGGTGGCATATTAGTGTGGCAATTTTTTAACATAGTGTATGGCGGAGACATAAGAAAATTATTGACCATGACTGTAGAGGGTGCAGAACGAACATACAAAATAGATTCCCGATCAGGACTCTAAAGAAGACAGCATGGCCATGACTTCGCAGTGTGTCGAACACCCCAGAGTGTTGATTAGAGGGTAAGAAGATCTGCATATAAATAGGGCAAAAGAGTTTAACTTCTTAAAAGCTAGTCGGCAACAGAAGTCAAACATGAGTATACGTCATGAATCAATTAAGATACTTCAGCCAATGATAAATTAAGCTTTTCGGACAAGCTTTTACCAATAGAAGTTTACGATGATAGCAGCATACTGTCCGTTATACATCAGATAAAGGTATCACACAGATTAATTCTTTGCACCACCACATATGCGTACAGTATTCCGTACAGCACATGGAGGCCAATATGATAGAGATAACCAAAACTGGTAATTCCGACCTCGGGATGCCGAGAAGGGAAAACATACCGCGCGATCAATGTCCGGGAACAACGTGGCGTGTTAGAATTTTCCTAGTGGGTATCATCTTCGCTTGCTACACGGTATTATTTTCTGCTTTTTCACCATCTTTACTCTTTATGCCGTTCACTAATGCCGAGTTCGACCACTCGGGTATTTCCGAGGGGAAACGTGAATCTGTAGATTAGCGGTCAGGAATTAACCGTCAGCTAAAGGTTGGTCTGAGAGGGCCGAGGTTTTACCTAGCGTGTGAAGAATCTTCCATTAGCTTGGTGTTAGATTTTTCTTTTCTTTTTCTTTTTCATTGCAACTTTCGGTGGTGCTAATAAAATCTATGCATATACTAAATTTCGGATAAGGCAGGAACCTTGCGCCCTACTTTTGAGAGTATCATCTACGCGGGTGATCGACACATAATCAATGGCGATCCATTCAGTTTGAAGAATGTGTGCATGTTTACTCTGGGAAACTAATATGCATATCCATCAGAAATGGTAGCAGAGTTATATACCAGTAAATTCAAAAGCAACTTGTCATACTTGGCGTGAAGGGAAGATCTATAGCATGGGGATATCTCGTATGCTCTAAAACAGAAGAAAAGAAAAACAGCAGATTTATGCAGGGGAGGTTGCTCCGTAGCCAATATCAAGTGACATGCTCCTTTTCCTCCTCCTTTGGAATTCTCACCCAGACAACAGTTACCAGCGCAGCTAGTAACTGGCATGCCAACGCAAACCACCAAATGGCCCGAAGTCCAGTCAGGCCTACATCCCCATCTGGACCCTGATCGACTTTAGTCCCAATCGCATCAGCAATACTTGTAATAATCGCAGAGGAGAGGTTCTGGTTGGTGACTAGGAGACTGGCTGCACTTCCTTGGTAGGATCGAGGAACGTTGCTCGTGATGAAAATGGAGGCAGCGGCGAAAGCCATATCCGGTCCGAACGTCACGAGGGCTACGCCGGGAAAGGATAAGGCCCAGTAAATCGTATTTGGGGTTTGCGGAAGGAAGAATGCCGGGCCGAGAGTAAACGCGAACATAGAGACGATATAGATATAATGACCAGGAACCAGATGCAGAATGCGACTGACGATGAAAGTGGCGATGATGCCGACAATTGCATTAGGAATGTGGTATAGGGCCACTGCAATAGGGGTCGCATGTTGAATTCTCAACCAAAACTGAATTGCATAGAACTGCCATGCCCCGAAAAATGAGCCGAATCCTAAAAAGTAGGCCACCATGAGAGGGGTAAAGCCTTTCGTCCGCCACAGACGACTGGGAATCAATGGCCGCGCCACATATCGTTCCGTGACAAACAGGCAAATAAGAAAAACGATGCCTAGAGCTACCAAAACGCACGTATATACCGACCACTTAGTTACTGACCCTTGGGTTAAACCGAATAGGAGACAGACACAGCCCGCAATGGCAAACAGGGCTCCAATATAATCAAACTGACGCAGAGTAGGTGCTTCTGCGCCTTCCACGTCGGCAACTGGACGGAGAGGAGGAATTGAGAAGAAGGCAGCGACAGCACACAAACCAGTGATAATGGCATTCACACCGAAAATCCAGGGAAGGTTTCCGTGGAGAAGACCACCTTCAATGGACCCCAAACTGAATCCTAACGGAGCCGTAGCGCTGATAGCAGCAAAGACGCGATTCTTGCGGATACCAGGGCTATAGAGACGTCCAAGGACGCTCATTGAGCCAGAGACCAAAACACCAATAGCGAGTCCTTGCATTGCTCTTACAATGAAGAACAAGACCTCTCGTGACGGATCAAGAGAAAAGGCGCCGACCACGTTCCAGATAGTAAGCCATGCAAATGCGCCCACAATGGCACGCCGAGGTGGAGTCAAATCCAACAAAGAGCCTGATACAACAACTGACACCCCATTAGAGCAAGCGTAGGCCCCTACAAGCCATGGGAGCGAGGTATTTCCGATTCCCAGGGCTTTCTTCAGCTCCAATTGCACCACCAACATGTTGCCAAGCAAGAACGAGAAGAGCATTAGACCTGCCGAGCAGACAATGACAAGTACAATCTCTGCTGTAAAGCTTGGTATTTCAGGAGGACGTCCTTGCGATGGCTTTGGGGGTGGCGATGCCGACTCGTCTGCCATATCACGGCCACGGATGGCGGATGGCCTCCTGTTATGCAACCCGTCAATGGCTGCTGCTCGACCTCTCCTCTCTTCTAATTCAAACTCATCTCCACTCTCAGCCCCCTGAGTAATCGTCGTCGGTAGCTTTTTCAGCAAGTCCTCGTTATTGACAGGCTTGGGTCCCAGGAGAGGATCTGGGGTCTGTGCGCCCGTGGCAGGAGTTGAGGCCGTTCTGTTATTATATGAAAACGAGGACCTGGTGGACAGCGGAGCGGAATCGAAGCCATCGTTGTGAACGGTAGCAACCGTTGGAGCATTTACGTCGTCGACCGGGGTCGAATTAGGTTCTTGATATTGCCTTGGTTGCATCTTGCCGACACCTCCACGAGGTGGATGCCAATGGTGAATCGATCTCCTCTTATTCTTTTCCCCCAAGTAATTTTCGGTAGAAATGAAATTAACTGGCAATCTAACTAACAAGGACTGAGACGGGCAGCTTTCCCTTGTGCAGCATAAGAATTTTCCGACAATCTACAAAGCATCGCCACCGTAGCTGAGCGACCATGGGCTATATATGTTTTTATCGGAAACCAAAATCCAGGGCATATGATAAAGCACCACAAAATGTCGTGGCAAAGGTATAGAGGATCCACAAATAGATAAGATTTTGAAGATTTTTGCATGGCGCGGTGGATCATCAGCCGTGATCCACCGCGCCCTTACTGAGGGCTTGCGCGTATAGCATTTGCCCGACTTTGAGGGTAGGTGGGTCGGTCGATCCATTCAAAATCATGGCGTGGATCACGTCAACTGTGAATTCCGAAGACTTGTCCAAGTACACCGTTTGACCTAGATTATGGAGTCTGACAACGCAGCTGAGCGGTCAGACACAGAGGGTATTAATATAGATCTTGACTAGTAAACTGGGTGGGCATTTCCTAAATAGGCAGTAACCCTATCGCTTAGTCGAATTCGATATCACCCGGCGGGGCCTTGGGCATCATCAGCCCTGGCTAAATTGAATTTTGCCATTCGAATTATCCGATGACAATATACTGTTCCTAACGTCCAGAAGGCTATATTTAATTGGCCTTCTTGTATAGGCCCGTTACCTACTTGCCAAACTTCGAATGTGAAACAGGATTTGGAATTTGCGTGGTTGGGTTTCCTGCATAGTAGACGATCATCGACATCCTACATATGCAACCACTGACGATCATCCGCCCCTTAAATTCACACAGCACATGAACGCAAGCTATCGGACATGGTTTCATTCTTGCTTCATGAACGCGTACGCTGCTCATCAAAACAATAGTCCCAACAGGGTTCAAAAGTATCACAGACCATCCCCGTCATTGACTTCTCCTAATTACTTCAATGTCCTTGATATTCTTAAATTTGCTTCCACCCTTTCAGGAATACCTTCTGCATTTTCATGTCTTCTTGGGGTATTTCCAGTTGCGGATGTATTCCGCATCTAAACCATTGTCATACGCCTCTTGCTTAGCAGCTAGTTGCTGATTGATCAACTTTTCTCGGACGTGAGACGCTGTGTTGCCGAGGGATCCTACACGATCAATGGCATCAATAGCAAGACTGTATCGGTCGGTCTGATTCCTAACGGCTAGTTCGAATGGAGTATCGATATTCCCCTTTTCTCTGTACCCTCTCACATGTAAGTTATGTTGTCCGGGTCGCTTGTAGGTTAGACGGTGGATGAGCCAAGGGTACGAATGGAAGTTGAAGATGATCGGCTTATTGTCGGTAAACACAGCCTTCCATTGTCGGTCGGGCATGCCATGCGGATGGTCTTTCTCGTTAATGAGTCGGAATAAATCGACTACATTGACGAACCTGACCTTGAGTTGGGGAAGATGTTCGTTTAATAAAGCCGTTGCGGCAAGAGCCTCATGGGTGGGCACATCACCGCATGCAGCCATCACAACATCGGGCTCTTGGCCTTGATCATTACTAGCCCAGCTCCATATTCCAAGACCTTTGGTGCAGTGTTCAATGGCTTCATCCATATTGAGAAATTGTATGTGTTCTTGTTTGTCAGCAACAACCACATTGACGTAGTTAACACTACGGAAACAGTGGTCCATGACTGAGAGAAGCGTGTTCCCGTCAGGTGGCAGATAGATTCGAACCACCTCCGGGCTCTTGTTCGCAACAACATCCAGGAAGCCAGGATCCTGATGGGTGAAGCCATTATGGTCTTGTCTCCAGACGGTCGCGGTCAGGAGGATATTGAGAGATGCGACCTTAGCACGCCATTCCACTTCTAAGCACTTTTCAATCCATTTGCAATGCTGATTGACCATTGAATCAATGACGTGGATGAAAGGCTCGTAGCTGTTGAGTATACCATGGCGGCCGGAAAGCACATAGCCTTCCAGCCAGCCTTCGCAGGTATGTTCACTGAGCATCTCCATTACCCGACCTTCAAAGGCCAAGTTTCCTCCATCTTTATCTTCTTCAAAGTAGTCACCCAGCCAAACTTTCTTGCCGGCTTTATAAATCTCCGCAAGCTTGTTTGATTCTGTTTCGTCCGGGCCAAATACACGGAAAGAGGTCATGTTCTCTTTGACCACATCCCTCAAGTACTGTGACATATTTGTCATGCTCCCGCGTACAGATACGCCGGGGTCAATGTCCTTCAGAGCATAATCCCGGAAGTCCGGCAGCTGGAGAGGCCGGCGAAGTATACCACCATTACCGACGGGGTTGGCACTCATACGAGAATTGCCTGAGGGCGCGAGCGCTTTCAGCTCTGCAATAAGCTTGCCATCTTTGTCAAAAAGCTCCTCTGGCTTGTAGCTCTTCATCCATGACTCAAGTAGTTTCAGATGGGCAGGGTTCGTTAGAACGTCAGTAATTGGGATTTGATGAGAGCGCCAAAAGCCTTCGAGCAGCTTTCCGTCAACCTCTCTTGGAGCAGACCATCCTTTGGGACTCCGGAGAACAACCATCGGCCAGCGGGGTCGGAATGGCTTGTTTGACTCTCTTGCTTGCTTTTGAATCTTCTTGATTTCCACAACGCAGTGTTCCAATGTGGCTGCCATCGCCTGGTGCATGCTTTCTCTATCATTGCCTTCCACAAAATAAGGCGTCCATCCATATCCAACAAATAGCGCTTTTAGCTCTTCGTGGCTGATGCGAGCAAGAACGGTCGGGTTATTGATCTTGTATCCGTTAAGATGAAGGACAGGGAGAACGGCTCCGTCGGTGCATGGGTTGAGGAATTTGGTGCTATGCCAACTAGTCGCAAGTGGTCCAGTTTCCGACTCTCCATCCCCAACCATCGTCAATGTAATGAGGTTGGGATGGTCAAAGACACTTCCAAAGGCATGAGAAATCGAATATCCTAATTCACCACCTTCGTGAATCGATCCCGGCGTCTCCGGGGTGGCATGTGAACCAATGCCTCCTGGAAATGAGAATTGCTTAAAGAACCTCTGCATACCCTTCTCATCTTCGGACTTGTCTGGATACACTTCGGAGTAGACCCCCTCCAAATACGACTGCGAGAGCACAGCCGGGGCGCCATGACCAGGACCAGAAACGAAGAGGACGTCCAAATCATACTTTTTGATAAGACGATTCATATGAAGCCAAGTAAAGGACTGACCGGCATCCGATCCCCAGTGACCGAGTAGCCGGGCTTTGAGATGCTCAACCTTTAGGGATTCCTTAAGCAAGACATTGTCTCGCATATAGAGCATACCCAAGCATAGATACATACTTGCTCGGAAGTATGCGTCCATTTTGCGGACTTCATCCGCATCCAAGGGTTGCCCCTTGACAGTGGAGCGAGTAGCACCATACGCACTGATGTTGTCATCAGATTCGCTGCTGGGCGCCATTCTCAAATATGATAAACGTTATTGAACTTGAAAGGATTTTTAGGCTTTGATTGAAATTAGATAATAGTAATATATCTTAAGCTACTAGTATCGACTTCGAGGACTAGAGAAATCAATCCTCCAGGGGTGCTCCCAGCATGAACTCAAAACGAGACCTGGGTCCATAGCCCTATTTAAAACCATGGCAGGCAATAATATAGTTGATGAGGGTACCCTGACGTAGTCTTCCATTTGTTGCATGGTTTTCGGAAGCTCAGGATATGCGGCGGAGTCGATGACGTCCAGCTTACCATCCGAAACCCTTCCAGACCCAACCTAGAACCGTGGGCAACAAAGAAACCTGCTTTTTACGTACCACGGAATAGGTCTTATTTTATTGCTAACGAAGTCTTAAGAGTGCGCCAATAATTAACTTTACTGATAGGGCTGGCTTTGACGCTGGCTTCTCACATCGAGGCAGCGAATAACAGTGAAATATAAGTTAAATACATTACCCTAGCTTCGCAAAAAGGCACACTTAGTGGGGAGGAAAAGCTTATATACTAGGAGCTTAGAGCCCTAACCAGTACCACATTTTGTTAAGGAATGAGATACTACACCCCTTTTAAAGCAAAGTATACGCACACTACATTCTTGAACTGAAGAATAGATGATAATACAGCCAAGGCAGCTCAAAAAACAATTTAATACAACGTGGTCGCTGTACAAGGACTTGCAAAATTGGGCAGATTATATTCATCTCGGAATGATATTCTATACTTTCGACTCGGGTTATCGAGTGTTGAGCTCTGAAAGAGTTGATAAATGTCTGAAGTACTAGTAATCTTCGACAGCCCGGGTAACTGTACCCGAGATCCTCCATCCGTAACATCTAGACTCAAGTGATCAAGCGACCACTTTCTTTAAACATCCATCTTCCCAACTGGATGAAAGTCATCATATTAAAGGCATGTATCATTGGCAGATTCAACCATTGCCTATTATGTCCTAGCCAAAATGGCCGGTCCAACGTGATAAGTGGTGTTCGATGCCTACCACGCCAGGGAACTGCTTGGAGCTATTTTTTGCTTTCTGACACAGTTAATGAACTCGAACGGTTAACAAAAGCATTTTCGATATCTGGATTTTATGCATACAGCAAATCTGTTGGAAACAGCCAAAAGAGGAAGTCTGGAGTTTCTCCTTCGCCCTCCGACACTACGGCTGGGCTTGTGAACTCATCTTGGACCAAATTCGCACCTCAGCTTGGCCTTTTCTCATTGATATCTGTTAGTGCTGAATGCTCAATAAGCATCCTCAAACGATAGCGACAACTTCACCCTTCACATTTAGCCCTTATATCGCTCGAGTTCTTTGTCGAGCGACGAGTGAGATGGGATGGCGAATACCTGTTCCATTGTTATTCGCTCATATGCTATAATACCGTTCTGAATCCACTACAGTTCTACGATCATACAGGCGGATTCTCAAGAATAGTACATGTATTACTACTTATTTCCGCCATTTCCATGCGGCATGGGGTCAAACTCGGGTACATGTACCCGAGTCGGAAAAAATCATCTCGCCGCTAGAAAGGAGCAGTATATATGGCCTCTAGTGTTGGAGTTAGGACGCTAATCATTTGTTTCTCTGTTTAACTCCAGACAATACCTTAAATATCAGCCAAACTATCAATTGATGCTTCACCTGTGGTCGCGCATTCTCTATCGTAGTCCAACACCCCGAGTAACAGTCTTGGCCTTTTCCCAACCGCAAGTCCTCAGTTGTAAGGCAAGGGCTTTGAATTCAGCGACACAGAGAGCAGATTCTAGCTCCTCGATCAAAGATAAAATGACCAAGACAGTACCGACGACATCATTGCGCTATGCGGATGTGAGTATCTTCTACTTTCAAGAAGGATCACCAAAAGCCCTGAGCGCTTATTTACCACCCAACAGGTCGCAGTTACATACACCGCAGACCAATTTCAGGGCATCTATCGAGGCAAACAATACCATGAACCAGACTTCGCAGAAGTCCTTAAACGTGCCAAAGAAAATGGCTGCGAAAAGATCATGCTCACTACCATGACCCTCCCAGGAGCTCATGAGAACTGGAAAGTCGTGAAAGAATTCCCGGACATGTGCACCATGACATTAGGGGTGCATCCGTATCATGCGGGCGAGATATACGCCGAAAATGAGGGAAGCAAGTATCTTCAAAACCTTCGCGAGCTTGGAGAAACCCTTCGAGCCGAGAACCCGTCGCCGCTAGTGGCTTTCGGAGAGATTGGACTTGACTATGAGTATCTGGACCGTGCCGATAAAGCGATACAGCAGCGTGCTTTCCGTGATCAGCTCGATATGGCCGTTGAAATGCAGTTACCTCTTTTTCTACACGTGCGCGAGTCGTGTGCTGATTTCATTTCGATCATCCGACCTTACTTGTCCAAGTTGCCGCGCGGTGGCCTGGTGCATTCTTTCGCTGGGTCGAAGGAGGAGATGTTGCAGTTGGTTGAGTTGGGCTTTGACATCAGTGTCAATGGTGTTTGTTTCCGTACTGAAGAACAACTGGAGATGGTCTGCCACATTCCCTTGGACAAACTGCAGCTTGAGACCGATGCTCCGTGGTGTGAGATCCAAAACAATGACGAGAAAATTGCCCCATACCTCACCAATGCAAAGCCATTACCTCCGTCTCGCAAGCACAACAAGTTTATTCTGGGTCAGATGGTCAAGACGAGAAATGAGAGCTGCACAATTAAACGTGTTGCTCTGGTTGTGGCCGGCTTGAAAGGGATCTCATTAGAGGAGGTCTCACGGGCGGCGTGGAATAACAGTGTTAGGATGTTCGGTTTAGGGGTACAGGGCCAGTGATATAGAGAACCTTTTGCTTATGCCTTACTATAGAATATCGAGTACATAGAAATATGCGCACATACATACATGGGATTCACGTTCGAGCAGACGCTATACCTTTATACGTACAATACATTTAATCTCGATAGTTGAGACGTGACGGATAATTCACAAGTGTAAATGGTATCTCCTCGAGTACATGGGTGAGCGAAGAGGCAAAAAGTAGGGGCGAAACGAACTGTGCTGGTGAATCCTGAGAGACACACCATGGCTGCACAAACTTGGAAATAACGCTGTTTATGGGTTGTATCTAGTACCGTAGCCACATAATTGGGTGGAATGGACGACACAATCGCACGCCCTGGTCGGTTGGGGAGAGGCCAAAAGAGACACTCACTACCTGTTATTGGGTGCCAACACGTATATCCATGCTATACTATACATACTGCACACTGGTCCGTGATGCGATCCACATGAGAGGCGATTGAGGTAAGATGAGGCGACACGCCACTGTAGAAGCTCATCGAACAGTAGTGGTCACTCGGCCCAAGACACTGTCCAAAGCGCACCTTAGACCTGGGTACCGCATTCCGTGTGATACAATCGTGGGGGCAGGAGTAAAGTGCCCAGTGCTCTTCCAAGCTTTCTCTTTGTTGGTGGATTGGCCCGAGGCACCCAGGCTGCGAGGGCCCCGGGAGTATAAACACACCCCAAACCCCCCCCCCCCCTTCCTCCTTTCCCCTTCCTTTCGATTCTCTTCCCTCACGAAGTTCCTTCTCTATATCTTTTTCTATGACTTCAACGGCAAACACCGCTCATATCTGATCGCCAGCGACTTTTCAACTGTCATCCGATGTATCTCTTCGCAAGTGACGACTTGAATCTTGGGCTAATCTCACTTTACTTCTTCTCTTCATGGAAGAGAGTCTAAAGCACCTGGTGTCTGCCTGTACGTGTTCTGGAATTATCAACAAATAAGTGATGTTAGTCTCAAATGGTTATCTGCCGATACATTGATGCAAAGACTCTTTTTCATGCTTTCAAGGCAGGCGACAGTTCTATTTATTGCTCGCGATTAGCAACGAGAAAAGGATAACAGAAAAAACACCGAGTATTAACACTACTTCATCATGTTCGCTTCCCCAAAAATTCTAGATTGCGTCTATAAGCAAGCGCTCTTCCCAACGTCATTACAACATCTCCCCAAGAGTTTCGTCGTACTCAATACTCAACTCTGATGTCTTCGCCGTAACAACAACATAGTTACTCAATAGCCTCAAGCGGAGTCCTACCTCACGGTAGATGAAATAATACAACCATTTCCGACGGAATGCCCCGAGGTTCTCATCGTGATGGGAGGAGATGTAACGGCGGGCGTTGTGAGGGTCATTTGAGGGCTGCAGGGGTATTGGTATTCGGGGGAGAATTTGCAAGAAGGAGTTGCCACTGCCAAGTTGAGATTTGTTTTTAATGTAGATCTGCCTTACGTTAGTATCCGAATGATTGGAGATTGTCATTACGGGAAATACTTAACATACATCAAGCAGCCCACTGAGATTATCGCAATCTACCTCCTGAAACATATATGATTCCGCCAATCCCTAGACGACACTCAGCAAAACCCAGCTACATCTTCTTTTAGATCACCCAAGCATCAGAATTATGCACTACGACAGTGACAGCTGTTCCCTGGCCACCTCCGACTTCATCGATTTGGTGTGGCTCCTTGTATTCGGAGAGGAGCTTGAGGCGTCCACTGGAAATACTCCCAAGTGCGAAGAGAACTAATTAATGAGCACAGTTGCCCACAAAATGAGATATTCCGAAACATGCCTACTCACCTTCATAGCCAGCGTAGAGATGTTGACCTTGATCACTGTTAGAAGAGGATCACTACGTACTTATATTCCCTTGCTTTCTCGGCGCTAAATTCTCATCGCATGACAACGAGTGGATTTTCTAGTATCGTATGCATGCGTGGCGCAAGGCTACCCTAGGCTCTCCTTGTGCCTTAAGTTGACCGTGCCTTATCCAAGAGCACCATTGAACTCTGAAATTTAGAGAAAACGAATGCCCCGAGAGTATAACCCAAGGCCCTTTCTTCAGCCAGTCAATTACACAACCCTTCCCGCGCCACAAGAGCGTTGGGTCTCGTATTTTAGTTAACAAGCTGGATATTAAAATCACCTGTCATGGGTTTAATCATGGAGAGATACTTTGAAAGACCGCTTAAAACTTCCCCGAATATGTTATGCTTCCAATATGCTCTTTACCCCAAATACAGAAGTTTGAGGACAGTCATCTACAAGAGGAATATCACACCATACTACTGTGAAAGACCCACTATCTCCGCAACCCTGCAGAAATCCCCGAGCGATCCCATCGGGTGTCAGAAAGGATAAATCACCTGCAGAAGAGGCCGACACCTCAGGTCCAGTCTGCAGTAGGTTGGTGATGATGACCTGTAACTGCCTCTTCTGGTATAGCGGACCAGCTCCGCACGAGATCTGCACTAGTCCCAAACCGGCAGGCTTCGATAAGAATCCGCGGAATTAATAATCCCAGCACTGCTGACTCAGACCATGTATAACTCTTCGATATATATACTCATCATTTCCATACAAAGCAATGCACCGATAAGCCCCAAGCGCACCAACAACTTCCTCCCCTCTACACACGCCAGGACCAGGACCAGGACCAGTATTTACTACCGACTGAAGAGAAGGCATAAACAACATTCATACCACGCAAAATGGCAGACACAGACGACCTCACCCTAACAATCCACCACCAAAGCAAACCCCACACCCTCACCCTCCCCTCAACCTCAACGCTCCAAGACCTTTCCAACACAATCGCCACAACCCTCCACATCCCCCCCGAAACGCAAAAGCTCCTTATATCCCCGAAACCCGGCATGCAAAAAGCCCCATTCCCCCCAACCCCGCTAAGGACACTCCCACTCAGCTCCCCGAAATTCAAAATCACCCTCCTCGGCACCCCAACAAAAGCCATCGAGACCCTGCACGCGCAGTCTGAGGAAACCGCACGCCGCGCCTCAGCGCGCGCATCGGCCTTCGCAGCAGCCGCGAAGCATAAACCAGCCCGGACGGCCGGTAGTGGCGGCGGCGTACATACGCTCTCTGATTCGGGTAGTTCGTATACCTTCCACCGGCTGTTGCCGTTGTCGTATTTGCCTCGTCCGGAACGGTCGCTGGAGTTTTTGAAGCGGTTGCGGGACGATCCGGGGATCAAGGCTGCGATGGCGAAGCATAAGTTCTCTGTGCCGGTGTTGACGGAGATGAATCCTGCGGAGCATACGACGATGGAATCGCGGACGCTGGGGTTGAATCGGAATAAAGGGGAGGTGATTGAGTTGCGGTTGCGTACGGATGCGTATGATGGGTATCGCGATTATCGGACTATCCGGAAGACGTTGTGTCATGAGCTGGCGCATTGTGTGCATAGTGACCATGATCGGGCATTTTGGGACCTGACGGCGCAGATTGAGAAGGAGGTGGAGAGGGCTGATTGGAAGCATGGAGGGAATAGATTGACTGGGCAGGACTTTTATGTGCCGGAGGATTGGGAGGCGGAGAAGGATATGGAGGTTGTTGATGAGTGTGGGTGGACTGGGGGCGAGTTTGTGCTGGGTGGATTGAGGGAGGATGAGGTAGGAATGAGGACTGGGGCGCAGGGTGTTGAAGGAAGGAGAGAGATGTTGGCGAGGGCTGCAGAGGAGAGGATGAGGAAGAAGAGAGACGATGAGGGTAGAGAGGGTGGTAATTGATGTGGTTTGGGTTGGATTGGATTTGTGTGTATATTTATTCTTACTACCTTGTATATGAACTAATGATAATGAAGACATGACTGCATTAGAGCTACTTGTTTTATATACCTTGCACCAGATATAGCATGGACAGGTCAGACGTATGTGACTCGTTTATACCTGTTCGTTGACAAACAATCCCGCCATGCCCTGTCCGGTACCAATGCACATACTCGTGACCAGCACCTTCTTCTTAGTCCGTCTTGCCTCGCTAAGAACTGTGCAGATCTGGCGAGCACCCGTGGCACCCAGGGGATGGCCGAGAGCAATGGCACCACCGCGGGGGTTGACCTTGGCATGATCCAGGCCAAGGTTCTGCAAACAGTAGACGGCCATCGAAGCAAAGGCCTCGTTGATCTCGTAGATATCGATGTCATCCTTGTTCAAGTTGAACTTGGAGAGGAGCTTGGGGATAGCAGCGGTAGGGCCGATACCCATGATGCGAGGGGGAACGCCAGCAACGGTGGCACCACAAAACTTAGCCAGGATAGGCTGGTTAAGCTCGATGGCCCTGGAGCGACGCATGAGCAGGATAGCGGCAGCTTCTTCATATTAGCATTCAATCAGAGCATCGAGCGTGAATGAACTCACCGCCGTCGGTCACCTGGCTGGAGTTGCCACCGGTGCTCCGGTTGCCGAACTTGGGGAAAGCCGGTCGGATCTTGCCAAGAGACTCGGCCGTCGTTCCATACCGGATGCCCTCATCTTTGGTCAAAGTAACCTGCTTGACCTCGCCGGTCTTGGGGTCCTTCACCTTGGTGGTGATAGGGACGATCTCATCATCGAACCACCCAGCCTTCTGGGCCTCTTCCGCACGGCGGTACGACTCAGCGGCATACTTGTCCTGAATCTCACGGCTGATGTTGAAGTCTGATCCGACGTTTTCGGAAGTCTGGCCCATGGGCTGCAGGCAGTCGGCCGACTCCTGGTTCTTAAGGACTTCCTCGCTGAAAGGCTGGACTGGCTCACCACCGGCAGACATCAACTCAGCACCAAGGGCGATACCGACATCGATCTGACCCAACGTGATCTGGTTGGCAATGTCTTGAACAGCCTTGAGGCCGGAGGAGCAGAATCGGTTGACGGACGATGCGCCGGATGTGTTGGGGATGCCAGCCGCAAGGGAGGCGGCACGGAGGAGATAGGGGGCCTTGCCGTCGTTGACCTGTGCGTTGTCAGTATGAATCCTCTCTTAGCTGAGGTTCAGAAAACGTACATTACCCAAGCAGACATCCTCAACCAAAGCAGGGTCGATCTTGGACTTGTCTATAACCTCCTTCAACAAAGAGTGGACTATGTAGTCCAACTGTGTGTCCTTGAATCCACCCTTGACGGCCTTAGTCAGAGGAGTACGCAGAGCAAGCGTGATGACTACATCGTCAGGATTTTTCTGGGTGCTGCGTAAGTCAGTATATTTCTCCCATGTGATGCGGACGGCAACTTACATGGCGGAAAGGCCAGTGTTTCCTCCCTTGAGGTGGCTGAGAATAGAATTCAAACGATCTGTGGCCATGGTGTGTATTCTATGTGTCTAACAAGACCGTGTTAGCAATTCCGCAGTTTGGCATTTGATGCAGAAGCAGCGATAGAAGCAACACGGGGACAGCTAAATCATTCTGTAGCAGCGGTATGGACCTATGCGGGGAAGGACGGTGGTCTAGACCGCTTCACTTGTGAGAGGGTATTGGGAGAACACAGCATCACTTACCAAGTTATGATTAACTCCGGTGAGAGAAAGTAGAGGGATTGTGGAGGGACAAAAGAGTTGTAATATAGAAGAAAGGAGGAGAGCGAGGGTGACCTTTACCAGCAGCAACCGAGAAAGAGCCGAGGCTCATTTTGCTTTCCCCATACTAACCAGACTAAGATCGATCCGACTATTAAATCATTAATAATCGCCAAGCACCTTAGATTTGGTTTTCAACTGCAACTAAACTAAAGCGTTGAATAGAAGCTTGGACTAAATTTAAAATTAAATTCTACAAAACCATGTGAAACCGTAGCATAATCAGCAAAAATCGAACGAACTCCGAGACACCTGTCCCGTCCATACCGCGCCATCCTCCAAGCAATCCCGTCCAATAAGTGAATTATTCTATACAGATTTCCCACATGCCTACAAGCGATTTTGCAGATCCTCATTGCTGACTACGCTACCGATCTCCGACCAGCTGGCTGGGGTGGCGACTCCTTGTGTCGACCGTCCATGGTCACTCAATGTGCCATCTGACCATTCATCCGCAGCAGACTCATAAATTTGACTGAAGCTACCAGCCGTCGACGGTGTAGACGGTCGTTCGTGGTGTTCGGCGCCAGTAGAATCTAAGTCCGACAGATCGGAAAAGGGCGATCCCAAATCACGGCCGGTTTCGTTCGTCGAAGGACCCGGATGAGCAAAAAGCACTTCAGAATAACCCTCTGTATGACTCGACGACCGCGAAAGTGGCCGCTCGACCTCCTCGGTACGATTCAGCGTAGACGTTGAGAAGTCCATATCTGAGGTCTCGGAAGTGGGTGTGTAGTCAATAAGCGCTGCAGAAGCTGCACCTGCGGCTGCGGCTGCTGGTATTGCCACTTGCAGGTTCTTCCTCGAAAGAGCAGCGCCAGTGGTCTGCGTCTCGGCCATAGGGGTCTGAGGACCATTGTTTTTACCGCGCTGAATAGCCTGTGATGGTGCCACTTCCACGCCGGTAGAGTTACCCAGTCCTCCAGAAGAATCCGGACTCTCGGTCCGAAGCAAACGGCCATCGTCATCAACAAGTGCATCGAACGATCCTGCGGGAGCACTTTCTCGTCTTTTCCGGTGTTCTTCAAGCACGGAACGTCGTCGTTGGAGCTCTTCCCTTGCTATCCGCCTACGCTCTTCAGCTTCCGGGCCCAGCTCCTCAGTCATAGATATGTCTTGCCTCATAGGTGAGGCAGAGGTTGGAGGGTGGATCTCATCGCCGAGATTGTGCAATGCGACGGCAATCTTTCGCCGTGAGGTGTTGACCCATTGTCGAAACTGGGGAGATTCATAAACTGCAATACCCGCAGCAACGAGTGCTGAAACAGTGATAATAATTCCTACCAACGTGAGGGAGCGTTAGCTACCTAGCTCCTACCAAGGAGGCCCATATCAACCATCTACTGATAAGCACACCGCCCGGCTGAGCCGGCCAACGAGCTCGTAGGATATAGATAAAGAGAAGAGGAGATGTAAACTTACCTTTCGCAACCGGTGTTGGCATCTTGACCTCCCGTGGTCAAATTGTGTCGTTTCCCTCCTCTAACCGACCATGTCAGGCAGCCAAGTAAAAGGAAGGCGATGTGAGCGTCATCAGATGCGCGGCACCCCGCGGGCCGCCACGTGACGTCAACACAGCCCTTATCCGGAAGCCCTACCGTCCGCTTTGGGCATTCCGTTGTTTTTCCCCTCCGCGCCGGACATCAACATTGTTCTTGGTCTCGATTGAGGGCCTGTTTACCACCGCCATTGCCGTTGCTATACATATAAACACTTATCTACAGTGAATATGTCTCGGCCATCATCCATTTCCCAGCGTCCCTTGACGCTCACCGAGGAATTGGAAAAGCTTGAACAATCTATCACCCTGACCCTGCAAGGTAAACAGCGATAAGACACCAGGTCAAGGAATATCATTAACCAATACTTTTTCCAGAAATCGACCACAATTTCAGCCAGGCCCATCGAATAGTTACAACTAGTATCCTGCCCCTCGTCGAGAAATATGCAGAGCATTCCCACGATGTCTGGGAAGGCGCCAAATTCTGGAAGCAATTCTTTGAGGCGAGCGCAAATGTCTCCTTATCGGGCTACGAGGAACGACCCAACGAAGACACATTGCAAGAACAAAGTGTAACAGAAGACGACACAACTGCCGATGCCACACCGAGCAAGCTTACGGACACCGGCACATACGACACACCCTTGTCCGAACATCTAGATATCAACCACCGCCCGGACGACCTGGAACTGACCTCGCTGAGCCTGTCCTCGCATAGTACGCCCCGACCGCCCGTGTTTGATCGACCAAATGATAACGACACGACCGTGACGTCATCTATCGCCCGGCCGTCGCCGTATGAGGCTCTGAAGAGGGAAATGGACGAGGGCGACGCGCCCTTTGAAGGCGAGGATGACGATCTCCCCACTACCCCCGGAAGACCTTTCCGCCCTCAGGGATATTCATTTAACCCTCGCGACGAGCTAATGTCCTCGTCGCCATTTATTCCTCCGGTGTCCCATGGAAAGTTTTCTACGGCAAGCAAGAGCCCAGCCGATCCGGTCTTGCATCGTCTCCAGGACAAGACGTATCGAGTCCAAGCCACCCCGCTCGGAAAGGACTATGGAGCAGGCCGCTCTAAGTTCACTATTACACCGAAACACTCCGCGTCCAAACATGGCTATGATGATTCTCCGATCTCCAGCCCTGAACCCGAAGCACCCCAGCTTCATGCGGAAATTTTCTCTTCGCCTCTCAAAACCCCCGGTACCAACCGGAAGCGACGTACAAGTAGCCATTTGCGTGTTACACCAAAGCCTGGGATTAGTGTGTTGACACCGGTAAAGAGTGGTGGCACAAACCGACCGGTATGGGACAGCGACGACGACTTCGACAATGACGAGGACGAGGATCTGGGGCCGAGTCCGCCGAAAACAATGCAGTTCCATATTCCCCAGAGCAGGTTAATGAAGACTCCAGGTTAGTCCGCTTAGTCCGGTGTAATCTCACAGGCTGACTGATGATTCACAGCAAAAGAAGCATCCAGACGGATCGTCGAGGATTTGCTATTTACCGCCGGGGCAAATGACACAACAGACGATATTGCGGCCGAACAGAGCCCTAGCATCATCCAAAGGGTCCAGCGTATAGAGGATGAAACGTTTTGAATTGGTGAGGCTGGGCGGTCCATAGTTTTAGCAGTCATGTAAGACACATAAGCATGATCTACCATCTAAGCGGTATCCGTTAGAGAATGCCGGGACAGCAAAACATCCCATTGCTAAGCGGTAGACTAATACATCACACACAAAAGGTGGAAGCCGCATTACACAAAAGTCTGACGTCGACACAGGCAATGCAAAGGCCGGGCATCCCAGGCATCCACACATAACACATCTCCGACAGCAACTAAGGACTAACTTCGAACCTGCGGAATGAACGGGGTAAAAAGAAAATAGAGAATTACATAGGCATACTGCAAACACATGAAGGGTATTGAGCATGAGGCACTGGTCATGAGGGGTTCGGGAAGGGATGACATGTCAGGAGTGGTGACAGAAATCGGCATATATGTACATAGGTCGAGTTGATGAGACTTGGGGTATTCTAATGGCAGAAGAGAAACCGAAGAACATTGTCCAAAAATAAAGAAAGGAAAACAAAAAGGAAAAGCCTCGAAGCCTGATGCCAGACCAAGCTTTGAACGGACTTGCAAGGAGAGGGATATTCTATCATTGCAGACCCATGAACACCTCTTGACAATTTTCCACCAAAAACTTCAACACATCATTCTTCTTTTGCACATCCGTCATCTCACGGGCCAAACTCTGCGGTCTCATGATGGTTGGAGCAAACACAACTGCAATATTCTGGCTGGTCATCAAATTCTCCTTCTCACGCTCAACCACACGCTTCAAGTGGAACATAAGGAATTCGAGCACATCGCGGTGGACTCTGGGCAGTTCCAGAAGGCACTTCTGCAGGGTCTCGATCCGCTCAGGTTGCGAAGTGATCTCGCCGGTTTCAATGATTTTTTCGTACACATCAAATGTAATCAATGGATTGGGTAGCTTTCGGAAGTATTGCTTTAAGGCCGATGTCACCGCATGAATATCAAGGTCGGGATCCGAGATATCATAATCCTGCGGCTGCCGCTCAAACCCATCTCGGATAGTCTGAATCGCCGAGCTGGCACCTGACTTGCGGTAGATCCCTTCCATGTCCATGCCTAAAGCGAAAGTTAGTTGACACCATGACAAAGCCAGGAATAAAGGCGTACCTCGTAGTTCAACCTCCTGAATGCAACGAGTGATGATGGCAGGAATGATACTCTTTTCGTGTTCCATCCGCTGCTCCAAGTCGGTGCCAAAGAGGCCTGAAATCCCTTAGTTAACGCGAATCAGATAAAATAATCGATGAGACATACCTGTTGGGGCCACTTCGGCCAGAGCTGGAACACTGTCAGTTGTTGGCATCCTTGTGCCAGCCTGCTTATTCCGCTGGTTTCCAAAGAATCCAAATCCTTGACGGCTAGGGTCCTGCGTCTGGGACCGTGGCAGACCAGGGACAGCTTCTGTGGCGCTCTCACTCGTACCAAATGCACGATTGAGGCCCTTGGTGACACCCTTGGCGACGTTTTGGCCCCCCTTCTTCCAGTTGAACTTGCGAGGTTGTCCCTTCCGAATGCTGACAACTTGGGGCCCGGGAACAATGGTGGCTGGCTCTGCCTCTTCGGACATGTTGGCTGTCGACACCGATGGGGCCAAGTCATTACTGCCCGCCTTCAGCGCGTCGATGGAAGACAGCGACTTCTCTTTTCCATGTGAATAAATCCCGAGACCATTCGCACCTCGGTTGCCCTCTGACGAATTGGCTTTATAGAGCTCCTGGATTTGGTGCACAAGCTGGTTGTTCAATTCAGCCAACTGGGCATTCTTTGAGGACAGCTGTTCGAATTCCTGGAAGCTCTTGTCCTTCATACGGTTGAAGTTTGCGAGTTCTTCGGCAGTCTCGTTGCGTTTCTGAACCAGTTCCTCGATCTGAGGTGTGAAGGAGTCCTTCAATTTCTGGATTGACTCGACAAACTCCCGCAATACCTGATTCGTAAGCTTACCAAGGTCCAGAGTGCCGCCTCCACCACGCTTCTCAGCTTCGAGGTGATCGGTCAGTACCGAAAGCTCTCGCATGACAATCTCCTTCCGAGCGTCCAGCACAACCATGGTAGAACGTTTCTCATTAAGCTCCGTGTTAACTTGCTTCACGTCCGCAGTGGCGTTCAGCATAGCCTCCATTTCAACAATCCTATGGTCACGCTCAAGGACCCGCTGGCGCTCTTTGCGCAGCTCACTCCGCAACCAAGCCACTTCTTCAGGCCCGCCGCTCTCTGGGGCGGGACTTCCAACGTCTTGAAATGGAGTACTCCCATTGACCGGCGACTTGGGCCATTTAGCATCCATGGACAAGCGAGAACCTTTATCACTGAAGCTGCGACCATGGTGCGCCGAATGTGAGAAACGACGCAAGAACGATTCGCTATTCTGTGCCGACAGAGGGTCGTCAGATGACATAAGTCGAGCCATATCCTCATCCATAGAAAAGTCGCCCCCTCCACTGTAACGTAAAACCGATGAAGACCCCGCACGGTCTACCTGGCGCTGTAGGTCGGGCTGATGGAAGGTGTTGATTGAATTCGGGCGCGGCGGCTTCGACTGCTGCAAGTTGGTATCATTGCGTGAAGCCCGAGGGGATTCACCTAGTTTAGGTGAGCCCTTAGCTCTGTCAAGCCACGGTTCACCAGGGGCAATTGATTGTGGGCGAGGGGACACGCCGGGCTCCTTTCTGGTAAGGTGCAGTTTGCTTTCCAACGAGTCCCCGCGCTTGGGAGGATGCTGCATACTACCAGAGGACAGGAACGATCGCGCAGAGTCCAAGGACCCGCTATTCTCGTGCAAGCGACGAAGCTCATGCGATGGCCGAATAGGTGGGACTACAGAGCTATCTCCCGTTAATATGTCCCGGTGAGGAGTAGCTGACGACCTCATACTCTCAGGGCTCGAATTGGAGAACGTGCTGGTCTCCTTGTGGCCAGAGGGCAAGTCGGACCGGGAACTCTGAATAGAGCCTGATCTTGCACGTCTCGGAAGTTCTGGCGGCACTCTGGAGTCATCACTGGTTGTTGGGCGAGAGTACGTGCTTGTATCATCTTGCCGCCAGCGGGCGGTGTCAACGTCAACACGCTCGCGGCCCTTCTCTTGATACGCGATGTGCGGTGATGAGCTACCCGATGGCACCGATTCTGTCCCCTCTCTAGGGGACCGATGCAGTGAACCGGGAGATTTAGAATGCTGAGGCGACCGCTGTTCTTCAGAAGGATCAAATGCAAGGGGAATAAGGAATTCTCCGGCATCATTTTCGGGTTCGCGTGGCACCACCGAGTGGCGGTTACTACGATACGTGCTGGAAGGAAGGATTAAGTTGTCTAAGGCAGATCCCAGTTAATAAGTATCTCTCAGCTTTGTTAAGGGAATGTTACCTTGATCGGCAGCCGTACGAGTATCAGAGGGGCCCGGCATCCTTCCCGCGTCCAGCACAGGCACTGCGCCTCGCGATGACCCCTCTGTGACTAGTTCTGCATACGCATCCGGTACCAAGTCGTCTGTGTGTCGTGCGTGATCGGCTTCCTCTGGGGGTAGCGAAGGCAGCGATTTGTCGAGTTTCACACCGGGCGCTGGCTTCTTCGAAGGCGCAGCTGCACGGTTTCTCTTTCTGCGCCGTTGCATTAAAGATTCATGACAGTCCATGCAGAAGATGCCCTGTGACGTCCGTGCATAGCGCAAATTTTCGATCTTCCGTTTACAATTTCGGCATCGGAAGCACTGCGCGCAAAATGCTTGTTCTCCGGTCAAGATGGCCAAGTCTTCAATTTTGTTCCCGCAGGAACTGCAGCTGTACGTGCAATTGCTACATATCAGTGAGCCGTCACCGAGGAGGAGGAGATGGGCGTCTGAGTCGAGGAGTGTGCCACAGGTACTGCAGCAAAAGCATTCAATATGCCATCGATTGCCCGCTGTTAACTATCAGCTTCTAATCCGATATGGCTATCCCAAGTGTGAACTTACCCAGCTCGAAGGCTTTTCCCTCTTCCAAAATCTAGTGGAAGGCACCGAAATTAGTATACGTCACATATCTCAATACCGACTGGCCTCGCATACCTCTCCACAGCCTTTACAGGGAAATGGCGTGTCGTCCTGTTCCATAGGAGACTCTGGGTACACCGCAGGAGACTCCATCCTCTTCCACTATGTGACGCCCGATGAAGGGGTAAGAAAGTATAATATGGGCCGCGAAAGGTTTACCAAGGTACGAAAATTATCAATGACGACGCTCGGGGCGCGCCCGCGGTGTTGCTACCAAACGCTTTCACGACACAGGGGTGAGGTAGTAAGACCAAGTCGTGCATCCGACAGCAAAGAGAATCACAATATTAAGCGAAAGCAAGGTTGTCACGTAGCGACGTACGGTAGGAAAATGCTGGAACTCTAGGGAGGGGAGGGCGGTAGGTAGCAGTAGTCGGTGGGAGGAAATCAAACACGACGGGGTGCAATTTCCGCTAGAGAAAGTAATAAAAAGCTCTCGAGCCTATAGTAAGCAAAGGAGACGACGTCAGTATCAGGACAAGATCGACAAAAGTCCATCGCAGACGAAACTGAGGGGTGGGTGGTCAAAGGTGGTGTTGAGGAAGAAGTACCCCAGATCGTAGGACCAGGGGTAGGGGAGAAGAGGGGAGGGGGGGGAATGGACAGGGCTGGACTACCCATGCAGAAGGACACTGTAGATCTCAACGACGGAATTTCGAGCTATCCCAATGGGATAAGAAAGAAGATATACACCAAACCAGTCCAAAACTCAGACAAGGAAACAACAGGGGGGAGGGAACGGAAAGAAATAAACCGTGGTGATTGCGAAACCAAGAAAAGTGAGAGAGAGGAAAATGAAACACACCAAACGGTGAGCGACTGTTTCAGATAAACTTCGGCGACAGAACGCGGAAAAACGAACCCCTCGGGAGCCAACTCAGGTGTTGGCGCAACACTCAGGAACAGGGGGAAGGCCGCTTGCGATGTGCCAATTAGGTCATTAGATATTAATAGTGAAGAGTAAAACAGAAAAAGGGAAATGAAAGGGAAAACAGGCGATCCCAATGGGGAAAAGGCGTGGAAATGAACAGGGAAGAGGTAACGGGAAAGTGAGAGAGGAAAGACGGTCTGGATTCTCGCGTTCGAGCCCCAAGAAAAAGTCACGCCCCTTCCCCATACCCTACAAAGCTCTCCCTCTCTCTCCCTCCCTTTCACCTACTTCTATGAATGAACCATGACAAAGAAACAAATAGACCAAATGCAATTCTCTCAGACAATCATAATGCTGATTTCTATAGCTATATATACCCTATTCTATTGATCCTTAACGCCGAGACCCACAATGGTATTATTAAAATACTAGACAAATGGCCGTTCCAAGGATCCAACCCAGAAAGCATTGTATATACGAATGCGAAGAAAGATATGAAATTTTGCCCACCTTCGATGCTGCAAATACCTTCATTACCTCAACTGCAATT